GTCAATTAGCAGAAGCATCTATCAACAGAAGTCATTTCTTAAAGCTAAGGTCAACTATCAAAGTAAACTATCGAAAAAAACTATTAAGATCAACTTTCGCATCCTACTAACTAAGTTATCTATCAACTAGGAAAGTAACCTATTAACAGCTTTTAAAGTTAACTTAAGTCAACCATCAAAGTCAATTAACACGGTAAAGTATCAAACAAAGTAAGTTCTCAAATTCAACTAACACAAACAACTACTAAATTCAACTATCATAGTCAATAGTCTTACTCATCACAACGAAGAGTCAGTCTTTTACTAGAAGATTTACGTTACAACAACACAAAAATTAGTCTCAAAGAAGGTATATCTACACCAATATTTCTAACTTAACCCCCTTCAAGTTGTTTCGAATTCATTACTGTCTTAATCAGGTATCCCATTCCCCTCAAAAGTCTCACATTCAATACTACTTTATTGTTACTTAAAATTCATTAAGAGAATATCTTTCGTAAACTTTTATCTTTTCAATAGTCCTTTCCTCAATCAATTAAAAAGGTAAGATAAATACTTTTCAGGTGACTTAACCTTTAACCTAGTACACATTCTCGTTCAAAAACATCTAATTAACTTACTTTACTTTAAGCTGTACATCTTCATTCTTTTTAGCAATTATCAAAAGAATAACTTTCATCAACTTTTAATTTCTCAAAAGATTTTTACCTTTTTAATACTCATTCAAATACTTTCAAGTCATTACTCTCCAAAATCAGGTATCGAAGTCTTTCTCGGCATTCCCATTCAACGCTACTTCGCTTACTAGTAATAATTACTCTACTTATTCAATAGTTACTAAAGCAGTTTTAGTAGACACATTTTTCCTTATTCAACTTAACCACAAAAAACTTTCCAGGTAACTCAACTTTTACTGACCAAATCTTCATTCTTTTAAAGAAACTCCAAATTCCAATCTACTCTTCATTAGTAAGAATTCTTAAATTATTTCAAAGAATCGATATAATTTATTTTCAAGAATTGTCGAGAAACTAACTATCATCAACTTTTCTTCGACAATCTACTCATCATTCAACTTACAATTAAATACTTTTCTTTTAAAAACTTTTAATTCTAATTTACTTTTCATTAAGTTCTCTTTCACTTATCCTATCAATTATTAAAAGAATAACTTTCGTCATTTTTATAATCATAAACCTAATAACCCCCCAGTCAAATAGTTTCATTTCCTCAATCTCCAAAATCAAATATCCTATTCATTCTTAGACTCACATTCAACCCGTTTTTTCTTACTAAGGTACTATTATTTCAGTTATTTTTAATAATATTAAGGTAATTATTCTAATAAACTAAGAATTTTTCCTTTTTCAACTCAACAATATAGTCTACAAGTAACTTTACCTTCATCAACGTATCCATTCTTTATCATAAACACTAACTCTAACCTACATTAAACAATTATTCAGTTAATTACTATTTATAGATATCAGAAAATTAGATCATATTATTTTCGATTAATTATAAGACAAAATACTAACAAGTTAAGTAAAATATCAAAAAGACTAGAACAAGGTCATTCATTACTGAAGGTAACTCTAACTAGATACCTAATCGACATAATACACATACATTGCGTTATTCTCTTCTAGTCAAATAGCTTAATCTCTTCCTTATTTATCATCTAGAAATCCAAGGTCTTAGTCTCTTTCATACAAAATTAAATCCAAACAACAGGAACAAATCTTTTTTCTTCTCTTAGGAATTTAACAACTCAACTACAATACAAAAAAACCTATCTATTTAAAAATACTCTCTTATTACTTCAAAACTTACAAGTTTATAATCAATACTTAAAAGAATAACTAATTTTATAACTAAAGTCCATAACCAAATTCAATAACTAAGTCAACTATTAACTAAATTACTAACTAATGTCCTCAACCAAATTTTATGACTAAGTCTATAAACAAGTTTCATAGCTAGATCCATAACCAATTTAATAATTAAATCAATTTCGAAATTAATAACTTAATTAAGAACTAAATTCCAAAACAATTCCCATAGACAAAATTACAAAAATACACAAGTTATATATATCACTACAAAATTCACTTCAGAATTCTGGAAACCACAACTAGATTTTATAACTGTTTTTATAACTGCTTTTATAGCTAATTCTAAGTATTCCTGCTCCATAACGAACACCATAACCAAGTCTATAATTACTAATTTCATAACTAATTTCATAACTAATACATCCATAACTGAATCAACAACTGACTGTATCACAACTCACATAACTTATTGTTTAACCAAGTAAGTCCTGTTCCATAAGTTTCATTGCCAACTATAATAGTATTTACATTACTATTTGGATTACTATTTAAGAAACTTAAATTCATTACTAATTAATAATCAGATTGATATTATCGTTTCCTCATAATCCATCCCAATTCCATTTCCATAACTAAATCCATAACAAAATCCATAACTAGCTTCCATAATGAAATTCAATAATTAGATACAAAAAAGTGTTGCACCAGGCTCCATAACCAAATTTAATAAAGTGTCTTTCCTAGCAAAATGTAGGAATAAAATTAGTTAGGAATAGTTAGTAACTAGATAGAGTTCTTCATAGCCAATATCCACAATCAAGGTATAGGGCATATGCCAGTTACGTGTTTATCCATAATTAGCTTAAATAGTCAAACTTCATAACTTGATTCCTACAAGTAGATTCGAAAAAGTGTTGCTTTATGTCGGGGTTCTCCATAAACAAATTCAAAAATCAGTCTTTCAATAACCAAAATGTAGAAAATAATAATCAAATGTCAAAAATCTATTAGTTTAATTGTTCATATGTTGATAGTTGATGCTGTTTCCATAACTAAATTCGGTAACCAAATTTATGGAAGTAATTCCATAACCAAATTTAAAAAGTCTAGCAGTTATGTGTTTTATCATGATTAGATAAAAATAAATTTTCCAAACCCAAGACCCATAACTAGATTTAATATCCCGGAACCAAAACTTCAAAATGTACGAATTACGTATTTGGTCGTATTTATCTCTCTTAACTAAATCCATAAGTAATTCAACAATTAACTCCAAAACTAATTTATAATCAAATATTGCTCCATAACCAAAATGTCAAAATTAACAATACGTCATAAATTTGTTCCCAAGCCAATATTGAGTCTGTAAATCCATTTTGTTTCTAAATTTTAGATGACGCCTTGTCATGTACACTCAAACATCTTTGTGCAAAACCATGATAACCAGGAGCGATTTTTAATACCATTTTCATTCATCATAAGCATTTTTTGATTTATTTGAGCTTTGAGAAGGAACTATTTCAGATCATTGAGATTTTTTAATTATGTGAATTTGATTTCCGATTCAGATTCGACGATAAAGATAAAAAATATATCCGTAGGTGCATTTTTGTTTTCAATTACCACAAATACAGTATACATACAATCTGAGACCTTCAATGTAATATGGTGAGTGAGTGTTGGTATAGAGGTTTCTTGCAAAAAAATTACAGATCATAGTTTGAAATTTTCTTTTTTTTTTCTATACCAAGGTCAGCGACTTATCAATTTAAGCTAAATTTATCCATTCATTAACTAACAAATTTTATCGCTCAACTATAAGAGTAACATATCCGATCGTTGTGTTTTTAGTAACTGATTTCATGGAACGATTGCAAGGCCATACGACAATAACTGTAGGATCCTATTACGCTCAACATTTGAATAGAATCCACAGATACTTTGGTATGACCTTGCAATTTCTCCTTGAGGTCAGCTGCATCTTGATGTAGCCTAAAAACAACATTTCTTTCAGCCATGTAAAAAGTAATTTGTCTCAAATACCTGTATCCAAGTCTTTTAGATTGTGAAGCATATGAAAATTGAAAATTGAAAACAAAGAATATACTCCAACTTATTTAATGGTGGATATGTTTAAAATCAGCTGAAGTTACAGCATTTTTGAAAGGCTTAACAGTATCAAAAAAATTTTTAAACATGAAACATTTTTATATATGCAATGGTTATATCAAAAACCCCTTCATCAATGATATCCTAATTCAATGAAGATATATTCAATACTTACTTCCTCTACTTAATTGAGTGAAGTTGGGTTATCTTGTTGAAATTGAAGTAGAAGTAATTGATTTTAATTCATCATGGATAAATTTGTTTTATAAGTGATATATTAATTTTGGAGAAGAAATACTGAAAGGTATATTAAATTTTATTTATAATTTGGATATTTATTGAGATATTTATAATAATTTGTGTAGTGTATACGTGTTAATTTTTGTGGTTAAGTACACACACAATGTCATTTTGTAATGTCATGACAATGTCAACAATTTTGCATAGTGTGATGTAATTAATACTAATTAATTATTATGCATCGCCTCAATACTCGAGTGTTAAGTATTGTGTAATACTTTTTATGATCTACTACTATTTTATTATGAGCTACAGTACTTCATTAGTTTCTCAGAATACGAATTTTTTATATTTACTCTTACCCCTGAAAAATTAGAAGATCTTTAATAATCAGTTGCATACACTTAAGTCTTGAAAAATTCGATTTTGATTGATAACAAACATGAAAGTACAAATGCTTAATGAATGAAGAATGTCTCTCATCAATGTTTCAAGTAAAAATTTGGTTGATAAGTGAATGTATTAATTAACATGTTTTAATTTGAATCTATTGATTACATACATAAAATCTAAAAAAAGAATTTTATTTATTTTTTTTTATTTCACGTAATTATCAAATTATAAAATAAAGTAACATAATTATACATATAAGAATAAGAATTTTAACTCAAATTATTATACAAAAGAAGAAGAAAACCATTCAACCATTCTAATTTAAAACAAAGTTTATAGATCCAACAACATCAGAATCATCTGAATTTTTCTAATCAAAAACTACAACTTTCATTCGCTTAATATTAACGCTACACACGCGTAATGTATTCTCGAGAATATAATCAAAATCATCAATATCAACCACCAAATCAATCAACAAACAATTATCAAAGTGATGAAAATATAAATGATTTTCAATTTAATAATAGTTATTCACAATCTAAAACAAAATCACAATCTTCAATTCCATTACTAAATTTATCTGAAAATTCTTCAAGATCTTTACCTTCTTTACCAGTATATACTTCAAATCAACAAGATTCTAATCAATATGAATATTATCCTCATAATAATGACACTAAACAAGAATTTATCAAAAATCATTATGAAATGAACAATTTAAATCGAGTTTTACCTTCATTACCACCACAACAACAAGATGAAAATTATCGAAATCCTTTCATTGATGAACCAATAAATTCTTCATCACCATCTCAACCCACAAATCCATTTAAAGATAATGAATTAGAAAAAAGATTAAGAAAAAATGAAAAAAATAGATTACATACTTTAAAAAGTAAACCAAGATTTCATTTTACAAAATTACCTTATTTTACAATAATTGTTACTTTAATACAAATTATAATATTTATTATTGAATTAGTTAAAATGTCAATTTTAACAGGTTCAGCTTTTCAAACTCAACCATATTTTAATCCAATGTTAGGACCTTCTAATTTTTTATTAATAAATATGGGTTCAAGATATGTTGCATGTATGAGACAAATAAAAGGTTTAACTGATGATACAAGTATATTATTTCCTTGTGCAAATTCAACTTCTATAGATACTTATCAATGTTCATTAAATGAATTATGTGGATTGTCTGGTATGTCTACATTTGATAATAATACAAAATATAATCCAAATCAATGGTATAGAATTTTTATACCAATTTTTTTACATGCTGGTTTTTTACATATAATTTTTAATTTATTATTACAATTAACAATGGGAGCTTCAATTGAACGAAATATTGGAATTTTAAAATATTCAATTATATATATATTAAGTGGTATTTCTGGTTTTTTATTAGGTGCAAATTTTACACCTGCTGGTATTGCATCAACTGGTGCATCAGGTTCATTATTTGGTATAGTTGCAACTAATATATTATTATTTATTTATACTGGTAGAAAAAATGCAAATATGTATGGTACAAAACATTATAGTTTATTTATATTTTTTATGATTATTGAAATAGTTGTTTCGTTGGTGTTGGGATTATTACCTGGATTAGATAATTTTAGTCATATAGGTGGATTTGCAATGGGAATATTAAGTGGTATTTTGTTGTTGAAAGATCCATTTTGGGTTTATCAAGATGGAATAATAACTTATAAAAGAAATCAAACTACTTGGCAATTATTTTTAAATAATTGGAATCCAATGTATGCATATGAAGATAAAGTACAAATAAAATTTTTCATTTGGTGTAGTATTAGAGTAATTTCATTAGTATTAATGATTGTTTATTTTGTTTTATTAGCTAAAAATTTTTTCAATAATGAAACTGATCTGAATAATAGTTGTGAATGGTGTAAATATTTCAATTGTATACCAGTTAAAGGATGGTGTGATATTGGTGAAATATCAGTAACTACTTCTGAAAGTACTCCAACTGCTACAGCTACTCCTAGTTCTATAACAGTTCCTACAGAAATTTATTCAACTGCTACTTATACGACAACTGCTGCTAATAATAATGGTGGTTTCATTAAAAGAGAACTACCAACACCAGCGAAAACCACAATCACTGAATCTGACTTTGGAGTTGGCATAGGATTGTACCTTATTTTAACGATTTTTATGATATCATTTATGAAAAAGAGGAAAATTATATAACTTTATAGAAAATGTATTTATGAATTTTTCACGCACAAAAAATTTTTCAAAACTAAAAGTATCACCAACTCTAACCAATCTAAATAACATGATTTCCAAACGAATACTACAGAGTAGATCACTATCCACCACAAACATAACAAGATCATGGTTTGGTGATCTTTTTGGAAGTAAAAAATCAAAAATCACAAAAGAATCAAGATCAGATATGATAACAAATCAAGATGAATTAGCAAATAAAGAAATTACAGAAATTATACATTTTACAAAAGAAAATTCTCCCAAAATTTTAAAATCAAAGGAATTAAATAAATTAAATCCTGAAAACAAAGTACGTGATTGGAAATTTACAAAATCTATAAAACCTAATGAAATTGAAGATGTATATAATGATAAATCTAAATTACAAAATATTTTCAATAAAACTTATAATGAATTAACCAATAAAGAAATCAATTTCAATGAATATTCATCAATTAATTTACATGATTTAAATTTTAGATTCAAATTTATAAAATTATTACAATCTAAATTAGGTTTTGAAATTAATGATTATATAATAAGTAAAAATCATTCATTAGATTCATTATATTTTGATATTGAAAGTTTTGTAAATAAAAGATGGAAAAATGAAAGAAATCCAAATGCAATAGTTTTAAGACAAGAAGATTTTACTGCAAAAAATATTTACCTTAATGAAACAAAAGATGATTATGAAAAATTAAAAGAATTTAATAAAATAATGAAAGAAATAGAATTAATGGAAAGTAGGTAGTAAATAGCTTATATAAATAGATACTACTCCAAATATTTAATCAGCAACTGTAGCAACTGGAGGTGGATGAGGTAATTCATTTAATAAAACAGGAACATTAACATCTTGAATTTGAGGTTCTTTACCTCTTAAAGCTTCTTCTTCTAATTGTAAAGTTTTATAATAACTCCATTTAATTAAAATTGACATAATACTTATAAATCCAAAATCTGGCCATAAAGTATCTGGAAATTCAATAGTACAATCAGTATTACATTGCCATAATAAAAAATCACTTAATCTTGTATGACCACTTGTACGAACCAAGATATCTAAAGGAGGAACATCATCACCAAAATAAAAATTAGATTCAATCATTTTTGTATTAATTTCATCTTTTGATTTAATTTCTTGATTAATTCTTTTTTCAGCAATAGTTTTTATAGCATGAGTTATTTCATCACGAGCAGTATAAGGGAAACAAACATTTAATATCTTTTTGGAAGATTTTGCTATTGTTATTTCTTCAATATATTCTAAATCTTTTAAAATATCTTTTGGAATATAAGATCTATTACCAACAATTTTAATTTTAACTTTATTATATCTTGCATAAGAATCTTCATATTCTGAAATCATTTTTAATTTATCACGTAATAATCCAAATAATGTATCAACTTCTTCTTTTGTTCTATTAAAATTTTCTAATGAAAAAGCATAAATTGTAACTTGTTCAATTCCGACCTTATAACATGTTTCAAGAATCTGAACTAAAGTTAGTATCAAAACAATTGCATCAAAATCACTCAGTATTTCATACTTTAACTAAAGCGTTAGCACCAGCAAAATGACCTTCTTTTAAAGGCAATCTATGTTTTTTAGCATAAGTTCTATTACCATCCATAATTAAAGCAATATGTTTTGGAACAGGACCAGTTCTTAAAACAGAAATAATAAAATCTTCAACAAATCCAATAAGATAAGCTAATAATGGGAATTTAATAATAAACGCAATAATTGAATTGATTGAAAATGTCCTTGATGCTGACATGATTGCTTGTTGTAAAAGAAAAAGTTGGTTGTAAAAAAAAAAAGTGTTGCAAAAAAATTTAACTTGTAAAATCAAAAGTTTTTATAATTTTTTTAACTTCTTTCTTTTGAAGTTCTTTAATTTTAGCTTCTTCAACCTTATTTAAATATCCCATATAAACTACAACTTCAGCTATTAACACCAATAAACCAATAAAAATAGTTAATAATACTCTATAACTATCTTTTAAACCCCAAGAAGATTTTGTCCAATACCACATTGCATAAGCAACACTAGCAACACTTATAAATATATTAACTATTGTAGTTAATTGATTTTTCAATTCTTTATGAGCTTTTGATGGTGATATATATTCTTGATTTGAATTATCATATAATGTTTCAAATTTTTCAGGTTGTTGTATTAATTTTTGATATTCTTTTTCTTTTGCTTCTAATCTTAATTTCTCCATCTGTTTTATAAATTCTTTAGTCTTTGGTTTGTTGAATTGTTCATATTTAGGTATATGTAGTTTTGTTTGTTTAATTAATTGTAATAATGATGGTGTTGGGTGAAAAGTTTCATAAAATTTGATTAATTTAGTGTGTGAAATGGTATCAGACGATAATAACTCATCTTTTTTTTTATCTGGTAGTTTAGACTGTCGTATGGTATTTGAAAGTTGATCTGTTAATACAAATAAAGTCATTGTTTTGAAGGTGGTAGAACAGTTGATTACACTCGTTTGAATTGTTTTTTTTTTTTTTCGCTTTTGTTATCATCGTTTTGAACCGAACTAGTTGGATTCTTCAAGTGGTGGACAGCCGAGTCAAACGATTGGATAAGAGTTTACATATCAGGAGTGAAACTGGATATACCGATCATCGATGACCTGGATACTAGATCGGTCTCGTTTCAACAGACATTTTTTAGTTATTCTTCAAACCAAGTTGTTCCAAAATTTGTGTAAAAAGTTCACCTTCACTATATGACTTGTAACTAGATATCACGTCGCATAATCTATCTTTAGACTTTCTTTACTCTTTCATCCTACTCACCTCTCTCAACCAACCAAACTCGTATCAATATTGGTACATCAATTCATATCTCAATCCTTTTCGTGTATTACCAAAATCTAAAACCCTATTTAACTCCATAAATTACACAAAATCAAAAATATCTGTTTTTAGAGTAAATAATAACAAACAAATTTATTCCCTTTTTGATCTTAAATTTTCAATTTATCATCACATAGTAACACAGGATAACTATTCCGAATTGGTTGAATTGACAAACTACGTAGTTATATCATCATCACAACTAAAACCAGAACAAACACAACCAATACCTAAACAATTTCATCTTTCCAAATTAAATTCACAAACCTATATAATTACAAATAAGTTGAAATCTATGTTTTCAAATTCATCACCTCAAAAATCTAATAATCACAGTAACCAAATAAATCAAACTTCAATGAATTATCATAATTTGCAACAAGATTCTAGAAAAAGACAAAACAAAAGAGATGATGCAATAAGAAGAAGAATTGAACATGATTTAAATAAAAAGAAAAAAAATGGTGGTAAAATAACTAGACATAAAAAGGCTATACCAGGAACAGTTTTATCATTAAAACCAAGTGATCCTATTATTTGTAAAACTTCTGCTACTGTATATGAAGTATCACAAATGATGACAGCAAGAAGAGAAAATTGTGTTTTAGTAGTAAATGATTTAGGAGAATTATTAGGTATATTTACTGCAAAAGATTTAGCTTTTAGAATAGTTGGTTCTGGTTTAAATGCAAATTCAGTTACTATAGATCAAATTATGACATCAGATCCAATTTGTGCTATAGCAAATAATCCTGCTTCAGAAGCTCTTACAATGATGGTAGAAAGAGGTTTTAGACATTTACCTGTTTTAGATAATGATCATCAAATTGTTGGTATATTGGATATAACAAAATGTTATGCTCAACAAATGGAAAAATTAGAAAGAATGCATGCAAGTTCTAAAAAATTATATGAAGCTTTAGATTCTGTTCATACTGAAATTGGAATGAAAGATCAACCTCAACATATTTTTCAATATTTTGAAACTTTAAAAAGTAAAATGAATGGTCCAACTTTAGATAATGTTTTAGATTTTACAACAGAACCAATATATACTAGTGTTAAAGCTTCAGTTTATGATGCAACAGTTTTAATGAAGGAAAATAAAACCACTGCAGTATTAGTTAAAGATACAAATGAAGAAGTTGCTGGTATTTTTACATCAAAAGATGTTGTGTTAAGAGTTATTGCTGCAGGTTTAGATCCTAAAAAATGTTCAATTGTAAGAGTTATGACCCCACAACCAGATGTTGCTCATATAAATCTACCTATACAACAAGCCTTGAGGCAAATGTTTGAAGGTCATTATTTAAATTTACCTGTAGTTGGAGATGATGATGATATAATTGGAATTGTTGATGTATTAAAATTAACTTATGCTACATTAAATCAAATAAAACAATTAGAAGCAAAAGAATTACCTATTTCATTAGATAACACATCACCACAAAATAACGAAGGACCAGCATGGAATAAATTTTGGACTTCATTGGATGATTCAGAATCTGCTCATTCAGATTCTTTAATGGACGAAAGTGGTGCTGCTAGTAGTGGAGCTCCTGAAATAACCCCATCTGAATTTCAACAATTTAATGTTGATATAAAACCTTCGGATTCAGTTAGTTATGTTGATTCATTAAAGGGAAAAGATTCTGGAGAACTTCCCTTTATATTTAAATTTAAATCCCCAGCCATTGAAGGTAGAGTTCATCGTATTACTTTAAATGCAAGTGACGGTATAATAAAATTGAGAGAATTAATTGATTCAAAATTGAATGAGAAAGATTATCAAATTACTGGAAAAGATTATGGAATAAGTTATGTTGATGATGAAGGAGATGTTGTATCAATAACATCAGATAATGATTTAATTGAATGTGTTCGTATAAATGCAAAATTAAAAAATGAAAAAGCTGATTTATATATCCATAATCCTAATAAGCAAGCGTCTATTGATGAAATAAAACCAATTAAAAAATCTGATACCACAAATCTTACACTTATACCAGGTATTGCTAATGAGATTTTGATTCCTGGTGTTTTGGCAGTTTTAACATCTTCAATTATTATAGGTATCACTTTAAGTAGAAAAATTAAATAAATGATTATGAAATATGATTTTAAGGAGCTGGAAATTCTTCTGCCATTTCTTTCACTGAAACCGCTAATTTGTCTTTACTTATTAATATTATACTTATTTTAGGATCAATTCCGTACTCAGTAAACACTCTTCTTGAATCCGTTTCCTGTTTATTCTTATTGTTATAATCAAAAACCCCTTTATAAAGAGCATTTTTTTCTAATATTTGATCTTCTAAATGGAAATAATCTAATTCTTTTATTTTTGGTTCATCTTTTGGAGTTTTTCTTTTCTTTTTATTTTTATCATCATCTTCGTCATCTTTTTCAATAGCATCAACTAGCTGATAAACTTTTGAAATGATCAAAAAATAATCAAACTCATATTTTTCATTTGCATCTTCTGATTTTTGCATTTCTTCTAGTAACATTCTATACATTGGTGGTACAACTTCAATTGGCATATTTATCAATCTTTCACTTATAATCAACCCAACTCTTGAATTTTTCTTATCTTTTGGTTGCAATAATTTTTTTAAAGTCAAATTAAATTCCAATTGATTTTTGGTTTGTTTTAATACATAATCTATTACTTTCTTTATACTTGGTTGTGATAAATTATTAGTTATATTAACTACACTTAAAAGTGCAAATGGATCACTTTCTTTTCCTTCCGTTTTTATAGATGTTCCAACTGAATTTTTAGTTAGAATTAAATCAGATAATCCACTTATATCAAATTCATTATGATCATCTCCAAATAATTGTCTTAAAAAGTTTTTGGTGGCATGAAAATCAATTTCAGGATTTAAATCAAAAAAATCAAAATCGACATTCACTGTATCCATATCAACATCATTTTGTTGTTGTTGCTCAGTATCTGACTCATCTGTTGAGCTAACATCTATATCTGAGTCTGACTCAATTTGTCTTTTACTCATACTTTGTAGTGCTAAAGAATTGGATCAAATATGTATTGAATTTATTTTTGAAATTTATTTAAAACGAGAAGATCATTGCAAGCATTGACAACTATGTCTGAATGTCTTTAGTACAAGGTTATAGTTCATCTGAAGAAGAACCTAATGATCAATTGAAAGAACTTCAACCACCAGCAAAAAAGCAGAAAACAATTACATATGATAACGATACTTTTGAAGCACAGTATAAATTACAAGAACAACAAAAGATAAAAGAAGCTAAAGCCAAAGCAAAAGAGTTAAAACTACGACGTAAACACAAAGGAGGAACACCATGGGCGTCAATATCATCTGATGATGAACAAGTATATCAACCAAATGAACAAACAAACGAAGAAACAGCAATAGAAGAAGAAGAAGAAGAGACTTTTAAACCCTCCTCCAAATTTGTTGGAGCTAGCGAGTGTGATTATCAAGGTAGATCATATATGTATATTCCCAATGAATTAAAAAAAATGGAACCACAACCATGTTTTGTACCCAAGCAAATAATTCATACATTTAATAATGCACATCCAAAAGGTGTTAATAAATTAGAGTTTTTTCCTAAATATGGTCACTTATTACTTTCATGTGGTAATGATGGATCTATTAAATTATGGTCAGTAGACAAGACTTACGAACTTCTTAGAATTTTCAATGGCCATAAATTAGCGGTAAAAGATGTCACATTTAACTCTAGTGGTGATAAATTTTTGAGTTGTGGATATGACAGAGTCATCAGATTGTGGAAAACCGAAAATGGTGAAGTACTAAGATCTATCTCCACCTCAGCTGTACCCAATGTTGTACGTTTTAATCCAGAAAATGATTCAGAATTTATAGTGGGCTTATCAAACCATAAAATAGAACATTATGATTTAAATGCGTTGCACAATCCAATACAAGTTTATGATCATCATCTAGGTTCAATCAATGATTTACTTGTATTAGATAATGGTTTTGCTTCTACATCTGATGATAAATCAGTCAGAGTTTGGAAATGGCAAATAAATATACCTATAAAAGTTATCTCTGATCCAACACAATTTTCAACTCCTTCAATAAAGAAACATCCAAATACTAATTATATTGCTTTACAAAGTATGGATAATACCGTGAAAGCTGTTCATTCGACAGGAAAATTCCATTGGAATAAGAATAAAATATATCGTGGTCATCAATGTGCTGGATATGGAATTGAAATTGAAATAACTCATGATGGTAAAACAATAATGAGTGGAGATGCAAAAGGTTATGCATTTTTTTGGGATTGGCAAAGTAAAAAAATAATCAAAAAATTGAAATTAAATAATAGCTTAATCAAATGTATTAGGTTTCATCCTTTAGAAAGTAGTAAAGTTGCTATAGCAGGTGTATCTGGTGATATCCACATATGTGATTGAAAAATGCTACATTGTGATTAAAAAATGCTACATTAAACTATAAATTCTAATTCTATAATGATATTTAAGTAATAATACATTTTTCCTTTTTATAAGCGTCTCTTTTATTTTTAGATCTATGAAATAAATGATGACTATGACCATTTATGCTATTTTGTTTTTTTTGTTCATTTTGTAATGTTTTAACAGTATGTGGATATGCATTTTTAGAATCATCAAGATTTATTGGTGAAACTAATTTTCTTAATTCACCTAATGATTCAGTTGAATCTAAATTAACATTGGGTGATTTTTTGATAGGTTTTTTCCAAATTGATGAATTTAAAGTGTTGTCGCTTGATTCACTATTTTTTTGATCATTTGGTTTTAATAATGCTTCTTGTGATGTATTATCTAAGTTCTTATCACTGTGTTGTTGCAGTGGCTTTTTATCTAATTGAATATTACTCATGTTCGAAAAATTGCTCCATTGACTATTTCTTCTGAATTGTGGACTCAATGTCATTGATGAATTACCATCCTTTAATATCGTCGGTTCTTCTTTATAATAGTTCTTATCTGCATCTGTTATATACCAGTAATACCTGTTTTTAATATCCACGTATTTGGAATCAGTTGGTGAAATGACAAACATGTTTGATTCTGAATTAGATGAAGATTTGGTCGACATTTTTTCAATATCTGATACTTTTGATGTATGGTGTGAATCTTCAGCAGATAATATTGGAGAAAAAACCTTTGGTGGGTTTCCGATAACATTTATAGAATCATCCGACCAATACAGGGGTTTGGATCCATTTGGAGGTATTATATTACTTTTAATAGACGATGCAGCGCTTGATTCCCTTCCTGACACTAATCTGTAAAACAACATATAAGGCCATTCATTATTAAAAATCTCATTAAAAGTCTTTTCAACAACTCTCAGATTCTTTTTCATATCATCATAGTAATACCACAAGGATTTATTAGCTTCTTCTTCAGTTTGATTAATTTTTTCAACATTTTTTCTAACAACTGATATAAAATGTCCCAGTTCAATTGATCTTCCTCTATGACAAACAGCACTTTCTAAGATCAACCTGAAAGAACATGCAGGTTCATCAATATCATCTGCAACAAAATCAGGTAAATCTATAAATGGTGGTATGATTATTCTTTTCTGTGATCTAGTACCAGCTGAATCTCCAGAATTAAATTCATATCTTTTTAAACAAATTGGTAATACAGGTCTTCTATTTGCAAATTCTTTTGAACTTTTCGCACCATTTTCTAAATCATCTGGTCCTTGATTATCATCAGTATAAAACGGTAATAGCCTTAAAAACATCCAAGCAGGTAAATTAACTTCCTTTACCTTTGATGTGTTTGATTTTCCATCATCATTCAATGACCAGATTGATAATGTGGATGATCTAGTTCTTATTCCTATTCTAACACCATTACTTTTTCTACTATCTGATCTATCCCTAGATTCTGTTTCATCATCCACATCCTCAACTTGAGTAACACTATGTTTATGATCGTCGTTTATTTGGATCTGCGAATCTTCAGGTATTTCATGAATATATGATGTTGATTTAGGTACTGTACCTAATGATGCCCTTCTTTCCAATTCTCGTTTTACACTTATTGAATTATTAAAATAATGTTCTAGACACTCCTCCAATAAAACCGAATCATCAGCCTCTGATTTTTGTAGTTTCAAACTTGATATTGAATTTTCCAAATGTTCAGTCTCTGTAACTTTACCTACTCCATCAGTCGATTCCAATTCATCATCCGGAATACTCACAAATAAAATTCTTTCTTTTGAAAATTTCTCATCATCTTTTTTATTAAATTTTCCACCATGTTTTATATCAACTTTAAATGTTAATAATGGCATACTTAATACTTCTGTTAAAAATTGAAATAATGCAGCAGCATCTTGTTGTTTATGACTAACAGCTTCATCAAATCCCAATTTATATAAACCTTCACAAATTCTAGCTGTTAAATCTGTTGTTATTAAATATCCCAGTCGTAATAAAGAAACATAAACTCTTAATAATGCAGATAATTGATTTATTAATTTATCTTGATGATTAGGTATAAAAAGTATAGGTTCAAAACTTTCTAAATTTGCAAACATTGAAAATAATAATGCATCCATATAACACATTACATTATCCCAATTTTCAGCTCCTAAAAATTTTAGTCGATTACCTAATTTATCAATTCTTAAATTTGTTAAAAACCATCCTTCAGAACTCAATTGAAATGTTCTTAAGATAAAAAATGATCTATTTATATCTCCACCTGTTAAAGGTGATTTTAAAATAGCTATTATTTCAAGTGTGTTTGGTATTGGTAAATGCAAATGATCAAAATAATTTTGTATTTTAATTACTTCATGAGATTTTTCTGTATATTTTGAAATATTATAAGGAGTATGCTTAATTACTGTTTCTTTATCTGTTCGTAGATAACTTTCAATATACCATTGCCAATATGATTCTGTAAAAATTGGATTAACTTGATCTTTAGCATGTGAATGGCGAGAAAATCGCTTCAACATGTTTGTTTATGTGAGATTTGAGCCACACTGAGTGATATGATTTTTGAATAGTTTATCCTATCAGTTTCTAATTGTATATTGGAACAAGTAAGATATTCAAATTCAAGTTGTTGCTTTAATTTATGATGTTTATTAATCCAAAATAATTCTAGATAGAAACACATTTAAATTAATTAATAGAATCAATACTGTACTGTATATAAATGAATTGTTTAGATCTATCTAATCTTTAGATCTCTTCATTAAAAAAATTAAAGACCAAAAAGCTACCAAGTTTAAACCCTAGTACTATAATTTTTGGTCCGTGTTTCACGTAAGAGAAATTAGCAATGACCGTGAAGCAATAGCTAAATTAACACATTCGATGCCATTGTATAGGGGCAAAAAAAAGAAATCTGAACTATGTAGCATTAGTCTATTCGGATAATGGACTCGTTTTGAAAAGCATTGAACATTTATCATAAGGTTTTATCTATTAAATATAAACCACAATTAGCTTTGTGTCAGGCACCTAAATTTATAAAATCATCAATATTCAAAATTACTGATCAATATATAATTAGCCTAATAAAAAAGACTACGCCATCAAAAAAAAATGCAAAAGCAAGAATTTGATCTTATGATACATTATGTCATTTCAAGTGTTCTTTTGCTGCATCAAGTATATGTATAATTCCTTTGTAAAATATGATTTGAATTGGTTTGGAATGAAGTACTAGATTTGCAATTAAGACGAGTTAAAATTTTAAAAATAGAAAGTATTGAGGTTCACGTTATACATGACTAAATATATCGCTTATATTAACTTAATTAGGTCAATTTCTTTATGTTGATGATATCACTTGAAACAGTTTCAAATTTAAAATTCTGCTACCAAATATTTTAGGAACTTATCGGTTAAAAAAAAATGAAACAAATGTGAAACAAGTTTAATTAGCCTAAAATTTTAAAATCACATAACAAATTATCTACAAACTCAATTCAGCAGATCATTGAACCATACCGACTAATCGGTTAGCTATTATTAAGCGTCGATTTTGATTCCAAAAGTGAATCAATTTATCATAAGAGTTCGGGATTATCTATACTAAATTCTCGAGGATTCAATAAGTTTTTAATAATTCAATCATGTCTTGGATAGGGTTAAAAAAAGCAATAAACCGAGCTGGAACTCAGGTTATGCTTAAAACAGGTCATATAGAACAAACAATAGATAAAGAATTTGAAATTGAGGAAAAAAGATTTAAACAAATGGAAAATAATTCAATACTACTACAAAAAAGATTAAGATCATATTTAGAAAGTTTAAAATTATTAACTAATTCACAATTGAACATAGGGGAGCTATTAAATTCATTTTATGGTAATGAAAAACCTGATTCTCATATTTTGGAGAATCCAAATACAGGAGAATCAATTGAAACTTTTAAAAATTTAACATCTGAATATTATGCAACTTTAAATAAAATAAATAATGAAACTGTTAAAGATTTGGAAAATCCATTCAATCAAACAGTTTTGAATCCTATTGCAAGATTCAATTCATACTACGTTGAAGTTAATGAAGCCATTAAAAAAAGAAATAACAAATTATTAGATTATGATGCAATGAAAAATAAATTAAAGAAGCTACTTGAAACTCCCAAAATTGAATTAATAGATCAAGATACAAAATTTAAAGAATTAAATAAAGAATTAAATGAATCAGAAACAAAATATATGGAAATTAATAATCTTTTAAAAAAAGAATTACCAAAATTAATAAATATGAGAATTGAATTTTTTGATCCAAGTTTTGAAAGTTTTGTTAAAATTCAATTAAGATTTTTTAATGAAATTTATTTTCAAATGAAAAATTTACAAATTAAAATTGATGCTAAAACTAAACAAGATTATATAGATGGTATATTAGATGATAGGATTGATGAAGTTTTAGCTAAAATGAAACAATTGGATATTACTGGTAAAGATGAACCAATAGAATAATGTGAGATAATAGCAAAATCAAGAAAAGATATATCGACCAGTATAATGAGCTTTACGAAAAAAACACATCCACTAAAAAAAACTATTTCTTCAAAGACTATTCCTGAATTCTATAAGATTGTATATTAACATTTCTATAAATCAAATTTTCTTCTAAATTTTAATTCAATATCAGTATTTTTTTTCCAAATTTTTGTTTTAATAGTTTGTAAAGTCATATTATTTTGTAATTCAATACCTTTACATTCTAATACTAACCAATCAGTTGGTTTTAATTTTTTATCTTTCATTTCTTTTGTTTTATTTTCAAATTTATCAGTTAAAAAATAAAGTATTTTGGAAACTCTTAACATATTATGTGAAGTTAATTTTATTGAACTTTCTAATGCTGGTAATGATTTAATTTTTCGTTGTGATTTCCCACCTATTTTAACATTAGGTGGTAATTGAAAATAATCATATTCCAATAGTTGGAAAGTTATTTTTGGAGATTCTTTTATAGTTAATTTATTATATAATATAGGTTGACTTATCCATTTAGGTAACATTCTTAAATCATTAAGAAGTTGTTGATTTTGAGTCTTACTCAAGTTTTCAATATCATTCAATTTAAAATAATTTAAATCTCGATAATTTCCTAATTCTGGTGAATGTTCAAATAAAATCATATTCATATCTTTTGGAAAATGTTTATAATTTATAATTGGATAATATCTTAAAGTTTCATCAATTTTAATATTTTCAACAGATCTTTCATATTTAACATATTCTGAAAATATTGAATTAATTAATATTAATCCAACATGAAATCTATCATCATTTGAAACTGTGAAATTTTTAGCAGTTTCACCTAATCTTGCTATAGTTTCAGGACTATCAATTGCTAAATAAGGATAATCTTTAATTAAATCATCATAATAAATTTCAACATTCATTATTGAAGTTTCTCTTGTTGTAACTAATAATTTCCCAGCTTTTATTTCAACTTCACACCAATTATTTAAAGTATCTGAATTTTGAAATTCTTGAAATAAATCATCCATTTCTTTATTTCTACCTTCAATATCTTTACCTAATAAAAAATTTGAATTTTGATTTGAAAATTTTTTAATTTCTTTACATATTAATATATCCCAAATTTTTATATCACCATTAAGATATAATACCATAATTTGTCTTTTATTATTAAATATTCGTTTTGATATTACACTTTTTGGTAATATTCCATGCAGTATTATTGGTTTTATATTAAAAGGTATTATAGTAACTTGTTCAGATGGTAATCGATTCAATAAAATTTCAACTGGTGTAGGGTCTAGATGATCTTCAATTAATTTTGATTGTTGTGAATTTTCATTTCGACTACTATCATAAAATGGATTTTCATATTCTGGTTCTTGTTGAAAAGCATTAATAAATTCAATTGAAGGTCCTCCATTAACATTTAAAAACATTGAAAGATATGTATCATTACCTGAACTTGAACTATTATCATCTTCACTATCTTCATCAAATGTTGGAGGAGTTCCTTCAATTTGATTAATATTTTGTGAAAAAGTACTTTGTAAATCAAGATTATGATGATTTGTATCCATTGATAAATGACTTACTAAATCATAAAAATCAGAATTTAAATCATCAGGTTGTGGTGAAGATTGTAAATCATCTAAAATATTATTATCTTTATATGAAGTATCTCTATTTATTGAATATTCCAAACAAGTTTTTAAATATTGATATTCTGATAAATTTGATGTATTAGGATTTGTATATCGATCTAATGAATCACAATTTGAAGTAAAAATTGTATTATTAACATTTTCTGTAACAATAGATAGTACTGGTGAATTTGTTTTAGCAATCATTGTAGAAACTCCTAATTTTTCATCAATTATAGTAGTTTCAGAATTATTAAAAGAACTACTAAATGAATCTTCCTTGGTTTTATTCATAAATAATTGTGATAAATCTGTTTTTATAATATTACCATTTTTATCACCAGAATAAAATTCTTTTAAAGTTGAAGAATCAGGTGAATAAAATGACCAAATAGATGAATCATGAATATCAAAATTTTTATAAACTTTAAAAGTTCTTAAATCCCATAATTTTATTAAAGTATCTGATGAACCACAAATTAAAAATTGATCATTCATTAATAAACATCTTATATTATCTTGATGTCCTATTAATTTTCTTATAAATTGACAAGATCTTGAATCATATAAATTTATTGTTTTACTTGGACCTCCAGTACTTATAATTCCTTGATCATTTTTAGCTAATGAATATATTGAAGAAGGTAAATTTGTAGTTGAAATATTTTCTAAAACATTTATTGGTTTTAATTGATTTAAATCCCAATTTACTATATTTCCATCTAATCCACCACTTACTAATTTATTAGGACAAGTTGAAGAATATGCTAATTTTTTAATATAATCAGTATGAACATTTGGTAATTTATAAATTGAAGTTTGATTAAATAAGTCAATAATTTTAATTGATAAATCAGCAGAACAAGATATTAATTGTCTATCATTATTAATTAATTGGATATCATTAATCCAATCAAAATGAAGATTATGATTATCTATGATTTTAAATCCGTCGGAATTGTATTTTGGTTTATGATATGGTAAAGGATTTGATGATATGGAAGTTTCAAGTCTTAGTATTTTTTCATTTACATCTTCACAATCTATTATGTTATTCTCTTCATATTGTGTGGTATTAGGCTCAAGATTTGAATCTTCCCAAATTTTAACTGAACCATCTCTACCAGCAGTATATAATTGATTATTAATAGATGAATATTGTAAAGCATTTATAGGTAGTATATGATTTTCATTATTATTAGTATCACCTATTACATATGATAAACCTTGTTTTGTTCTTATGGGACTTTTAGTTTCAAATGATCGATTAGTTGACAGTATAGAATTTAAATCATTATTTATTGATGGCTGGGTTGACATGGTCTTGCCATTGAATGATTAAAAATGTGTAATGTATTGGCTGTATAGTATATTCTTGGTTAGCTAGGTATGATAATCATGTATTTGTATGATCAACTTTGATTGATATGTTTCAATGTGGTTATAAAATTAATTTGATGTTAATGTTTTAGATAGAAAACAAAAAAAAAATACGGTTTTGAAAAATTAAGTTTTGTATTATTATTTTATGTTTCTTCTGGTTGAATTGAGGTCGATATACGAATAATTTGTAACGAATGTGGTTTTTTTTTGATAACGATGACTAGCTCATAAGAACACAGTATAGCTAGTTTCAGGATTTAACTAAATATTAATCGTATATGGTGAATTTCTTGAACTTTAGACCCTACGTAATTTTATTATCTACAATTCCATACATTTTTTTTTATATGTTGCACGTTTTTTCAAAACTCCGAAGGAAGACAAATATAAATTTTACAATAAAATGTGTAAAAACTTACAAATAAGTTTTGATTGTTGAATTTCAACAATAGTCTATATAGTTACAAATATGTATCGCACGAGCACAAGAAATCGTTAATGTGTGAAATCTCGAGCCAATCTTTGTTCAGATTCTACCAACCTTTTTGGCACCTAGTTCATAACCGAACAAAGAATTCTACCAATAAGAAGGCATTTTTACGAGTTCAGCAGATAGTTAGAATCTTTATTCTCTATAATTTTCTTCATAGTTTAGATTAAATCACCAGTTACATCGTTCATCATAAATTTTAAAATTTAATTTCGATAAAATTGTTCTCAATAAAAAAAATGCTGGTTAATACTACTATGAAATAGAAGCCCCTAACAAACGTTCGGAGTTGATGATTAAAAACATTATAGGATTTTGGAAAGAAAGTTTATCATGAAAAAGAAATCCAAATTCTATAAAATATTGCTTCTAATGAGGAGATCATGTATTTGATGAAACGTATCAGCATTTACATCAATTACTTTGCTTACTTCGAAACCAACTTTCATACTTTACATCATAATCTTCAATATAATCTCAAAATCAGTTTCAAACAATCTAATGTAGCTAGAGGCACGATAAAAGAGATGATAAGTCATCAAATTTTGTTAAAATAATATTCGAAGTTTCGTATAATCTTAAATTATGGGGTAATTACACAAAACTGACAAGTCAATTGTTTGTTAAAATTAAAGTAGATTAGAGAGAAGAAAATGTATATTGTTACTAAAACTGGTTACAAAATGCAAAATAAAATCTGATGTTTCAATTGTATGAATATTTCAGTTATATTTAATAAGTTGTACTACTGATTCTGTATGTTACTTTTTTTAATTGCGGAGAGATGTTTTAAAAATAATATGAGGAGATTCTTTAATTTTGACAAAGCTACCAGCTGTATTTACCAACTTACACTACCATTTTAGTGCTAATAAAATTTAAGAAAAAGGGGGATAAATAATAAAATGTAAAGAAAAGTGTAATGATTTATACTTTAAAAGTGTACGTAATATTAAATATACATTAACCAATAATCAGTTAGTAACTAATCTAATAACGTTTTATAAAGATTTAATACAGTACTCAATTTAATTTACTCAGTCGTATATAAATTAACAATTTTCTTCACTTTTTTGTATTCAAATTATTTTCATTTTATATTTCAACCCCTTATTTTTCAATTCAAGTTAAAGGTCACACCACCATTAACTAATATTTAAAATATACAAACAATCAACATTTTCGTTCTACTATCTTCAAATATAATCAAATATAAATAGCAGTATCCAAAATGAACTATCAAGATGCTTACATTCAAGATAAAAAAAGAAAATTAAGTCAAGAAATGGATCAAGATTCCATAAAAGAAACAATCTTGAATGTTGAGCAACAAGAAGATATTGATCATTTAATGCATGATCAAAATGTTGATATTAATAATATTGCAAAACATGCAAAAGAAATTGATACAAATACAATTGATGAATTAACTAGACAAAATAGAGCTTTAATTATTATTGAAGAATTTTTACAAAATGAAAATAATGAATTAAAAAAATCTTACAAGGATTTAGAAAAAGAAAATTTAGCTTTAAAAAAAGTTTTAAAAAATGATTTTCAATCAAATTATAAATATATTCATAAATCATATATGTAAATGAAGGAATGAATCAACTTTTGATGTTGTTTTGACTGAAAAAGTGTGTATTAGAAACATCTGTCTGAGAGAACAATAGTGTTTCAGAATTCTTTTTTTTTATTGTTTACTGATTTTTAAATGACAAATATATTTTTATAATTTTTTTGATGCTATTTTTTAACTATTATTTTAAACAAAGCTGGTATTTGTATACGAGAATGATTTAATGAAAAGAATATGAGTTATGAAAAATTGAATGAATTGAAACGAAATGAAATCTGAATGTTAGATAAAAAGCAGATTTTTTTAACGAATTATTATTACGATGTGTTTATATAAATAGTTATTTTTTTACAAATAATAGCATACTTGTTTATACTTATGAATTACTTTTAAACTTAGGTAAATGATCAGTATTTTTATGTCTTAAATGTTTTTGTTTCAAAATCAATTGTTAACAATAAATCATTTCTTCGCAATTATATTCACATATATCTATTGCGCCAATTTATCTAAACTACTAAACCGAAAGACAAAAAATTGAAATCAGATGTTTCATGTAAATTGATTATACTCATCAAGCATTGTAATTAGTTAAAACCTAGTTGGATTTTTTTAATTGATAATGGCTTGTAATCAGTTACTTAAAATACCCAATTTTAAATTTTTCACTTCCTGCTCTGTAGTTTAAATAAATTGATGATTTTGATAATTAAGTTTTGACATAATTAAAAGATACTTTATTACTCCATTTAATTTTATTTTTAGGTTTAAGATTAATTTAAATTAGTTGAGACAGTGGTGACGTGTATAGAATATTTGATATTAGATATTTCATGTCATAAAATTATTTCAGGAAACCAATTTAACAATACAATCTGCCATCTAAAATAACAAAAACAGCAGTGTCAATCACTTAAATTGAAAAGGTTTGTAATGACATATTGAGATGTATTGAATCACATTCATTGTGGTGTAATGTATTATAATTAATGGCCCACCATAGTGAATATGATCCTATACCTCTTAAATTTATTAATACCCATCTTTTCAGTTTAAGTTATTGTATTTGCACCATCCCAACCAAGAATTCAACAACAATTCTGCTATTCTCAATAACCAAAATGCTGCTGATACTTGGGAGTTCAAAAATTGGTTGAAATTACTAAAAATTTATTGAATGATTAATGTGATGAGTGATGCTTTGATTGCTAGATTAGTTTAAAATGTGATTGAATGTTAGGCTGTTTCGTTGATATTATCGTTTGCCCTTCAGCGGTGGTGTGGGAATCGTTTATTGCTTGATTGTAGTTGGTGTTTCATGTCATTTACAATGAATATGTTGTTCGTTGGTGATTTATTTCATTTGTGTTGTGAAACTCTTCATTTTGAATAATATACTCATAAACTAACGCGAGGCCTAGCCAATCAAAGTCTAAGTTTCTGGAGCTTCACTAAAAGGTTATCTCTACGATAACACTTCAGTTGATGAAAGTTCATAAAGCTCTAATTATAGGTGTAGGTCTTATCAATGTGTTGTTGTACTTATTACTATAGGGGTGGCAAAAAAAAAATTTCTTTAGGTACTAGTTGAATGAGTGTTTTCTCTCACACATTTGTCATTTGATGCTTTTATAACTGTAGTAGCAGTAGAATTTGTTGTGTTAATTGTATCAGTGGTGGTTGTTGGATGGCTGATTGCATAACTTGTTGAACTGGTTTTGTTTAAGGGTTACGTGTAATTGCGATTTGTTTCAACTCAAAGTTAAAATTTTTTCTGATTGTGTAGGTTCAAATAACGCACGCGTTTAGTTGTTCTTGTATTCAACGTTTTTTCAGTTCGACTTTAAAGTTAAGTCGAATTCAAAATTTAATCCTCTTAAATGTAGCAATTGCTTTTGCAAAGATTTATTTGATCCAATTGACCCAATGATTCAAGGAACTATGAAATAAAGGTATGTTTATCGAAGGAGTTACTCTCAGGATTAGTGTAATAAAAAAAACCTCATTACATTTCCTAATTTGGATTTAATTAAAAAATTTTTATACAATACGCGTTTTGAAAAATATATCATCAAACACAAATACAAATAATAAATAATAAATAATTAAAATGTTTAATATTCGTGTTTTTTCTAATACACATTACCATATAGATTAAAATAATAAATATGATTAAAAGAGTTTGAACAGATGAATTTGTTAATTTCTTAATTAATTGATTTCAATTACTATTCAAAATCACAACTACAACTACTTTTTCTTTGCTGACAATCATTCATTATATTAGTTAACATCATGTCATCAATAACTCCTACTTCAACACCAACGAAGAAAAGAACTATAAGAGATCTTACAAATATTTATAGAGATCCATCACAACAAATATATAATCACCATACACCTTTAACACCAACAAAAACTCCAACTAAGAAGCAAAAAATATTCACTAAGAGTGATGACTTATCATGTAAAAAGAAATTAATATTTACACCTACTACACCAACAAAGACACCTATACAATCACAATCGAAACCATTATTAACTCCATCTTCTTCATCAAAATCCTTAAGTACATCAATATATTCACAAACTAAGAATTTATTTCAAAGAGGATATGATAACATAAATACAAAATTATATAATGATGAATCAAATTTAAGTTTAATAGGTAGAGAAAAAGAAGCTCAATATATAAATGAATTTATGTTAAAAAACATTGAATCCAATTTATCAATTAATTTATATATTTCTGGACCACCAGGTACTGGTAAAACAGCTCAAATAAATTTAAGTTTAAAAAAATATGAAACTAACCACCAAATAAAAATTATTAAAATAAATTGTATGACATTAAGAAGTCCTGAACTGATATTTCATGAAATTTATTCACAATTAGTAAATAAATTATCAATATCATTTACAAAAAGAAAAAATTATGAAGATTTAATAAATGAATTAAATTATCAAAATTCAACAAATTATAAACAAATAATTTTAATATTAGATGAAATTGATTTTTTAATATCAAATGGAAATTATCAAGTGCTTTTAAAATTATTTCAAATTTCAAATTTAAATGATCAAAATCAAACAAAAACCAAAATTTTATTAATTGGTATATCAAATACATTAGATTTAAATAATAAATTTTTACCAAAATTATCATTAAATAATATAAATTCTCAAAATTTACAATTTTTACCATATTCATCACAACAAATAAAATCTATAATTTTTAAGAAGTTATCAATATTATCTGAAAATATTTTTCATCCTGTAGCATTACAATTTTGTTGTCAAAAAGCAGCATCAATTTCAGGAGATTTAAGAAAAGCATTTGATATATGTTATAAATCAATTGAATTAGTTGAAAAAGAATTTAAAATTAATTCTAACAATAATAATGATATACCTAATTCAAAAGTTATGATAAATCATGTTGCCAAAATATGTAATGAATCATTTAATACAAATAATTCAAATAATATAATTTCAAATATAAATTCATTAAATATTTTACAACAATCAATATTATGTTATTTAATTAATTTTATAAATTCAAATACAAATTCAAATTCTTGTGGTTTACAATTTAAACAAAATGATGACAAAATAAGAGTACAATCATTTTTTGAATATTATCAAAAACAACATCAGATACATAAAAATAAAATTATGATTAATTCAATTAAATTTATTGAATTTTTAGAAATTTTAAATACTTTAGAATCTACAAATTGTATAAGAATCAGCAATATAAATTCAAAAAATTCCAACAACAATAATAATAAAATAATAAAATTAAATATTGAGTATGATGATATAATAAAAAGTTTAGGTAATAAAGAATTATTTAAAGATATATTAATTAGAAAAAGAAATTGAATAGACCTATTCATAGGTTCATAATAGATTAATGATAGATTTAATTATTAAATTTTATATAGTAATAATACATTTGAAATATAATAGTTATATATAGAAAGAATTAAATACATAATAAAAATAATAATAATAATAATAATAATGATTTATAATAATACTACTAATTAATTAATTAAGTAAATCTCGTAAATTCGTTTTAGTTCTTTGTTGTTGTTGAGGTTGTTGAGAATGTTGTTGAGGGTTATGTGGAGGAGGTTGTTGTATTACAGGTTGTTGATGTTGATGTTGTTGAAATTGTGCTTGCAGTTGATATTGTGGTGGATGTTGCATCAGTGCTTGGTGTTGGAAATGTAGTGGATGCATCTGTGGCTGTTGTTGTTGTTGGATTTGAGGTTGTCTTGATGGTTCTTCATTATTTAATAAATTCATAATTGAACTTTTTCTAGTTGGTACAGACGATGAACTAGAATTCAATATATTGGAGAAACTATTTTGTTGTTTATAAGAATTGGAAGGAGGTGGTGGAGGTGGAGGAGAAGGTAATGGTTGCAGTTGATGTTGATCTGATATTAAATTCCTAATTGATGGAAAAACTGATGATGAATAATATTGAGGTTGTTGTTGTTGGGGAACTCTTTGAGAGTATTGTTGATATTGTGGGAGTGATGGTGGTGGATATTGTTGATAATGCTGATATTGTTGTTGTTGTTGCTGATACTGGTATTGCTGTTGTTGTTGATGTTGTTGCTGCTGTGAGTTTGGATATTGCTGAAGTAATTGAGCATATTGCTGAGCCGGTGATTGTTGTGGTTGTTGCTGATGACTAAAAGATTGTAAAGAAGGTGGATTTATACCCGCTTGAGGTTGTTGATCAGATGTTGTTAAAGTTTCAATCGATATTTTCCCAGTTGCTGGTAATATATATTCAGTTGCAACAGGTTGAGTCTTTTTAACTCTCTTTTTCTTTTCAACTGGTTCTCCTTCTGCCTTTTTAGATTTTCTTTTCTTTTTCTCAAAAGGTTGTCCATCAGGTCCAACTTCTTTTACCTTTGCTGGTCTTTTCCTTTCTGTTTTGGGTTTGGCTGATGCACGCTTTTTACCAACAATTTCTTGAGCAGGTGGTGGTAGTGGTTGTTCTTGGACAATGGAATCAGTATTTGCTGAAATGATTGGAGTTGCAACATTTGGTGTTTGTAGTTCTAATGGAGTTCCTTCAGTTGAAACCAGATTTTGTTCACCCTCTGCAATAGTAATTTCCTGTGAAACAATTGGTCCTTCATCATTCTGAGTTAATTCAGAAGAATTATTAGTAACATTAACTGTTTTAATTCTAACTCCATTTTTCGCTTTTTTACTTTTCTTACTAGCTTTTCTATGTTGGATTAACAATTGTTTATAATTAATTGCCTTTTTAGTCATATAATAATGAACAACACAATCAGATGCAGTTCTTAAACCACCCATATATCTTGAAATTGCTCCAAAACGTTTAGGAAATAAACAAAATGCTTCACTGAATAATTCATGTTCTCGATCAGAAAATGTATTATAAAAATCCGATTTAACTCTTTGACTCCATTCTGTTTTATCTTTAACAATATTATTCGAGTCCATGAAATTTAAATTTTTCTTTTTTATCGGATCTAAAATTAAATCAGGTATATCAGCTGCAACTCTTCGTGCTTTTTCTAAAGGATCATCTTGTTGCTGACCTAAAGTGAGTAAAATCTCCTGAAATTCAGCTTCAGTCGTTACCAAATCACCATGCCTTCTGCTACTTCGTCTACTTGATACTGTAACTGGCAGATCCAAAACAGGAGATGCATTATTATTTGTATTAGCACTAACAATTTGTTGATTTTGTTTTTTCAAATCACTCGAATCAATTTCTTTCCTCATTTCATCATCAGCCGGATGTATAACTCGAAGTTGCTGATCCATCTTGGTCCTCGCAATATCAGCCTTTTTGGATAGGTTGTTATAGGTGTTCCATAATTTTAATGTCTTCAACCTTAATTCTTTCTCTTTCCCACTTACTAATTGAATAAGTTTTTCCTTCTTTTGTTTGAAATCAACGTAGTTATTAATGTAAAATGAATAATCCAAAAATGAATTAACTGGTTTTTCATTCTTATACTTCAAATTTGATTGATCATTTAAAAATTGAATCTGCATGTCTTCAAATTGCTGTTGCAACTTGGGTAAGGGATATTTATATAATCCTTCCACTTCTGACTTGGAATCATCTTTTGCAATATCATATTTGATCTCTTCTTTTATTGGTAAAAGTGGAGGTGGAGTCTTAGCAGACTTTAATTTAGATTCGATATTATCTACTTCACTTTCTTCCTCAATTTCCTCATCTAATTCTTCGCTTTGGATTTTAGGTTCAATTTTTGTCGTTTCTGTTTTCTCGTCCTTGATCAAAGACTCCTTCGAATCAATATTATCAACATTCTCCTCTTGTTCTTGCATTTCTTCCTCCAGTTCATCTTGATCATCTTCTTGATCACCATCTTCACCATCTTGATCTTCATTTCCTTCAATTTCATACTCTTTGGCTCGTTTCTCAGCTGGATTGATTAATGTGCTTTTGCCATAATTTGAATATTTATATTTATCTCTTGGTTTTGAATATGAATTTGAATTTTTAAATTGTGATGCAGATGAGTATCGATCAACTGTTTTGGAATAATATGACCCATATGATTTTGATGATGTATAATACGGATCCGTGCTATAATTAGACGATCTGTAAGATTCTATGTTAGGATTCGATGATCCTAAGGGTACGTTATTACTTCCAGAAGTGTAACTCGAGGTGACTGGATTTTTACCTTTCCGTATTCTATCTTTCGCTGAAAATCTAGTTGATTGAGAAGACCTTTTCCATTTACTTCCTGTTTCTGGTGTACTATATGAATCATAACGGTCTTTTCTATAATCTGAATTTCCATTTCTATAATTGGTTGAGGGAGATATTAAGGAAGAATTTGACGTTGTGGTTGAAGCAGATGATGAAGCCGATCCTGTAGGTTTATGGCTTGACATAGATAGTCGAGAATCTCCAGCTTTGGAAGAGCTTTTCCTCCAATTATCTGTTCTTCCATTGTAGTATGATGTATCGTAATTACCGTACGAATTTGAATAATAATTAGATGATGAATATGAAGATGAAGTTGGTCTATTTGATGTATTACTTGAAGGATCTTTCAGATGAGTTAATGAAGATGAGCCTGGTCCATTACTTTTGAAATCTCGTCGCGATAAACTCGGCACTGATGATGATGAAGTAGTATTGTTTGTGGTTGAGTTAGTGTTTGATTTGATAGACGCTGATGTAGTCGATGATGAGAAAAAATTTTTCCTTCTGGATTTACCATAATCTGAGTATTCATTACCATATCGCGATGATGATTGTCCTCCTCCTCTAGGATTTGAAGAGGACATTTATAAAATGATGATTCGACTATTTTGAGACTTGTTTAAAATGATGCTGTTCTACAAGATGTTAACAAATCAATCAATCAAGTGTAGTAGGATTATAATGGTGAGGTAAGTCTGAGCGATCGTAAACTGAGTGATAATTATAATAAATGAATGCCTTTACTTTAGAACCTGATATATTGACTGTAACATCAAAATCTTATTAATTTGTAATGAATTGAAACTAATGAACTTGGCTTGAGTATTGACGTTGAAGGAACGACACAACGTAAAATTAAATTATACAAACAAACTTTATTGTTAATTTGATGGATGAATAGTATAACTTCTCTGAATATGGATTGTTAGATTGTATTCTTCTTATGTATGTTGAGGTATTGGTTAGTAATTTTGTTTTAATTTGAAGATTTTCTTTTTTCTCACCATAATTTATATTACTAGCTACCAAATTTAAACTGTTATATAACCAGCATCTATAAAGTCTGGACTCAATGACATTTCTTTGATAACCAAATGATCAATCGTTCATTAGTTTGATGATCAACGTAGTCTAACAAATAAGAAACTAGCTTAATTCGTAGTAGAGAGGTTTGGGTGAAACATATTTTTTTAAAATTTTTTCACAATTATTTCGGTATTAGAGTTACGATCACGTGACGCAATTTAGAACAATATTCAAGAAAACTTTTTCTAATATTTTTCAGGTAATATCGAGAGTATACCCATTCACTGTAATGAATCTGGAAATGTTCTCGAGGCTAAGTCGGTATAGTCTACGTAGCTGTAGACTATTTTCAACCTCATCAAAATTGTCCAATGGAATTGTTATGTCAGCAACAACTGTTACTTCATCCACAACAACATTCGACGAACAAATACCTAGACCTAATCGATTCAGTAACAAACAAAATAACATCAACCATAGAACAAATAATAGAAGTACATTTCAAATAACGGAAAATTTGACTATGCCTGAATTGAATAGAATAAGAACAATTCCTACCCTTATAACATTTTATGGAGGTAATCCAATACACGAAAATAACATGAATCAATTGAAATATTTACTAAGAAAATATGAAAATTTGCCTACAAAAGTGTTATCTGATGAAGAATTATCAACTCAAAAATTTATTGGATTCGATACTTATAAAGAAAAAACGCAATCAGGAACAAGAGTTAAAAAAATACATTATAGAGATTTAATCACAAGTTTAAATAGATTGAGAGTTATAGATCCAGAGTTAATGCCAGTCGAAGTAATAGATGTTTTAAACAATTATTATTCAAAAAGTGCCAATAAATCATCATTACAAACAAAATTAAAAACTTTAGACGAATTCGGAAGAGCAAAAGCAAAAGCTAAAAGAAAAGCTTCGAAAGCTCATATATATTTAGTTCGTGGAGAAGGTGAAATAATTGTTAACGGTAAAAATGTTGTTGAATATTTTACAAACATATATGCTAGAAAAAATTTGAATTATCCATTTCAAGTAATTGATCAAGAAGGCAAATATAATGTCTTTGCTGAAGTTAATGGAGGTGGTTATACAGGACAAAGTGAAGCAATCATGTATGCCATTGCAAAAGCTTTAGTAATATTCAATCCATTAGTAAAACCAAGATTATCAAAAGCTGGACTAATGACTAGTGATGCAAGAGTTGTAGAGAGAAAGAAACCTGGTAAAGTCAAAGCAAGAAAATCACCAACTTGGGTAAAACGTTAAATAAATAAATTTTATTTTGTATATAATGTCTATAATGATTCTAAGTATAATAGAACTGAATCTATTTCATTCTTCTCGTATTTTGTAATTTTACCTTGATATTTTGATCCTTTACCACCACCTTTCAAATTTGTTATTCTTTGCTTCAATTCGTTAGAAATATCTGTAGCTTTTGGACCTGATATTTTGATCATACCTCCGTTTGATTGTTGATTTCCACATATCAACACTAATGTTTGTTTTCCATCCAAATCTACCGCTTTTGTCTTATCCATTGTCATCAACTCTTTTTGAACCGAAGTTAGAAAATCTGGGTTATTTTCTTCTCTATATACATATGCAATTGCATTTTCATCAGCCAAAAATTTATTGTAAATTTCAGTAGCTTTTAAATTAGCTAATTCCTTGGTTAGATTGGCGATTGTTGAGTTCGCCTTTTTATAGTTTGTACTTAAAAGATCAACTTTATTTGTAACATCTTCAATCTGACAAGATAATTGATTACCTGAAACATTTTTTAGTATATTAAAATAATTCGAAGCTAATTTTGACACACGATAACCACAAGTGAAAAATAATCTTGAATGTCCTCCTCTGACTGAAGTTTGATTGAGTAGAACTATTGAAAGTATTTGTGATGTATTTTTCAAATGAGTTCCACAACATGGATTTGCATCAATATCTCCGATTTTGACAATACGAACAATACCTTGCTCTTGATCATAATCTTCTGGAATGTGACTTGTATCTTGCTCCGTATCATCAGTTGAGACGCTAATAGGATGAGATTCAAATATTAGCTGATTCACTTTGGCTTGAACTTCTTCAACTAATTTATCATCGATTTTTTCAGGTAATTCAATGTAGTTAATCTGATCTCCCATTTTCCAACTTAAGGTTTCAAGTTTATACTGATCAAAAACTGCTGATAATAAATGTTGACCTGTATGTTGTTGCATATAATCAACTCTTTTATCCCAATCTATATCTAATTTGACTTGAGAACCTGTATCTAAGGGTGTATCAATGATATGTAAAGCTTTTAATTTGTCACGAATTACTGCTTGAACTTCGATTTGACCACCAGAGGTTGTCATGTATCCTTTATCTGAAAATTGGCCGCCGCCCTCGGGGAAAAGGCAGGTATCAACCAATTCTACTTGATATAAACCTGATGGTTCATTTTTCTTTGGTGTAAATTTTTTACAAGATACAACTTGAGTCTCTAGACTTCTCAAAAATGAATCTTTTTGACAAGCCAAAGCTCCGACTATGGTTGATGACTGCACAGTAGTCATTTTAGCGAATGATAACAATTTGAATTGGAGCACCTATTGGTTGATCAATAATTATTCTATAAATTAAATTATTAGATATAAAATTTCAATGTATAGAAATTACCAATCTCACACGACTACAGTAGTTTTTTGACTTTGTACGATTAATACAAGTAACTGAAAATTTTTCTGATCTAATAGAACAAAAACACAATCAAAGCTAATAGATTCTGTTAGATCTAAGATATATTTAAATATATCATACATACATAATCAAATATGGCTCCAGCTCATAAGAGTCATAATTTCCGTCCGGAAAATGTTTTGAAACGTGCTGAGGATTTAATTGCAGTTGGACAAAAAGAAGCAGCATTAGATACTTTATATGAATTAATTACATCAAAAAGAATTCGTTATTTACAAGTTGAAGATTTAGAACCTATTGCAAATTTATTAATTGAATTAGCAGTTGAATTAAGAAAAGGAAAATTAGCAAAAGATGCATTACATCAATATAAAAAGAATATTCAATTATCAGAAAATGGATTAGAATCCGTTCAAACTATAGTTCGTAAATTCATTGGATTAGCTGAGAAAAAATTAGATGAAGCTCAAGCTAAAGCAGATATTAAAATAGATCAAGATGAAACTGCTGAAGATGATTTAGAAACTGCACAAACTCCAGAAACCATTTTATTAAGTGCTGTTTCAAATACTGATACTGCGGATAGAACTGAAAGAGAATTAGTTACTCCATGGTTAAGATTCTTATGGGAAGCATTAAGAGCTGTCTTAGATATTTTAAGGAATAACTCAAAATTAGAAGTTACCTATTCAGCTATTGTCAATCAAGCTTTTAAATTTTGTCTTAATTTTAAAAGAAAAGCAGAATTTAGAAGATTATGTGAATTGTTAAGAGTTCATATGCAATCAGTCACCACACAAACTAAATCATCAACTAATAATGCCATTGATTTATCTGATACTGATACTGTTCAACGTTATTTAGAACAAAGATTTGCACAATTAAATATCTCAGTTAAATTAGAATTATGGCAAGAATCATTCAGATCTGTTGATGATGTTCATACATTAATTACAGCATCTAAGAAATCACCAAAACCAAATATGATGGCTAATTATTATGAAAATTTAGCTAGAATCTTTGCAGTTTCAGATAATTCTTTATTTCATGCAGCAGCTTGGAATAAATTTTTCAATTTATATTCACAATCACCATTAGCTACTGATGAAGAATTAAAAAAATATGCATCAGTATTAGTTTTATCTACTTTAGCTATTCCACAATCAGCTATTCATGATGTTGATGAACATAGAACTAAGAACTCAAAATTATCATCATTATTAAATCTAACTCAAGTTCCATCAAAAGATGGTTTAATCAAATCAATTGTTTCAAGAGGTATTTTGAAATATGTTGATGGACCAGTAAAAGCATTATTCGATTTATTAGAAACCAATGAATTCCATCCATTATCAGTTAAAAAGGAAGTTAGTCAAATTTTCAAATTAATTGAAGCTGATAATGATTTAAAAAGATATGTACCAACATTAACAGAAGTTATATTAATTAGAATTTTTCAACAAGTTTCACAAGTTTATGAAACTATTAAATTAGATTTTTTAGTTTCATTAGGAATATTTGAAGGTTTAAATTATTCATTAAATGAATTACAAGTTGAAGATTTAATAGTAAATGCAGTTAAAGATGATTTAATTTCATTAAGTATTGATCATGAAGCAGGAGTTGTATCATTTAAATCAAGTCCATTTGATGAAGTTTCAAATTCATTTGCTAATAATTTACAAATATCACCTGCAGAATTAGTTCGTACACAAATTAGTAAATTAGCAGCAACATTAGCTGAATCTGTTTCAATTATTGATCCAACTTATGAGTCTCGTAGAAAACAAGCTCAACAAAATGCTCAACAAGAAGCACTTAAAAATTTTGCAAAACAACAACAATCAATTGCAAATAGAGCTAAAATAATAGAAGAACGTAAAATTAAAGCAGAAAAATTAAGACGTGAAGAAGAAGAATTACAAGCAAGATTAAAACAAGAAAAAATTGCAGCTGAACAAAAAGCAGAACAAGAAAGATTAATTGCTGAACAAGAACGTAAAAAATTAGAAAAATTACAAAGAGAACGTGAACAAATTGAAGAAAATGAAAAACGTAAAATAGCTGAAGAAATCAATGCAAAAGGAATTATTAAAGTTGATTTAAATAATTTAAAAGATTTAGATACTTCTAAATTAAAATTAATGCAAGTTGAACAATTAAATAAAGATAGAAAAGAATTAGATGAAAAATTAAAAATAACTTCAAGAAAAGCAGATTATTTAGAAAGAGCATTTAGAAAATATGAATTAAAATTATTAGAAGAAGATTCAAAAAAACAAAGAGGTTTAGAAATTAATAATTATGAAACTTCAAAACAAGCTAAATTACAAAAATCTAAAAAGGAATTTGATGATTCAATTGCATTAAAAACACGTTTACAACGTATAATACCAGATTATAATATTTTAAAAGAACAAATTGATGCTAAAAATGAAGTTAAATTAGCTAAATTAAAAGAAGAAGCTCAAATTAAATTTGAAAAAGCAAAACAAGAAAGAATTGAAAAAGTTAAAAGACAAAGAATTGAAGAATTAAAAATTAGAAAAGAAAGAGAAAGAAAAGCTCAAGCAGAAGAAGCAGCAAGAAAAGCTCAAGCTCTTGAACATGCTAAATTAAAAGAAGAATTAAGAAAACAAAGAGAAAAAGATGAAGAAATTCAAAGAAAAAGAGATGAAATTGCTGCTCAAGCAGCTGCAGAAGCAGCTGCAGAGGAAAAAGCTCCAAAAGTAATGTCATTCTCTGAAAGAATGAAATTAAAAAGAGCAGGAAAATTACCATAAATACTGTTTTCTTATTTTTCAATCGCATTGATATGTGATAGTATAACTGTCTATAGACAATAAAAGAATAGTTAGCATTAATAGTGAAACCTATTTTTAAAACTAGCCTAGTTTCGTAAAAAACTCAATCTCTTCGGAATATTCAAAATTGCGCTTTTTCACGATCTCTATTTGACATATTTTCTATTTGCTTTTTTTTGCAACAACAATTTTCTTTCCATTCAACAAACACAAGAAATGTCAAAACCAATTGTAACTATTATAGGATCATTAAATTATGATCTAGTAACTTTCACAAATAAAGTTCCCCAAGGTGGAGAAACATACACGGCAAATTCATTCGAAACTCATCAAGGTGGAAAAGGTTTAAATGAAGCAATTGCAGTATCAAGATTGTCACCAACTGATAAAATTCATACAAGAATGATTGGTAGAATAGGTGATGATGATTTTGGTTCAAATTTAATAAATTGTTTAAAAGAAAGTGGAGTTGATGTAAAATATGTTGAAACTATAAAGGGGATAAGTTCTGGAGTTGCAACTATAATAGTTGAATCAAATGGAGAAAATAGAATTTTAATTACACCAGGATCAAATGGAAAATTAAAACCAACAGATGAAGAATATAAAAATTATTTTGAAAATATAGATTCGGGATTTGTTGTTTTACAAAATGAATATCCAGATTCTGAAAAAACAATAAATTGGTTAAAATTAAATAAACCCAAAATTAATATAGCGTATAATCCATCACCTTTCAAAGAAGAGTTAATAACTAATGAAATATGGTCAAAAATTGATTTATTAATAGTAAATGAAGGAGAAGCAATAGATGTTGCCAAAAAATTATTACCAAATATAAAGCTTAATGAAGATATTGAAGGATTTCAACAATTAGCAATTGAAATTCATAAATTAATAAATCAAGAAAATATTAAAACAGTAATTATAACAATGGGAAGTAAAGGTAGTTTATATTATGATGGAACAACCTCCACTCCAAAATTTATAAATTCTAAAAAAATTGATAATGTAATAGATACAACAGGAGCAGGTGATACATTTTTTGGAGGTGTTATTTCAAATTTATCATTAGGTAAAACAATTGAAGATTCTGTAATATTTGCTACAACTGCTAGTTCTTTGGCAATACAGAAAAAGGGAGCAGCTGAAGGTATACCTACTTATGAAGAAGTTTTAAAAAATTTATAAATAAAGTATTATTAAAATTGTATTAAAAAATCCCACTAAATATCTAAAAATTTACATGTATATAAACTCATTTAATACAGCATCACCCAAAGCAAGTTAAGCTTTTCTTGAACGTACTTGCTTTTTTGGTTCTTGTTCTTCTAAAATTGGAGTAGCTTCTCTACCAGTAACATAAACATATTCATTAACTTGAGCAGCAACACCTCCTTTAACAGATTTAACAATTTTTGATTTTTTTGAAGATTTTCTTCTATAAACATCAATATAAAATCCAATAAATAATACAAGATAAGAAGATAATATAGCACAACCATAATAAGCAGAATATAAATTTCCTGCACAATCTCCACAAAATGGTAAAGGTTTATTAATATATGAATTTAAAAATTCAAAAACTAATTTTTGATAAGTTGCAAAATAAACAAATCCTAAATCTAATATAAATTGAATAATTTGAAATCTTGTTACCCATTCTTTCCACCAAACTCTAATACCTCTTGCTGCTAAAAAATAATACCAATACATTATAACATGAACTCCTAAATTTAAACTAATAGGAACCCAAGAAATAGAAGTATCACCAATTAATTGAGTATAACATAATAAAGCAGTAGCACCATGATGATAAGTATGTAAAAAAGTTAATTTTTTTTGTTTAACAACCAAAAAAACAGTATCAATAAATTCAATAAATTTTGTTAAATAATTTAAATAATATAAACAAACTAATGGTTGAGTCCATGCATTTGTTGAACATATAGCATAAAATAAACCATTATAATAAATCATTGGAATTAATTGTTCAATCATTAAAATTAATAAAGTTAATGATATAGTTGTTAATATAATATTATGAATTTGAAATAAACCATTTAGTATAAAAGGTTTAATTTGAAATTTTTTAAATATATAATTCCCACCAAATATAATAATATAATATGTAGTTATAGCTAAAGCAACTGGTTGAAAAGTTGATAAAGGAGTTTTACCAATTATAAATTGAAATTTTGATGGTATAAAATATTGATTTGTTAATTTTGAAATAATTGAATCAAAAATTGGCCATAATTGAATACCAAATGGAGTATCCCAAGTAGGGACTGGTAATGACATGATAATAAGTAGGTACGGTTGTTTCTGCTATAAAAGATTCTTATCTTTTAAAGTGGAATTGTTGATATTTTTATACCAACTTCAAAATATGAAAAAAATTTGAAAATTGTAAACAAAAAACAAAAAAAAGAAATTTTAATAAAATTTCGGTATTTCTTAAATTTCTTACACAAAAACAGTCTCTTCATGAGTCCAAAGTTGTTTAACCGAATTACGTCAATAGAGATCGACCTAAAAATTGTATTGTTTGTACCATGAAAAATGGCTTGCTGATGCTGATTGATTTTTTACCCCCCTACTTTTATTCTAAGAAGAGTAAATATCACAGTCTATTGTTTGTTATTTCGGAGTTTTTTGAAGAGATTTCATAACCAAAAATGGAGAGATTGAGAGTAGTATTGAAGAGACTGTATGTGTGATGGACATAGTCAAAGTATGTTTCCTCATCATCCACCAAATTTCTCATTACTTTGATCGCGTCCACTGTAACTTGAAGAGAAATTTGACTCAAATTGAGTTGTTCATATTTTGTTTCGTCTATCACTTGGTTCAATATCGCTGTGTTATTAAGTATTTCTCGTTAAGTACAAAATAATTTTTTACCCCTCTATTTACTTTTTAGACGCGAATAAAATTTTAACGCGAGTAAAATATGTCACGACATTAATATTCATTTGACATTAATTTTCATAGTTATCAAAATATTTTACAACCAAAATTAAATTCATTTTACAACCAAATTAAATCTGAAAAGTAGATGTCTCATGACAAGAACGATTCATCATGTTCTTATGAATCAGATTCAAATACGTCTTCATCATCTTCAGGGGAAGAAGAAATCATAAGTAAACCAATATTCATACCAAAAAATCAAAGAGATCAATCAGAAAAAAATAATTCAATTGAAGATAACTCATCAAATTCAAGGAATAATCAAAAAAAGGAACTATTAATATCACATTTAGAACAAAAATCAAAACAACAAAAAGATACAACATCAACCACAAAAGAAGAAGATTTAATTGGTATTAATTCAGTTAATGATATTGATGATATAAATCCTGAATTAGAATATAAAAATTGGAAATTACGTGAATTAAAAAGATTTAAAAGAGATCAATTAAGAATTAAACAACAAGAATTGGAAAAAGAAGAACAATTTAAAAGATTAAATCAAAAATAGTGGATCTTAGGAATACGAATTGAATAATTCGTCTAGTCTATACGTCTTCCTTTTGTTTTAAATTTCGGTGAGCCTATATATCCATCTCAATAATCAATATGTCATTACCACCATTACCTACCTCATTAAAACCATTTTTAAAACCATATTTACCTTCAAATTCAAATGATAATCATATAACATTAACTTATGCACAATCATTAGATTCAAGAATTGCATTAAAAAGAGGTTTACAAACTAAAATATCACATTTAGAAACAAAAACAATGACTCATTATATAAGATCAAAACATCAAGCTATATTAGTTGGAATAAATACAGTATTGGTAGATGATCCAAAATTAAATTGTAGATATAATGATGAAGATAATTTGAATTTAAATGGAATAAGACCTATAATAATTGATCCTTCAAATAAATGGAATTATGATGATTCTCAATTATCTAAAATTTGCGAAAAAGGTGAAGGAATATCTCCATTTATATTAATTGATGAATCAATTACAGATCCTAAAAATAGTAATAAACTAAAAGAACAAGGTGGAAAATATATTTCATTACCTTTACTTAAGAATAGAAAAAATAATTGGGAAATTATAATTAAAAAATTAAATGAATTAGGTATAAATTCAATAATGATTGAAGGTGGTTCAACAATTATTAATGAAATATTAGAATATCCTAAAAAAATTTATGATGTTTTAATTATAACTATTGCTCCTATATTTTTGGGAAAGGAAGGAGTTGAAGTATCACCAAATAAACAAATTGAATTTTCAAATGTTAATTGGTGGACTGGAATACAAGATAGTGTAATGTGTTGTACTCCAAAGGAATAATCTTACTAATTTGAATCAATCATTCGAATGAATAAACATTAAATACTATTATATACTAATATTACAATTTAAAACATGCTTCCAAAATTATTATAAATATTTTATAAACAAATTCTATAAGAAGCATATCTACCAGAAGTTTCAGATCTTCTTATAATTTTAACAATTTCTCCTCTTTTTAACCCCAAATATCTTGCAACAGGATCTTCTCTTTGAATTCTTGGTAATTGAGATTCTTTTAATCTATATTTTTCTAATAAATTTTTTTTTTCAATTTTATTTAATTTTAAATGTTTTGGAACTAATTCATGATGTGTTATATTAACAATTAAATCATTTTCTTGAAATGTTTCTATTGTTGCTGGTTGTACAGTAGGAATTAATTTATTTGCACTTGGTGTTATTGAATTTTGATATATAAAAATACCAGTATTAAAATTTTTTTCATTTATATGTATACAAAAATTTCTCATTGTCTTGATACCAACACTTGCTTCATCACAAAATTCTACCCATAAACTTCCCATTTCTGGAAATTTATCTAATTGTTCTGCAGTTGGTGTTGCTTGAAAACACATTAATTTTCTTTGTGGATTTCCCATTGAATCACATACTTTTGCTCGAAATTCTTCTAATGTCATATCAAGTTCTTCTTGTGTTATATAGTAGCCCTTGTTTTAATCGTTAGTAATCCTGTTTATACTGGTTCGTAGAGAGCCTAAGTTCACATACTCTATCTTTTACCATTTCTTTTACTGTTTTAAACGTCCTAAATAAACGTGATATAGCTCTATCATTATCATCCATTATGTGTGTTGTATGCTATGCTGTGGTATATATGTGCGTGTTTATGTGTAAAAATGGGTTAAAGAAAAATGATAAATGGTGTTAGTAGGGATGGTGTTTGGTTGATATTGGTGATGATGGTCTCTGTTTTGAAATTTCGATAGTGTTAAAATATATTTTTCACTTTGATTAACAGGGAAGAGAGAAAATACGGTAGTAGTGTAATTACCAATATTTCAGAACATTACAGTATTTTGCAACCATTAAAAATTTTCGATCATATCACCATACAGTTAATGATTGTTGTTCTTCATATTCTTTTAAAGTTTAAATTAGAGAAATTGAATTTTCATATTATAAATTCATCTTGGTGACCATTAACCTATTCTGCTAGTGGGAATATGTGCAACAACTGCACAACCAAACGGAAGAAGCTGAAGAAGTTTGGAGGTGACGACATGTGAACTAAATTCTATTAAGGAGATAATATAAGCTTCTGTAAACTGGTAAATAAATGTATATTCTTTGTAGAGAGAATATGTTTTTGAGAAAACTAATTAATAAAATATAAAAAAAAAGTAAAATATCGGAAATTTGTCCATATTTAAGATAATCTTTAATCTTTGGGCGAACTTCATTAATAACAATAACGTGAGATTTTCATTGTAATATAGAAATTTCCATTGTTACTGTGGTAGGAATTTTTTAGCTGACGCAAGTTTTACGACAATGTACTTTTACCACTACAGAATTTTTAATAAGTCAGGTTTTCCTTCATAAATAACCTCAAAAGGGGATTTATCGTTCAACACATGCGTCGTACGTTTCTTCAACATATCTGCTCAAGCTCAGCAATAATTTAGCAAAAACGTTGTAGTTTACCGTTAATTTTCAGTAATATTTAATCTGCTGATTGAAAGATCCCCAAAATTCCAAATACCAAATTTTGAGTCAAACTACGATTAATATATATTTCATATTTCACATATGATACAAGATCAGAAGTATCATTCAAGAGTTTTAAAATACGCGATGACAACCAATTATAACTTATTATTTTCCCCATTAAACATATATAATTATAGAAAATCACTCCAAGTAATATCTATCATTTTCGTCCTATTGGGGGCCGCCACTATAATCAATACCATCATAGAATTCAAATATAGTTTGTGAATTTGTTGTGGTTAAAACAAAATGAGTACCCTTCGCAGGTGCTAGCCTAAAAAATAATTCTTTCAATTCATTTGCTCCTTTTGGTTGATCTTGTGTCGCTACTTCATTCAAAATTAAATCTGCCAAATTAACACAATTATCCAATTTTAAACAATTTAAATCATTAATTATATTCTTTGATAAATTTAATGTCTTTAAACTTATAGGAAAAGTTTGGTTTAATAACATTAAGTCATTTATTTGATTTTCTTTTAAAGTTAAATTTTTTAAATGAATTAAATTTTCAAAATTACCTTTAATCGATTGCAATTCAAGCTCTTCAATTGTTAAATTTTCTAAAGTTGATGGAAAATAATTAATATTTAAAACTTTTATATCCAATCCAATGATAGTGAGGAATTTTAGATTTTCACAACCAATAAAAGAAACTTGAGATACAATCGGATCAATTATATATGGTCGAGTACCATTACTAAGAATTGGATCCTTTTGACTAGCTTGAATTAAGGATAAATTCATCATTTTTTGCATTTTCACATTCACAGTATCTGATTGTTTGTTAAATTTAGTTTCAATTTCTTCTGAAGCTTCAATTATGCTTGAAATGGAATCATCAATCAGCAACATTTGAAAAGGATCAAATCTAATATATTTTTCTGGTTGGACTGAAACATTATGCTTAAGATTTAGAATTGACAAAATTTTTAATTCATGTAAATTTGTTCTAAATATATTTTCAAATTTATTACATTCAAGTTGAAGCTCATTCAAATCAGGAAATAAAGCTTTACCTTCAAAAGAAGATATATTTGATGTACAAATTGATAAACTAAACATTACTTTTGGTAAGGAAGCCAAAAGTGCATTTAAATCCAATTTAGAAATGTTTCCTAATTTCAAAATACCAATATGTTTAAGTTTCAAATTGGAACCTAATTGTAAAGTCCCGGCGTGATCCAGAATGCATAAAGTATTTAGATTCGTTGGAAAATTCGTATTAGAATGCATGCAATATGAGGTCCCATCATTTGAAAAATCAGATATATCAAATTGCTCAACCATACCAATCTTAGTACTTTCATATAACTCAGTAACTTTTGAAGCGGAAACACGATGCTCGTATTCAACATAATCTAATGAATCTGGAAAGCAACACTTAATGAAATCAATCAATTCTTTACATCCAGAAATTTGAAGCGTTTTCAATTTATTCAAACTTCTTAAATCTCCTAATTCTTCAAAACCAGATGAATAAATTTTCAACCCTTTGATTGAAGTGGAAATGTTTAAATCCATTATTGATTTCATACCAAAAAGACCTTGGCATTCAAAATGTTCAAGATTTACCAATGTTCTTAAATCTAAATTTATTGCTTCATTTTCTCTAAGCCGTAATGCCATGTGCTTCAAAGATGTAGGAAACTCAACCATAAATGATATTTTATAAGGAGTTCTTAATGTTTCCAAACTAGCTGATTTAATGGCGTTCAAATAAGAATGAGCACTTTTATCTATATCAGAAGGACAACTAAATAAACCATAAAGATCAATTCCAACAACATTCACATGATTCATAATTCTTTTTAATTCGAAAAAATGATTGCAACATCTTAATAATATCTCAAATTTACACATACTATAATCAACAGCATCTGAAATATCTTCATGATAACAATTTGAAATCGTAGCTAATGACCCCGACTTTCCAAAATTGAGTAATACATGAATAGCAGAAGTTTCACCAATGATTTTGGAAGGTTTAAATTTGAATTGATGATAAAGTGATTTTAAAATTTCACTGCACCCATCGCCATGATTACACCTTGTAGTAACATGATACGTTGAAAACCTTTCTTCTAAAGCTAATTCCCTCAAGGGAAGGATTGCAATTAATTCCAGAATTTTTGACTTATCATTTATAAATTTAATGATTAGTGCTAGAATTTCTTTAGGTAGATTGAGAAATATATTCATCTTAAAATCCAATATGACTAACTGATCAATTGGTTGAATAAATGACTGATGCGTTGTAGGTATTGAATAAACTTGACGAGTGGCAATAAAAGTGGAGTTTTGATTAACTCTTTTCTCTTACAAATGTAATTATTAATTGGTTTTTGGACGAGAATTTTTGAGCTCGGCTACCATATTGCGTTTCAGAATCAATTTTACGGGACACCACTTTGTTACGTATTTCAGGATCAATAAATACATAACCAAAGTGATAAGTAAAGTGCGAAGACGACGGTAGCTTTCTGGTTTGTGGTCAGTCAATCAATCAAAACCAAAATCCTGAAGGTCATTAAGTGGCATATATAGCATAAAAGGGAATAAAAGAAAGAGCAAAAAAGAATAAATTAATCTTCATATTATACAACGGATAAATCATTCCAATTCTTGATTTAGTACCAAAATTTGACCCACAAGTATTTCCATGCTCTCTGATCCAAATATGAGAGTTACCCCGACTAATGTTTTCGGCTTAAAACTTCAACGCTATGAGTATTGAAAGTAACTAATAAAAATTGATTTCTTGTAGTGGTGAAATTACACTTGTCGTAAATATTGCGTCAGCTTTCCTACCACAGTAACAATAAAATTTTCTATTTTACGATGAAAATTTCAGTTATTGTTATCAAATTTTCAGTTTATTGTTATTAAATTTTAACCATCAAATGAAATTCGTTTAAGGCTTAAAGTTTATGTTAAATATAGACGAATTTCCAATAATTTCTACCTTTTTATATTTTAATAGTTAGTTTTCTCACCAGGATAATCTACATTTATTTACTAATTTTCAGAAGTTAGGTTAGCTCAGATAATAGAAATTTAGTTTTCAGATGTCGTCACCTCCAAACTTCTACATGGAGCCCAACACTCAACCCAACAGCAGGTCGTTTTCAAAATAAAGTTATCCAAGTTGTCCTCACTTTTTTTGCTTGAATTAGTTACTTTACCATCACATTTTCAGGTTATACGACTACCTCTATCAAATAACTCATCCACCCTTTTACATTCAACAGCGATATTCGATAACATTGCTAATGCTTTTATCAATTTTACATCATCTATCACACCACCTGCTGCCAAGCCTCAACAATTTAGAAAATATAAGGATGGATCTGTTGAAGTCAAGATTTTGTTGAACATAAAAGAAAGGGGAAGGGGTATACGCTTGCTGCTAAATTTATTGATGGAGAGATACAATGGTACACCTTAGCTGAACTATTAAAAAATTTGGCAGCCAGCGTATACCCCTTCCCCTTTCTTTAAGGTTCAATTTGAACCACCATATGTTTTTTGTAGAACATTTTGTGAACAAACTTGAAACAATGCATCATCAGATTTTGCAATCTTATACAATCTACAAAACAAAAAGTTAAAAAGTATGCAAATATTTCTTATAAAAATATATAAAGATTCTATAAAACAGCAGAAATTCTATCACTACTAACTCCTTTATCATTATTATTTTTATTACCATTTTCAACATAAATAGGATAATCAATATCATAATTAATATCACTTGATTTAAATTCTTTACCTAATTTAAAAATTTTAGTAACAAAACCTTTATGATTCAATATAACAAAATCAGCATCACAACCAATATTTAAAAACCCCTTTTCCAGAGATAAACCAATTGAATCAGCAGCATTATTTGTACAAGTTTTTATAGCTTCTTGTAATGAAATATTTGACCATTTCATTAAATTTCTTATACATTGAGGTAAAGTAGTTAATGCACCTGCTAATGTTTGAGTACCTTTTAAATATAATCTATCATCTTCTTTTATAATTATTTGATTATCCCATTTATAAGAACCATTTGATAAACCAATTAAATGCATTGCATCAGTTACTAATACACATTTATTTGGATTTGATTTATAAGCTAAATTAACCATTGAAGGATTTACATGAACTCCATCACAAATTAAACCAAAATATGGTAAATTTCTTTCTGAAGAAACTTCTGGAGTATTTATTAATCCAACAACTCCAGCATCTCTATGATGAGGTTGAGGCATTGCATTATATAAATGAGTAATCATTGTACAACCATTATCTATTGCTTGTAATCCAATATTATAATCAGTCATTGTATGACCAATTGAATAAATTAAATTTAATTTTTTTGTAATAATTGGTATTAAATCCAAAATACCAGGAATTTCAGGAGCAGCAGTAATAATACAAACATTATCAATTAAATTTTTTTCACCACCATAAATTTCTAATAATTTTGATTCTGGTGATTTATCTTTTGGATTTGCATCAACAAAAGTTTCAATTGGATGACAACCTTTTTTTTCTTTATTTATAAAAGGACCTTCTAAATGTGCACCTAATGAATCACATTGATTATTTAATCTTGATTTCTTGTATATTGGTAATACTTTAGTATAAACATCTGGAAAATTTGAAGTTACAGTAGGACATAATGAAGTAACACCAGTTGATAAATATTTTTTCATTGCATCTTTATAAAATCTTTTAAATTCTTTTATATCTTCTTCTGTTGAATTTGAATTTAAATTTGAAAAATTTAATCCATAAATTCCATTATTTTGAATATCTATGAAACCAGGTGCTAATATTTCACCTTTTAAATCTATTACGGTGATCTCATATTGATTAAGATTACTTGGTTTTGCAATAATTTTTTGGGTATTATTATCAACATATAAATCAGTATTTTGATATAATTTCCCATTATCAATTAAATGACAATTGGTGAATCTAGTAATTGATGACATTTTTATGAGTGAGTTGTCTGTATGCAAATATCTATAATGTATGAATCTATAAGATTATGGGGGTATATATGGGGGTATCAATGACTCGAGTTTGGTGTGTTGTTTGAAAGTATGTATAATATGGTATGGTATGGTAATAGTATGATAAATACTAAGTTAACTCATAATGTATATACAAATGAGTATATATATATATAAATGAAGTTTAAACATGTGTATGTATAATTTAAGATAATTTAAGATGATGATATATGATATTAACTATGTACATATGTTGTATTACTTAATATGCGTATCATGTCAAAATTGATCATCTTTTTTTAATGACACAAAAAAAAAAGAAATTGCTTACAATTTAAAAATGTAACATGAATTTAAAATGTAACATTAATTTATGTTACATTCGTATATACTACTACCATCACCACCACCACCTGAAATTTATATTTTCTTAGGTCGAAGTATTATGTTACCATCGCCCCGACTTTATCACAATTACTACCACAACTTCGACTAAAAAACGTAACACTTGCTACATTTCTTGAAAATAAATTTGATTTCTTGATTTCTTTTCTTGTCGCATAAATTTCAATGACGTCAATTTTGTTTAATGTCATAAACCTATGTTCATACTTAAGAAAGCGCAAATTGATTTTCTAGAAATATAAAATTTTATGTAACGTTGTATTTATTACTTTACTATGATGATTATACTTAAACATGAGACATCTACTTTATTGAATACTCACTATATATGAAGTAATGTATCATCAAATTACAGTCAATCACCATCAACCAAACCATACCATACCAACAAAATAACCCCCACACCACAATGAGACAAGCTACTTTCTCATCAGATGAAGATGCATCACAATATTTAGCAGATTATATAATAAAAAAGATAAATCAATTTAATCCTACATCATCAAAACCATTTATATTAGGATTACCAACTGGTTCATCACCAGAAGGAATATATAAGAGATTAATAGAAGCAAATAAAAAAGGTTTAATAAGTTTCAAAAATGTTATAACTTTTAATATGGATGAATATTTAAATTTATCACCTCAAAATCCTCAATCTTATCATTATTTTATGTATGATAAATTTTTTAATCATATAGATATACCAAAAGAAAATATAAATATATTAAATGGTTTAACACAGGATATTGAAAAAGAATGTAATGATTATGAATCAAAAATTAAAAAATATGGAAAAATTCATTTATTTTTAGGTGGTTTAGGTCCTGAAGGTCATTTAGCATTTAATGAAAAAGGTTCAACAAGAAATTCAAAAACAAGAAAAGTAGAGCTTGCAGAATCAACAATAAAAGCAAACTCAAGATTTTTTAATAACGACTTATCTCAAGTTCCTAAATTTGCATTAAGTGTTGGTATTTCAACAATTTTAGATAATTCAGAAGAAATTTGTTTAATTGTATTAGGAGAATCAAAAAAATTTGCTTTAAATAAAACTATTAATGGTAAACCAAATGATTCAAATTTCCCATCAAGTTATTTACAAGATCATTCAAATGTTTTAATTGTTTGTGATAATGCTGCTGCAGGTTTAAAATTTAAATTATAAATATGACCATATTATATATAAGATATAGATTTTATGATAGAAAAAAATACACTAATGTAATGAGGTTTACTATTGATTTATCACTGTTCTTCAGCAGTCTCTAAAGAAAACTCCTGTATCAATGAACCTAAGATATCAATTAATTATCTGCAAAACGGCGTACCACAGCAGGCTAACTTTTAATTTATCAAATACTTTAAACCAAACTCCAATGATCGTATCTCGTATCTTTGAACCTAAGGTAAACTGCATTCCAATAGGTCTTTTCTGCAACGAGATCCTAGGATTTTGTAGTGTAGATTAAAAATTGTTCTTTATTTATAAATTCTATAACCATACAAAAACCCCTTAAAACGCCCTAAAAACAACAAACTACCTAATACTATCTAACTAAATGCATTAATTTCCATTTCATAAATTCAATCATTTTATTTTTAATTTCCTTTCTTTTTATATCTTCTTCCTGAAACCTTTCATCTTATTTGTTCTATTTTTCTATTTTGAATAATAAGCAGCACCAATAGCAGCACCAATAATAGAACTATTATCAATTAATTTTAAATCAATAGAATAACCTTGAGTTTGAGCATCACTAGAATTATTAACATAATCAATAATTAATTTTCTATAATTATTAAAAAAATTTAATACTGATCCAACATAACCTATGGTAATTAGACCTTTATTTGTTTCATTGGTATTATAAATTTTAAATAATTTAAAAAATGCTATAATTGAATTTGCTATTATAAATGAAGCTCTTTTTAAAATTGATTCAATTATAATTTTTAAAATATCAATATCTGAATTTTTTAAATTCTTATCTAGTTTATAAAATTTTTTAAATTTTAAATTTATTTGTTCATAATCATTAGATTCATTAATAAAACACATTAATTCACCATTAAATCCATCATATTTAATTTCTAATAAATCATGAAGCTCTGACTTATTAAAATTACTTAATATCTCCCCATTATTAATTAAATCAATTATAATTAATCTATTTAATTCGGGTAAATATCTACCACTTGTCATTAATTCATTTGGTTGAAATAATAAATTATTTTCGGGATCTTGACTTAAAAAAGTTTTAAAATGATGTTTAAAATTATTAAATCTTGAATCTATTATTCCATCATATTTTGTTGAAAAAATATTACATAAATTTTGACCAAATAATGATAATTCTGTATTTATTAAAATTTTAGAATCAATTAATTTTTTTGGATGCATTTGAGGAGTATCATCACTACCAGTAGCGTTTTTATCAGGTGTTTGTAATTGACAACACATATTAAATCCAGTTCCTAAAACCATAGCTAATTTCATTTTATCATCTAAAAATGTTCCTGCAGAATAAACAGCTAATGAATCATTTGAAATTAATTTTATATCAATTTTGAGATTAAATTCTTTAAATAATATTGATTCAAATATTAATTTTAAATCTTTATCATAAATATCTGAATCTATTGTATAACCTTTTGAAACATGACGTATTTTACCATTATTATATGAAGTTGTATCAAGGGGAAAAGACCATGTTATTCCAGTATTTATTACATCACTAATATTAATTAAGTCTTGTTTCTCCAAAGTTTCCATTATTTTAAAACCAATAAATCTAAAAAAATTATAATTTAAAATTTTAAATTCATTTGGTATTATCCATTTATCTTCAATAATAATTTTTAATCTATCTTTTCTTTGTTTTTCTGTGGTTGGTGATTCAATATTTACAATAGCAACTCTTAAAGTAGACCCACCTAAATCAACAACTAAATAAGATCCCTTTTCATCACCTGTTGGGGAAATATTATAATTTGGTAACATAGTTATTGAATCTTTACTTAATGATTCTTTAAAATCTTCTAAAATTAAATTTGAATGTAAATTTAAATTTTCATTAGTTAAAGGTTTTATAAATGAATCAACTATTGAATCTAATAATGAAGAATTAGTTGAAGTATTAGTAGTTGAATTTGATGTTTCATTAGTTGAAGTTGATGAAATTGAAGTTGATAAATTTAAATGATTATTTATTGATTCTGAACTCATATTTGGTGATGAAGGTGATGAATAATTTCCAAATGATGATGAATTTGATTCTGATATTGTTATATTAGTTGTAAAATAATTTGATTTTTCATCATTTTTGAAAATTTTAGTATTAGAATTAGAATTTGGAGTTGTTGTGGATGATAATACCATGCTATGAGGAGGAAAATAGGATAAAATGAATATGCAAAAAAATTGGAATTAGTTAACTAAATGAAATTATGGTTAAGAGTAACTCTTATGGTGATAACTTTTGTAAATGCAAAATAAAAAAATGGAAGATTATATTTGATATTTGAATCAATTTGGATGATATTTATGAAAAATTTTAAACTGATAATTGAAATTGATTTTTAAAACCTTAATTCATAGTATTATATATGTACCGAAGAAACAATTTAACAAAAAAAAAGATATATCAAGTTTTAAATTCTTTTCTTCTCTTACCCAGAAATTGTATTTAATACTGTCTTCTGGGAATGAGAATGTTGTAGTAGAATTGAAACAAATGAATTTATGTTTCTTTATAATTTTTTTTAATTTCTTTCTTTATCTTTTTCTATTACATATGACTTTGTGTAACATAATTATATATTGTAACATATTTGCATAATGTTACAATAATTCAATTTACTCAAAGTAGTACATCATCCGACCTATGCCTTAATTTTCCTCGAACAATAAGACCAAGATTTGATCGGATAAACAATATATCACCTTTGATTTGTTATTTCTTTTTCATTTGATCTACTCTCGTAATTTGTTGTTGTAATTGCAATTGTATGTGAGATACATTTTTTAAGAAGTTCACAATAGCATCAATTTTGATTTGATTGTATTGAAAAATTACATCACGGATAAATTTACAAATGAAACAAAAGCCAATTAAACAACACAGACTAATACTAAATGGTGAAAAAAGAAAAGTCATTTTCGCTCTATCACTTCAAGAATTTTATATATGAATTCATCATTTTTTGTGGAGTTGAAACATTCTTGGATTATCTTAGGCTAATAGGGGAGATTCTTATTTAAAAAGCGCAAATTATAGTTTCAATTTTAAGCCTACTAACGAGAAGTTACATATTAATAATGACGTAACAATAAAAATAGTGACAATCAAAAAAAAAGACAATAAATTTCAAGAAATAATATGGTTTGACATATTATAAATTCACGACATACAGAATTTTACATAAAAGTCTAATTAATTTACCCTATTAAGAAGTGAATAAATCTTAAATTGATTCTTCACTTATATCTTCAACTATAACTTTTGGTTTTTTAAATTCTTCTAATTCAATATTTTCTTCATATTTTGGTTCTTCAATTTTATTATTAATTTCTTCTTCTTCTTCATGATTTTCATGTTTTATTCCACTAATTTTTGATAAATTTCGACTTTGAATTTCAAAATCATCAATTAAAATTTCTTTTAATTTTGTCTTTCCTGCAATTATAATTTCATCAATTAATTTTGTTGCTATTGTAATAGCAGGTTTTAATAAATTCATGGAATATAATATATAAATTGTAGCTAATAATAATATAGATAATGCAAAAGTAAATGGATTTCTTATTATTGCCATAAATTCATTCCATCCTAATATTATTATTATTATGTATATATAATATGGTATTGATGTTATATGTTGAACAATTGATCTTTTTGTTTCAATAAATTTTGCATCTATTTCTTTTTTAAATTTTATATAAATTTCTGATTTTTCTGATTCATTAATAATTTCAGCAAATGCATTTGTTTCTAAATTTTTTTGGTGATCTTCATCTTCATCATCTTCTTCTTCATTTTCAAATAATTTTAAACCATATTTTGTCCTCAAATTTGTATCAAATATATTAAAATCAGGTATAATTTCACTATCATCACTTAATTTAGCTAAAGTTAAAATTGGTAAAATTCTTAATGCTTGATCTTTAGCTAATTTAAAATTATTTTCTAATTCCACAGAATTTTGATATAATTTTGGTAATCCATTTAAATCATATCTAAATTTATCATCAAATTTTGAAATTAATAAATTTAAAATTTTTTCCTTGTAAATTAATTTATGTATATTTTCATATAAATTATTCCATGATTTAAATTTAAATTTTGTAATTGATTCTTCATTTTGTTGTTTTGTTGTATTTAATTTAAAATCATTATTTGGATACTTTATAGAAATTTCTTTAATTAATTCATTAAATTTATTTAATATATTATCCCATGTTTTATCATTTGGATCATTTATTTCAAATTGCATGTATTTGGTTAAATTATTATTTAATTTTTTAATTGATTTATTTATTATATTATCTAATTCAATTTGTTGTTGTTTTAAAATTATTTGATTAATGTCTTTTTCAAATGTCGTGGTTAAATCTTTATAATCTATTGATCCATTTAATGAAATTAATTCTAAATTTTTGGCTATTGAATTAAGAATGTTTGATGATAATCTTTTAGATTCTTCAATAAAATTTTGTCCTTTTAATGCTACTAAATCTTTTTCAAATGTTAATTTTGAATTTTCAATTAATTGTTTTGAATATATATCAAATACGTCCTTAAATTTACTATTAATCATTGTATCCAATTTTGATCTTTTCAGTTCATAAACAGATTGATTATATTTTGTAGCTAATTGATCATAATCTTCTAATATATCATTTTTTAAATCATTGAATAAACTACCTAATTCTTCAAAATTTGGTTCATCTTGTATAGCTCTAAAATGCTCCTTAAATTTATTTAAAAATTCATTATAAATATTTTCAACAATTTCATCACATTTAAATTGTGATACTAAAATTTGTTGTGTAGGTAAATCTAAATCTTTATTATTTTCAATTTGTTCCCAACAATTTTCTGCATATAATGTCCAACCATCAATTGGTATATTATGATGATATTCAGGTTTAAATAAATCATTTTCATCCAATATTCTATCACCTAATTTTTCAACACCTTCTACAAATTGTTCAGGTTGTAAAATTTTATGATTTAATGCATGAAAATCAATATCAAAAAAATCTTCAAATTTTAAATTTTCAAATTCTTGAGGTTTTGTTAAAGAATTCCACATTTTTTTTAAATCTTGAGTTATTGTATTTGATAAACTTTCAATTGGAGTATTACCAACATGATCTCTTATAACAACTAATAATAATACTTTGTGATCTGCTGAATTCTTCTTCTCCAACTTACTCCTTCCAAATAATGTCAAATTAACTTCAAAAACAGTTTTTAATAATCCCATATTTGCACCTTGATATAAACCAATTTGATGTTCCCAAACATTTAATATTAAAATTTCAGAAGTTGATAAAGCAAATAATGCAGCTTTTCTTTCAAAATCTTGATCTTCTCCTCTTTCTCTACCATCTGTTCCTTCAACATCCATAACTAATATATTTGTTGATTTATTTAATAACTGACCTTTTGTTGATGATATAGATGGTGAATGAGCTAACCATATTCCTTTTGTTGTTTGTTGTCTATTGTTTTCATTCATAACATCAAAATTTGTATTAAATAATTTATTTAATAATGTTGATTTACCAGTTGATTGTGATCCAAATACTGAAATTATATGATAATTATTATTTGAAATTGAAGTTTTATTAATATATTCTAAAATTTCATTATTAAAATTTTTAAATTCATCTATTACTTGAATTGCATCTTGTAATTGTACCGGGACAAATGATGATGATGATGATGTTTCGGATAATGGTTCATCTGACATTGTTTTTTGATCTGCTTGATTTGACTTGATCTAGTTTTGAATTGAGCGTAAGGTAATAAATAATTTGTTAAATATTATTTTTGTGGAGAAAAGAATATGATTTTTATAGACAATGTCGTATAGCATGTCGTAAAAACAATAATTTTTATAAGGATATAATGACGTTGAATTAAATGTCATAGCTTAGTGTTTTCCGACTTTATAAATTCAACATAATTAGATTAGCAACTTATTCTATTCACAATCTTCAATTAAATGAAAACTTGTCAAATAATCTACCGGCTGCAATTCATCCAAATCAATTTCAACTAATGACTAAGTTCACCTTCAAATTTTTGAATACATTCCTACGGAAAAACTAGAGGTGATCTGGAAACAAAATTTACAACACATTCAAATCAGATGAAGCTACAATTTAATACATTACATCAAATATTTTAATTGTTGTCAATTGGAAGATCTAAAAGTTGCTTGCTCTCCATAAAGATCGTGGTTAAGGCTTGAGATCGAAGGATGCACTACTGTATGATACAGCTCTTTAAGTAAGCTTGTTAAGTCCCAAAATTTTAGAAGCTAAGCGAGGAGTATGTTAGAAGATTGAGGTTTGTTAAAATTTACATTTAATGAGAGTGAATAAAAATAAGTTTAAAATTGAAGGAATGTGTTCGTGTTTATTTACTGATGAACTTTATTTCATTGAAAGTGAATTCGTTATTAAATGAGGGGATCAAATTTTTGATTGGTTTGACTTTTCAATTCACAATACATCTTTAATATTGGGTTTAATAGTGACGACCACAGACAATATAGACTCAAATATAACAATCATATTAATAATGTTTGAAAAACCAGAAGAATCTCAACTATCATTGAAAATCAATTTTATTAGAGAGCATAGAAATATCACAAAGTCAGTGGCAGTAACTGAGTTTCTTGATGACTCTCTGTTCTCTAATAAATTGAGTTTCGAAGATAGTTGATATTCTTCAAGTGTTTCATCAGACTGTTTACTCGAGTGTGTTGGCTCATAACTTGAAGTTGTTTGAGCCACCTTGGGAATTACCTATTGTATTCTCTCCTGATGACATTGGAGGGAATCTTTGGCAGGGTTAGTGGTTTCCGACACTATAAGTTGATGATTTAAAGGTGATTTAAATGAGGAACCATAGGAATAATCCTCTTGATATCGAACAGTCTTTATACTTCTATATTAAAAAAAAAAATCTGTTCTTTAATGAGTTCGAACTGTATTTTGAATTGAAGTAGAGTGATCTCATCTGTGCATGTATCGAACAATACTGATTCATAGAGCTAACTTGCACTTTGATTTGTCTTTATTAATGAATTAAATTTATACATTTATATACTCTTTATATTTAGATCTAGCAAAATCCAATTTATTTTTAATTTTATTAACATGTTCAAATTTATTTTTAACATTTTCAGTTCTTTTTTTCAATCTTATAGCAGCTAGAACAAATTGAGCAATAGTTTTGAAAGTTGGTGGGGTTTTTTTAACATCTCCTCTAGTATAATTTGGATATATTCCTAATTTTATAAATTTTGAATTATCATCTATTGAAAATGGACTTAATTTAATTTGATTTATAAAAAAATTATATAAAAATTCAAAATCATTTCTTTTTAATACTGTTTCTTTATATCTTATTTTAAAATAATTACTTTCATCTCTTAAAAATCTAATTTTACTTGTTGTATCATTATTTCCATGAATTTTATTCTTGATATTCCATAATTGATTTGATGAAATTTTATAATTTTCATTAGCTTTTAATAAGTCTTCCTTGGATTCATTTAATTGATCTTGTAAAATTTTAACTTTTTTAAGATGTTCTTCTTTTAATTGAATTAACTCTGACTCATGGTTTAGATTAACTTTTTTTAATTGTTCTGTTATTTTATTTACATCATTACGAGCTCTATCTAATTGGAAATCTTGATATGCTTGTATGGCTGATTCTCCTTCCTTTTGTTCAATTTTTTTAAGTTGTTCTTGAGTGAATAATAAATCCTTTTTCAATATTGAATTTTCATTTTCAATTGATTTAATTTGATTTTTTAAATCAATTTTTTCACTTTCTAATGTTGCAAGATCTTTTTTCAAAAGTTTTTGATCTAATAACTTATCATCTTGTAAATTATTTATTTCATTTTTAAGTCCTCTCAAATCTTCAATTGCAATTTTTAAATCAGAATCCAACAGTTTATTTTCATTTTGAACCATTTTAAGATCAGATGATAATAATTTATTATCTTCTTGAGATATTCTCAATTCTTCAATTAATGTTTTATTTTCATTATCTAAATGTTTCAAATCCCTTTTCAATTCATTAACTAATGAATCACTTTCTTTGACACTATCTTTCATAGCTGTTATAACTTGTCTTAATTTTTTATCAAATTGAGTCAATTCTTCTTCATCAGATATTCCAAGTTCTGCTAAAATTCTTTGCATTGATCTTAATTTTCTAACTAATTCAACATTATCTTCATATAATGTATCATTACCAGGTTGAGATTTAGTTGATCTTAACAAATTATTTTCTTCTTCTAAATCAGCACACAATTCTTCTAAATTTTTTATTTTAGTTTGCATTTGAGATTTTGAATCATCAATTTCAGAAATTATTGATTTCATATCTGTTTTTAATTCCTTTATCTGTTCTAATAAATTTTCATTTTCTTCATCCAATCTTTTATGATTTTTTAATAATTGTTCATTTTCAGTTTCAAGGGAAATAATGTGTCTCTCTAAATTGTCATTGTTTAATCTTTTTGTTACTAAATCATCTATTTTGGCTTTTAATTCATCGGAATGTTGTATTTCTAATTTCAAATCTGATTGTAATTCATTGATGACTTGTTTTTGCTCTTCAACTAATTTATCTCTTTGATGTTTTGAATGATGATTTTTCTGCTCTTCTTCATGAATCATTTGTAATTTTTGATTCAATTTGTTCACTGTATCTTTTTCATTACTTAATTCTTGGTTTAAACGTCTAATTTTTTGATTCGTGTTGAAATCTTCGGCTGTTCTTAAAGATTCAAGTTGGTTCTTGACTGATGATAATTGAGATTTCAAGTCGTTAATTTGAGAATTCTTTTGTGAAAGCTGACGTTCAAGTTCTTTAGTAGAACTACTACTATTTTGCAAATCTTTCATCAGTGACCTTATTTGACGTTCTAGATCTTGAACTGATCTCTCAAGCTCTCTAATCCTGGACTTATCAATTTCTGATTGTCTACTCATCTCTTTAATTCTATTACTCTCCGTAGATGATCTTTGATTTTTCAATTCTTCTATTGTTTTATTTAATTGATTGATAGTTTTTTCATCATTACGAATTAATTCATTTTTACTTTGTTGAAGCTCTTGTACATATCTTTCCAACTCATCAACGTTTTCTCTCTCCTTCTTTAACTGTTTTTCCAAACGTTTAACATCATCATCGCTCAAATTTTGATTCCTTTGCTCTAATTCCAATTGCAATTCTTTTAATTTCTCCTTATCCAATTCCGATTGTTCTAAAAGAGCATGAATATCAGCTAACTGATTTTGCTTGTCCTGTTCAGTTTGCTCTATTGAAGCATGAATATCAGCTAATTGAGTCTCAGTATCATGCTTAAGTTTTTCAATAATTTCTTCCTTTTCTTCCAATTCCTTTTGTAAACTTTCTTGTAAATGATTTTTTTCTTTTGAAGAATTTTGTCGTATTTTTTGCTCCAATAATATAATTTGTTTTTTAAGATCAGCATTTTCAACAATTAAATCTCTATCTCCATTCATTAATTCTAATGATTTAAATAATTCTTTAAATTTTAATTTCCAATCTAATGCTTCTGATTCTAATCGATGAATTCTTTCTTCCAGTTCTTTTACACCAAAACCAGTATTCTGAATATTCACTCGTCTAAGTGGACTTCTATTACTTTTCTTAGGTATATAATCATTTATAAATTCTTTTGTACTATCATCATTATCATTATCCAGATATATATTTGTTGTATCTTTTAAAGCATTAATTAAATTTCTTTGATAGTTGAATTCTTCTTCTGATGGGTATTTGTGTAAGACTTGAAATCCTTCTGCCCTTCTTTTCCCTATGGGAGTAAACTGAATATCCATTAGTTGAGTGATTCTGAATGGACTTCAATTACTTATGATATACTTGAACTTGAGATTGAGTATGATCTTTGTTTACATTTAATAGAATTTATTTACATTTTATTTTTGTGTACTTTTAACGCGTAGATTCCAAACTATTTTAATTGCATTTAAAACAGCGCATTTATATGCTACCATCTTAATAAAAATACGCACTCTTTCATATTATTGTATTGATGAATATTATTGAACAGAAGTATCAAATTAATTGGTCTTCTAACAAGAAATCTCAATCAATTGCTAAAATATTTATGTTTTAAACGTATTTAATTTCATAAAATAGATCGATTAAAAAGGTCAAAAATCATTCATCACTGGGTAGTTTGACCTGATCAATCAACTTGTACTTAAAAATGTGTCAATAATAAGATAGTTTAGCTCAATTGAATTAAGCATGTTTATAAGATAATCTTCAGTTACTTGGATCTAAGTCCAGGTTTATTGATTTAGTGACATCAACAATTTAGGGGAAAACGGGACTAGGGAAATAATTGACTTTAACCTTTTTATTCCCTCTGTTATGAAAAACAAGCAAGATTTGAGCAAAAGCCTAATATTAAATCATGCTTTTATTATAATTGTAGTATCTATACCATTTTTCTGAATACAAAGTTTAAAATTTTCTCCACTAATTGCTTCATGAGTTAATGAACTAATAGTATGTAATTAATTGGCAAGCCTTACCAAGAACCTATCAATAAGTAGATTACAATATAAACATACGTCGCAACTGGGCTTTTTTTCATTTTTTTCTGTATTAAGATTTTCAAATCTATTTTTAACATTGTTTAAAATTTGCAATATTAATTTACTGTAAATGCAACCACAATAACATTCAAACTTAATTTGAAATATTTAATGAATTTACTAATATGTCATCATCACCTCGACCTTCGTTGAAGAACATAAGAAGAGTAGCAAGTCCTAGTCCACTGGCAAGACCTATATCAAATAGAAGAGTTCATGAACTGGATAGATTATTAAATAGAATAGATTCTTTAAAATATTCAACTACTTCTGATGATGATTCATGTTCAATAAATTATTCACAATATACTCCTACTTCTTCAAATTTTGATCAATTAGAATGGGGAGATATTTTACCTTATTATTTACCTTGTTTATCATGGATAAATAAATATAATTTAAAATATTTTATTGGTGATTTAATTGGTGGTTTAACTTTAGTATTTTTTCAATTACCTTTATCTTTATCTTATGCAACTACATTAGCTCATGTTCCTGTTATTTCAGGTTTATATTCATTAGGATTAGCACCTTTAATTTATATGATATTTGGAAGTGTACCACAAATGGTAGTTGGACCAGAAGCTCCAATTTCTTTAGTTGTTGGTCAAGCAGTAGAACCATTATTACATCATGCAAAAAAGAAAGATTTAGATCCATTAGAATTTGTAGCTGTTGTAACTTTTATAAGTGGTGCAAGTTTATTAGGATTCGGTTTAGGAAGATTAGGATTTTTAGATAATGTATTAAGTCCTTCTTTATTAAAAGGTTTTATTGCTGGCGTAGGTATAGTAATGATTATAAATTCATTAATTATTATTTTGGGTTTGGAAGCTTTACTTAAACAAATCTCAGATGATCCAAATCAAATGGATATTCATTCACCATTTGATAAAGTAGTGTTTCTAATAATGAATTTTGGAGAATTTGATTCATTAAGTCTAAAAATTGGCTTAGTTGGATTTATTGTTATAATGACTTCAAAAATTTTAAAAAAGAAATATTCAAGATTGATTTTATTACCAGAAATTATGATTGTTGTAGTTGTTGCAACAATTCTTTGTCAAATTTATAGATGGGATTTAAAAGGTTTAGCAGTAATAGGGAAAGTTAAAAATAGTAATGTTTTAACTCTTTATAATCCATTTGCATGGAAATTAATTAAAAAATTAGGAACTTCAGGATTTTTATGTGCAATGTTGGGATTTTTTGAATCAACTACTGCTTCAAAATCATTAGGTTCAAGTTTTGATTTACCAATTTCTTCAAATCGTGAATTAGTTGCTTTAGGTAGTTTAAATATTTTTGGTTCATTTTTTGGTGCATTACCAGCTTTTGGAGGTTATGGAAGAAGTAAAATAAATGCAATTTCTGCAAAGACTACAATGTCAGGTGCAATAATGGGATTAGTTACAATTTTTACAATTCAAGTTTTACTTGATTATTTATATTTTGTTCCAGAATGTATTTTAAGTGTTGTAATAGCTGTTATTGGTATTTCCCTTATTGAAGAAGCACCATATGAATTACTTTTCTATTGGAGAACAGGTGGGAAAGATGAAATGATTACTTTTGCAATTACTGTATTTACAACTTTATTTTTTTCAATCGAAGGTGGAATAGCAGTTGGATTAGTATATTCTTTAATTAGAGTTATTAAAAATTCAGCAGAATCAAGAATTCAAATTTTAGGTAGAATTCCAAATTCAAATACTTTTGTTGATGCTGATATTCCAATGGCTCCTCAAGGTGGATCTCAATTAAATATTTTCAATGATATGAGACAAACTCAATTAAATCATGATGCAATTGAAGAAGTTGAAGGTTGTTTAATAATTAAGATTCCAGAACCATTAAGTTTTACTAATTGTAGTGATTTATTAGTTAGATTGAAAAGAGTAGAAATGTATGGTAGTACAAGAGCTCATCCTGCTTCTAAAAGAAGTAGAGATTTAACAATGACTCAATATGTTATATTTGATTTAGATAGTATGAATTCAATTGATTCATCAGCTGCTAAAACAATGAAAGAATTAATTACAAATTATCAAAAAAGAGATATTAAATCATGTTTTGTTAAAGTTGCTAAACTGGTTAGACCAATATTAAGAGATTCAGGTATACGTGATTTACTACGAAATGATTTAAAAAAATTAAAATATTATGAAATTCAAGATTTAGCAGATAATAGTGAAAATGATGGTATAAAAAGATGTCATAATTTAATAGTTGATGATCCTTATTTTGATCATATTTCAGATACATTGAAATTGATTGATTGTTTTGAAAACATGATTGTATGAAATATTTATTTATTTATTTAAAATTAGATTATTTATTAGTAAATTTGAACTGTAAGTAAGAGTCTGAAAAAAAAAAAACTCTAAAATAACCTGAAAAACTCAATTACATTTCCACAACCAATACACATCCCACACAACCACAATGATTTTCAAGAGACTATTTTCTTCATCTAGACTACTCAAAGATAGTTTGGTCTTAGTTGAAGGATCACAATCACAAATCAATCCAGCAACATTATCAACAATAACAGCAGCTTCTCAAATTGGAGAGCCGATAACGGCATTAGTTCTTGATTCAAATTTAGCTGAACAAGCATCAAAAATAAAAGGTGTAACTAAAATCTTAAAAACTGATGGATTTGAACATGTATTAGCTGAAGATGTAACACCATTATTAAAGAATTTAATTGAAAATAACAAATATAATTATTTCTTCACATCTGGTTCAACTTTAGGAAAATCAATTATACCTAGATTAGGAGCTTTATTAGATGTTCAACCATTAAGTGATGTTATAAAAGTTATTGATCCAAAGACATTTGTACGTCCAATTTATGCTGGAAACGCTTTAGCAACAGTTAAATCAAAAGATAATATTATATTAGCATCAATTAGAGCTTCTGCTTTCCCACCAGCTCCAATTGAAGAATCATCATCTGTATCAATAGAAGATGCTCCAAAAGTAGAATCAAATAATAGAACAGAATTTGTATCTGAAAATTTAACAAAATCAGAAAGACCAGAATTAGGTTCTGCTAAAATAGTTGTAGCAGGTGGAAGAGGTTTACAAAATAAAGAAATGTTTAATAAATTAATTGAACCATTAGCTTCAAAATTAAATGCTGCTATAGGAGCATCAAGAGCTGCAGTAGATTCAGGATTTTGTGATAATTCTTTACAAGTTGGTCAAACTGGTAAAATTGTTGCACCTGAATTATATTTTGCTATTGGTATTTCTGGTGCTATTCAACATTTAGCTGGTATGAAAGATAGTAAAGTTATAGTTGCTATTAATAAAGATCCTGAAGCTCCAATTTTTAATATTGCTGATATTGGATTAGTTGGTGATTTAAATGAAGTTTTACCAGAATTAGTTGAAAAGATATAGGATTTATAGATAATGACAGGACAATGAACGAGATCATATATTCACTTTTCTGAGAGGTTGAAAATTTGCGTTACTTTTAAAAGCTCTGATTACTGTTTTCGATTTTATTAACGGTTTCTTTAGTATTGCGGTATGGATGTCCAATGAAGTTAGTTCATTCTTAACTCGTCTGGACCCGAAATAGATACCTACTATTGATTATTTTCTTTCAAGTCGTTGGAGAATGCTCCTTTAGTAACGATGAAACTCAATTGTGCAGTTCGATGGATTTTTAAAACCCTATTATAATCAATAAAACTAATTACAAAAATTTGGCAACAGATCTTCACAGAAAAAAATGAAAATGATTTTACAACCAATTTCGTAGAACATTTCTTACATCAGTATTAGATTGAGCTTAATTAGTGAGAATATCTTATATTTACATTATTTCATTATCTAGTTGGTGTCGATGTTGTGAAATCATTGACGAGGGAGAGAAATAGAAAAGTTTGGTCATATTGTGGATTCTATTTAAGTACAGAACTTTCTTTTCGATTTTACAACAATTTGAAACATGCATGAATTGCATTGAAACATTAGTTACAATTCCTGATTCAAAAAAGATTTTAGAGAATTTACCTCTCAACGGTGAATCTTGAAAGATTTTTAAATAAGATTTATGTTATTATGACAGAAACAATTTTCAAAAATAACAACTTCAGGAGCAAAGTCAAGAGGAAAGCTGTACATCGAGTTCGAATCACTCAATTCACGTGAATCGATATTAGTTTTGACTTGTTGTTGTTCTTGTTGTTATTACTTTCAGAATTGTTTCTTCCATAATTCACCATTATTCTGAGTTATCTTTTCAAGCAACAGTAAATGATTTAGAGTCAAAATTCTTTTCATTCATGCATGAAATAAAATATTATCATTACTACATTGTCAAGTATTATGGATGAAAATTGAGACTTGAGTTAAAAAGATTAGAAAAACAAAACTACAATAAATATAATTTTAAACCACATAAATTTAATACTGTTCATTTTTGATATAAAAGGAAAAGAAAAGGGATATCTTAAGATTCAATTAATTTAACATAATTAGAAGGACATATACCAACTTGACCATTTGATCTTCTTGCTTGCCACCATTTACCATCAATATCATCAACTTCTAAAATTTCATCTTTAACAAAACTAATTTCATTTAAATCTTCTGGATTTGCATCATAACTATATAATGCTTTTGCTTTATATCTGAAAGTAATACCTGTATTAGTTTCTGAATCTGTATACATTGTTGTTCTTTTATTTGATGTTAAATCTCTTGTTGTATTATTAGTATTGTTAGTGTTGTTGAGAGTGTTATCTTTATTGTTATCTACTCCACTTAATTGTTGTGATTGTATATATGCATTTGCAATATTTGTTGAATTTGTGGTTGAACCTCTTACCGATTGTCTATTATTATTTGTTGTAGAAGCAGTAGTAGCTGGTCCAGATAAATGTCTCATTTGATCTTGTTGTGGTAAATTCATTGGTGAAATATATCTTCTATCTTGACTTGTTGTTTCATCAATATATGATTCATGTTTTATAATATTACTTGATGAATTATTATTATTTATATTATTACCTAATTGTTCATGATGATGATTATTTTTGTAACTAAAACTATCAATAAATTGATTTGTTGGAGATTCAGGATGTCCACCAAAATATAAAATCCAAATTAAATTTAATATACTTAATAATATACAACCTGCTGCACAACATAAATTTCCAGAAGAAAAAGAATTATAAATTAAATTATTTGTTGAATTTGTTGTATAAATAAATGCAACACTAACTAATCCAACTAATGTAAATTTATATAATTCAATATTATTATTTGAATAAAGTATAAATATAACTAATATAATAACAATTTGATAAGCTATACCCCACCAAGTAAAATGTGGAAATCTTGATTGATCTGATGCTGCTGCTCCTCCTAATGATATAATCCATGAAATTAATCCAAATGATACTGTTGATATAGCAAAAGGATCACCTATAAAATTTTGTATTCTAAAACCCATAATGTGTGGAAAATATTGTTTTAGTTTATGGTAAAGGGTTAAGTTTGTTGACTTTGAGTTAGTTTGTTTGGTAATGTTGTTACTAGATGTAGTTGTTTGGGGATTGAATTGAGATCTAGTCAAATGGATGAATGAACGATTGAATGAATGGATCTGGGAAAAATCTAGACTGAGAATTGAATGTTTTATGAAATCAAACGTGTAAATATCTATATTCTGGGTATAAATGTAAGACTTGATGTTTTGTTGAATGATTATTGTAGATGGGTTGGTTGTGGGTTGGTTGTATGTTTTTAAATCAATCTTTAACTGTATATATTTGAATTTCAAATCTATTTAATTTAATTTAATTAAAAATATTTTTTTTTCTTACTAGGTCGTGTACATTTGATCTTACTCTTTATATGGATTTGATTTTGTACTACTTTTATAAAAATAAAACACGATATTTTTTTATTTTTAATTTTTCATTTAACCTGTTTTTGGTCTTAATAAAGTAGAAATTGTATAAACGTATCAATTGATACCAATCAACTGATATAAAGCTTAATTCAAGCTGGTTGTAACAAGAAAAACACGGACTGGAGCAAGCGCTAGGAACATGATCTTAATAAGATCATGCAGTTATTGAAATGTTGGATAATTCCCAATTTGTTCGTGTTAATTTTTCCATTAATACTACACAACCTGAGCAGTCAATTAACCTTGGTGTAATTTCGTTTTAATTTTACAAGTAAGTTTCAAATTCAAGGAAAGAGTATAGTAGAATTGATTTGTAAATGCTTGTCTTGATTTCATATCATGTAAGTGAAGACATAGATGTTCTTTTTTCACGATTCTAGAATTCACGATACATTTTACAACTTCTCCAACAATCAATTTTTTTTTTCTCCAATAGACACTATGAATATAGAGTAATACAGATATCATGATAATAAAATTTGTCACCATCACCACGTCTAAAATCATCATCACATCATTATCTCAATACCAATGTCGACATATCTTGATTGCAGTTGTTTATTCATTAGATGATTCATACAATACCAATGTCAAGTGTCAACATTGATTTCAAAGGCTTGTTAAATTCATCCAACCATCACCTATCGAAAGTCAATTACCCATCAAAACTGTTCAATTTTGGATCTATCCATTTTTTTCCTCATTAGTCTTATTGCATTGTGTACTAGTTATTATTGAAATCCTTTTCATCATCAGCAGGTAACTTTTTGATCTTAATGAAATCCTTAGATAACGAATTTATTATCTCAATATTATCGATTTTCAGTTTCGAGACCATTGCTTCAAAATTACTTGAAGAAATCTTTTTAACTTAGTTGTGATAAGTAAATGTTGATTATTCCTGAGCGGATAATGTATGACCAAGCTATTGGACCTTGTTGACGACACAATTAGCATCTATCAAATTTGATTTAGTGGTGGGGGAATTAAAAATCCTGGTAACTTGCGAATCCATCTTGACACCAAAATCCACACTACCTTTGAAACTTATTGGTCGTCAATTAACAAAATGTTATTTTCAACATGAATCTAGCAACAGGAGTTTTTAAAGTGGTGTTGATTTTAGTGTCAGGCTGGATTTGCAATTAATTATAGGCACCCCAAATTTATTGTGGAATGTTGTGTTTGACTAATACATGGTAATAATTATTTTAATTCTGGACAATCGGATGACATTGTTTGCATGATCTTATTGATTGAGCAATTATCGAAAAGCATTATTAAACTCCCATTATTCTTCCGGACATGGTAAAGCATAATTTTGGAGAAGATGATGGTTCAATTAAATTCAACCCGATCTCATCATTGACTTCGATGAATTGTCGTACCTTCATTTGTCCACCAAAAGAATGACGGTAATCAGAAGTGCTTCGATTATTGACCAATCATATAACTCAGTAGAACATCGTTTTCCGATTAGCCTGTATCAGAATACTTATTCAATTTGGTGTCTCGTTGGATTTCTCAGCAACAAATTATTATCAAGTCAAATGAGTTGGGGCAATTCATCTTAAAAATTTTTTTTGCTGACGGTATAGCTTTTGCAATACTAGGAGATATTAACGAAGGAGAAACTTTTGACTTGATTATTGATCAAAAAAGTGAACCACATATCTTTTATGCTTACAAAATTAACAATTCCATGATAGTTGAACTAAATTATTCTCACAATTTTTATGGTATTCATGTAAGTGTTTCAGATAACCCTATTGCTGATCACTTAAATCAAATCCCAGAATTTGAAGCCCCTTTTAACTTCGTATACTATTGCTGATGCTTTGGCATTACTACACTAAATATTCGGTGATACATTACCGACGTATTTTTTTTCTTTGGTAACTTCTGAAACAAATTTCCACTAAAGTTTTGTCCTAATTTTGTTTTATCAAATTCATAATATTTCGTAATGAAGGTCATCGATAATTCAAAGGAGAGAACAATTTTCTTAAAGTAGCGATATTAAAATAGATATTGTACAACTTCATTACCCTTGGATAATTGTTTTATATTTTGTAGTGTTTAGTAAGATCAAACGAAGGAAATTATAACTTAGTAAACTGTAATCGTTAGTCACTAATAAACTTAAAAAAGATTGATTTAACGGACGTATGGTTCAATGACCTACATCTACAAGAGAAATTTCACATATCAATTAAACATTTAGAAATTGAATTATGTTTATTAAGGTTTTCTTTACTCCGTATATTTCATGTACACTAAATTTAAAACATATGCGGCTTTTGTATACATATTGATATTTCCGCGTTTATTATTCCGATTTAAATCGAAATTATTATTTTATCACAATCCGTATTCAGCCCTACGTTTCATAATTTTAGTTTTAGCTTATAGAGAGTAACCAATAAATTTATAGTAATTTATAATTTTAATGATCAAACTTTGTATTCTGTTTCATCAATAAGTCATTAGTTTGTTCCAGTTAAGGAAACTGAAACAAGAAACCATGGCTTTTCTTTTGTTTAATTTAGAGCAATATTTTTTACTTACATTCAAATCTACAAACATACATATTCTATAATTTCTAAGTAGTTCTTTATGAAGTTTGAGCTTGAATAACAAGGGGGAGGGGGCTACTACAACTAACCAAAGACATGTATAAAACACCACCAATCCTACAGCAATATCGTATGAGCAATGACATAGAACCTAATAGATTTGTTAGGTAATACCTGACAATTTGTTATATGTACCTTTTTAAATTTTTCTTCTATAAATTTCTAAATTTCTAACAAAAGTAAAAAAACGGGATGATATTAAATTGTCCTTTTAAGTGTGAACTCGTAACACAAAACAGTACCTAGGCAATAAGTCAAGAACCAGCCAGAATTTGACGAATCTAACTGCACAATCAAATCTATCGTCAAAAACTACCTCTAGAACCGTCTATTTGAAGACTACAAAGTCCAGCAGCCTCCTCCAGGTGTCTTTCTTTGATGTTTTTAAACAATTTCAAGTGTTCGCAGAAAAAAAAAATGTTAAGTATTGTATGTATAGGAAAGGACAATTTAATATAGCACAAAAAACGGTTTGGAATATTTCATAACACAAAAAATTACCCAAATCTATACGGAGTTATTATTTAAAGTTTCAATAATACTAAGATGTGGTATACTATAATAATAATATTACTTCTTTTCTGATTTTGAATGATGTATTATAATTCATTTAAATTATATAAATTCAATTAACCATCTAGAAATCGAAATATCTTATTCCATATATTTCTTTACTTTTTGTTTATGACATCAATCAAATAATAATACACATATCAATTATAATAAAAAATGATTAGAAATTCAATAAATTATCAATTACCAAAATTATCAACAAGTTTTTATTTAACTCAATTATCAACTATAAGAAATTTAGCAACAGCAACAACTGTACCAAGTGCAAATTCAAAATCAAGTCAATCACCACCAAAAAAAATAGATCATAATAAAGATGATAAATTACCAGTATCAAATTTAGATATGAAATCATCAAATATAAATCAAAAAAGAAAAAATTTTTTAGATATTAAAACCATTGTTTATGATAATGCAGCGATAGAAGTAAGAGATGATGATAAATTTTTAACAAAACCAGCTTATCCTCATGTTGGGTTTACAGAAGCAGGAGTTTATAGAGTTAAAGTAACTCATAGAATTCCAAGAACTTTGGGTGATAAAATAAGTTATCATGGTACAATGTTTTGTAGAAATTGTTTTGATTTTATAACTGGTTATAAAGCTTTACAACCTGGTGAAAATAAAGATAAATATAAGGGAACAAGATATGAAATGACTGAAGGAAAATGGTTAACAAGAGTTATATTTTTAGAATCTATTGCAGGAGTTCCAGGAGCTGTAGCATCATTTTTAAGAACTTTAAATTCTTTAAGATTATTAAAAAGAGATAAAGCATGGATTCAAACTTTAATTGATGAAGCTTATAATGAAAGAATGCATTTATTAACATTTATTAAAATTGGTCAACCTTCATGGTTTACAAGAACAATAATGTATATTGGTCAAGGAATATTTGCAAATGCATTTTTTTTATGTTATTTAGCTAATCCAACTTATTGTCATAGATTTGTTGGTTATTTAGAAGAAGAAGCTGTTAGAACTTATACTCATTTAATTGATGAATTAAATGATCCTGAAAAATTAAAGGGTTTCCAATCAATGTTAATACCAACAATTGCAGTACAATATTGGCCATCATTATCAGAAGAATCAAGTTTCAAAGATTTAATTTTAAGAATAAGAGCTGATGAATCAAAACATAGAGAAATTAATCATACTTTAGCAAATTTAAATCAAAGACAAGATAGAAATCCTTTTGCTTTACAAATTAAAGGTTTAGATAAACCTCAACCAAATTATGGTTTAGATGTTGTTAGACCAACTGGCTGGGAAAGAAAAGATTTAGATCTCTAGGTTATTAGAGAGCGAGTGATTAGGTGCTCTGTTTAAAAAAATTGGCTGTTGAGTGTATAAAAAAAAATGAATAATGTAATGAGATTTTTCAAATGATAAACGGGGGAAAGATATAGCGATTGGGATAGTATCTTTAAGATGAATTCTAGATTTATGATATTCTTTCATTCTTATCAGTTTTTGCAATAATTTTTTTGCTTTATATTTTTTTATCCATAAGTTCCATAACTGCTTTCTCTCACAAAAAAGAACACAGTTTTAAATAATTTAATCGTTAAATCTTTCTTCTCCTCAAATACAACCCACAAAAGCCTGTAAATGAAAGAATATAAAATTATTAGATGAAATTTAGGGAGGTATATATATATATTTCTGTTATTCTTTACAATTTCAAGATTTTGTATCAAAACTTTAAAATTTTATACTTTTTAGCCTATAGACTAACTAATTATCGATAGTTTAAACTATTATTCGATTAAACTTACTTTAATTATTGTTTGATGAATATAATTTTCGTAAAAAATTGTTTAAAGTATGATAGACTAGAGTTTAATTTTAAAATACCATGATCATTAAACACTAATAATGAAACTTCTTTATAGACAATCTAGTGAAAACAATACTAATTTCACAAAAATTTAATCATGTTATATATTTTTCTTTAATTTCGAGATTTCGAAAATAATAATTGCTTCATCAAAAATCCTTTTCGCTGAACAGTTGTTTTTATCTAATCTAGAACCAAATAAATTAAATAAATTAAAACATGCGATAGGGTTGACGGATCAGATCAAATTTTTTAAATTTCTTTGCTTTATTTATTAAAACGTTTATTTTTTGGGTTATTTTGAAAATCAAACAAGATGAACATTATCTGCAAAAGAAATGAAAAAAAGTGGGAAAAAGGGGGGAAAAAGTTGATACTAATTTAAAAAATTTATTAAAAATAGACTAAACTACTTTTCTGTCTCATACGAGTAGAATTCATCGTTGAAAAGAAGCCATCTTGCTTCTCTTCATATTGAATTTTAAAAATAAAGAGAATTTCAGTACTTTTCTGTGATTGTTCGAACTAAAAATCGATTAAAACTCTCCTCTTTAATATTTAGTCTAGATTGTGATTAAAATTGATCAATTATCAACCACTATTATTGCTATATAAGCTCTAATTTCATTCATTCAACAATCAATGGGGTAATATTTAGTTCAACTAAAACACAAAAGTTGCCCCTTAATTTTTTATTTTTTAATATTTTTTTGGCGTAATGTATCACAATAGGAGTATTAGTACTGAATTAAGGTATATTCTCTATGTATGTATGTACTTATGTAATGAATTGCGTTTTTTAGAATAATCTATTGAATCAATATCACTTTGTTAATTCTAACTTGTTTTCCCTAGTGGGTTACGATTTTATAAGGTAAAGCAATGGTTTTTTCATTACTCAAAAATTAAAAAATATAAACCAGGTCTTAGATCTAGATCATGAATTGAAACTCATAATTCTTTTTTTTTTTTCATTTGGTCGAATTAGGTTTATAAAATTTTAGATCCGGAATATTTTTAGTCAATTAAAGGGAACAATCATAATAATTTTTAGTTCAATCTATTGTAATCTTGACTATACTTTCTCTATGTGGTAGAAAATGCTCTATTTTAATAATTTTAAGCAATCAATAACTGTTGAAAACTAACCCCCAATTTTTTATCAAATGAATCAAGTATAGCCGCAGACTTATTTCTATTGTTTTAAACTGTTTTAAATTTTAAAACCCTGATAAATTTCTTAAGTCGAAAATCATATCATAGAGTTAAGATTTTAACAATTTAATAATTAGCCTAAGTTTATATGAACTTAGATTCCGAGATATAATAAAATTAGTCTCCAACAAAACCTTAATTACAATCAGCTGGTTTTATAGTAGAGTATTTAATATTTATTGTTTAATTATAATGTTGAAAAAAAAATAAAAGTGAGGATCTTTACTCTTCTAGTCAATTTGATTGATTCTAAGTTTTAAAAATCTGGATATCTGTTTAAAGATAAGGAAAATGGAAATATGTTGAAACATTCAATTCAATCATTGGCTTAGACTTTTCTATATCATTTGATATAATCTGAATTATCTTAAAATAAGGTGTGTAAAGAAATCACTTTTGTGTTGAGTTCAGTTTTTTTTTGTGTTACTTTTTAAATCAATAGCCATTTTTTTTTAATTATATCATAAATCCATTAATTAATTAATACCTCTACATCATACACATATCCATTTTAGTTTAACCTTAATTTTGCAGCTTACTTGTTAGATACATACCATGCAACCAATATAGCTCCTTATTGTCATGGTTGTGGTCTCACATTTTAAAATGGCTATCTAAATCGAATACAACTGAACTATACTTGAACATGGGATTGGGATTAGATTTTGAGTTACTTTATTGCCCATGGTGAATCTAGAACAATCGAGAAAAGAATCGTTTTATAAAATGATCTAAAAAATTTAAAACATGTGTGAAGAGATTAAAGTGTTATCATCATATCAAGAGACATAATTTTATTACCTTATTCAATTTTTTAGATAATTCGATAAATAATTTTCCATTTTCGACTTATTGATCAAAAACAGTTTTCCAGTCAATTTTGAAAAAAACTGTTAGATGTATAAAGGACTAGGGGGGTGAAATTTATGTTCTAATAACTAAATTAAATGATAGCAAATATTAAAATTGGTTTTATGTAACAATTCACCTAATAAAAAAGATTGTTATGAAACTGAATGTCATGACAAGACAACGTTTTTTTTTTTTATTTTAAAGTAAATTAACCAAAATGTATACCAACTTAAATCTTTAAAATTAATTTAAATAAATCTTTAAAAATACGTTTAAGTTTAGAATAACCGATCTATTTTAGATTTTTATGAATTTTTATGTGGATATTTGGCAACTAATTCTACTAATCTACTATTAATTTTGATTGAGATAAAACCATAAATCCATTTTAAAACAATGTAAATAAGTTTGATACAATATGTTCTGAAATCCTGGTATCCAATTTGGAGATTGATCACCTTCTCCTTCTAATTTTCTTGAGGAATCTATCAATTTATAAATACAAGTTGAATTCTCCATTTTTCAAAAACAAAAACTCTCTCTTTAAAATTAAGATCATACACAGATATAGTAAATTTAATATTTTGTTATATCATTCATCATAAATCAATTAAGACTGAGATACAAAGTTTTTAGTGGCTCGGTACAAGATTCCAACGTGAGAAATAATCAAGATTTAGGTCGGTAGTATAAATTCCCATTCACAAAGTTTAGTACTACTACGACGCAAAACTATCAACTAACACAAAAATTAAATATTTACAACTTTAAAACCAAATTTTTTTTTTTTTCCAATACAGTTTTCATTTCCCTTTTTCTTCCTTTTTCCAATATGAACATGACATCAGATTATAGGGATCCTTTGATTGATTTATTAAATAATTCAGTTGATTCTCCTCAAGATCCATCAAATACTACAACAACAAACACATCATCAACAAGTCATCATTTAAACATTAATACCAATAGAATATCAACATCTGATGATGATTTACAATTTATAAATAGAAATAATGGATTTTTAAATAATGGTAATGCAGCAGCAAATGCAGCATTAGCAGCCAATCATAATGCTATTTTCAATAACAACAACAACAACAACAACAACAATAACAACACTTTTCAAAATTATCATCAACAACAAGCTTTACATCATAATCAACAACCGCATCCTTATGATTATTCTCAAAGTCTTACACCTTTATTAAATCATCATCTGTTATATGATTTAGAAAGCAATAATAATAATCATTTAAGAATTCAAGAATTAGAAGATTCCCCTCCTCAAGTAAAAACAAGACAACAACATCAAAAACAACAACAACAACAATTATTAAATCAATTACAACAACAACAACAACAACAAAAGGAAGAAGAAGAACAAAGCTCAAAGCAACAACCTCATTCACAACAAAATGGAGCATCAAAACTTGAACAACCTGCCCCAAGATCACCAATATTTGATTTAGAAAATGGTCATGATTTACAATTATTTAATAATGGATTGAATAAACAAAGTTTAGATTTTCAATTTCCTGATATGAAACCTTTAACAAGTCCTTTTAAACCATTATCATTTGATTCTACTATTTTAAATAACCATTTCCAACAGCAACAGCAACATCAGCAACAGCAACATCAGCAACAACAACAGCAACATTCACAACCTCAAATTGGTCCCATCCCACCACCAAATAAAAGAAAAAAAGATAGTACTGCTCCAAAAACAAGACCAGCATTTGTAATGAAAATTTGGTCAATGGTAAATGATAAATCAAATGATGAATATATAAGATGGAATGAAGATGGTAAAACTTTTCAAGTTTTTAAAAGAGAAGATTTTGTTCATAAAATTTTACCAGCTTATTTTAAACATCAAAATATGTCATCATTTGTTAGACAATTAAATATGTATGGATTTCATAAAGTTCAAGATATAAGTAATGGAACATTACATCCAAATAGTGAAAAAAATGGAGGAGATGAAGTTTGGCAATTTGAAAATCCAAATTTTATAAGGGGAAGAGAAGATTTATTAGAACATATAGTTAGAAATAAATCGGTATCACATGAAGAAAATCAATTAACTGATCCAAATAATCAACAACAAAATAATGAAATGTCCCTCGTTTTATCAGAATTAAATCAAATTAAACAAAATCAACAAAGATTAAATGAAGAAATTTTAAGAATAAGACAAGATAATCAAAATATTTATAATGCAAATTTTATAACAAGAGAAAGAGCAAAAGCTCAAGAAATTACAATAAATAAAATTTTAAAATTTTTATCTGTTGTTTATAATGATAATAATACTCCAATAAAAGCTCAAACTCAACCACCAGAAGATTTAGGTGATAACCATAATAATAATCCACATCATAATCAACAATTATCTCGTCAATTTGGTAGTAATAACACGAACAACAACAACAACACCACAAACAATGATGAATTTAATTTTAATCATTTACAAAGAAATAATCCAGTATACCAATCACCATCATCATCATCAAGTTCATCAATTTTTAATCCAACTATAACAAAGAAAAGAAGATTATTATTAGAAAATAGACCAAGTGTATCAAGATCAAAATCATCACCAACATCAATTGAAGAAATTATGAGACATAGAAATAGTGAAAATAATTTAAATAAAATGCATAATCAATTATTAAATAATGATTTACAAATTAAAAATTTAGAAAATAATATTGAAAATTCAAATAATATTGATCATTGGATAAATGTAATATCTGAAAAACAAATTCAAGAAAGAAATTCCATATCAAATCAAGGACAAAATCAAACTCAACCAAATGAACAAAATCATCATCAATTAAATGGTAACCTAGATCATCATCATTTACAAGATCATCAATTTCCATTTGCCATAGAACATGAAAACAACAACAGCAGCAACAATAATGATGAATTTAATGTAGATGAATTTTTACAAAATACAAATACTCCAAATTCAATTTCAAGTCCATTAAATATAACAACAACAACAAACACATACAATAATCCTCAACAACAACAACAACAACAACCTCCATTACAACAAACTTCTTCTTTTTCAAATGGTAATAAAAAAAGAACAATTAGAGAAATTCATGATAATAATGATATATGAAGAAATGATATAGCTAATACTACTTTTTTTTTAAATTGATATATGATAATATGTATAGTATACATTGTATATAATATTCTGGTTAAATAATTTTTTTCAATTCTTTTGTGATATAATATATAATTTTATACATGTTAATATAACTTTTTAAGAACTATGATATACTCTAGAAAGACTTAGGAAATATATTCAAAATTTCTCAATCGTCGATTGTATCGGACAACTTAATATAGCACTTTTTTATCACTATTATCAAATTTTTTTGTTAACATTAAATTTTAGTAAGTAAATCAAGTTTAATAAACATTTAGGTATTAAGGGAAAAAATTTGTATTTTTCGTTTTATAAATTAATAATCAATATAATTTGTTATCTTTTGAAATTAATCTTTTCATTGGTGTTCTATTAATTCGAAGGTAGGAATTGAAATTTCAAACAAGTATATCATTTGGACATAATTTAATACTCCTTATGAACTACCCTTGAGGAAAGCAACACATAACTACGAATAATCTAATTCGTTGTTACGTGTTGCTTTTCTCAAGGGAAGTATTACATCCAGATGATAAAGTTTTGAATAAATATATCTGAAAACCACTAGCTCTAAATTGAAGTAAACGTTTGCTGAAATAGGATCAAGTTTCAAATGTTTTCTGATCTCATATAAAAACTTTTTCCATTCAAACCCATTTAAAAGGATACCAAGATATTTGAATTGATAAGTTGAAATATGCTCAGTCTTTTGAATTCCACTGGTAACCATAATGATTGTTCCTTAGTAAGTACTAGTGATTTATAAGGATAATGATTTGAATTAAAGACCCGACGGAAAGCATTGTTCTCTTATAAAAGAGATTTGCAGAATATAAACAATCATCCTTGTGGATTCACAGCTAAATAATCTTCAGGTATTGATTGATAAAGATCACTGGGTCATAAACTTCAAAAGTTAGTAGAACACAATTGGATCCATATGTATGAGCCAAAGACAAACATGATTACTACCCCCTATTGGTTAAGACTTGCTCAACTTCTCAATTTCTTTTGCAGTGCTTCCTCTTTTCTAAATTTTGTTATAATATATAAATAGTTCATTTCGATATCATTTAAATTGAAAAAAATGAGTGGATTTAGATACTATGATGAAGCCTAAATTTAGTATAACAAATTATATACGTGGGAAGTTATTTTCTATATCTTTTTATTCCATTACGAAATAATAATACCGGTTTGCCTTGCTCGTAATAAACTTCAACAAATTCATAGTCATCCAAGGTAATAAATTTAATTGATTTTTAGATTTAATACATTTGAGTTAATGGAAATAGTTTAATGATATGGAAAAATGGAAATGTGATATCTTTGGGTGGTAGTGTATCATCAATCAAAAAGGACGATATGAAATTTATTTATTATTATTATGAGTATCAATAATATTTGTTGAATCTCTTTGTTTTATTTAAACAACAGTAATACAAAGTATTTAATATTAATACATTATACATATAAGAGAAAGAGAGCGAGAATTAAAGAGATATACTTTATTACATTAAAAAAATTTAACATGAAATTCATATAAATTTACTTTAATCAAATACATATATCATATCACTTACTAATCAATAGGATACTCATTCAAGAAGAAGATAAAGAATAGTTTAGTTTTTACTCAAAAGAAAAACTGAATAACTTAAACTACTTACTCATGATGTCTTCTGGAGTAATAAAACTAGAAAATAACAACACTAATAATGATTCAAATTCAAATGATTCAATAACAAATAATAATAATAATAATAATAATAACACCAATGATAAAAAATTAAAGAAAAGAAAATATTCAAGTTTTGGTTGTAGAGAATGTAAAAGAAGAAAAATTAAATGTGATGAAGCTAAACCAGAATGTTGGCAATGTACAAGATTAAAAAAACAATGTTCATATCCTGAAATTGGTGAAAAAGTATTAAGAGTTTCAAAGAAGAAACAAAAATTACAAGAATTACAAGGTCAAGGGCAAGTACCACCAGCACATGTACAACTACTACATCCACATCAGCCAAATCTACTTCCGATAACTAATAATCAACAACAACAATCACATCAATACAATTTACAACAATCAAATCAAATAGAACCGAGACTTTATAATGAAAGGCAACCAAATGATCTAAATAATCATCAACAACAACTACAAACTCAGCCACTTTCATCATCACAACAACCATATGATCAATCATTAATTTATAGAGCAGGAATTACTAATATAGCATATTCAAATCAACCAATACTACCTAATCCATATCAAAATAGATCAAATCAATATCAACCTTTTCAACATCATTTATTAAATCCATCTGATCAACAACAACAACAACAACCATTACCACAACAACAGCCACCACAACAAGTTAATCTACCACCTCCAAATATTCCAAATGCTTTATTATACAAAAAAGGAACACCTAAAGTTTCATCAAACTTAAGCAATTTATTAAATAATAATCAAGATGGTGGTTGTTGTAATAATAACAATTGTCATAATGATAATATGAATAATACAAATAATAATGAAAACAATCAAAGTCCAACTAATACAGTCACCACCACCACCACAACTACAAATTCAATATCTCCACCTTTTTCAAATGATGATTTAATTGAAGTTTATGAAGTAAGCGACCTAAATTTATTAGCAAATGATTTACATAATATGGTTAATGGAATATTATATAATATGACTGATTCAGCAAAAGCCAAAAGTTCAGAAACTCAATTAAAACCTCCATTACAAAATGATATAGACACCACCAAAAAAAAATTACCCATAGATTTTATTCAATTAGAAGATCCCAAGAATCAAATTTATATGATTGAATTTTATAATAATTTTTCAAATATTGTTTTGCCCTTTGGATCTTATGATAAAGAAACAAAAGAATTATATAATCCTGCAAGAGATATTTTATTAACAAGTGCGTCTCATACAAATTATGTATTAGCTGCTTTATTAGCAAATGGTGCATGGTCCAAATATAATTTTACGAAAAATCCAGAAGATGAAGAATATTATTATTTATATTTAAATGATTGTTTAAAAATGTTAAGTCCTGCTATAGCAGATGATAGTAAATTAAGTTCAAATATTGAAAGTATATTATTAACTGTATTATTATTAACTGCAGCAAATGCAGCAAATCCAAAACAAGATTGGAGACCTCATTTAAGAGGTGCAAAAGATTTATTAATGAAAAGTTCTCATAAAAAATTAAAATATTCAAAAACTTTTGTATTTTGTAAATGTTGGTTTGTAACTTTAGAAATCTTGGCAAGTGTTAGTTCCAAAAAAGGTGGGACATTACATACAGATGAAGATTTTGATGAAATTATTGATTTAAGTAGTAATTATGAAAAAAAAATTTTAAAAGATTTGGGATTAGTATTAGAAAATGGATTTAATATAATGGGAGGATATAAACATGAATTATATTGTTTATTTAGAGATTTAATGAAAATTTTAAATAAAATTAGAAATCAATCTTTTAATCCTAAGGAGTCATTAGAATATATTGATTTATTTAATAAATTTTATAACCAATTAAACTATTATGATAATGATAAAAATTTAATACCAGTAAGTTATGAAAATATTGAATGGTTAAAAATTTCACATAAATCTTATGTTTATGCAGCATTAATAACTATTTTGTTAACATGTTTTGAAGAAAATTATCAATCACCACAAATTCAATCATTAACAAATGAAATTATAAAATTAATTAAATTTGTTAATGATTATGAACCAACTAATACAACAAAAAATAAAGAAATTATGTTTTTACAATGGCCAGTATTAGTTGCTGGTACGAATCTTATGAATAAAGATGATAGAGAACTTATTATAAAATTTTTTAATTTATCTTCAAAAGTTGGTTCAGGAGGTGCATTATTAGTATTAAAAAGAATTGAAAAAATTTGGTTAAAAAGAGATGGTAAAACTTTAGATTCAGATGGTTATGAATCAGAAGATTTAGTAAGTTATTAAGTATCAAGTACATTGTATAATTATTTTTTAAAAAAATTTGTATTATTATTATTCTTAAATCATTAAGCATTACATTCTAATAATTCATACCAATTCAAATTACCACCAGCTAAATTTAATTGAGTATTAAATACATCATTATTGTTTTGCACTTCTTCCGTAGTTTCAATTGACCAATTAAATTTACCTTGTAATTTCATATTTTGTAAATACCAACCAATTCTTTCAGCTCCAATTCTAGCACCATCTAAATTAGCAGATGTAGGACCAATTGTTAAAGAAGCATTTTTACCAATCAAGAACAATGGAATTTCATTATTCCATTGTAAATTATCTGTTAAAACTGGAAATCCTTGTTCAATTTCAATTGGATATTGTTTGTTTATCAGATTTAAAAAATTTAATGAATTTATATCTGCTGTTATACCAGTTGCAAAATATATATAATCAATATTTTTTAATTCTATATCATTACTTAATTTTAAATTCCAATGATTATCAACCCATTCCAGTTCAACGATGCTAGTTTCAGTAAACCATTTAAATTTATCACCACTCTGCTTTAAATGAATCTTTAATTTTTTATAATATTCAGGGTTTATACTACCACCTTCTCTTGCATTATTAATCATTTTATATTTTAATTCATTTGAATCTAAATTATAAAAAATTGATTTTTTAAAATTTTTAAATTTTGATACCCAATCTAAATGAAAATCAAAATGCTTGATCTTGATCTTGGATCTAAATAAAAGAGTAACTTGTGATACCGTGGGGTCATTACAAGCTACATGAGCTAATTGAGCTGATGTTAATCCACCTCCAACAATTACAATTTTTTTCAGTTTTGGATTTTTGAAAAATTGATCATCTAAAAATTTAACTTGATTAGTGAATAAATGAGTAGTATGACATGTGTTTTTAGTTTCTTTAAATGGTTTGATTGGATAATTAATTTTACCTTTATGACCACTTGCAACAACTAAAAATTTGCACCCAAATATTTGACCAAATTTTGTCTTTATTAAAAACCCCTTACCAATATTATTTTCATCATATTGTAATAATTTATATTTTATATCAATAACTTCATCTTTAATAATTGAATTTCTCAAGTTATATCTATCAACAATAGATTCACAATAATCATGGAAAAGTGGAGTTGAAGGTCTATAATAATCTTTCCAATCTCTTTGATTTATATCAATTAATCCACTTGGTTTCTTATTACCTCTTTTTTGTTTTAATTTATGTTTTGAAATTTCTTTACCAACAACATTTTGAATTTCCATTAATTCTGATTGTCTATTTGAGTTGTGTGCATAACTTATCATTCCATCAATATCTAATGGATCTAAATGGAAAAACATTGGACTTCTCAAAAAGGGAATTTGACATGCATTAAATTGATTATCCCATTGTCCAATAAATTTATTACTTGTTTGATCAATAATTAATAAATCCAGTGATTTAAAACTCGATGAATGATAACAACTTTTACAACCTAATTTATTTGATTTAAAACTTCTTTGCTTTAACCAATGAAATCTTTGATGTTCATTATCTGTATATAATGATCCTGGAGTTGATTCACATAATCTTGATGCAATTGCTAATCCACATGTCCCTCCACCAACTATAATACCTTCAAAAAATTTATCATTATCTACAATTATTGGATCTTCATTCATCTTTTAAGTAGTTTAGAGACTACATTTTGTATATTCATGTTGGTAAACAAGGTTGATATATATATACACTATATACAAATTCCGAAATTTCAAATAACCACTATAATTAACCACACAAGTTAAAAAAAAAATATTATTAATCTTCATAATCTTTTAAAAATCCTTTAATTAAAGCTAATACTCCAACTGCTCCTGGATCAGGTATACCACCTTCAACTTTAAAATCTTCTTCATTAACATAACTTGATCTACCAAATGAGGCATGTAAATTTTTTGTTTTTTCACAACCTTTTTCAGCAGCTTCTAAGGCTTTGTTTAAGTCTTTTGTTTCATGAAGTGTATCTATAAATGGCTGTAATGTATCAATTAATGTTCTTCCTCCAACCCTTGCTTTAGTATATTTAAATAATCCTTCATGTAATGCTTGATATAATGAATCACTTATGGTATTTAAATCAATTTGATTTGATTTATTTAAATATTGAACTAATGAAGTCAAAAAAATTGCATATAATCCACCTGATGTACCACCCATATTATCTTCTATTAATTCAGTTATTATTGATAATGAAGCAACAGGATCATTTAAATTATTTTGAAATTCTTTATTTTCTTTAAAAGCTTTTAAAATTGAATTGGCTCCGCTAGCTAAAGTTTCACCACAATCTCCATCACCAACTAATGTATCATAATGTGTAATTTTTGGTTCATATTCTAATAAATTATTTAATGCATTTATTAAATTTTTTTTAAATTTTTCTCCATCAATTCTTAAATTAGAAGTCAATAATTCTTGATGATCCATTGGTGAATCAATATGATTTTCAGACAGTTTTTCCCATAATTTTGAATCATAAGATTTTGGTTTCCAACCTGGTGCATTAGTTGGTTCATCTAAATATTTAATTATATCTTCTTGATTATATAAATTATTTGCTTTATTAATATTTGTTAAATTAAGTAAAGTTATTGAGAAACCAGGTGAATTGAAAGAAGTAACGAAATCACTTATTAAAACTCTTTTTGGTTTTCTTTTAAATGGTAAATTTCTCAAAACATGTTCAGTAATTAAATTTAATTCAAAAGTTGAAGTACCTCCAATATTGTTAATAACTACTATATAATCATCATCAGGATCAAATTCAACATAATGATAATCTTTATCTTCAGATGAAATTAATTGTATTAACATTTTTTTAATTAATTCATCAATATTTGGTATTGGTTTAATTTTAGTTCCAGGTTCATTATGAATTCCTAAACCTAATTCTATTTCATTTTTCTCATTAAAAATTGTAGTCACTTCATTTTCTGATTTTCCAGGTACTGAAGTTCTATCTAAACTTGCACTTAAAGTAACTAAATTATCATTTATTAAATGACCTAAATTTGCAATATCTTTTAAACTAACATTTTCATCTTGAACAGCAGCACCCAATATTTTATGAATTATTGCAGTACCAGCTAAACCTCTTCTTCCAACCATTTTATTTTGTTCTTTACCTACAGCAACATCATCTCCAACTAACACAATTTCAATTTTATAACCTTCATTTTTAGCTCTTTCAACAGCTAAACCAAAATGTAATACATCACCAGTATAATTTTTAACAATTACAATTGTTCCCTTTTCTTTATTTGATTTAGTTTTTATAGCTGTTAAAATTTGTTTAGTTGAGGGTGATGCAAATATTGAACCACTAACAGCTGCATCTAATAAATTTGTACCAACATAACCAGCATGTAAAGGTTCATGACCAGCACCTTTGAGATAAGTTAGTAATTTAATTAATGAATTGATAAGCTGTAGTTCAATTATACATACCACCTCCACTAATTAATGTAATTTTAGATTCAGAATTTGAATGAGGATTAAATATAACTTTTTCAGAAGGTATTAATTTAATATAAGGATTTGACCAAACAAGTCCCTTCAATTGATTAAGAACTAAATCTTCACCTGTTTCATATTTCCAATGTTTATTTAAACTCATTTTCTTTTGATAATTGAATACTTATAACTTAACTTTAAGACTATGTTGATCCAAATTATATATAACCTACTTTCTAACATATTTTTGAATAGTTCGTAATGGTTGATTCTATATGTCCGACTTTGTACTATTTTTCATATAATTTTTGTGGAGATCATTAAATTACGTAATTATGCATAAGTATATGACATATTACACAAATTTATAATTGTCACAAATTATGATGATACGAAATTGAATAAAACGCGGTTTTTTTCTTCATAGTAGTTAAGAAATGAACTTCAGAACTGTTTTAGAGAAACCAGTTCTTGTGCTAGCATTTTGTCCTGATTACATGAAGAATTGAAAAGCAAAGAATTGAATAAATGCCATTAATCCCGTGATTCATGATTTACAAATACATTTGGATGTTGTAGTCAATTTATCAATTTTGAATTTACGTGTTTTCTTGCAAAAAAAGATGCTGATCTTTATGTTTATATTTTGAATTTTTGCAATTGTAAACAAACAAATATAAAGAATTTTGAATTTTACAAAAATTTAAATATTTTGTTGTTTTATCCTTATCATCATCATTATCAAATGTCAACCATGGAACCAGAGAAAACCGGTTATAAAAATTATAGCAGACAAAAGTTATTGGAAATTGTTGATGAATGTAGAGAAGCTCCTGCAGAACAATTAAGACAATTGAAAAGATTAAGATGTGATGAGTTTGATATACCAATTAGAACTTTAAATACATATTTAAAATTAGATCCATCAATGATGGATATTGAAAAAAGTAATGAAAAATTAACAAGATTAGAAGAGAAAGAACTTTGTAATTATTTAATGGAAGCAGCTCAAAAAGGTGTACCTATAGATGGTAAAACATTGATGTTAAGTGCTATTAATCTTCTTCAAAAAAGAGATCCAAAAGGTTCATTGTCACCAGGATGGTTAAAATGATTTTATAACAGACATCCGGAATTTCAACAGTCTCAAAATGAACACAGTGTGGAAGGAACAAGTGTGAAAGATACAGATTCAATTAAGTTATGGTTTGATCGATTTAATAAAGAAGTTCAAAATAATAATTTAAAACCAAATCGAATTTATAATATGGATGAAACAGGATTTGGTCTTAAGATCCGCAATGAAGAATTTCCTTTAAGACATATAAATAATGCTAATAGAAAAATCTTAGAAGAACCTAATGGTCAAATTATTACTGTGATGGAAACAATTTCAATGACAGGTGAATTATTAAATCCTTTTATTATATTTAATTGTAGACTTCATACTTCTTGGTTTTATAATATTAAAAATGTATTTGATTGGAAATTTTCAGCTACTAAAGAAGATTGGACAATGAATGAAATAACTATGGAATGGCTTCGTAAAGTATTTATACCTCAATCAACAGCAAGTCCAGATCAGCCACCAGTTGGATTAATTCTTGATGAACATGTATCACATAAATCAAAAGAAATTTTCGATGTTTGTGAAGAGAATAATGTTATTTTAATTTTTATTCCTTCAAATTTAAGTAAAAAACTTCAACCTTGGGATTCAACACCATTTAAAAATTTAAAAAATCAATATCACTGGAAACTTAATGAACTTGATCAGTTTAGGTATGAAAAAAAAATTGAAAGGGCTGAATTTTTAAAATCTTATCAAGATGTTCGTGTTAATGCAATAACTCAAGATTTTATTATTAATCGTTGGAAGAAAACTGGTTTTTTTGATAACATTGTTAGAGTTAATAACTTAGAATCATCAGAAATATCCAATCAACCAGAGCTGATGGATTTAGATCACAATGTTAATCAATCAGAGCTGAGTGACTTAAACCATACTGATAATTTACCAGATTTGACGGACTCAACCCTCGTTGATGAAGATGAAGTTTTAATTGAATTACCACAAAAAAAGGGAGATTTAGTTTCATTATTTTTAAAATATGGTGAATCAGAAGAAATTCAAGAAGAGATAGTAAGAAAAGTAGAAACGGAGTTTTTTCATTTGAGATCAAAAAATCAATATTATGATGATCTTAAATTAAAACTTCAAAAGGAATTGAATGAAGCTAATGAAAAATTAATATCATTAGGTGAAGAACCTGTAATAGTCAATTTAAATGGTGAAAATGAAAGAATTTTGATAGATGAGGATTAGGATTACAAAGTTCATTTTTATTTTCAAAAATGAGGATATTTCCTAGCAGTATGTGGAACAAAATGCAAAGAGTAGATGGTTACTCAAGTGCAATAAACTCACCATATTTATCTTCAGTTTGTTTCACGATCAACGACAATTCATAGGCATGTCAACAAATTATAGGCATGTCAACAAGAATGAACAGTATTCTTGTAAGAACTTGACGTTACTGATAGATATTTTTCGAATTGATGACTCAAGATCATCAATTTCAGTGATATTAAACTCATCTGAATCAATGACGAATTCTGTTTTAACAAACACAACAATTGTTTCGAGGTTGGTTCGAGAAAATGGCTATATTTGTTGGGTGATTAATTTGTGAATTACAGATTTTGCTTAATTGGGAGAATTTGAAAAGAAAAGTGGTGAAAGACCCGGTACTTTGCTAAGGTGATCGACCTTATTTGAGTTTTACTTATTGAAATCTGCTTTATATATTTTTTATATTATAATACAGCTTTTTTGTAACAGTTACTTTTCTAATGTTTCAAATCTATGTAAACTTTGAGTTTCGTTTGTGTAATCTTTAAAAAATTAACAAATTCAGTTATCAAATCAATAATAAAACAATCTTGCACTATTAAACATCAAATTCATCCAAGTTATTACTATTTTTACTGTAAAGAATTCCATCATGAATTATTATGTCAATTCCAAAAGTTAAAAAACGAACATATCTGTTTTTTGGATGTAGAGAATGTAAAAGAAGAAAAATAAAATGTAATGAAGGAAAACCATCATGTTTTGAATGTACAAGATTAAATAAACAATGTTCATATCCTAAAATTGGTGAAAAAGTTAAAAGAATATCTAAAAAGGAATTACAAAATAATGTTGAATCTACAACTACTAAACCTTTGAATATATTGATGTATAATGGACCTAATAAAAAGAAAAAGAAGAGTGATGATAAAGATGACAAAAAAGAAGAACCACAATCTGAACAACAACAACAAGATCAACAACAAGAACTTTACCCTTATAGTGGTATCAATTCCAAAATTTCGTCAAAACCTTTTCCACATAGTAATATTAGAAACCCACCGGAAAGTAATATAAGAAATCAACCGAAACCTATACAAGAAACAAATTTTTATCAAGCTCCATCAATTGAAACAACTCAAGAAATTAATCACAATAATGATAATATTCAAAACCATACCATTAATCAAAATCAAGTAATTGATCAAAATCAAATTGTTGATCCAACATCTTTATTAATTGGTGATGTTTATAATAATGATGATTTAAATTTATTAGCAACAGATTTAAATAATTTAGTTAATGATATTTTATTTACTTCAAACATGGATCAAGCTCAATATAATCAAGATTTTTTTGATCCACTGACTATAACTACTCCATTTATTGATGATATACCAAAATTTATACCAGTTGATTTTATAAAACTTAAAACTAATGAAGAAAAAAAATATTTACAAGAATTTTATGATAATTTTGCAATGCAAATGTTACCATTTGGAGCTTATGATAAATTTATTGGAAGATATTCAAATCCTATACGTGATGTTATTATGAAATATGCAACTGAACCATTTTTATTATGTGCTGTATTATCACAAGGTGCAAGATTAATTTATGAAAGAGATAATGATAGTCAAGATTTTGAAAATTATGGAAATTATTTATCAACATGTTTAAAATTATTAGGACCTGCATTAAGTAGAAATAAAGAAAATTTAGTTGTTGATGTTGAAACTATTTTAATAACAGTTTTATTATTAGCATCATCAAATGCAAGTACTGAAAAACAAAGTTGGAGACCTCATTTAAAAGGAGCAAAAGATATTATATTAAAAGCTACAACAAAAAAACTGTCAACAACTATAACATTATGTAAACTTTGGTTTGCAGATTTTGAAATTTTAGCTGGTCTAAGTTCAAATTTAGGTGGTACTTTACAACCAAAAGAAATTGATTTAATTTTTAATTTTGAAGATGAATTTGTTCAATTAGTTTTAAAACAATTTAATTTAATTCAAGATAATGGATTTTGTGTTATGACTGGTTATCATTTAAATAGTTTAAGATATTTAAGAAATTTATCTGATTTAATTAGACAAGAATGTGATTCTTTTAATTATCTTGAATTAATTAATGGATTTTATCAACAATATCAAATAACTTATATATCTCGAGATTGTAAAGTTGACTCAACACTTCAAAATCAATTAACAGAATTAATGGATACAATTCATAATCCAGATGGTTCAATAACAATAATAAGTTGGATGGATATTTCTCAACAAGCATTTTCATTAGCTGGTCTAATTACAATATTTATAGATATTTTAAAAAATCCTCCTGAATCTTCACATGTTAAAAATTTAGTTTCAAAATTAATTGGATTATTAAATTTAATTGAAAATGCAATACCTTCAAAAATGTCTTTCCCATTTGGATTTTCAATGATTCAATGGCCCATATCAGTTGGTGCAATAAATTGTTTAAATAAATCTCAATTCTCATTAATTGAAAAATTTTTTAGAATGTGTTATGATCAAGGTTCATATACTGCTAATTTAACATTTGAAAAAATTAAAAAGACATGGGAAATGAGAGCCTTGGGTGTAGAAACTAAACATGATGATGGTTCAAAAATTGATAGAATTGTATATTAGTTTAGAGAGGAGTCGTGTTTTAAATTCATGATGTACTTTGGAGTCTTGTCATTCAATCGTCAATGATTGTAGCTTAGCTTACAGATCGTATCGAACCTTTGTATCTCTTGACTTCAACTTCAATGGTGTTATATCTCTCTTTTCGTAGACTACTTAAATAGGTATACCCATTATTATAAAATTATTTCTGTTTTCTTACAAAAATGGGAAATTATAGCGATGAGAAATAATAATTCTAAAAATTGCAACAAACACCTTTAATCATTTAAGTTTTTGAAACAAATCTTTATGACCAGAACACCGACACCTTCAAAAACACCACCACCACCAAGTTCATCAAAATCATCAAATATAAAACAAGAAGATGAAGTGAACCCACCTCCAAAGAAGAAGAAAAGACAAAAAACTTTTACAGGATGTTTTACATGTAGATCAAGAAAGATTAAATGTGATTTAAAAAGACCAAGTTGTGAAAAATGTTTAAAAGCTAAATTAACATGTGCCGGATATGATGTAAATCTACGATGGTCTTTACCTATAGAATATGTTCCTTTAAAAAATGGTGATGTTAAATCCAAAACAATTAAATTCCCAACTTTAGATGGAACGATTGAGAAAGATACTAATGGTACTACTACAGGAAATGTACAACCTGAATTTTTTCATAGAAGATTAGTTGAATTTGTTAAATGGCAAAAACCTTATACTACATATGAAGGAATGGATCAAGATTTAGCATTTTTACAAAGTAATAATACAACAAATAAATTAAATAAAGAAAGTGATACGATTTTTAAAGGAGCATTTGGAGTCTTTTTAGGTTCAAAAAGAAGAAAGATTGATTTGGCTCCTAAAACTTTGAAAAGAAAACGAACTACTGAACAAATTTCAACTCCAGATAGTATGAAATCGAATACAGGAGTACCTTCGTCTTCTTCTTCATCGTCAGAGACACAACAGTCACAACAGTCACAACAACAGCAACAGCAGCATCAACAACAGCAACAACCACAAGATCAATTTTGGTTATCGAATGAATTAAAAGATGCAGCATTAGTCACAGCAGCAGCCTTAAATACTCATTACCTAGATATTATGAATAATTTTGATCAAAATGGAAATGTAATAACTCAAACATCAACAACTAATTCAACATCTACACCATCTACATCTACGCAAAATTATAATCTGGATTTATTCAATTTAGTCTTTCATAATAATAAAAATCATCAAAATTTTAATATTGATCAAATTCCAATAACAAATTCATTAAATGATAATGAAAATTTAATTGATCCAATATATTATTCAAATTTTTCAAATTTTTTTTATAATAATCCTTATCAATTAAATGAAAATTTAGAAATTCAATTATATACTCAAACTACAGATATTGATGAATTAGTTGATGGTGATCATTTAAATGATAAAAAATTATTAACATTCATAATGAAACCTGTTCAAAATCCAATTAATTTATCATTTGACTTAACTTTACCTTCTCATATTGGAATTCCATTAACTGCATTACAAGTTCAACCATTAACAAGATATTTATTAAATTATTATGTTACAGAAGTTGCTGATTTAATGACTGTTATACCTCTTACAGAAAATCCTTGGAAAGCTATATATTTTCCAAGAGCATTAATGGCAATTGGTGAATTATCAGCATTAGGTAAAACAACAAATGCAAAAAATGCTTTATTAAATGCTTTATTAGCAGTTTCTGCATTTAATTTACAATCAAAATTTCCTAAAAATTCAGAACCAATGAAATTTTATTTAAATTTAGGTATAGCATTAAGAAATCAAGCAAGTTTATATATTAAAAAATTATTAAATATTCAAAATAATAATGTTCAATCCGGTATTGAATATTGTGTTAAAAATGAAAAATATAAAGATGTATTATGTGCAGTTATGAGTATGATTAGTGTTGATTTAGTATGGGGAACAATGCAAGATACAAATTTATATATTTCTTGGTGTGGGAAAGTTATTGTTTCTAAAATGTTAATAAAGAAAAAATTATCACCAAAAGCTAAAATATTACATAGAATTTTTTCTTCATTAAAATTAATTCAAGATTCAACATGTCTTAATTTTGATAAAATAAATGATTTAAGTGGATATGATGTAAATGGAGATAAATTTACTTCACAAAGTAAAAATAAAATTGATTTTATAATAAATAATTCATCATCATTAAATCTGAATAGAACGACATCACCAAAATTTGTTAATAAAAAATTAATCAATACTAAAAAGAATGATGAAAATTTTGCAACTGATGCATTATATGGTTTACCAAATTCTTTAATTATATTATTTAGTGAAACTGTTGAATTATTAAGATCTAAAATTTATTATAAACATACAAATACTAAATTAAATGATTTTGATTATAAAGCTAAAAATTTAGAAACAAAATTACAAAATTGGAAATTAGACTGGGAATTATTTGAAAAAGATAAAAATCAAAATACTGATGATAACATAGATTATGAAGATTTAAATTTGAAATTTTTTTCATCTATGCATCAAGTAACTTATCATCATATAATTTCATTTTATCATGCATTAGTAATATATTTTAAAAGATTTATTAAAGATATTGAACCAATTCATTTACAAGATAAAGTAATTAAAACATTAAATCATTTAAATTCAATTCAATTATTAATTGCAAAAGGTGAAGCATCATTTATACCATTATTTTGGCAAGGTTTTATAGCTGGTTGTGAAGCTATATCAATTGATTTACAAAATGGATTTAAAAAATGGGGAAATGATATAGCTCAATATTTAGGTTCATATTGGGGAGCAAGACAAATTATGTTGGAAGTTTGGAGAAGAAAAATGAATAAAGAACCAAAAGATGATTGGGTTAATGTTGTTAAAGATTGGGAGATGAACTTAATGTTAAATTAGGTAAATATTTTGTGGACTTTATAGTTCAGACTTAAAGATATTAATAAAAATGAAATTGCTCATGGTATATCCGATACAAATGATTCATGTGTGGTTTGAGAAGAGGTCAAGAGGTATTTTCAAAATATTCATACCAAAATCAACGTCTTGTGTGCTTATCCACTAATGATTAACGAATCCGAGCTACTGAGAGTGTTCATAAGTTTTGTTCAAATTTTCTTTTGGTGGAACATTAAACATACTTAAGGAAAGATGTGTTAACTAGTTGGTGTAGACAAAAAATTTACACGGAAAATACCTCAAGTATGAGAGCTTCATATCTTGTCACTAATTTTTATCCAGATCTAGGTTACAAAGTCTAAGATCTTAAAAAACTGTTTTGGATGCAGGATCTAAAACAAAAATTTTAGCATATCAATTGTCAATTATAAGTGCACACAATTTATCATTCAAATTTTCAAAAACTTCATTCATAAAGAAACATTATCATTTTGAAAATATGTCTATCGCAGGATTATTCATTTTCGTGATTTTAAGTATTGTTTTAATTTGGGTATTACGGAAGATTTATCAAGAAATCAATGATTTTAGATTATTTTTCAATGACACTACATCATTAAAGGAACAGCTCGACAATTTACAACAAAGTGGCAATTCACCCACTGCTCACACTATTGGAGGAACTGATGCTGCTGGTCAAGAATTTGTTACTTGGGAGCCTGCTTCTCATCTGTCTGCTTTAGATCTGTTTGGTTTAAAAGAAAGAAATATTGAATTAGAAATTTTGGCACCTGATGAAGATGGTGATGGAACGAAAATGAGACAAGAATATTTGACAAAGCTTTATCAAGAAAATCAAGAGAAGTTGGGAAAGCTTACCCAAGAATATAGAGATATGCAAATCATATGCATTATTGGTTTAATTGGCATGGCTGTAGGATTAATACTTATGATGTCTGCGTTCTATTTGGGAGGTGCTCTAGATATGTAATATATGTAGTAACAATATATACAACTAAATTTCTCTTACATAACAATTTTACATTTCCTTTGAGTATATTAAGACGTAAATACCAAAAATCAAGCTTGATTTTCTAATTGTTCAAATACCCATATAAATGAGGAAAATAGTCTATTCAAGTTATAGATTGCCTGAAACCAACTATTTGTCACTTCACTAAGCATGTTTTTTTTGTCTTCGTCGCAAAACTTTTGATAATTATGAACAAGGAACTAATAAATCATATTTTACAGATCAATCATACCAAAAGGAATTCCAAATGCTATACCACCTAATAGTGCTATTGGAAGTAAAATTACAAGTGCAGCTAACAAAAGGTCCAAAGCTTCTACGGCAAAATAAATTAAACCACGGATTGTGTAAAAGATGAAAACTATGATTGTTGATAAAATTTCTAAAATATTAAACAAAATTCCTAAAACACTAAACAAAATTCCTAAAATATCATAAAAGATAATAAGAAAACTTTCTTTAATTAATATCCAAGCTTTATTAGAATAATATTTTACTCTAACTTTATAATCAGCTGAATATTTTTTCAATAAATTTTCCAATTTTTCTTTATTAGTCTTTGGAAAAATTGATGAATTTATTAATTTATTATCTTTTAAATCAAAAGGTAATAATTGTTGTTTATATGGAAATTTTGATTTTATTGGCTCTGGGTATGGTACAAGCTTTTCAACATCTTTTTCTAAATCAATTGAATTTTCTAATTCATGTATTCTTTTCTTTATACTTGATTCTCTGAAGTACATTTGTTGAAAGCTGTAATTTTATATATATTGTTTGGAAACAAAAAAATCAAAACAACCAGAAATATCAAAAACCAGTTGAACCTAAAGCTACATAACTAATAATGCTTCATTTGGTCTAATAATGCTAATGTTTCCTATTTCAAATAATACTTTATCGTACATGATATTAAGTTTAAGTTGAATGTTGCAAAAAAAAATTGCAGAAAACGTATATTACACAAAAATGGTTTATGAAACATTAGGTTTATCATACCGAACCATCCTTTGATAGAATTTCCTTACGGGAAATGCAACGGACTGGTATGTTGTTTACTATTGTGATGGAAATACTTTCTCTAAGGGTATTAAGTAGATGATTTAATATACATGTCAATCAAATAAAAAATAAAAAAACCATGATATTATATATGCATTTTATTGAAGCGTTTTAAAAATTAAGATCTAAATTGTATTATAGTATGCAAGTACATTAATGATTTTGATCATAGAGTTAAAAATTTAGAAACAAAATTACAAAATTGGAAAATCATTATGAACATTAGTTATGTTAAATTAGGTAGAATTTCTGAAACTGTATAGTCTGAACACTGATGATTAAAAATGAAAGTTCATAGGATTATTCTAGAATAGTATTCTACCTGAACTTATGTAAGCTCTTTGCAGGCATTTCCTACTTTCGATACCTCTAGAAGTTGATAAGTTTTATATCGGTTAAAAAAGAAATGTTGATTTCTTTTGTAAATGATATTAATGAACCTCGTTGAAATGTTAAATTTGTAAACTATATAGTAAGTAGATCACATAAGTATTGGAGTATTAGTTTGTATGATAAGAGTCAAACGGATAATACCTCATATAAGAGACTTTCATTTCTCGTCACTAATTAGATAGCCAGATCTTGGTTTTTTAAAATTTCCCAAGACCTCAAATTAGATGTAAGATCTAAATTAAAATTTTTAGCATAACCAAGTGTGAAAATATACAAGAAATTTATTTTTAATTTTCAAAAACTATCATTCATAATGAAATGTTCTCAATTTGAAACAACGATAATCGTTGGAATCCCTCTTTTGGTACTAGTTGGTATTTGTTTGATATTGGTAGCTTCTCATATATCAAGACTAAGTAGAGAAATGAATGCAATTCAGGAATCGAACTTAAATATCATTAATTTAAGATTTAGAGTAAGAAATCAAGAATACACCCAAAATGCCCAAAATTCAAATTTGAGTCAAAGCCTTGATGTTGCTTCTAGTACTACCAAATTTGGCTCAATAGATGCTGTTTCTCAAAATTCTGAATCAATTAATGCTGATGCTCATACTGTTACAATTGTTAAACGTTTATGGTCATTTTTTAAACAATGTTTCGAACTAAGAACTCTAATATTTGAAGCAGCAAATGAAACTTTTAAAGACGATGATCAGATAAAAGATATTCAAAATTATTTTCCAAAACTCGCAAAACGATATAGAGATGCACAAATTCTCTATCACATTCTTGTTTTAATTTTTGGTGTCTTATTGATAATTATAATTTGTTCTTGTTATTATTCTAGGTAGATGTACAAAGTAAGTAAATAGTAACATAAATAGCTAATTTTCTGTCTCTTTTACAAATCAAATTTATGCTTGATTATCCTTTTGTCAACGTTATATATAAACTTAGTCTTCCTATCGATTTTCTTGACTTGTTCAGGTATGTCAATGATTTAAATTTGACTTATACTCAAGATCAACTCCCTTTAACTACTTTATCTTGAAAATGCTTTTTGAGTTATTATGAATTATCATTACATTATTTGAAAAAGAAGTAAAAAGTGTCTACACTATTTATACTCAGTAGGAGAAATTGAGTATGCCCATTCACCAAAAATCAAGCTCGATTTTCTAATTGTTAAAATACTCATATAGATGAAAAAAAGAGTCTATTTAAATTATATATTACCTGAAACCAATTAATTGTCAGTCACTAAGCTTGTTTTTTTTTGTCTTCGTAGCAAAACTTTTGGTAATTATGAACAAGGAACTAATAAATTATATTTTACAGATAAATCAAACCAAAAGGAATTCCAAATGTTATACCACCTAATAGTGCTATTGGAAGTAAAATTATAGCTGCACATATTAAACAACATGCTAAAAGGACCAAAACTTCTATTGTAAAATAAAATAAACCACGAAGTGTATAAAACAAGAAAACTATGATTGTTGATAAAATTTTTAAAATATTGAATAAAATTCCTAAAATATTGAATAAAATCCCTAAAATATCATAAGAGATGATAAGAAAACTTTCTTTAATTAATTTCCAAGCTTTAGTAAAAAAGTATTTCACTCTAATTCTATAATCAATTGAATATTTTTTCAAAAAATTTTCTAATTTCTCTTTATTAGTCTTTGGTAAACTTGATGAATCCATTAATTTATTATCTTTTAAATCAAAAGGTAATAATTGTTGTTGTTTATAAGGAAATTTTGATTTTATTGGTTCTGGATATGGTACAAGTGTTTCAACATTTTTTTCTAAATCAATTGAGTCCTTTAATTCTTGTATTCTTTTCTGAAAACTTGATTCTCCGAAGTACATTGTTGATAGAGGTTGTAATTTTGTATATATTGTTTGAAAACGAAGAGAATAAAAAGGATGAAGAAGAAGTTGAACTCAAAGCTGTAAGATATAAAATGCTTTGTTTGCTCTGACATTGCTATCATTTCCTGTTCTTTTTTTCAACTTGAACTTTACTTTTTTGTACATATTTTAATTTAATTTGAAATGTTGCAAAAAAACAAAATTGCAGAAAACGTTGTTACACAAAAAATGATCTTGAAACACTAGGTTTATTACCTGAAATCAACCATGATATTTTAAAATATAAAAAATTAATAAATACCAATAAGAATGATGAAAATGTTGCAAGTGACGCTTTATATTGCTTACCAAATTCTATGAATATACTATTATTTAGGCAACGGTTTATAGCTGGATGTGAAGCTAAATCAATTGATTTACAAAGTGGATTTAAAAAATGGGAAAATAGTATAGCCCCATACTTTAGGTTCTTATTGGGGAGCAAGACAAATTATGTTGGAAGTTTGGAAAAATAAAATGAATAAAGAACTAAAAGATGATTGGGTTAATGTTGTTAAAGATTGGGAAATGAATTTAATGCTAAATTGTGTGAACATTTGGAGACTTCATAATTCAAACTTAAAGATATTTTATAAATGAGCTTGCTAATGGAATATACTAAAGAAGTGATCCATAGGTGGTATGATCAGAAGTCACAAGGCATTTTTACGTCATTTATTCCAAAATTAATGTCTTGTATGCTCATCTGTCCTTAAAGAAACCGAGCTTTTGAGAGTTTTTACAATTTATATCTAAATCTCTTTTGGTGGAGCATTGAAATTTGAATTACATGTTGTGAGAAAGATGTGGTTAATTTTTTGGTGTATACGATTAGATTAAACGAAGAATACCTCATAAACATGACCTCACTTTGTTGTCACTAATTTGTCATTCAGATCTTGATTCGTAAAAAAGTTGCCTAAGATCTTAAAATAATGTATTGGCTGTAGGATCTAGATCAAACATTTTAGCATAACCAACTGTCAAGTACATACAACGTTTTTTTGTTAATAACTTTAAACTTCAAAAATCATTGTTCATAATGAAATGTGCACAATTCAGAAACATGTTACAGGCAGGGTTATACCTTTTGCTATTCATCAGTTATGGTATAATTAAGGTAGTATTTTATAAATCAGAACTTAAAACAAAAATGAATGTACTTCGGGAGTTGAACATATATATCATTAATATAAGATTAAGAATTAAAAATCAAGGATATACCCAAAATGCCCAAGACGCAAATTTGAATCAAAGTCCTGATCTTGCGTCTAATACTACCATAGTTAGTTCAACAGATGATGTTTCTCAAAATTCTGAATCAAATAATGTTGATACCACTGCTGTGGCAATTATTCACTTTTTGTGGTCATTTTTCAAAAGAAACTTTGAAACAGAGACTTTAATATCCGAATCATCAAACGGAACATATACAGATGATTATCAAGTAGATTATATTCAAAATGACTTTTCAAACCTAGCAAAACAATATAGAGTTGCACGTATTATCCTTGTTATGCTTTTATCAATTCTTATCGTACCATTGACGCTTATAATTTGGTCTTGTATTGGGCTTAAATTTGGTGATTGCATTGATTAAGTAGTAATATTAATAGCTAATTTTCTGTCCCTTATACAAAATAAATGTGTGCTTTTTTGATAATTATTTTTGTCAAAGTTGTTTTTGAACTTAGTCTCTGTAACGATCTCCTTGACTAATTCAAAGTGCTAATGACTTGACCCTGAATAATATACAACATTAACTCTCTTCAACTATTTTATACAACATAATATTGAATTATTAAAGATCATCATGATATTATTCATACAAAAGTAAAAAGTGTCAACACATTTTGTATTACTCACTTTTGAAAATGAGTAATACGATTCACCAAAAATCAAGCACAATGACCAACACTTCACTGCTGTAGTTTTCGAATCAAAACTTTTGATAATAATGAACAAGAAACTGGTAAATCATGTATTACAATTAATCCACGGCTTGAACAATTCCAAATACTATACCGAAAAGTATACCCGTTGGAAGTAGGAATAGAAGTAAATACATCAAACAATATGCTGAACAACATATTAAAACAAGCAACGAACATATTAAATAACCCAAACATTTGGCTAATAAAATCAAAACTTCTTTTGTAAAATAAAATAAACCACGAATTGTATAATAAATGAAAACTATAATTGTTGATGAAATTTCCAAAATATTAAATGAGATTCCTAGAATATCATTAAAGATAATAATAAAACCTTCTTTAATTAATATTCAAGCTTTATTAAAAGAGTATTTCACTCTAACTTTATAATCAGCTGAATATTTTTGCAATAAATTTTCTAACTTTTCTTCATTGGTTTTTGGAAAAATTGATGAATTCATTAATTTATTATCTTTTATATCAAAAGGTAATAATTGTTGTTGTTTAAATGGAAATTTTGATTTGATAGGTTCTGGATATGATACAATTGTTTCAACATCTTTTTCTTGTATTTTTTTCTTTAAACTTGATTCTTTAAAGTTTATTTGTTGATTGAAGTTGTAATTTTGTATATGTTGTTTGAAAACAAAGAAGATAGACAGGATTAGCAATAAGTTACATCTAATGATTATTAAATAGATAAAACTTTGTTGGTTCTGATAGTGCTAATACTTCCTAATTCAAACAATACTTTATTGTACATGATACTGAGTTTAGTTTTGAATTGTTGCAAAAAAAACTTGCAGAAAGACTGTATGTTACACAAAATAGAATCTTGAAACACTAAGTTTATTATATGAAACCAACCGTTTTAGTTTAAAAATATCATCTGAATTTGATCTTTTGCACATAAAACTCTTTGTTTTTAATAAAATATATGATTAATATACCAGCGAAATATTTTGTAAATGTGTTTAAATCCTGAGCACACCACCATTAATTCCTAATTGATACATTAAAAATCTTATTCCTAAATTTGTCTACATCTAAATTGAGATCAAACACCCACGACATAAGTAATGTCTTGTGAATAAATACATTTTATTCTTTGATTGACGGAATAAATTAACAGATGGTAATTTGTTGCCGTATAAAATGCATCAATAGTTTAGAACTGAACAAAATCCTTAATACTTAGCGGCAATCAAATAAGCAATGCAATCAAAAATAAAGATGATGTGTACTTTTAGATCTAACTCCACCTTGAAATCTAATACCATACTAAGTATCTAGTTATTGCTAAAATTGAAAACATTTTAACTCCAATTAAATCAAACGAAAAATACTCAAACCTCTAACTGTACAGATTAAAGTTGAAATTGAATAGCAGGATATCCATTTAACTCATGACTTGGAAAAAAATGAAAAGGAAATGACTTTTCAGTTGAAAGGTTTGAATTTTTTGAATGAATTGATGATAAAAATGTGTTGAAATTTCAACAAAATAAAGTTTCATACTCTCAAAAAGAAGGTGAAAAAAGTGCCTGATTAATACATGGTTGAAAGAATAATTGAGATCCAACTCGTCCTGAGTATTATAAGTCTAAGTGATTGGTTTGTATTTAGCTAATTATTCAAATTGATTTTATGTTACAAGAGAATCATTGGATGGATATATTATTTAGGATTAATTAGTTAAATTAGGTAAGTTTATTTGGTAGCGACAAAAACACAGTAACTTAACTTGTAAATTGTTACACAAACTACTAAAGCCAAGAAAAATTTGATAGTACTGTATACAGCACTTTAGATTAATTAGATAAAATTTTAAAGCCGATCAACGGAAAATATATTTGAAATATTATAATTTATAATCCATAGCCATTTATTGTAATAAAAGAAAGAAGAGTCAAAGCTATTAGTTTATGAGTTACCTAGCGTTAATGCATTAACAATCTATAGAGGTACACAATGTGGCTAATTAGAAAGGCTTTGAAAGGAATAGAAAAAAGAAGAAGGGCTTAAGAAAATTTAAGAGATTCAATTTATGGCTTTTTTTCAAATTAAATTGAAGAATACATATATTGATTTGATAATAGAGTCAATAAATTTAGTCTATGTAGGATTTAGTAACTAATGGTTAAGTAGTCATAATACAATTCTTTCGTTTATTTATGTGCATTTTGAAGAAGGAAATTTATAATACGAAAAAATACAATTTTTCTCCACTTTAATTGGTTAAAAGAATTACACTTTAAAATTTTATCAATTTAATCTATAAAGTTAATCTACAAATTTTAATTATCAGATGGTTCAATTTTAATTAAAGTTTTAGTACAAAATCATTTTTAATTGAGCGATTTGGAGAGATGATTTTATTGGTAACAGGGTAATTAATCTTTATGTGAATACAATTTAAACATCAATTCTTTAAAATCACCAGACTAATTTCAAATTACAAATTTATACTATCATACAATTCAGAGATGAAACTAAGTTAGCATTGGTTAATTTTTTTCTTTTTTTTAATCAAGTTCCACTGATAAAAGAATGTACTACTACACTCTATCAAAACAATGTTCTATTGATAAACTGTAAATCCATGTATCCTTATGCTGAAATTAAATAAAATTAAAAAAACAATAAACTTCTTTTCATATTTTTCAATTTCATTTGATTGGTTTGTCTCATCTTTATTTATTAACTTAACCTGATATAAATTATAAAGTCCTATACGTTTCTATTGTTTTACTAGTACCACAAAATACACTTTTTTAATATCCTTTATCAAAACCATCTGTCAAACAAATAAAATTATTAGTTAATTTTAAACAATAGAATAATAATAATAATAAAATTTTTTTTTAATTCTCTATACATTTTAATTAATTTTTCAACAAAACATACATACACACTTAAATTTTTTCAAATCAATATAAATATAAACTTATCTCAATTTTCTCCTAAATTGACTAATTGAAATTTGCTCTTCTTTTTCTTCTATTTCTTTTCTTAACTAACTTGTTTCAACCATACCATTCTTTCATTCATTTTAAACTAATTCTTCATTTTAAGTTTCTTGTTTCAAATTTTAAGGGGGAAAGAAATAATTATATTTGTCCAAGAATTAAAAATTATACGAAGCTAATAAAATATTTCTTAGGGGTCAATTGAATAAACTAACATACAAACGAGTTCACTAAATATTGAAATATACTAATCAACTAAGAATTAAACTAATAGCTTAAACTAAAAGGGAAAGGTAAACTCAAATACTACAAAATGGTTAATGTTTTTAATGTTCAAATTTTTTTCATTGTATTTAGAGAATCATTAGAAGCAGTTATAGTTGTATCAGTTTTATTAGCATTTTTAAAACAAGGTTTAGGTAGTTCAACTCAAGATCCTGTTGTTTATAAGAAGCTAAGAAAACAAATTTGGCTAGGGGCGATTTTAGGTGTTATAATATGTTTAATTTTAGGTTGTGCATTTATTGGTGCTTGGTATGGATTAGGTAATGATATTTGGTCAAAATCTGAAGATTTATGGGAAGGTATATTTTGTATAATTGCTACTGTTTTAATTAGTTTAATGGGTATACCAATGTTAAGAATTAATAAAATGAAAGAAAAATGGAGAGTTAAATTAGCTCAAGCTATTGTTAAACCAGTTGGTAAACAAATTGAAAATGGTACTGGTAAGAAAACTACTCATTGGAAATTTAATTTAGCTCAATGGACCAAAAAATATGCTTTATTCATTTTACCATTTATTACTTGTTTAAGAGAAGGTTTAGAAGCAGTTGTTTTTGTTGGAGGTGTTGGTATAAATCAACCTGCAACAAGTTTCCCAATTCCTGTTATAGTTGGATTAATTGCAGGTATTGCTGTTGGAACATTATTATATTATTTTGGTTCAAATTTATCAATGCAAATATTTTTAATTATTTCAACTTGTATATTATATTTAATTGCTGCAGGATTATTTTCAAGAGGTATATGGTATTTTGAAACTTATACTTATAATCAAAAAACTGGTGGAGATGCTTCTGAAAATGGAAGTGGACCAGGTACTTATGATATAGCAAAATCAGTATGGCATGTAAATTGTTGTAATCCAGAAACTGATAATGGTTGGGATATTTTTAATGCCCTTTTGGGATGGCAAAATTCAGCTACTTATGGATCAGTTATAAGTTATAATATTTATTGGTTATTTATTATTGCTGTATTAATGTTAATGCTTTATGAAGAAAAAACAGGACATTTACCATTTACAAAAAATTTAACATTAATAAAATTAAATCCAATGTATTATTTAAAAAATAAAAAGAAACATGAATTATCACAACAAGAAAAAACAGAATTATTTGAAAAAGTTAAATTACATAATTTTAATAATCCAAATGGTGGAGTCAATGAAATTAATGAAAATGATCAAGATGATGTATCAACTGAAAAATTATTAGAATTAGATAATAAAAAAAATTAAAAATAAAATAATTATAATTCAATGATTTTATCAAAGTATCAATTGATATGAAGGATTTTGAAGAAATTAATTACTTAAATTGCACACACACATATATATATAAAGAGGTAATTAATCATTCAAATTTCTTCCATCAATTAATACAACTACATACATTTTCATTTCATTTAATTTACAAACAGGGTTGACATTATTTTTTTACAATTGGGGGATTTTCTGGGGTTTTCTTCTTCATCTTATATATAATAATTACAAATTTTTATAGTTTAAAATAAATATAATATTCACGGGATTAAAGTTACTTAGTTTATTTATTTCTTACCATGACCTATATAATCTAAAAATGATAATTTTTTTGTTGTTTTTTGTCTTTCAATAATTGGTATTGGAATAATTGTGTCATCTTCATCTTCATCATTTTCATCAACAACATTTTCTTCTTCCTTTTTAATTTTTTCATCTTCTTTATCAATATCCATTAAATCTATTGGTTTAATTATTTGAGCTTGCATTATTAATTGTTGTTTATAAGGAAGTTTTAAAAATATCAATGGTTTTTCTAATTTTGATGCTTTTTCATTTTCAATAAGATAAGAATCATTTGAATCTACTTCTTTCTTAGTTGTTTCATCTTCAATTGGTGATTCTTCCATAGATGTTTGTTTTTTGTTCAATAATTCATCTTGTAATTTTAAATCTCTTTCAATTAATCTCTTTTCCCAACTTATATAATTTTTTTCAGGTTTTGGTAAAACTAATTCTTCTTTATTTTTAGTTAAATTTATATTACTTATATTATTTGCTTTTCTAGTTGATCTCATAAGATAACTTGTAGCTTTTTTAATTTTAAATATAGCACAATTATTATAATTTGAAAAAGTTGAACAACCACATTCAACAAAATGTAAAATATTATCAACATAAGTAATTAATGCTGATTTTTCATCATTATTTAAATTTTCAAATTTTAATTGATTATTATTTGAAATTTTTAAAATTGGATGATTTAAATCCCAATCCCATGTTAATCTTAATTCTTCTATTGAATTTTCATCTTTTAAAATTATTGGTTTTGATGTTACTACCAAAAATTTAAATTTATTTTGTTCTGGTATATATATTGATTTTAATTTAACATTTGATGATGAATAACATGATTTTCTAATAAATCTACTTTCATTTCCAACAAATCTTGAATCTATAATAAGATCAATAAAATTTTTGTCATTTAAATTTAAACTAGTTTTTAAAACTTTGGGTTTTGTTGTTCCCCATAATTGATATTGATTTATATTATCGTTAATATAATTTTTAAAAAAATCAATTTCTCCTAAATATTCTATTATTGGAGTGTTTTCAGGTATAATTTTTAAATCATTTGAACTTATAAATAATGATAATTTTGATATCCCATTAAATTTTTGTTTTTGATTATCTGTATATGGTTTAACTTCAATTTTAGTTTGATTAAAATTTTTTAATTTTTTAAATTTATTATTATCTGAAAGATATTTTAAATATTTAGGTCTTATAATTTGACTTAATTGTAATGATTTAAATTGTTTTAATGACATTATTTCTATATTTGTTGATTCTGATAAATTTTCTGGTGATATTTCTTTACCTAAATTTGATAAAAAAGATTTAACTGATTTTCTTTTATAATCATTATCTTTTAATGTATAATAAACTGATTGATATGATTCTGCTGTCATTCCATCTTCTAATAGTTCATTGTTTTTATTTGGTAAATCATCATATTTTGGAGGTTCTTGAAGTGTTGGTGATTGTTGTAGTTGTGGTTGCTGCTGCTGTTGTTGTTGTTGTTGTTGTTGTTGTTGCTGCTGTGAACGTGAATCATTCTTGGAATCTGCATTCACTGGGGATGTACCTTTATCATCAGATTTTCGTTTCTTTTCCGGTTTATCTGAATTCAGCTGTTTTCTTTTATTATTAGCTGGTTCTTTTTTTTCCAATTCATTAGTAATTTTTTCATTATTTTTTTCCAATTCTTGAGTTTCTTCTCTTTCTTTTTCATCTTGATCCATTTTTTCATTTTCTAATCTAATTAATGTTTTTTCTCTTGCAATTAAAGGATCAAATTTATTCCATTTTAATGGATCACAATAATAACATTTATATTCATCTTCTGGAACTTCATCACCATTTTCATATCCCATACATACACAATGTTGCCATCTAAAACATACATCACATTGAATTGTGAATCCATCATCATCTTCTAATCCACATATACAACCAATTAATCCAGAATCGGCATCTACTTGATAGGATGATAATGGAGGGATTTCTTCTACTTTTTGTGTGGTTATTTCTTCTTTTTCAATAAATTTAGGTGTTTCATTTAATGGAGCAATGTTTTCAGTTATTACTTTTTGCTCTGTCTTTTCAGCTATGATTGGAGTAGTAACTTCTTTCGATATAATTCGTTGTTGTTGTTGTTCTCTTTTAGGAAATGGATTTTCAGCAGCTACAGATAAAGCTGCTGCTGCAATCATAGCATTATTATTATCTCTTTCTTTTTTACTTAAATCTATACCTCTTTCATATTTTGTACCAGGTGATGATGAATTTTCTTTTAATTTTGAAGTTATTGGCTGTTCTGAGATTGGTTTTGATTCTGTAGGTTTTTGAAATGTTTCTTCCAGTTCTGGATTATTCATCATTAAACTAATAGAACTTTTTCTAAGAGGTGGTTTAGATTGTGCTGATTTTGATGTTTGAGATTTAAGAATTGGTAAAGCTTGCAGAACCTGCTGCAGCTGTATATTTTGATCATTTCTATTTATAAATGAGTTTTGTTGTGCTGAGTCTATGGATTGAACCGGTATTTGAGGATTTGTTTGAAACTGTGGTGGAGAATATTGATTATTTGATCGTGAATGCTGTTGATAATGTTGTTGTGGTTGTTGTTGAGGTAAAGGTAATGGTTGCGGAAGTGGTTTGGATGATATATTAGGTGATGTTTCACTATTTGATAATGATTGTTGTAATTGTTGATGAGGAGGTGAAATTTCTTTATTATTATTTAAAGGTTGAATATTATTTAAAGGAGGTGATAATATAGTCAGATTAGGTGAGCCTTGATTCAGTTGTTGTTGAGCTGCTACATTAGCGAACATCAATAATGTTGAAGCATCTTGTAATAACTGTTCTTCGTCTTTATTTGCCATTTGATTTTAAGGATTAAGTTGAGACTGATATATCATGTATGAGTTATTACTAAAATTATAAATATTTTGAGTGAATAAAAAACAAGTTTGATAAGTGTTGTGTGCGTATTAACAGTGGTACTTATTCTATATACAAGTATTGGTATATTTGATTAATGATTCTATGGATGTTGTTGTATATATGTTTGATGATATAGGTTCTTTTATAAAGTTGTATTGTTTTTTTTAAATTTATTTTACGACGAGAAAATAGTAACAAAACTGAAATTAGTATAGAAATATATTTTACACAATATTAATGAAACTCGTTTCTATTATTAAATGTCGTATAGAGATATATATCATAAATAATACAGGATTTAACCAGTTTCTTGATTATCATTCCATAAAATTTGGAATCCCTTGATAGATTGAGAGAAAATTTCAAACACTTTCTATAAAACATAATTCATTAACCAAAATGTTCTATTAATTGAACAAAAGTATCTATTTACAACAAGAAGAAACAACTTATAATATACAATAATGGTCCAAATTCACCTTTCTATTAATTCAATTTAATAATTCATTTATCTCCATTCTTATCAACTAGACGCCGTTCCTCCTCCATTTTCTTTTGAGTTTTTTAATTTTTCTAAATATTCAATTTCTTTCTTTAATGTATCCATTGCATAATATATTTTACTTTGTAAATAAAATGAATTACCTTGATCTTTTGAATTTACATTAAATAAATAATTATATTTTTCATCAATTTTATTCATTGTAATTTCATTTTTTTCTAAATTTAAAATCTTGAGAGCTTCTTCTGTTGATATTCCACCTTGTGATGTTGCTTTTGCTGGTCCACCTGCTGCTGCTCCTGCTGCAGATGCTTTTGCTGCTTGTTTATATGCTTCTGTAAATGCTCTTCCAAATACTGATGCACCTGTAAATATTACATTTACTAATAATCTATGAGCCATTTTCTAGTTCTGTGTTGTGTAATATATGCAATAATTATAATATGTAGTAAGTAATAAAGTCTTTGGTATGATTAAAAGTTGGATGAAGTTGGGGGAGTTGAGTCTAAAATAAGATTGATTTGTTAATAGGTTGTATGATTTGAATGACATTAAACTTCGTAAGGTAAAAAAAATTGATTTCGTAAGCTTATTTTACTTGCTACCAAATTTGCGAGATTTAGAAAATATTATTAGTTTTGCGCATTAACGTAACCAATTCAAATATAATCATCAATATCGAATGAAGAGATTATTAGATTTGTATCGTTTAAAGGAGTATTATTTATAAATGTAGCACCATGCATTTATCTGGATAAACATATATGAACCCCAGTAGGTTCATAAAATTACCAGAACTTTATTATTTTTGAAAATACATGTAATAATGCCGTTATCTCATCTAAAAGACCGAAACGAAGTACTGATTGTGGCCAAATTGTTAGTAAGGTCAATCTTATAATACTTAGCTATTGGGTTAATTGTATTTAACTCAATTGAAAGTATACATCTATGATATACTTAAAATAAAGTTAATAAGTCTTTATAAATTATATAGTTGTTATATTATATTAGATATAGTATAACCACTACTGATGATTAAAGAAGAAAGAAAAGAAAAAAAAAGAGAGATTAAAAAGATGAAAAAAAATTTGAAAAATTTATTTTATAGAGATGGATGATATGAAGGTTGGTGGTACTGTATATAATGGTGACAAAACTAGAATTGGTCATATGGTAGCTGTGTGTTATCAATATGTTTCACATTTTATTAATTATTAAATAGTCTATTGAAACAAATTTGGTGGCAAAACCTTCAAATAATTCAAAGAAATTAGGTTATTAGTAGGCCTTAATTTCATTCTGTCGTCTGATATTACTTTATTAAGACGCGTTTTCTCATACAAATTTTAACTTTTAAGTTCATTTATCTTTGAACTTTGAAAAAGCTTATCAAAATCAAATCTACCCGGTTATCCTGCTAGTACTTATCATCAATTAAATAGGGTTTTAAATTTACCTTCATTAGTAAGGTATTAAGTTCTTTAGATTAAATTCACTTCATCAGTGTTTTGAAGTTGTTTTAAATAGTATCCCTTATTAGTCAATAAATTATACTTAATATTACTTAATTTTAGTATTACACATATTTAATAATTTCCTATCAATAAATTATTATTCATAATAATAAAACAATAACAAAAATATATTATTTATTATCAACTACTTTTTACAACCAATATTTAATTTCACTTTCAACCACTAACCAACTCAACTGAATAAAACTATCAACAGCATATGTCATCAGATAGTGAAATATCATATATTTATGTAGATGATGAAGATGAAGATCAAGAAGTAATAGAAATTGACGATGAAGATGAAGATGAAGTAATTGAAATAGAAGATGAAGAAGAAGAAGAAGATGAACATGAGTTAAACGATCAAACATCAGATATATCTTTTGAGTCAGAAGAAGAAGAAGATCAATATAATGATGAAGATATTTTCGACAAAAACACCAAAACTTCAGAAACTCCATCCTCCAAAATCATAGATGATTCAATAAATGTTGGATGTAATGGAACTTTATATTTACCATGGAGTTTAGATCATTTTATTCAAACTCATTTTCTACAATCTTTAAAAAAATTAAAAAATGTTGGATTAAATGAATGTAATGATAATGATTTATTAATAATGTTACAATTTAAAAAATGGCAATCAGATGAAGTATTAGATTCATTTTTCAGTAATAAAGATAAATTTTTACAACAATGTGGTCTACCGTTAAATGATTCAAATAATAAATTTGAAAAATTAAAAGATTTTACTTGTTTTATTTGTTGTGAAACTTATAATCAAGTTGAAACTTATTCATTAACTTGTGATCATAAATATTGTATTGATTGTTATTATAAATATATTATGAATGAAGTAAATAATGGTCAATTAATAAGATGTATGGAACCAGAATGTAAATTATCAATTCCTCATAAAGATATAGCTCATATGATTGCAATAATGGAAGCAGAACATACATTAATAATTGCTGAAAAACCAATTGAAGAAAACCCATTATTTATATCATCAGCAAGAGAATGGATTAATCAAAAAAATAATTTTAAATGGTGTCCAGCAACAGATTGTAAAGGATTTACAGAAGTTGTGAAATCTACTAATACTACTACTTCATCTAGTCAAGAAGAAAATAATCAAAATTCAATAGATATTTCAAAAGTCCCCATTGTTGGTTGTTCAGAACATCATGAATTTTGTTTTGAATGTAATTATGAAAATCATTTACCATGTACTTGTTGGTTAGTTAAAAAATGGATTAAAAAATGTGCAGATGATTCAGAAACTGCTCATTGGATAGATGCTCATACTCATCAATGTCCAAAATGTCATACATCAATTGAAAAAAATGGAGGATGTAATCATATGACATGTAGAAAATGTAAACATGAATTTTGTTGGATTTGTTCAGGAGATTGGAAACAACATAATAATAATTATTCATGTAATAGATTTAAAGATGAAAGAGCAGAAGATGAAATAAGAAAAAATAAAAGTAGACAAACTTTAGAAAGATATTTACATTTTTATAAAAGATATTCAATACATGAAAGTTCAATGAAAGGTGATCAAAAAATTTTAAAAAAAATTGATGAAGTTACAAAATTATATATGGAAGATAGAAGATCTAATAAAAATGAAAATCATTTATCATGGAATGATGTTCAATTTTTACCTGATGCAATGAGATCTTTACAAAATGGTAGAAAAACTTTAAAATGGACTTATTGTTTTGCATTTTATTTAAATAAATCAAATTTTTCACAAATTTTTGAAACAAATCAAGATTTTTTAAATAAAACTGTTGAAGATTTAAGTGAAATTTTTGAAAAAATTATTGCAATAAATAAACCAAATAAAGTTGGTACTATATTAGAAAATAAAATTAAAATTATTAATTTAGCTGAATTAGTAAATCAAAGAAGAAAAACTTTAATTAAATCTGCTGAAGAAAATTTAAAGGATGGGTTGTTATCATTTGAATGATGGTGAGGAGGAGTAGTTATGATGATGAAATCTATGATGATTAATATATAGCAAAATTAAATAGTAATGCACATAATGACTAATTTAAGGTTGTTTTGTCCTCTCTCGGTGTGTAACTCATAAATTGGATTTGTTTTTAAAGTCTGATAATTTACTAGCCCTACTTCAAATTAACTTGAAGGTTACTAGAAGTACAAATTATTGGTATATAAGTATAAAATATGAGATATAGATATTGGTTAAATCGCAATAATAATCTGATACATACGAATATGACACAAAATAGAGTAAGTCACGTGAAGATAAGAGAAAATTAAAGTTTCTTATCAATTGATCTTTATTGATTGATTTGATCAAAGTTTTGAGGATTTAAAGATAACAAATTATTAATTGTATAAGTTGATTTATATTCAAAGAGGACTGATTAAAAGGACCCAGTACTAGTCTCACTTAATACCCCTACCCAATCACCTTTTATTACACCTAATTCACACCTAATGGCTGATCTACGACCGTTATCTCAACATCTGAGAAATGTTGCAAATTTCAATCAAAAATTATTTAATGATAATAGAAATATACAACCACAACAACAATTTGAAGAAAGGGGTAGAACGATAAGTAAAGATTCATTACTTAAACCTGATACAATTGTAAATACTAGAGATGCATCAAGATCAACTTCAGCATCATCTATTAATTTTGTTCCAACTAAAGATCAACAACAACAAAATCGTAAAAAAAGTTCAAGAGCTCATCATGAATTATTACAACAAGCAATATTAAATCAAAATCTGCAGTTTAAATCATCATTAACTAGATCTATCTCGGCTCATGGAATACCTCATATTGATCAAACTCATCAACATATTAAACGACAACTCAATAACACCAAAGATGATCAACAACAATTAAAACAAAGACCTGGGTTTAGAAGATGGAATTCATATCAATTACCCGATTCATTACCTCAAAATGAAGATAATAATTCATCAAATTTCATCAATAAAGATTCTATTAGTCCACTAACTGTATTAAAAGATCAATATGATACTAAAAGACCCATAGTAAATAATGCAATGAATATGTCAACTGATAATTCATATAAAGAATTGGAAAAAATTAAAAAGGATTCTACAGAAGATCAAATAAAGATCCAACCAAATCTTTATGAAAAAATGATTCATATGGCTAATTCTGGAGTAAATTCTTTAAAATCGTTAACTGAAAATGCATTTTCTGAAAAAACATCAAATTTAATTCAAAGTGAACTGGATGATGATGATGATAACAATAACGTTCTTCCTCAAAATGAACAAAAAGATACTCAATATCCTATAGAAAATTTAGAAAATGATTTTAATTTTCCTAATGAATTTAATGAAATGATTAAAGATATAACAAATTTTAAAAATGATGATAATAATTTTCCTAAACTAAATAGAACTCAACAAAAATTAATGGATTATAAAAAGCTTTATGAATATGAATTAGAAAATAATAACACCACCTCAAATTCATTATCTTATGAATTTAAAATTCAAAATGAAAAAATTTTATCTCAATATAATAATATAAGATTACGTTTTTCATCAAGAGAAATAAATAAAAAACAAATTGTAACTGATATTGGAGTATTAGGATTTATTAATAGATATAAACAAAATTTATTATTAAATACTACCAAAAATGCAAATGTTTTATCTTCAAAAGATACTAATGAATTATTAAAAAAAATTTGGGATTCTGAAATATAAGTAAATTTTTGTAAATAGTTTTTAATTAAAATACAGGTGTATCATTTTTTCAGCAACATTTATTCTAAATAATATAGTAATTAACCATATTATTAATAAAATTGGTAATATTCCTCCAACAACAATTAATTGTAAAATCCTTGCAGGATTTTTATAATTCAGTTTTAAAATAGTTGATGTTATAAAGGGCAATGAATTAAATCCATAAAATGAAACAATAAAATAATAACCAATTGATCCAAAATATAAAGTATTACCAATAATTAAACCTAATATGGAATTTTTAATTCTTATTATAGGTAATAAAATAAATTGAACCAAGTATAATAAACACCATATAATTAAAAATGAATTACAATGAATATCAAAACAAAAACCCCATTCAATATAATTTATTGAATATTTTGATATCTGAGAATCTAAATTAAAAATTTTATTAGTAACTATCCATGTAATTGTTGATATTATTATCCCCATTATATAAAAATCTATTATAACCATATACAAGATTAATTTTAAAATATCTATAATGTTAGGTGAATAAGCTAAACCCCATGCAATAGCACTTATAGATAAAAATAAAGTAATTAAAATTAAAAATGAAGGATCATCTCTTGTATAAGAACTAGTTTCATTAGTTTGTATAACTGAAGATATTTGTGAATTATTTGAAATTTGAGATTGAGTAGTATTTAAACCTCCATTTTGAGTTACTTGATGTTTTTGTTGTTGTCTATAATAATAATGAGATCTATACATTTTTCTTGGATTTATAATAAGATGAAATATTTCCCATATAGCAGTTTCAAAATCTAATGTCTTTGGTTTAAATAGCCTTTTTATCATTGTTTTTAAATTTTTAAATTCAATTCTTGATATAAAATTTGATGCTTTTTTAAATTTTTGTTTGTAAGATGTTTTAGAATTATAATGATGTAAATTAGGTCGTGGTAAATAGAATGATGATGGAGTTGATATTATTGAACCTGCTCTTGTTGAATTAGGAGTTTTGGAATTTGATTGAGTTGTCATTGATTGTGGAAATAAATCTTGAGTCGTATAAGGTAGATTAATTCTTTTACTAGACATTTTGTATCTTTGTTTGCTTTGAGATGTAATTGAACTGTATTTGAAGGAATGTTTGATCTAATTGAGAAAGAATTGTGATTATCTCATAAGTTATGGCGTGTTTGTTGGTCACTTGAAGGATAGTAAATTATCAATTTTTCTTCCTGATTTGTACAAATAATTCGTTTTCGTTAAGTGCAGGACCGCTATAATTTTGTACACCAAGCTATACTATATTGAGAGCAATACTTTACAGTTGATCATCTAGGTTGAGCTGAGTTTCATAATTGGGTTCAATTTTAGTCATCGAGTTAAACTGATAATGAGAAAAGATCTTTATTTTTTGAACAATTCTAATTCAGTCTATAAATATTTTAACTATATAAATCTAATCTATCACCAGCTGCTTTTATACGCATACTAGTTCTATTACTTAATTCATAATCACCTTCACCAACAATTTCTGCTTTTTTTAACCAATTTTTACTTTCATTTGCTGCAGATTTTATATCAACATTTTCAGATAATCTTGTTTTTAGCAACCAAATAAACATTGTTTTTTCATAAAATGCAGTTGGATAAATATATGGACTATATGATAATTTATGAAATCTAAATTGTGGTTGATCTGATATTACATATTTTGAAATTACGTGCTGATCTAATATTTTTAAACCTTCTTTTACTTGACCTAATTGTCTTAATATTATAGATTGTAAAAAATATCTAATCATTGCTTCATCTTCTGTTTCTTCAATTTTAGCGTAGGAATGATTTGTAGTATTTGCTGATAATTCAGTATTGGCAGCTCCTGAATATCCTAATAATTTTAAAGCAATTTTAAAATTATCTTGTGTCATTCTATTATATCCATTCCAAAAATATATTAATTCATGAACTAATGAAGTACCAACTAAATCAGCATATGATAAATTTGGATATTGTTTTTTACGATTTTCAATATGTTTACACTTCCTCAACAAAAATTTATCAAATGGCATTTGTTTTCCAGATCCTCCAAGCCCTCCTTTTTTTTGAGCATTTGATCCATGACCAGGTACATAACTTAATGACAATTTCATATATTTTGAAAATAATTCAGAATATTTTTTACTTTCTTCTTCAATATTATCAACTTTGACTAATCCCATTTTAATCATTCTATATTTTTCAAGATAACATGCAGCTGCCATAAATAAATATACAGCTTTTGACCATGAATTAATTTCAATTAAATATATTAAATCTCTTGCTGCTTTATCATATTCATGCATATACATATAAATCATAGCTCTATCAAATACTAATAAAGCTTCAATTTGTTGCATTTGAATCTTATTATTTTTATCATCAGTAAAATTTTGCATTATTGTACTTGCTTTGATTAAATCACCATGAGCAGCTAACATTCTACCTTCTTGTAGTATCCATAATGCATTATGTGGGAAATGATGACGAGCTCTTTTTAATAATTGACCAGTATAATTAGGTGGATCATCCATAATTTTTTGTAATTCACTATCAGAAACAGTAGTTTTATTTTCTAAAGATAGTATATTATTATTTGAAGTTGTATTTGGTAATTTAAATCCAGTATCAACAAATTGTATAGGTCCATCATAAAACATTAATAAAAATAATAATGCTAATTCTCCATGAACATTTCTTGATGTTATGGCAGTTGTCCATAATAATTTTAATCCAATATCTCTATCACCTTTAAATCCAACAATTGATAATACTTTCCCAATAGCTGGTGGAATTAAAGATAACACAACTTGTAAAATCCCAAAACATAATTGAACACCAGAATGAATGAATTCATCAGTTGTTGAAACATGTAAGTGAGAATCAGACACAGGTGATGATTCTGAAGTTTCAACTGATGATAATATAGATTGAGCACTTGAATCAATTGTTGGTTGGGATAAATCATTATTACTTAAATCAGTTGTAGTTGTTAAATTTTCCAAAGCATCTACAAATTCTTCATCATCTGAATTTGAATTTTCATTAATAAATATTTTTGGGGTGTGATTTTGTGGACTATTATTATTACTTTGTTTTATTAAAGTAATTGAACTATTCAGATCTTCAAATAAATTTATATTCTTTTTGGTGGTGTTGTTTCCCAAATTTGTACCTTCAATTCTTGCTTTTCTCATAAGAAATATTTTTTCTAAATTTTTCATTAATTTTAAATCTTGTGGTAATGAAGTTGTTGAACTAGTTTGAGAATCATAACCTGGTAAATCAACTGTACTTATTGAATTATTATTCATAGTCAATCCTTGTTTCAAAGAAGATCCATTTGTTGTAGCTGCTGCTTTTTTCCTTAATTTTGCTAAATTTTTATTGAAAATAGGTTCCAGTTCTTTAATCTTTTTATAAACTGCATCTAAAATTTGATAAGCTTTTCTTAATTTAAATAATGCTTTAGCACTTTCCACCATACCATTATTTTCAGTTAATAACATTAATAAAGCATTTAATAATGTAGATTCAGCTTGAGTAACTTGAAATTCAGTACCTGGAGGATAAATATTTGAAGTTGCTAATTGATATCGTACATTATATTTTGCATTATTAATTGATATATTTTCAGCTTCTGATAATGTCTTATGAGCTTTAGCCATTACTTCAGGTTCAAATCCTAAAGTTGCTTCAATAAATTCCATAACACCCAAGGCTAATGGGAAAACTGCTCTTGGTTGTCCATCAATTGATATAGTTTTAGATTCTTCTTCTAATAATTTAGTTCCTTGATCTGTTCTATCATCTAAAAGATAATCCATAGCCTTTAAAGCAATTTCAAAATCATGTACTTGTCTTATAACTTTTTCATAATTTGATTGATCTGAATTTGGTTCATTTGTTGAATCTATACTTTGATTTGAAGTAGTTGTATAAAGTGAAAGAATTGAAGCTTTCTTTCTCAACCCTTTGAACATAACTTATGAGTTGAAATGAAGGTGAATTGAAGTAAATAAAATTGTAAAATATGCAATATATGAATTGAATAATGATTTGCTAGTATTTGTAATATATATGACGTAAAAATATAATAAATATGAATTTTTCAAAATTTTTGATTATATATAATGAATATTCTAATCTAATTGAATTGAAAAAGTGTTGATAAGTAGACAATGATTTTGAAGAAGTAAACTTATGATTGTTGGACAATCCAGTTCAGCCTATTGTATGTGAAAAAAAATAAATATCTATCATCAATGAAATATATTTTGTTACTGATAATCAGGACGAGAGACGATTGAAATTTTTAATAAACAAAAGGTGAACAAGTTAATGTATTATTACTTAAAATCTCTATTGTTATAGTTATAAAGTTATAATTTACGTTTAAAACAACTGAGTGATTTTTAAAATTTTAAGGCAACTAATTTGGCCGATTTAAAAGTTTAAAATTCCCCAAATGGGGCAGGTTTTAACTGAACATATCTTATTTGGGTTCAAATTTGTAAGGTATTAGCTTGGACAATTAAGGTTTTACGAATTTATACTCACTCAGGTAGTCAAGTAATGAACTTTAGTCAAATATTAACATGAGAGTAATAATATTAATATATCGATACATTCTGACATCATCAATATGTAAAATAATTGAAAATCAGAAATAAAAAATGAAAAAAGAAATAACGTTGTGTTAGATCTCCTATTTAAATTTCTTTCTCATATGCAGTAATATTGGTTGCAAAGCCTTCTTCTTGACCTTACATGAACGACTTATTTAATTTATCATACAGCAAATGTGATATTTCTTCCGCTGAATTCAAATCGAGGCTAGTGAATTATTGAAGCTTTTAGTAAAGAAATGAAGATGTATAATTGAGTTTGAGATTTTAAATTTTCGTTTCATAGTAGTACCAAAAGTCTAATACAAAATTATAAAACTCGGTTGGTAGCAATATCTTCTTTTGGCTGCAAAATTATTACCATGAATCTTGAGATCTAATGACATATCAAATAACCTAGATTTGACAAAACAGACAACACTTCATTATTTTTGACTAGTGTAAAGAAAAAAGGAAGAAAGACAGTTTTCTTATTTTATAACAAATCAGTGCATTTTGCTAATTATACTGTAACGTTATATAAACCTCACAAATATCCTTAATATGGCTAGATTATTAAGTCGAATTTTTAGAGGTATAACTCATAATAAGAACAAAGAAGACCAAAAATGTAAAAATTCATTACCATTTGATAAAATTCCACAAATTTTTGATGATTCAATAGGTGATGGTGATATTTCAAGACTTGAACAAAAATTAACAGATGAAGAAACATTACAAAATTTCAATCATTCAGATGTATTTGGGGCAATTTCAAATGATGCTGTGGTTTTTATAATTAAAATGTATGATTTAATTGAAGATTTAAATACATTACAAGTTTCAGAAAAAAGTGAAGAAGTAAAATTAAATTATAGAACTGAATTTGATGAAAGATTTAAAATCATTTTAAATAATTTAATCTATGTCAAAGAAAATGATTTTCAAAAATCTGAATTAGAAATTATAAAATTTTTATTTCAAGAATTAAAAAATTCAAGAAATGTCATATTATTAAGTAATAAATTAAAACCAATTGAAAATATAAATAATGATTTGAAAACTAGTATATTTCAATATTTTAAAGAAATTTGGTGTTTTGAAATATCAACTTCAATTAATGATGAATTTATGATCGATTTATATTCAATAAGTTTAAAAATTTGGGAAATGAAAATTATTTCATTAGTTGTATCCCAACAAGAATAACAATCAATTCAAAATATATTTACAACAAAATGTTGTGATAATATTAAACTTTTTATAAAAGTTTTATAAAAGTGTTTTAACTCTAATAGTTAAAATCAATATCGCTATAATTCTATAAATAATTAAACATATAATCAATGCACTAAAATAAACTTTTAAATTATGATTTAAATTATAATATTCTAATACCTTTTTACCAGTATTTAATATTGCTTCCGTACCACTGTTGTTATATTCAAAAATTTGATTTTGAAAACCTAATTTTGCACATATTCCAACTGCATATTTTAAAGGATTAATCCAATTCCAAGCTCTGAAAAAAATAGGCATTTGTAAACTCATTGTACCTGCCATAAATACTGCAATTGTCATTAAAATCCCCAAGATATTTGTAGCTACTCCTAAATGATCAAATATACTTAACATTATAATACCTAATGATTCTCCAATATTTATAGATGCAAAACATGAAAAAAACATTCCAAAATACATTGCTGGATTTCTTGGTAATCCAATTGGAAATACAATTAAAGCACTAAATATTAATGTAGGTATAATTTCTCCAGGTAATTCATTAATTAAATAAGATAATATAAATTCGTTTACACCATATAATCCATCTTTATATTCTTGATAAAAAATATCTCTTTCCTTTGGATATAATGAAATATTATTAATCAATCCAATAAAATATAAATTTAAAACTTCTTGAATTAAACCTAATCTATTTTGTATACCTGCTTGATTATTTTTTAAAGGAGTGAAATAAATAACATGAACTACTCCTAATAAAATGACTTGAATAATTCTTGTAAATAATATATCAACTGATCTCCATGTTGTTATAAATTGTCTTTTGGTTAATGTTGATAATACTATGGGAAACGGAACACGTTTAACTTGATAACTTCTCAAATCTATTTGTTTTTTCTCTTCAAGTATTGGATATTCAATTGGTAAAAAGTTAAATCCTGAAGCTAAATTATCCAAAATACAATTGATAATGTTTGTTTCTACTGAAAATCCATTAAATTGCAAATAACCAACTAATTGAGATTTCATCCCATCAAATAAAACTTTTCCATGATTTAAAATTAATAATCTATCAAATAAATCAATCATATCTTCATTAGGTTGATGGATAGTAGTAATAATAGTAGTACCTTCAATTTGTGCTAAATTTTTTAACATCTTTAATATTGATAAAGCAGTTTGTGAATCTAATCCTGATGTTGGTTCATCTAAAAACATTATACTATGACGAGATAATAATTGAATAGCAATTGATGTTCTTCTTTTTTCACCTCCTGATATACCTTTTGTAAATTCTGATCCAATCATTCTATCTGCACAATCAATTAGTCCAACTTTTCTAATTAATGAATTTACAATTGATGGGATATGATCTTGATCTGATGGAGGTAAACGTAATTTTGCTTGATAATATAATGTTTCTCTAACTGATAAAGTCGGGATTAAACTTGAATCATTTTGAGCAACAAAAGATGATATATTTGATAGTTCTTTTGGACTTAATGGTTGAATTGAATTTATTGATAAAAAATTTCCATCAGATACTAATCCACTAGGCAATCTATTTGATAATAGTTTTAGTAAAGATGTCTTACCACTACCTGATGGACCTATAATGACATTTAAAGATGATGATTGGAATGATGCATTTATATCTTGTAAAATCCAAGTAGGTGTTTGTGAATTGGTTTGTAAATTTATATGATCAAGCCTTATATTGAATGAAGATGCATCTTTAGTTTTAGCTATTGGTTCTTGATTCAGTATTGTTTTCTCTGAATCAATATTAATCTCTATATCAGACTCTTCATCATTTCCAATTTTATTTTCAACACTTTTTGACATTTGTGTATCATAAGATCTAAAACTTAATGCAATCCAAGCTAATAAATAAAATCCAAATAACCAAGCTATCAAAATTCCAATTGGTTCTGCAATCCAACCTTTAGGAAGATCTAATAATTTTAATTGATAATTACCTGTATATTGCACACATCTTTCATCACCAGTCTTAAAAGGACAATCCCCCACCCAATTAGTGAATTGATTTGCACTTGATGCACCAAATCCATACCAAAAATAAGAAATATATTTAGTCCATCTAATCCAACCTAATGGATGTATTACAAAATATCCACATGAACTATTTAATAATTGATAAATAAAATTTAAATACATTGTAGATAATGCAAAATCATTCCCTATTGCAAAACATAACATTCCAACAGACATACCAATTAAAGTAATTAAAATTGAAATAATAAAATATATAAAAAAATGTCCAACACCTGATCTTAATCCCCACATGAAATAAGTTATTGCTGCAAAGATAGCACCAATAGGTATAGTTTCCAAAATAGATATAGTTATAAATCTTGATAAAATAAAAATTATAGGAGTTACATTATGTTGTCTATATTCTCTAATATAATTTCTACCATCAAATTGCCATAATTTTTCAAGTTCAACAAAAACTGGAGTAAAAGCTAGGAATTCCATCATTACATAAAGTACTGAAGTTAATGATCTTATACCTGATAAGTTTGGTATTGGTTTATAAAATATCCAACCTGCTATTGCTGCAACAATTGCACTTCCACCATTCATTGATAATAAGATTAACCTATCCCTTGAAGTTATTAAAAAAGTTCGCTTAATATGAATCCATAATTCGATGAAGAAAGGTACTTTATTCTTCCTCGGTCGTATAAATAATTTGGGTAGTTCTGATAGAGGTTGAGAAGATTCAATGTTTGACCAAGATTTTGTTTCATCCCAATTTTCAACTAACTTTTTGATTCTTTCTTCATTTTTGATTTCACTTGTTTTAGTTGACATGTCCTTGACTGCTAATTTCATTATATAATCAATATAATTAGATGATTTAGTTTCAGAATCTATTTTTAAAAAATCTAGTTCTTTAAAATATGTTATCATATTACTTGGTGTTCCATAATAAATCATTCTTCCACCCATGGTTAATAAACACACTTTATCAAATAATTGTGTAACTTCAACCCTTGGTTGATGAATAGATAGTATAATAGTAATTCCAATTTCTGGACTCGCTAGTTTTCTAAGTAATCTCATTAATGTTAAAGAACTCAAAGAATCTAAACCTGTTGTTGGTTCATCTAAAGCTAAAATAGTAGGTTGATCCAACAATATAATTGCTATTGACAATCGTCTTTGTTCACCACCTGATAATGATATCTTTTTAGAAAATGACATGACAATAGTATCTCTTAAATGTTCTATTTCCAAAATGTTTAGTAAATATTCAATATATTCCAATTGTTCATCTTTACTAGCATTAGGTTGTTTTAATTCTGCTTGAAATTTTAAAATTTCAAAAACTGTTAATCCAGGTAAAAAAATATCATCTTGTAATAAATATGAACTATTGATATGTTTCAAATTCGAAATGGTTGAATAATTTACAATACCAGTAAACTTTAATTTTTTATTTTTGAAATTGATTCTACCTAATAATGTATTTAATAAAGTAGTCTTACCACTTCCACTTCCTCCCATGATAGCCATGATTTCTCCACATGGTAAATCAAATGAAACATTATTTAATATTTTAGGTATATCATAGTTACTTTCTGTATCAATTTGTTTCTTCTTTTTCTCCAAAACTTCAATTGTTAAATTTCTAACTTTTAATGAAACTCTATTAGATTCGGAAACAATTAATAAATTTTTCATCTTATAGATTCATTTTCAAAATTTTCAAATAAATATCGATTTTCGAAAAGAAATCATGAATGATTATGATTCATGATTACATCTCGACTTCGAATATTATTCTTCTTCAATGAAACAATAAGTGAGGTTATTAATAGATTTGACATATGTGTGTATGAGCTCTGATCAAAATATAGCTTAAAATTTGGCTTAGTACCTATTGTATTTTTTAAATTCATAATTGCGAATTTAACATCATGATGAATAATACCCGTGGGCAACCGACCATGTTTCAGAATTTTCATATAATTTTATATGCTGATGCCACATGATTCAAATTGATTTGCCGGATCGATCCATTAATTGTGCTTCCCAATGATTCCGAAAACTCTAGTGACAATTCTCGACTGAGGTTAGTTCTATTTTGATAATAGTGGACACAAGATACTATGAAGGTGTGAGAAATTCAATGAGGTTGAACAGATCGTTTTCTTTGACTCTGGTTGTATATGATGTTTGAACACATTCTCTTATATTATGAATACTTCTATGTTTAAATCGAATCAACATCAATCTTTGTGATAATGAAGTTGGTCTAGATCTACTTTTCACCGCGAAACCCGGCTTATGAAAATATTATTGAGTTACGGATTTTCCTGCAAGATATCATTGATCGAAATCTCACACTTATTTAAGAACTCTATTCGATGCATATTGAATGAAAGAGTATATAGAATGAGTAGAAATGAATTTCCAGAATCTGAAATGATAGTGCTAAAGATGATAAGTCTTTAATAAAAACTTTAAGTATCATGTCTTTTGAGATTAATTATAGCTAATTTGGCTGCAAAAAATAGTAAAATTGGTTAATAGTTGAACAATCTCAACAAAATAGTGTAAAACATAACGAAAAGAGTACGAAGGAACTTTAAAATTAAATAAGTACTTAATTTTATTGAACCTGAGTCTACATAAATTCAATCTAAGTTGTTCATTAACTGTGAAAAATACAGACTTCACCTTATTCTTATGGTTTTTCTCGCAATAAATCTTGCTGGGTAAGTCATGAAATAAGTTGAAGAATTATCGAAAATATTAGCTTAGCCACTCTTCACATTGCAATTTGAAACAATGTTTATTAGACATATAGTAGAGCCAAGTTCTTTCAATTCGACCCCTCATGGGACTATGTTTACTGTAAATCTAAGTTCATTTGCGCGAAATTTTAAAATTAAACGTGTTTTGTTTACATTAAACAAACTAACTTTCAAAATAAGATAAGCAATTGAATTCTTCTTCAAAGACTTATCAACATTATATTTACATCAAGCGTCAATCAATCATTTCAACCAAACTTACTGAGTAAACAGATCAATCAGTGTTATAATTATTTACAAATCAAACTTATTATTATTGAAATCATAATATTTTACTTTATTTAATCGTTCAAATCACTAATGTCTTTGATAAACGGAGTATATGAATATCCAACGTGGATCAAAGATTTGCTCAATACAGAATCAGTACAAAAAGTTTTAAATGATGAATCTATCATTAGCGCATATTGGAAAAGTGTTATTTTAAATCCAGCAGTAGATACAATTACTTTAATAATATTCAATTCTCCACAATATCAAAACAAACTAAAGGATCCCGAATATATCAAATTATTAACAGATGAAAACATTCCAGCAGAAATTAGAATTCAAAAATTATTCAGACCATATTCTTTACCAAAAGAGTTATATAAAAATATTTGTCAATTTCATCTTACACTAGAACAATATGATCGATGGTTAAAGTGTATCAAACAAGTATCACCAATTAACGTGAAAGAAACAAGAAGAACAAAACAGAGGTATCAATGGGTTGAAATTTTTGTTTGTGATAGAGCTGGATTTCGAAAATCAGTTTATAAAACAGGTGTACCTCAAAAAAACATGAAACCAAGTAAAACATGTGGTTGTAATTATAGAATTAATGCAAAATTATTGAAGAATGGATTTGTTAGGGTAAATTGGCAATGGAAACATCATAATCATTTCATGTTTGGAGAAATTAAAAATAGTAAAACCAAGATTAATTCAGAATCGTTGGAAATACTGAATGAGTTGTTGAATATGGGTATTGATGATTTTGGTTTAACGCAAAGTCAAATGAAAAGTATTAAAAGAAATGAGGAAGGAGCATATTTAGTTGAATCGTCACAGATGTTAAGAGTCAGACATGGATCAGTGGAAATGAATAATGAAGCAAATTATGCCAACAATGAAAGAGGAACAAAGCGTTGTAGAATAGATTATGATCATGAAGAAGGTTCAGATACGGTTCCAAGTATGGATACGATATCGAGAAAACTCGAGGAAATAAATCGTGAATTTGAGCAGTTGCAAAATAAAGGTAGGGAAATAATCTTGGAGAAAAGAAATGATTTTATGAGATATACTAATGCTATGATATCTATTCTTGAAGAAAGTTTGAATTATAATGGAGAATTAGATCGTGGAGCAATAAATAATGGATAACCATAGGTATTAATTAAACTGAAATTATAATTGTAAATTTAAAAAATTAATTTAAGTATTCCACGCTTATTGATTTTTTCTCAAAATCTCTCTTTATAAATTTTCATCAACATACTTTGATTTGAAAGATGTTTCCTTGAGAGTTTCAGAATTGATTCATAAATTTCACACCGAATTACTTGAAATAAGACTTTCAATTGGAGAAATGTTATGAAAAAATCCCCACATTTGGGTAAAATTTCATAATTTATTCACATTTCAATGTCAATGATACTGAAGATACATTATTTTAAGAATTAAATGATAGTGAAAACTTGATATTTTAAAAATTGTAACAATAGGCTATCCAAATATTAAGTTTGTGTAACTATAAAATGTGTTACAAAACGGTGAAATTTTAGTAAGAATGAAACTTTAGAATAATAGATGAAAATTATCCATAGACGTTACAATCTCGGTGTATAATCGGAAATGAAATTAATATATGCTGATGAAAAGTGATGGATCTTGAATGGTATAAATAGAGCTCGAAAATACCTTTGATTACCCGTATAGAATTCATAAGAACAACAACTACGTCTTGTTCACCATTTAAATACAGTCACTACCACTATTGCTAATCCAGCTGACACCACCAATAGATCAATTAGGTAAGTAAAAATCAATCTTCATCATTGAAGAGATTAAAATTTCAATAAATGAATTAAATACATAATTAATTATGGGGTAGGTCAAGTGAACTTATTCTCAATAAAAGACATCAAGCCTCCTAAAAAAAAGGAAAGAGGAAAGCAAAACTCATGATGGATCAAATGAATGAAGATCCAAACATGACAGAGACTCATTAGATAGGGGTCTTGATTAATGTCATCATTAAATTCTTTTACCAACGCGAATTGGTAGATATTGGTTGATGATTTGATTGGATTCAAGAAGATCCCCTTTCATGTCTCATCATTTTTTGGATGAGGAGGTTTTATATCCTTTAATGAAAATGAGTTAACTTGACCCATTTTCCTTGAAGGATACAAAACCTCAATTGATGTAGTATTTCATCATTTCCTAATTCGTCTGGTTGAATAGTTGATTTAGGATGAATTGCATCTGTTGAACTATTTTAATATTCCTTTCCATCGTTCCTCATTATTCCTACGAGAAGGCTTGAGGTCTTTAAATGAAAATGAGTTTACTTGAATGCAAATTATCAACATACTTATCAGTATCAAACACAAATTTACTAACATAATTATTTTCTTTACTAATTATCATATTGAGATCTCTCGAATTTTAGAAGGAAGAGAAAATTTCTACACGAGGGATCTAATTAAAAAACTGGATATCTGAGCAGTCTTAGTAAACTGTTAAAACGAAAATCAGTTTCTCTTTATTGTAATCATTGACATTGCTTGCACATATTTTGCCAAATACCAACAAGCCATAATCTTGTAATTTCTCTCGTATATTCACTACCATATGACTTTTACGCTTTGTACTCTTTGCGATATCTTGCATTTAATCCCAAATAGGAAAGATGAAAATATAACTTACTGAAATCAATTAAATCGATACTCAACAACCAAACATCGTAGAGAGTGATTCTCACAATTGTATATTTCGATGAATTCGATGTTCATGAAAATTTCATCTTCAGAACTATGTAGCTCACTAAAACTAGAAGTCTAAAATGATGTTTTCTTGACTGTTTTAATATTTGAGTCTAAAAAATCATACAACATCAATTTAACTAAAAATTGTGGTTCGATGACTTTTTTCCTAGCAGAAATAACTCGACAAAACATTTCATCTTAGCAAAGGTTTTCTTTCAAAGCTGTTCATTTCAAACACGCTATTTGAAGTCAGGGGAATTCTCAATATATATAACAAGATGTGCTTGAAAACCTGACATCATTTGATATTTGTTTTGTAAAAGTTACTCAAATTTGACAATATAGTTTTGTGAGTATCAAAAAATTTTCAGCACGTCGAAAATCAATTTTTAATTTGTAGATCATTTTATGATTTACATTTTTACGAGATTGTTTTTTGTTTATGTAATTTTTGTATTTTCCAATGTGGACAGTTTTTTTTTAATTCAACAGATATGCAATGCACTAGAAAACCTCGACCTACAATGATAAAATAAAATTTTCTGATAATTTGCATCGATTAATGAATACATTACGGTAGAGCTTAGATGAATGAGATAAGAGTGTTCACCTCGATTTCAGCAATAGATTTGTTCTAGAACATTGAACTTAAAAAAAATTTCTTTTTTCAAATGATTTTCAAACTAAGGTGTGAATTTACATTTTGCAACAAACCTGTAATAAGAGTTTGTACTTGATTTAAAAATCATAATACGAAAACACGCCCAGAATGAATTTTTATTGTTTTCTATTTACTTTTTTGTTGCATTTGCAATTTATTCAACATTTAGTCTTAAATTAATTTAGGGTGAACTAATTCAAAGTAACATTGAAGAATAAGTACAATTAAGGAGCTGCAAGTACTGGGATCTAGACTTCGAGTTTGAGGATTCACTTTTTGAATCAAATTCGAATATATCAGGAACTTATTAATTCATAAAGTATATAGAAAAGATTTTGATCTTCTCTATGGATATGTGGATCTTGCATAAGGTCGATCTCAGATCTGATTTTTTGAGTCTTCAATTTTAATTAAAAAAACTTTTGTTTTTGTTTGTTTGGTTAAGACCGATTCTAAAATTTGTAGTAACAAAACATAAACTATCTCTTATTGCATAACGGTAATCCATGTTGCACCACTTTGGTCAACGTGGTTTGTAGTGGGTTTTCAAAATCAAGAGAGATTTGTAACTCATCATAAGAAATTGATGAAAATTAGATCTACAAATATGCATTCTTAATTTTGTGCTGTAGAAGTTAAAACAAAATCATCAGGAGGTTCAAAGTTTAAATTAAATCTTAATAAAATTTCTAATCAAGTTAATAATCGCATCGAAATTGTTTAAAATTAGAAAATAGAAAAAAATAAATGTGCATTGTAAATCTAAACGTTTTTTTTTATGCAAACTTTACATTGCAACAACTTTAAACTTTGAATATAAAAGATAAACTTAAAGAATGAAACATCGTTAAATGAATACCCCGAAATTTCAACACAACATTGATCCAGAAATAAGGGGCAACCTGAGAAGAAAATAACTTTCAAAAATGCTGGTACTTGATTAAAGTTACATGCAATTTTCAAAGCTCAGCAATAATCGTTCAATATATTGTTTTTTTTTTACTTGCAAAACTTCTTAATAAAATTAAAATTTTATATTAGATCTAAAGTTATTACACAAAATTGTCGTAAATTTTTGTAACCAATTAAAACACAATAATAAATTATCATTTTGGGTATTAAAAAATCCAAATGTAGCATCAGATTTCTTAATTGGTAAAACGTTTAAAGAAAAATCGGACTAACATTTAAATTATACAAACCAATCTAGTGTGTTAGGACTTAATGATGATTTGCTACTGGGGATGAAATTTGTCAACCAATCTTGAGGTTGTGTTACATTCACTGTTTAATCCTCGTGTTTCATTAACCATGTATCCCATATGATTCAAGAAAATAATGAAATTCTTTTGATTTAAAGTTGAAGTTGTATTTCGATTTGAGAATTTTATAAGGTTTGGATCTAGAAGTTAAACTGTAATTAATTATGTTTTTACTCTATCCACATTCTTTGAAAACTTGTTTTGATAACTCCCACAATTACTGGCTAAACTTGCCTGTAAAATATTACATCAACCTTGTTGACTCAACAAATATGGAATGGTTATGATAAAAAAAAGATTTACAATATCAACAATTTCGTAGTTATTAATTATGAATCTCTTGCATATAGTACAAATATGTAATTCCATGTAGCATGTAATATAATTTTTGGTTTTGTGTTTTTTGCAGTCAAATAAAAAAAAAATGCTTGATTTATTATATTTGTTTGTTTTGAAAATTAAATAATTTCAAATTTGGTGTTTTCTTTAGTATAATCAAATGTGTAAATTATTACAACTTCTCCACCAGCATTTGATTAATAAGGATATTTTTGAGTTACAGATCATATATAAAACCTTCACAATTTCCTAATAATTATTATTTTTCATGATTTGATCTGTTTCAATTTTTTGTTTCATATTTTATAAACCATTCATTAGTACAATCAAACTTTATATAACTTCTTGTTATAAGAAAAACACCCACATTCATTAATAAATCATCTTGAATCACTAAATAATACCCATTTTTAACTACTACATTCGTTACAACAAATAAAAATTTCTAATGAAATTACAAAATACTTTACTTGCAACTGCTGCTGCATTTATTGCCACTACTGAGGCAGCTCCTCTTTGGTTTACTTATTGGGTTACTGCTCAAACAACTAGTACAAAAATAGCTACTGTATACTCAGGTTATACAACAAGTTTTTCATTCTCAACTGTATATGGTCCTCCACCTCAAGTAGCTGCTACAAGAACAACTTCTAGTACAACATCTAGAGCAACTACAACTTCAGCTAGATCATCTTCATCAACAACTGCTTCAAGTACATCTGTACGTTCAACTTCTACATCAGCTTCAACTACTCCATTAACAACTTCAATCACAACCACATCAAGCTCCTCAAGTTCTTCAAGCTCCTCAAGCTCAGCCATTACCACAACCTCATCTACTTCAACTTCATCTTCATCAACTACTTCAAGCTCAAGATCAACTTCAACCTCAGCTTCATCAAGTTCATCAAGCTCTTCAACTTCTTCCTCAGCAACAACAACTTCATCTTCATCTTCAACTGCTGCTCCAAGTTCTACTACTTCATCCACATCATCCACATCAGCTACTTCCTCAACGACAATAAATAACGCACCTACTTCAGATATTGCGTTCGCTAATGAAATTTTAGGTGAACATAATAGATTAAGAGCTTTACATGGTGCACAACCTTTACATTGGAACAATACTTTAGCCGAGTATGCTGCTAACTATGCAGCTACACATTTCGACTGTAATAACGTTCAATTGATTCATTCTGGAGGTCCTTATGGAGAAAACTTAGCTGCTGGTTATGTTGGTGGAATTGACCCAACTGATGCTTGGTATGATGAAATAAAAGACTACAACTTCAATAATCCTGGTTACTCCACTGCTACAGGCCACTTCACACAGGTTGTATGGGCCTCAACTACACAGCTAGGATGTGCAAGAATTTTGTGTTCTAATGCATGGCGGCAATATTCTATTTGTGAATATTCTCAGCAACGTGGGAATATAGTGGGAACCAATCCAGCTACAGGTAATAGCTTCTTTGCTGATAATGTTTTGCCACCACTTGCTTAGGAATTTTGTCGTTTTTTGGTGTATAGATGGTTCAAATAGGTTCAAATAGGTTCAAATAAGTTCAAAAATCAATCACAAAAACAAGGTTTTTAGAGTTTTTGTGTAAAATAAATATGCAGTCTTTGTTTTTGTGTAAAAAAATTTATTAATCAGTATTTTACAGCTTTTAAATATTGATGAATTATAGAAAATTGAAATCATTTAGACCTCTGATCCAGAGTGCTTATCGACAGTAGTACCTTAGTAAACCTTTGTGAAAACAAAATGAAAAGATTTGAGACTCTATTTTAGTTTGAGTATATCATGTTATCAAGTTTCTTATTCAAATGCATGGCGGCAAATATTCTATTTGTGAATATTCTCAGCAACGTGGGAATATAGTGGGAACCAATCCAGCTACAGGTAATAGCTTCTTTGCTGATAATGTTTTGCCACCACTTGCTTAGGAATTTTGTCGTTTTTTGGTGTATAGATGGTTCAAATAGGTTCAAATAGGTTCAAATAAGTTCAAAAATCAATCACAAAAACAAGGTTTTTAGAGTTTTTGTGTAAAAAATTTGTTGGTTAATATTTTTGCAACTTTTAAAAATTGATGAATTGTAGAAATTAGAGTCCTCAGACCCCTATCCCGGTGCGTGAATTAAGATGAGCATGTAACTAGCAGCCAAATTGAGTAAACAATTGATAATTTTATATAGCATACCGTCCAACTTATAAGGAAGGGCTTAATAATATAAAAGTGAAAAAAGTCATACACAAATTGATTTTGAAAAAAAAGAGAATTACTTCTTGTTTCAACTTATGAAGCTGCCTAAGACAACGCACTGTAATAATTATTCAACTTAGGTTTATAATCGTGAAGTTGCTACAATCAATAGAAATAGACTGACGCTGAATTTTCAAGAAATAACAGACCGAAGAAGTGAAGATTGCCGTAACAAAACACTTCATTAAAATTGATAAATGACTGTTTCGTAAAGATATGTTCATCTATCACAATTGATGAAGAGATCATTGTTTTCACCAATCATTGTTCTTCGACTTCTAAATATTATGACGACTTCGCTCGTCTTGATTCAAGAATAGAAGCTTGACATGTTTTTGTTTTTTCGATCAAACCAGTTATTTATGAAATTAGTAGCCTAGCTTGTTAAACATGTTAGCTCAAAAGTTTTTTGTTGATCTCGAAGTCATATTGGTAATAGAATATTTCAGGGATACAAGAAGCTCAAGATTTCTTCATACCAAATACTTTATTAGTCTACTCCTTGTTTTTCCATTATATTTAGTTCGTGAGTTGATTTAAGAGATGTTACCAAGATCAGCAATCTCATTCGATTGATATTTGTAGCTCTCATTTTATAGAAGTCTCCTATCTTTTTAGAGTTCAATGTATTTTATCATAGTAAGTTACAAAAATGCGTATTATTAATTACTATTAGTCAACTACATTTAACAGGGGTACTTTTCGACTCATATAACGGTTTACATAATCTAAATAGATTCACCATAATGGACTACAAAAGTTAACATGTGTGAAACATCAAAATTGTTCAAAACACACACTAACCAATATCATTAATTTATTACTCCTCCACTCCATTTTTAATTTTTAGACCTGCTAATTTAGATCCGTATACACTTCAAAAGAAATTAATCAAGTGTAGTACGTTGGTGGTTTCAGATTCTGATTAGAAATTTGAAAATGAACCATTCGTTTTTAAAAGTTATTCCTTTTCGAGAATAAATTTTATTTATGCTCACATTGTTACACTTTTATTCGACAAGATTCTACATTCACTAAATTTTAAAATTGCCCATAATCATTTCGTGATGTTTAGTTTTGATAAGAACTAGAATAAATATCACACGAAAAATTAAAAAAATAATGATGGACTATAACTATATGCACGCATGTAAAGTTATATGCACGCATGTAAAGTTATATGCACGCATGTAAGAAGGCTATGTTTGCAAAAGGTAACAAAGTGATACTCATAAAAATAAACATTGATATCCATTCAAATTTGGCAAACTGTTTAACATTAATTTGTGTCATTGCTACTTCTTGAGTCGATATTATTGTTCACAGTATAAACTATTTTTGCAATTAAATCAATACACAGAAGTAGAGTTGAGAGAAATACAAAGCATAACAAGCTATGGATTTACTATTGGTCAGATAATTTTTTAAAGTATGACTTATGAAGTAGGTCTATTAATGGTGTTGACACTCACTACTGAGCTTTAATTTCGTTCTTGAATCTCTTTAAAAACAAATTTTTTGTTTCAGATATGTTACACAAAAAAAGATTATTCAAATGCTAATGGTCTTAAAATTATTAATTTAACAATTTGAATCTCCCTTGTTTGATTCCCTTAAAACAAGTTCTTAGTAAAAAAGTAGCCTGTTTTTAAGGCCTAAAAAGTAATCGATTTTCATTCGTGTAATGATGTATTCAGTAGAGACTACAAATGGGATTAATAAGTTAAACTTCGTGTGAAAGAATAATTGTTGAGGGAATAAGAAAAATCATTTCTAAAAATAGTAACGTTTCAGATTTGCGATTTTTTTGACGATAAATTATCACGAAAAAACTGAGATCTTCGATATTATAATTTATCATTTTTGAGTCTTTTAAGTTCCTTTCTTTCATCCTCTTTCAATCTACTTTGTAATTAGCTTTTATGCAAATTTAGTCAACATACTATAGGGCTTATCAGAAACTATATACAAGCCCTACATTGCTCACGAAAGTATTATTGAACTCAAGATCTTTCAATATCCAGCTACCAGGATTTTTTAATTTATTATAACTAATTAATGAACATTAATATGTTTCAGATTAAATTCTTGAGTACAAGCACCAGGAGTTACTTTAAATCACAAAAATTATACAAAATTAGGTTAATGATTCATTTGATATTATTTCGGTAGACCGGTAACAACTAAGGAGTGAAACAAATAACTAAGATCAGTGGGGTAATTAAAAAAGTAGTAAAACCAAACAACTTGACTAAAACGTCTCTCGAATTTATATAAATTGAAAACAAACGCCCCAAAATAAATAAATTATATATTACATAAAATTTTCTTCTTCCACTTGTTTCAACTTATCAAATACTTCAAAAATAATAAGTCAACTAAAATGAATCAAGAAACGAGTAACAAACCAAATCAAAAACGGTCTTTAAAAGCTTTTGAATCTTCACTGATCAATGATGTCAATATCAGTACTTCAACAAAAAAGAAAAAATTAGCACCATCTACAACTCCAATTTCATTACCAAACTTAAGTCCAGAATTTGCCAAATTTATTAAAACAGAATTTAAAAAGAACTCCAATTACTACAAAACTAAGATTATTTCGACTTTTGTTGAGAGCAAAACTCCAAATTATTACAATGTTGCAGTTAAGTACAGAAATCATTTACAAGAAACTAATTCTGGACAAGACTATGTCGACTTATTCAATGATATTTTCAACCAGCAATTGTACCAAGTAGATCAGATTCCGATAAACATTTTATCATATATAATTTTTAATCAGTTCATTCACTTTATTGGAAATTCCAACTCTTCCAACTTTCAACACTATTGGAAAGACTTTACTATGCCTGGCTTAGCAGATAAGGATATTATTGAAATGAAAGATGTTTTAGAATCATTTAAGCTTATAAATTCGGATGCAACACTGAATCAATTGAGAGAAATGTCCCCAGAGTCTTTATTCAAGTTTGCCATTTTATCTCATCAGTTAGTCTATACCCATTCATTCAATAAGAAACTTGTTAATGCTGTGAATGAACAAGGAAATGAAAATACAAATTGGAATTCCATCTCAAATGTTTTTGAAAATAAAATAGCACCAATTGTAATCAAAAATCATTTTGAAGACTTAAATAATTCAAAATTAGTTATCAAAGATGGAGCAAGATATGCTTATGATGAAAAGTGTATGGTTAAAAATACTGGTGATAGATATGGTGATATTTATGAAGATGATGTTCAAGAATTGAAAATCCCACAAAAAGAATTCAATCCAATTGGTGTTTATATGAAAGAAGATGTTTATGATTACTCAAAAGAATTATTTGAAAAGGGTCATTACCTAATTGTCATGAGACGTAGTACCAAAAAATACTGGAGCAAATTATCAGAAGAGTTCGATATTCTTAAAGATACATTAGTTGGATTGCACAAAGAAGATCGCTCCAAATTAATTTGTTTGGTTACTAACGAGTAATTATTGTCAGTGTTTTAAGATTTGAGCATCGATCTTATACTTTCTATAGATCAAGAATTTAAATTTTACTTCAAAACATTGAGGTTTTCATCTTTTTTATACTATATAATAAAAGGTTTCATCAATTTAAAGTGCTTTTTATTTGTATATAGGTTTTATAGTTCTATATTTTTAATAAATTACTTGGAAGATTGGTAATTAATTTGTATATGATTTCTCAAAAATAACATTAATGTTAAAACAATTTGATCTATGATAATTTTTATTTTTTTTATTTTTTTTTAACTATTATACTGTAATCTATGTAATATAATTATCAAATTAATTTTCGTACAACGATATATTCAGATTGTTGAATTATTCTCAACCACATTAAGCATCAACAAACAAGACTATCAAATGCAAATATTAGAAGTTAATTATGAAACAAGTACAAATTTAGGTACAGGTTATTATGTATGAAGTTGTTTCGTTAGACCAGTAGGAACAAAAAGAGTGAAATTCCTACTGTCAAACTCTGAGATTAGTGGGGTACAATTTGCCCAAACTACCTGAATGAATTGTCCGTCTATTTCAAGAAATAAATTTTTTCAAAACAAACGCCACCGAATTTGAGTGATGATACATAATATAGTTTTCATTTTTTATTGCCAACTTTTCAAATACTTCAATCGTTTTTAAAAACAAGTCAACTAAGATAAGTTCAAGAAAGGTCGTAAAGAAAAAGATTAGAAAAGATATGATACCAAGGGTTAAAGACTCATTAGAAAATTTTGATGATTCAGTATTCGATGACATTGACTTTTGCATGTATATGTATAATCCACCAAGTCCATCCCCATTTTTACCACCAGAGTTTGTAAACTTCATAAAATCAGAATTTAAAAAGAACATAAATAACTACGGACTTAAAACAGTTGACATATTTGATGAAAGAAAAATGAGTGGTTACTATAATGCCGTTGCCAAATTCAGATCCTACTTCGGAGAAAATTTTAATCCCATCAAACAAAATAACGAACAAAAGAGCTATGTTAAATTATTTAATTCAATTTTCAACCAAACCATCAGTTATGAAAGTGAAATTCCCATTAATATATTCACTTACATTTTTTTGCACTCATTTATCCATTATTTCAATAATAATTCTGACTCAACTACTACTCATGAAGAATTTTGGGAAAAGTTCAATTTTGAAGGAATAAAAATAGAAGACAAAATCATTTTAGGAGATCTTTTGAAATCTTTTAATCTCATTGAATTGGATACAGAACTGAATCAATTAAAAGAACTGTTCCCTGAATGTTTATTTTTGTTTACAATTTTGAAAGAAGAATTAATCTACTCACATTCTTTTAATATGAAACTAGTTGAAGCTGTAAATCAACAAAGTTGTGAAAGCCCAGATTGGATTTCAATATCTAAAGTTTTTGAGAATAAATTGACACCTATTGTTTTCAAAAGTCATTTTGAAGACTTAAAAGATTCAAAAAAAGTAACTCATGATGGAACAAAGTTTGTTTATAATGAAGACTGTGGGGAAACAAATACAGATAACTTACACGTTGATAGTTCTGGAAATATTGAACGATTAAATATACTTCAAAGAGAGTTTAACCCCACTGGGATTTATATGAAAGATGATATATATAATTATGTCACAGGATTATTCAAAGAAGGTTATTATATTTCCCTTGGAGGATCAGCTATAAAAAACTGGGACAAATTGTCAAAAGATTTAGATTTAGATTTGGATCTTCATAAATCAACTTTATATAGATTGATTTTCAATGATTCAGAACCAGCTTTCGGAACTGGCTTTCTTACTCTCAAGAAGTAAAATGGTATAAATGGTATGTGTTTAACTTTTTCAAATCGAATGCATCAAAATTATATTTTACTTCAAAACATTGAGGTTTTCATCTTTTTTATAAAATATAATAAAAGGTTTCCTCAATTAATAATTTAATTTTTTTTATAGGTTTTATAGCTCTGAATATATAATAAAATGTTTGAAAATTAATAATACGATATCATTCTTATAAGGATCAACAGAAACAATTCAAAGTAACACTTTGATTAGTCTAAGATGATCTATATCGAAAAAGAATTTTTAAAAACCTTTGAAATTGTTTTTTATATCTAACTTCGAGAAGAAACTAATTCTTAATTAAAATCAAAGATTGTATTACATTACTATATAATAATTATATATCTCAAATTACAATATCAAATTTAATTTTTTAAAACAGAAGCAAATTGACCTTTTGATGGTTTAGCTTTTGATTTTTCAACTTTAGCTTGACCTAATTTTTCATTTGAATAAGCTTTAGCATAAGGATTTAATCTTAATAAAACTTGTTTATTTTTTAAAGGATTTTTCTTTAAAACATGAGTTTTCTTTTGAGTTGATTCACCAGCTGGTCTAACAACAGCTTGAACTTCAGCTGAATTAATTAATCTTGTAACATCAGTATTTGAAATAATATTTGATGGTAAAGAATAATTTGATTTAATTGATTTAGTTGATTCTGAACCATAAATTGAATCTAATGCTTCAATAGCTGATTGAGTCCAAATAATAAATCTACCTAAATGAGCACCTGGAGCTAATTGTAATAAACCTAAATGTTTAACTGATGAAGTTTCAACACCTGGAATATTTCTTAAAGCTTTTACTAAACCTTGATCTTCTCCATAAACAATTAATGGACCTCTTCTTTGAGTAAATCTTCTACCTCTTAATTTACCTTTACCAGCTCTCATTTTTTTAGATTTAATAACTTTAACAACATCTTTATGAGCACCTAAAGCTTTTAATACAGCAACAGCATCTTTAGTTTTAGTAACTGATTCAAATTCATTAGCAACAACTAATGGTAATTCTTTAACATTTTCAACTCTGTGACCTCTAGCTAAAACTAATGAAGTAACACCTGAAGCAGCAATAGCTGAAGCAGTAGCATAACGTTTTTCGTTATGGTTAACTTTTACATGCCATCTTCTCCAAGTTTTAGTTGGAGCAAACATACGACCACCTCTACACATATTACCAAAAGCAGCTTGACCTGATCTGTGGGTACCACCACCACCAACTCTTGGAATACGTGCAACAGCTCTACCGGTACCCCATGATTCAGCTGAGGTTTGATGACCAGCATTTTCAGCTACAGCATAAGCTTGTCTTTTGTTTTTGTTAACTCTAACAAATACTGAGTGGACAATATCTGGTCTAACTGGAGCAGCAAAAACAGCTGGTAATGGTAATTGAGTACTAGATTGTTCACCTTGAACGGAGATGACTGAAATTTGTGGTCTTGATGACATTTTTATTTTGGTTGAAGAAGTAAGATGAAAGTGAAAAATTTGAAAAGTTTTGGATATAAAAATTTTTTTCACTTTGATTTTTGTGCACACAAAAAAAAATGAAGAGTAGAAAGTAGTGTCCCAGACAAGAAATGATCTATTCAGTCTGTCAAATATACATATAGAATCCATCTTGACTACAGTATTCTACAAATCAAGGTTAAATTTATTGAAAAAGAATTATAAGCAAATGAATGATGTGTTGTTCAACAACATGAATTAGATTGAATTTGTTGACCTCTTGGTCTATTTAAATCAACACCTACAGGTCTTCTACCACCATTTCCTCCAATTTTAGATCTATTATTATTAGCTTCTATTACTTCATCAACAGGTAATTCTCTTCCAATTTTATCAAATATTTCAATTATACCTTCTCCATTTTTTGCTGAACATTCCAGTTGATTAATTTTAAACCCATCATTTTTTAATTCATTTACATAATCTTCAACTTCTTGTTGTGATACTTCTCTATTTTCTTCTAAATCTGATTTATTACCAACTAATGCTATAATAATACCTTCTGGTGCTTGTTTTTTTAATTCTTTAATCCAATCTTGTGCTTTTTTAAAAGAATTGGAACTTGTTATATCATATACACATAATGCAGCATTTGCATTTCTATAATACATTGGAGCTAAAGATTTATAACGTTCTTGTCCAGCTGTATCCCATATTTCAAATTTTATAGTTGTTTGTGATTCAGGTATTGTTATAGATTGTGTTAAAAATGCTGCACCAATTGTTGATTCTCTTAAATCATCAAAAGTATTTTTAACAAATCTATGTACAATTGATGATTTACCTACTGCACTTTCTCCTAAAAGTACTAATTTAAATTGTGCAAAACGTTGTGGTTGAGTTTCCTCTGATTGCGTTGCCATTTTGGGGAGTTATGTGTGAATATAGTTATGCTATGAATTTGTGGTAAAACTATTTAGTGAAATGATAATGATATTGTTGTATGACGTGTATATATATATAGATTATTGACTCGTTAGAGTTCAAATTGATTGTAATCTAATCTGTTTTAAGATAAAGAAGCTGAGTTGTTATAATATGAATCTATTTTGTTCCCGTTTTATTTTTAATACTTCGCATTATCTATATTTGATTATATGCAGTAACTAAGAAATAAATAGGAAGAGGCTCTAACCAATTTAGAATTGTCATTAAAAAGTAATACGCTTTTTTTGAATAGATTGAATCATTGACCAATTGATTCTCATTAGAACCTATCCCAGTCAAAAATTTGGTATTAATATTTGATACAATCGAAATTCATAGGAAGAAACCTTCATTTTTTCAAAAAAAACAAGTTACGTTCCTAGATCTCTTTGTTTAGCTTTGAAGTTAGACACAGCAGTGCTTTCCTCTATCTAAGTTCTCACCTCAACCATTTGACGATCTACTTTGAGCTATTACTAGCTATTCTATTGATTTAATAAGGGTAGATAGATGAATACTTGCCAATTTCGAACTAAATATATCCGAAAAAAAATGATAAATGCGGATGTTAATTGATAAATTAATATAAACAATCAGGTACAATGAAAAATCAGATACTGTAGATTGCAAAATAACCAAAGTAGGCACATTCAACCATTCGTTTCATTAATAATCTAATCCATTCTTCAATGTTTAATCAATCTTCTCTACTTACTATGAGAATGTAGTGTTACATTCCACTTACTAGTCCCTTTATTTATTAATTTTTCTCTTAAGCCTAAGCCTAATAATAATAAATTTCTATTGTCTTATTGTTAACTATTGTTAGTATTGTTAACATTGTTAAATAATAATTTTTCTTTTTTGTCTAAACCTTTGACAGATTTAACCGTTGAGATTATTATTGAATTGAGTTATGTACATATTATGGTGTTATTTTTATAAACCAGTAGATATCTTCAACTTTGAATACTCTCCTCTCCAACTAACTACTTCCCCAAGCAATTATACTTCTACTTGTTCTTAATTTACTCCACCTATTACTTTACAAATTAACGTTTATTAACGTTCTACTATTCTACTTAAAAAGAAACTTTTGTAAAGAGAGAGAAAAATAATAAACAGAAAAAAAAAAGACATAAAGAAGCATAAAACCAATTCTTTACTTTTCAAGTTTTAATCCAATCATATTAAGATATTATAATAGTACTAGTCAATAGTGGAGTAGAAGATATACAGTATAGTTTAAGAATCATCATCAACTAGATATCAATATTAACTACTTCCTCTTATCAAAGAAACACAAACACTACTTATCACATAGATTCCCATTTTTTTACAACCACTTTATAAACAATTCATCACTAATGAAATTATGAATACTACTACAAGTAATGATAATCAACGAATATTTGTTGAATCTTTAATTAAAAGAATTGAATCATTACTACCTTTTAGAACTGGTCATAGTTTTCAAGAAGTTGAATTAGATCCACAATTTATATTAACAAAAAAATTATTATTAAATAATTATTATCAAAATTCAGATACAATTACATATGTTTTAACTTCTTTTACAAGTTTATTATTAACAATTAATAATGAATCTCAAAATGTTAAAATTAAATATAGAGATGAAAAATCAAGATCTTCAACTTTATTAGCATGTAAAATTTTAGTTGATATATTAAAAACTAATTGGAATAGAAAAACAAATATAATAGATGAAAAAGATTTAATGAGTAATTGTTCAAGATTTTATTATTATGATGCACCATTACAATTAGATAGATCAATTATAATTGAAGTTTTAAATTTTTTTTTAAATTTATTATCTTCTGGTATTGTAAAAAGAGTATTGGCATTAATACGTAATGAACAATCATTAATGAGTACTACATCAACAAAAGATGATGAAATTTTAAAAGAAGATCAACCATTAACTGAAGAAGAATCAATATTAGCTTCAATATCAGAAATTGATTCATATGTTGAATTAATATTAAGATATATTGCAACAGCAAATCCTGATGATTATTATAATTTTATTTATACTAAATTATTTTCTTATTCAATAAATAATCAAACTATACCATTACCCATAATACAAAAATATTGTCCATTAATAAAATATATATATTTATCAAAAAGAAATTTAATAAAATTAACAAATGAATCATTAAAAGCTTTACCATTTATAAAATCAAATACTTGGAAACAAGTTTATTTATTCTTTTTAGCAAGTAGTTTAAAAGATCAATTTTTTTCAAGAACTTCAGATTATGAATCAATTATAGATTTAAAAGATCTGAATCATACAAATCCAATAAAACAATTATTTGATGCGGCATTGAGTATATTTGAAGAAAATTATAATCAAAGTTTATGTGCTCCTTTCATATTAACTTGGTATCTTGTATTATGTGTTGAAGATTTTAATGAAATGAATTCAATAAAACCTTTAAATAAATTAAAATTAGCTTTTAACAAGAGATTAAAATATTTATCAACAATTCTAAAAGAATCTTCAAATGGTACAAATTTAGAAAGTTTTGATTCTTTAATTAATATTTTTCATTTAGGGACAAGATTAGATGCATATGGTTATAAACAAAATCCAGTATTAATTTTTAGTTTACGACATCTTGATGAAGTTTATATAAGATTAAAAAAGTATTGTGAAATAAATCGTGAGAAGCTATTAATTGAAGAAGATTTACAATCAAAATATGAATATATAATGGTTAATTTTTATATTGCAGCAGTTATACTACGACCTGAAAAATATACTAAAATTTTAATTGATTATTTTTTTAATGGAAATACTGATATTAAAGTTACAAAAATATTTATAAAAACTATAAGAGGTTTATCAGAAATTGAAACTGCTCATAATATATTTTATAAATTAATTGAAGATACAAAAGAAACTTTAAGAAATATAATATTTGGTGCGATGAAAATTTTACACAACTACGAATTACAAACAAATCATATTGGAAACGTCAATGAATTATCAAATCAATCAATATATTCAGATGCAACAAGTGTTGATGAAAATGAGCTAAGAGCAAATCAAGCAACAAATATGTTTATGAATTCAACTAAAACTGGTTTAGATCATTATATTCAAGAATTTGAAAAATCAAAAGAAGATAAATTATTTTTACCAAAACCATCATCTGCATCAATATCATCAACAAATACATATTTTTATAGATTAGCATATGATGCAGAAGAACTACTATCTGATATTTTTATGATATTTGTTGCAGCACCAGAATTTTACTTCAATGACATGAAGCTTATGAATGATGAAAATTTAAAAAACATACCATATTCAGAATTATTAAATACAATTATTGAATTTTGTCATAAATGTGTTATACCATTAAGACAAGCATTTAAAATAAAACCAATAAATCAAGAAAATTCAAGATTATTTGAATCAAGTAAAAATTTATCAATGCAAATGGTTTTACCAAATACAAAAATTGCCACTGAATATACTGATTTATCAGCATTTGCAAATTTTAATATATGTAATTGTATTATTCAATCATTATGTGAAACATGTTTAGGTTTAGCATTAATTGATCCAAAATTTAAATCAAGTTTTTTATTTCTTAATGATTTTTTACATTTAAGAAATAATTATAGTCCAATATTATTAAATAATCCCATACTTGCAGATCCTGAATCTAGGGGGTTATATGAAACTTGTGGAGCAGTTATACAAGCAGTTGAAAAAGTTTTATTATTATCTTCATGTACTCATGATATTCAATTTTATAATTATGCAAAACAAGGTATAAAATGGTATATAAATGAAATAAAAAATAATAATGCATTATATGCAAAAAATGAAGTTGAAGATACTTTATTAGAAACTTTTGAATTAATGAATCAAGATGAAGGAGTATTTACAGGATTTGTATCATTACAAAAAAGACATCGTAAAATATTAAGAGAAGCTAAACCAACAAAATCTTTATATTATATATGGTTAATAATATTAGCAAGATGGACAAGAATTCTTAGAGAGAATGAAAAAATTCATGAAAATAATGCAATTTTCAGACATTTTACTGGATTTTTAGTATCAACTTCTGGATGTTTTATATCAGCTACAAAAGGAATTGATCCAGAACAAGATGAAATTTATAATAAAGGAAGTATTCATATTTCTGAATTTTTTGATAAATGTATTGATTTATTAAATTCTCAAGATTTAGTTGTTAGAGTTATTGTTAAAGATACATTATCAAATGAATCTCATTCTGATGTTTATCATATTATAGCAACTAAATTAATGTCAAGAGCTACTGAATATTTAGATATGGAAGTACAAGCGGAAGAAAGTATTGTATTTTTAGAACAAGCAATGATTATAATGACAGCAATGATAAATGTTGGAAATGATGGAGCATTATTATTATCATCTTTATTACCACATATATGTCAATTTTTCATTAGATTTATTAATAAAGTAGAAGATACAGTTTATAAATTAAGATTAAAATTAAGATTTTGTAAATTAGCAGCAACATTAGAACAAGATAAAACAAATTCTGGTTTAAAAGGAGCATATAAATTAAGAAATTATTATAGTAAAGCAATCTTAGAATGGTTAGAATTAGCAGTAATATTAGAAAAAGTAACACCAGAAGAAGAAAATTCAAGAGGTAGAACTTCAGAAATTGTTCATTTAAAAATGGATCTTGCAGTACAATGTTCAAAAACTTTACGTTTACAATTAGAAGATTTATTGTTAGAAGTTCCCGAAGGTATAAAAGATGAAGAAGTTAAAAAATATAAAGATTTATCATTTGGAAATTATTTTTCAATATTTTATAAAATTATTCAAAAATATACTGAATTACCTTCATCATCAAGAATAAAACATAAATTTCAACAAGTCACAGATAATGTATTATCATCAATAACAAATTTATTACAATATGATTGGGAAATTGGTATACAATATTTATTACCAATGGGATATCATGAAAATAGAAAAATAAGAGGAATATTTTTGAATGTATTTGCAAGTATGTTAACTTCACAAACTGTTAGAAAATTAGAAAATGAATTTCCTGATCAATTAGTTTTAAATTTAGTTGATCAAACTGATATTTTTAGTTCAATTGCTGATTGTGCATCATCATTAGAACATAATTTATTAGCTTCTTCATTATTTGGTATATTTTCATATACAAATAAATTAGATGAATTATTTCATGTTTTATTAACTGATGAAATAACAAAATTAAATCGTTCAACTGATTTATTTAGAAGAAATTCAACATTAACAAGATTATTATTTAATTTTACTCAAGATCATGGAATAGATTATTTATGTAAGATTTTATTACCAACAATTCAAGAAATTGTCTCGTTAAAAATTCATTTTGAAGTTGAAAAAAGAGAATCAATTGAAGATTCAGATTTATTTATAAAATATTTTACAAAAATAGTTGATCTGATTGTTGATTCATTAGATAATTTACCTTGTTCATTTAAATTTGTTTGTGGTCAAATTTATCAATCTGTTTCTGTTAAATTTCAAGATTCTGCATTAATTGCAGTGGGATCATTTTTATTTTTAAGATTTTTATGTCCTGCTTTAATTAGTCCTGAACAATTTTTTAAAATTCCAATTGAAAATTCAAAAACAAAAAGATCATTAATGCAATTAGTTAAAGTATTACAAAATATGGCTAATGGTACTGTTAATTCAATAAAATGGCCAGGACTTTCATCAAGAATTGATGTATTAAATTCTTTAAATAATAGAATTGTTGAATTTTTAACATTAGTATCAACAAGTAAAGGTAATTCATACCCTTTTCAAAAAGGAGAAATTGAGAAACCAATAGCAGAATTAAGATATTTACATAAATTCATATATACTTATTTTACTCAAATAAGAATGAATTTTTTATTAGGTAAATCAGCATTTAATATCGGAACCTTACATGAAAGAGTTACTATTTTTAAAGCTTATGATGAAGTTGTTAAACAATTAAGACAACCAAAACCAAGTGTTAAATTACAATTAAATTCAACTTTAAAAATATTTGATGTAAATAATAATAATGAAGAAGATATTAAATTTAATGATTTTATGACAAAAATGTCATTAAAATATGCAGATACTCCTCAAGATTGTGTAAATTTAATTCATTCATCCATATTTAAAGATGCAACACCTGTTATTGTAATAAATTTAAGAAAATTAAAATCAAGACCTGACGACGTAAAATATCTTGTTTATAAATTATTTGAAACTGCTTCACAAATTTGGGATAATAATTATTATTTAATTTATGATTTTTCAGAATTTTATTTTTTTAAACCTGATGGTCCACCAGAATATACTCATCTATTATCATATTATTCACCAAAATTATTTTTTTCAAATTGTAAAAGAGTTTATTATTTTAATGTTCCAAGAACTGAATATGTTGGTATAATTGATTCAATGAAAAGTTTAAGAAAAAAAGGTGCTGAATATAATACTCAAATTTTTATTCATTCATCAGTTGATTCTGATCATATTGTAAACAGTCTTTGTTTAGATCCTGAAACTGTTTCAATTAGTAGAGATGCAAAAGTTACTTATAAAAATGTTTTATTATATGAACCAACATCAGGAAGATTTGCTCCTGTTTATTTAAAAATTGGTAGAAAATTTTTAACTGTTTGTTTTCAAGAACGTGTTAAATTTAAAAGTGAATTATCAGCAACTGAAAGTTTTACACCTGTTGAAGTTTATAGATTATCAGAATTTAACAAATGTGAAGCTTCAAATTATACAGGTCATGATGATGAATTTACAATATTTTTCAGTCATACTGATCAAATTACTTTTAGATCATCAGATAGATTAGAAATTTTAAGATTTCTTTATTTTACTTCTTCAAGATTATCAAAAGATATATCTTATACAGAAACTGAAAAAGATTATAGAAATGAAATTCATACAATGCATTGGTTTGGAAGATTATATAATATTGTTTTCCAAGGTTTATTAAGTACTGATAATGAATTAAAATCTTCAGCAGCAATATTATTTGGAGCAATGTCATCATATTTTGAAATTGATTTTGGTATTACAGAAGAACATGCAAAATCATTACCTTTTCCCACCGATGCAACTTCAATGGTTGTTTCAGTTTCAAAACATTTATCAAAAAATTTTCCAGAAATGACTTATAGATTTTTTAAAGCATATTTTGATAATTTTGAAAAAATGGAACAAGAAAGTAGATTATGTTCAATAATTTATATATCACCATGGATTAATAATATTTATGATAGTGTTCATTCTCAAAGTGGTATAAATGGCCCTGATAGAGTTGCAGATATAATTCGACAATTTTGTAGAATATCATTTTTAAATAAAGATCAAATTTCTTTTATAAATGATTATATTTGGAAAAAATTATTTTTTGAAACAAGATTAGTTTCTTCATTAGTTGATGAAGTTGTTGCTTTTGCAATTGATAAAAAAAATGAAGGTCCTGATTGGTCATTTATTATTTCAGTTATTACACCATCAGTTGAAGTTTGTGGAGAAGTTATATCAAGATTAATGACAACTATAAAACATACATTAACAACAGATTCTGCCATAGCTTCACAATCAAAATTATTTGAGATAACTGTATTAATTAAAATTTGTTCATCATTATTTTTCAGTTCATATACTTTAGCAAAATTATATTTAGCAGATTTAATATTTTTTGTTACATTATTTATAGATGATTTACATTTAGAAGTTGGATCAGATTTAAGAAATATGATTATAAGTGCTGTTCAATCATTTTTACATAAACCAAAATTAACAAATCATCAACAAAAAGTTATTAATAGTACTATAGAATATTTTAGTAGTCCAAGAGCTAAAATGTTATTTGGAATGACTAGAGATTTAAAATCTTCTTTAGATGTTGGACAATCATTTAATAGAATAATGAATTTTGAAATTTTATGTGATTATTTAAATGAATTTATTCAAGTTGTTAGTACATCTGATGATAAAACTCATTGGAAAGCAAGATGGTCATCAAATGCAATTGATGTTGCTTTTAATAATTATTCTTTATTTCAAGATAGAGCTATTGTTATTGTGGGGATATTATCTAAAACTGGTGTTACTGATTCAATTGCTTGTAGAACTATAAAGTTAGTTGCTCATGGTGAATTACATAGTATTGATACTGTTATTTGTGTATCAATTGCAGTAGCAAGGATTATAAATGGTTTACCTTCATCATCAATGTTCCCACCAATTATAGTATGGCCACAGTTATGTTATGCATTATTAAATCATAGTATACTTTATCAATCAGCTTTACAAAATATTATAACAACAATGGTTACATTAATGAATGAAGGACCTGATTATATTGATAAAGCTTATGCACAAAGAGATCAATTAGAACCTTATTTATCTAACTTCGAAAATAAACATGGAATAGGAATAACTAAAGAAAATTTTGGAGTTCATATATTTTATATTGTTACTCAAGGTTTAAAATATTCTCAATATAGACATTTAGCAATCACCAGCATCAAGACTTATTTTAAAAAAAGATATGAATTAAGAAATGCAAGACCAATTCATGGATCAACAATTGCTGATAATGCTTATGCATATTTAGTATTTATATTTTTATGTGCAGATTCAAAAGAATTTGAGGAATATCTTATCGAAGATTTAAAATTAAATACTGAATATTATCAAATTGATAAAAATTTAAAAATTCCTCAATTTTTATTAAATTTCTTGTTTGAAAATAATGATGCTTCAAAATTAGTTTTAATTCATCTTGGGTCCTTTTTTAGTGATGCAAAGGGAGTTGATGTTAATTTTAAAAGTAAATTTATATCACTTTATGAAATTATATTATCAAAAAATAAAGATGCTGCATTATTAGTTTATCATATTATTCAACCTGCTTTAAATCAAGATTTAATGAGTACTGTTTCATTAGATTTTATTGAAAAAATTTCAAATATTATATTAACTGTTTCTAAAACTGAAAATTATTCACCTGAAAAATATATAAATGAAATTGAAACTATTTTAACAACAAATAAATTATTATTAGTTAAAAAGCTTAGAGAATTGTACCCTGTTGAATATACTTTAGATGATGATGGACGATTTAGACCTACTTTTGATGTTGATATTAAAACAATTCAATTAATGCTTTATAGAGCTGCATGTACACATATCGAAGGATATAAATTGGAAAATTAAAAAAAAAAAACGAAACTTATAGATTTAGTTACGAAATAATGAATTAACGATGTAATTTTATATAAAAATCATTTTATATTGAAACAAACGTCTAAACTGTAAATCTAACTATATTTCCCTCTACGAGCATGTCCTTCAAATTCAAATTTATACATTCTAAATAATAACATAGTAGCTCTTGAATCTTCTATTGGATCATGTTCATGAGTTTGTATATCAATCCCCATAAATTCTGAACTTAGCTTCTTCAAACTTGGATTACTTCTACCACCTTGTTTAAAAATATGAAAATTAGAAGTATCTCTAATCATATTATTTGGATGTTTTATAAATAATTTATCTAAATCATTTTCTAAAGCATGACCAATTAATATTCTTCCCTTTATTATATCAAGAGTTTTATCTTGTGCTTCTGAAAGAGTTATTGCATCATCTAAATCTCCTGGACGAATACCTGAAACCCAAGTACGATAATCAGTTATTCTATCTTGTGGTAAAACATATTCATCAAGTAAAACATGTCCATAATAATTAACAATTGTTACTCTTGCTAATTCTGAAACTGAACCATTTGGACCAGTTCCAACAAATTCACAATCCATTGCTATATATTTCCCTGCTTCTGTTCTTCTATCATTTGAAAGTTTATCTAAAGGTTTATTATATAATGGTATATCTTGTCTAAGAATATTTGCGTGTCCCTTTTTAACCCATAAAATATATTCCATGGGACTAACTAAATTACTTTCAGATCTTGAAGTTTGTTGAATTTGGTTAGGAAGAAATACACTTGTAATTATGGGTAAAACAATCTCTTTACGTTGAGGTTGAGGTTGAGGTTTTGAAACTCTATTTTGATTGGAATTGTTGTTTTTACCATTTCTAAAATCACCATTCCTCCTTCGTTTCGAGTTAAAGTTCCCACGATTGTTTGATGAACCACGATAGGGCATTTGAAAGTTGTGTAAAATAAAAGACGTTTGAATTATGAGTATTATTTTGCAAACATGGCATTTTATAATATTTGTCCTTTTTTGTTGAGTAACGTTTTATTAGGAAAGAAAGAGAAATCAAATCGAGATCGGATAAACTATAATAAATTAAAAATTACTAAATAAATAATATATCAGAATTGAATTAAATAGCCCCACTTGAAACTTTATAAACTTGAAGTACCCATTGTAATTTATTTATAATTTCTGAACATTCAATTTCAGATTCTGCAACTAAATAAAATTTCTTTAATTGTGAATCTTTTGAATTTGAATTTTTATTATCATCATTATGAATTTGATCTGATTGTTGTTTTTGAACTATAATTCTAAAATGATTAGGTGTTTTTGAGTATTGTTTCAGCTTTAAAATTTGAGTGATATGAAATGAATATGTTTTTGTATTTGCAGTCTTGTTTATGTGATGATTTAAATTATGATGATGTTGATTAAAGTGTGATTGATGTGGTTGTGTTGTAGCCGCTGCTATAGAAGAATCGTTTCCTATAGTTTTCAGTAGTACGTCATCTAATGGAGTTATATGAATGTAATCACCATCAATGATAAACATTTTTTCAGTAAATGTTTTAATTTTCATTTTTTTCATTTTACTATTACTTTTTAACACATTCCATTTAAAATAAATTGAATTAATATTTGTAGGTAATTGAGGATTGTTTCCCATTATTATGTCTTCTAAATATTTATTAGAAGTAAGCGCTTCCTTGATGGATTTTGTTGAATTTACTGATTCTCTTCGAAGTTGTTGTTCGGGAGTTATGGAAGGTACAGGGTTTTCAGCAATAGATAATTTTTGCATTTTATTTGATAAATGTCCATTATTAGGTGTGATATATGGTAAAGTAGAATCAGCTGGAGTTATATTTGAATAAGCTGTTGTATTAGTCGGTCCAATCATTGCTTTATCTTCTTCAGACTCAATCACCAAATTAAATTTTGCTTCTGATGGAACCAACTCTAATACTTTCAGTTGTAAATTTTCACAAATTTCAACATCTTTTACGAATTTACTTTTATCAGTAGTTTCATCAACCATTTTAAATCTATACTTTGTAGTAATCAATCCCTTTTGTAAACAAAACTCTTTCAAAACTTGTCCCATGGTATATGTTGCAGGTACTTTAAATGCCACTTTTTCTGGAATCCCACTGTTATCATATTCATAAACACCAATCATTAATTCAATCTGCGGGATTCCCTCTAACGCTTGTACATGATCAATGCTATTCTTTTTTCTCTCAAAAGCACTAAGATTTTGTCGAAATTCAATAGGTAATGGTGATTTTTTATCATATGAATCAATCTCTTTAACTTCTTTCACTCGGCATAATGCTAATTCTTTGGGGTTGTTGTAAGACGCTAAAATTCTATTTCTATCCAATATACCAAAACTACCATAATTTTCACCATCTTCATCAACTAATTCCAACCTCCAAAAGTTTGGATTCAAATATGAAGAGTCTTTTATTTTATTTAATTCAGTGAATTTAGATAATTTCAATAGGATGAAACCAATACAATCAACAATAGTGACTGTATTATTCACACTAATATTTTTCAAAGTTGGAGTTCTCTTTGGAGGTAAAAAGATATCAAGTTGAGCAACATTAGATGGTGAATCACATGATGTTCCATCAACAAATAAATAATAATTTAAAGGATTCACGTTAGTAGATTTGAATTTGGAATCTATGATTGTACTTAAATTTGATTTAGTAGTGGCTCTAGATTTTGGTTTAATTTTATCAAAAGTAATGGATGATTTTTCTAATGGAGTAAGATTGACAAACGATTGACGACTTATCGAGGTAAAATTCAAAGATTCTTCAAAATCTAAAAAATTCGGTTCGAAATGTTTAGGAACTGTATGATCACTTATTGTATTTCCTCTTTTCTTTTTTCTCATATCTTTTGAATCAAAATCCAGTAAAACATTTACATTATTATCTATTACTTTTCCCAATTCGCTCGTGAAAGAATTTGATTGCAAAGATGAATCTAAAATTGTATCATTGTCTAAATCAGTAAATTCAGAGTCATTGGAAGAGTCATCTTCTGCTTCATCTTCTTCGGTATCAGTCTCTTCATCACTCTCAAGATTTTGTGAATTTTCTTCATCAACTAAGACTTTTGGCTTATCTGATATTTTGATGGGTTTATTTTTCACCACTTTTCCTGTTTTGTCCACCGGAACACCAAAATCGCTATCTATACTTATTCCATCATTTGAATTATTATGATTGTCAGTATCATTACTTGGATCGTTTTCAGTACTATATTCATCAGTGGTTTCTTCTCTGGACTCCTCAATTGTATCAACATTGAACCTTTTCCTTGAATTTATTAAGTCATCTTCATCGCTCATGTCTGAATCGGAGCTTGTGTTCGTTTTACCTGATTGAAAAAGTCTTACAATTGGTATTTTTGATTTCGTTTTAGATTTTGCTTTGTTTTGAGTTTTAGTTCCCAATGGATATCGAATTGCAAAATTCATTTTCTTTTTATTTGGACCAGTTTCCAATGTTAATGATTGATCAGTTTCTTGTTTTACATCATTACTGGATATCGATGCAGTATCGAAATTTGCGATTGAATTATTTTCGAAAATACTCGAATAATTCGTTGTTGATTTTGATGATCCATTGACATGACCTTTTGTATCTTTGTCTTTATCGTCATTTTCATTTATCTCGTGTGGAGTTTGTGATTCCGTATGTTTAGTGTTTGATGAACTGTTTTTCCTTAAATGTGTATTACTCTTTTTATTGGTGATTTCATTTGATGGAATAATATTGTTTTGGGAGTTTGTCAACTTTTTATGACGATGATGATGACGGTGTCGAGTATTGTATTGTTCATGAATTGAATCTTTGATATGATGTGATAGTTCAAAAGTAATTGGAGGTGAATTTTGAAGTATCACATTCTTATTATTACTTTTACTATAATTATTTGTAGTTAAATTAATTGGATCATTATTTAATATTCTTTTGAAATATTCTGAATCTTCTCCTAAAATTGAATAAGAAGTCCTTAAATGGTTTAATAATTGTGATTGCTCTAATGGAAAAGCCATGTAAAACTATATTATTGATTTAATATAGTTGAATTTTCAACTATGTTGAATGATACTTTTTATTGATCCAATTTTAGTTCGCTGTTTGTACATTTTTTTTTCTAATAACTATTATTATGATAAAAATGATCAGTTAACCCATTATCTAGATATATCTCTTACAAAATTATTGTACTTTCAATGGCCGACGGAAGGATATTGAATCGATTACAATCTGGTAATGAGTTTTATTTGTAAGATATATGACGGTACAAATTGTATAATCTATTACATATTTTAAAATAATCTTGTACTACTATTATTGGAATATTTTATGTTGAATAAATAATAATAGCAAACAAAAATATAAATTGTTTATAAAACTTAACCCAATCTTTTTGAAACAATTCATACAAATATTGAATTATTCAATTCATAATTTTATCATATCTATATAATACTACTTATACCATACTCAATTGGTCAACTACCTATCTCAATTGATATTATTCAATTCATAAAAATACTATCATTTACAATTCACGACATAAATTAGTTTGACAGGTAACACATTACGATCATATTACTCGTAATAATACCTAGCTGTCAAATATCAAATCTCTTCCATCCATAATCTATTTAAAATACTTTCCATCAACAATTACTAGTCGAATTGCTGGAGAATTATAAATATTTTCACCTTATAATGCAAATTTAGAGATTTGCAACAATAACAAAAATTGTAAACATCATTTATTAAGTTTTTATCATGTCATCAGATAAAAATGGACTACATGGATATGATGATAGAAGAAATGTACACCTTCAAGATTTAGAAAATGATATAAATAGTATTTATAAAACATACACGTCAAATAATAATAAAGATAATGATAGCTTTGAAAGTCTTGATTCTCAAAATAATCAAGGTCAGAAAACTTATGTATATAAATATAAATCACCACATCAACAGAACTCACAAGCATTGCCATCAGTACATATATCATCAAGACTATCATCATTAGAAGGATCCGAGATAGGAGAGTCAATTGCTAAAAGCGCACCAGGTACTCCTTTATCCATCAACTCATTTGATTTTAGACCAAGATATCCAAGAGCTATAACGAATTCTTCTTTAAATGTATTATTAGATACCCCTAATGGAGATAATGAATTTAAACAACTATCACATCAAAATAGTGGGAAAATCATCAATGATGAAAATGATGGAATTCCAAAATCAGCAGAATATGAAGAAGAAGTACAAGATTGGCAAAATAAAGGAGCAGCGATAAAAAAATTGGAAACACCAGATGGAGAAATATCAACGATTAGAAGGAGTGTGAATGATTTTAAATTTGGTAAAGAATTAGGTGAAGGGTCATATTCAACTGTGATACTAGCGACTGATAAGATAACTTCAAAACAATACGCTGTGAAAGTTCTAGATAAAAGACATATCATCAAAGAGAAGAAAGTTAAATATGTAAACATTGAAAAGCATGCATTAAATAGATTAAGTAATAGAATGGGGGTGATATCATTATATTTTACTTTTCAAGATAAAGATTCGCTATATTTTGTATTGGATTATGCAGCTAATGGAGAACTTTTAACACTAATCAAGAAATATAATACATTAAATGAAGATTGCACAAGGTATTTTGGAGCACAAATTTTGGATGCAATCAAATATATGCATGATAATGGAGTTATTCATAGAGATATTAAACCAGAAAATATATTGTTGGATGATAAAATGAGGATTCAAATTACTGATTTCGGTACTGCAAGATTACTAGAAAAAAAGGATGATGAAAGTGAAGATTATCCAGTTGACGTTAGAGCTAAATCATTTGTTGGTACGGCAGAATATGTTTCACCAGAATTATTGGAAAGTAAATATTGTGGGAAACCAGGTGACATTTGGGCTTTTGGTTGTATTATATATCAAATGATTGCAGGTAAACCACCTTTTAAAGCAACTAACGAATATTTAACATTTCAAAAGATTACAAAATTACAATATGCATTCAGTGCAGGATTTCCAAATATAGTTCGTGATTTGATAAAAAGAATCTTAGTTTTACAACCTTCAAAAAGAGCAACAATTCCTGAAATTCAAGATCATTATTTTTTCAAACCTATTAAATTTGATGATTTTGACCTGCTTTGGATGAAATCTCCACCAGAAATAGGTCCGTATAAGATGAATGCTAAATCAATGATGAAAGTTCCTAATGTTATAAAACATCCACCAACAAATATAATTTCGAAAAAGAAGACTAAAAACCCATCAACTAATGAAGTCAGATCTGCTCCTCCAACTCCAACACAAACGAATAAAGATATAAGAACCAAAACTAGAGTTACAAATGGAATTTCATCGAATGGAGCTGAAAAAGTTAGCGCAGCTGATGCAGCTGCAGCAGTTTTAATCAAATCTTCAAGTTCAGAAACTGGAGGATCCTCTGAGGATCTATCAAACTCAGCTTCAAAACTGAATTCTTATGATAGTAGAAGAAGTTCGAAAGGATCTCAACCAGATTATATTCCTGGAACCAATATTTTACGTCCTCAAATAACTACTAGACCATCGGTTCAATCATATTCACGTACTACATCAGCTAGAGAGAAGCCTAAGCCAGTTGTGAAAACTAAACCTGATGTTATGGAGGTAACACCATTAAGCACGTTGGAGGCTGCATGGGGTTCATTTCTTGAGCATCAAGATGAAAGGGTAATAAGGGTTGGTCCAGTTATTGTTCACAAAGAGAGTACTGATTCTTTCGAACGGAAACATAAGGGATTATTGCATGCTTCACCTTTAGTAGCAGGTAAAACTCAAAGAAGTAGATCAAACACTAGCTTACTTTCACAAATGGTCAATGGAGTTCCAGAAGTCAATTCTGATTTTGTTGATGAAAACGTAGCAATAACTGAACCTCAAGAAGTCAAATATTTGAAAAAGTTGCAAAAGAGGAAAGAAAGTAAAAAGAGTGTTGAAATTGAACGAACACCATCAACTGGTTCGAATTTGATCAAGAAACATTCAATTTTTAGAAAATTAGGACTTAGTCAATCAGATAAAAAAGATTGTCTTGAAGAAATTACAAATCCATTTACACTTGATAAGTCTCAAACTTGTACTATGGTTGTAACTACTCATGGTAGAGCTTTAGTATTTGCAAGAAAAGATTTAGAATCTCCTTATAAATTGATTTTAGAAGTGCAATTAAAATATCCATTTATAAGGTTTCAGGAATTAGTTACTCCACAAACTAAATTTTCAAAGTTATTACCATCAGTAGGTGTATTTGTTATCACATCAATTGATCTGTCATATGTGTTCGAAGTTGAAAAATATGAAGTTAATCAATGGACAGAGGCTTTAGCTAAGAGCAAAACTAATGAAATCGAAAGAGAAAAGCTTCCAGGAGATCAACGTGCACCTCAACTGAAACCAGTACCAGCATCATCATCATCTTCATCATCAGCAAATTCACCAGTAGAATCATCAGCAATTGTTGCTCCTAAACCTACAAGTGCAACTTCTAGAAAATCTCAAAAGGAATCGCCAAAATTAATGGATTCACCATCATTTTTCACACCACCTGTTATATTAAAACCGACAAAATCTAAATCTCCAACAAACAACAACATATCTCAATCTTCACCTAAAGAACCTACTCGTCAGAGTTCAAAACCATCAAGCATGTTAAAATCACGAATACAAAGAACAACACCAAAAAGAAAACCACCACCAGTAAGTCCACCAAATGAATTAAATGTTCATACTGGACTTCCCATGGGCTCATCAGAAACTGGATTTTTACATGCAGCTAAATTAGCAGTATCTCAAAATGCACATAACCCAGTATCATCAAATAGAAGGTCAAGTTTTACAAAAGAAGACGGTTCTAAAATCGATCATCAAAATTCAAAAGTATATCCACCTGCCATTAATACAAATACCAATGGATATCATTATCATTCATCACAATCACCTAATCAAAGTAATCCAAGTTCACCTCTTGTGACAAGTATGAATTCTAAATTATTAGCAAGGAGTAGTAGAAAATAAAAAAATTAATGTACAGTCGTTTTATACGAAATTGAAATGTTGTAGTTTATGTTGATACAATTTAATTTGAAGTCTATCTTAAACTCTTTGCAAACTCAATTTATACTGTCAACTGAGAAGGGAATAACTATTTCCTTCTAGTTGACAGAATAATAGTGTAACTTAAAAAGTAAAAGATTAATATATTTATTCTCCAAATTTTTATTGAACAAGTACATTAATGAACATAAACGCTGGAACACCTTTAATAATGATATACTGGTGATAATTTGCTGGTAAAAATGAGGTGCTTCTCTACCTTCATTATAAAAGCAAAGAATTAAGAGAAGCATTATTAGGGTTATAAACCTAATCTTAAATTTTCAGTACAAAAATTTGTTGCACAAAACTTCACCCAAACTTAGACGTACCAAAGCTATCAAAAAAAATTTCAAGTATAGAGACAAAAAAAGAAGGAGAAGGTCATATATACATATATCATCACATACACAATTCAAATATGGCTAAATTCATTAAATCAGGTAAAGTTGGTATGTTTAACAACTTTAATAGAATAGACAAGAAGGAGATATACAATCTAGGATATCATAAATGAAGAGAATAGTATTAAAGGAAGTAATTTGATCGAGTAATGTTTCAAGATGAGTTACGAGTTTAATTCCAAGTCCATCACATTAAAAACCTTTCATACCATCATGATTTAATATAAATATTATCGTAAAGATCTCACCGTTTGTAATTGAATGACATCCCATCAAGAAGTATCAATAACTGCCGATGATCGACCTACATTTAATTTCATGAAAATATACTCGCAATTTCGTTGAGCACATACCACAAATATTGTTGAAGAATCCTCGTCATAGAGTTGGAAATCCAGGTTTTGTCTTCGTCTAGCTGAATTCTATCAAGTCTATATACTAACTCAATTTATAGCTATTGTTGTCCGTGGACGTTATGCAGGTAAAAAAGTAGTCATTGTAAAACCACATGATGAAGGTACCAAATCACATCCTTTCCCACATGCCATTGTTGCAGGTATTGAAAGAGCCCCATTAAAAGTCACTAAAAAGATGGATGCCAAAAAAACTGCCAAAAGAACTAAAGTTAAACCATTTGTCAAATTAGTAAACTACAACCATTTAATGCCAACAAGATATTCATTAGATGTCGAATCATTCAAATCAGCTGTATCTACTGAAGCATTAGAAGAACCATCACAAAGAGAAGAAGCTAAAAAAGTTGTCAAAAAGGCTTTTGAAGAAAAACATCAAGCTGGTGAAAACAAATGGTTTTTCCAAAAATTACATTTTTAAAATCATATATCACGTTAAATAATTAGGGGATGATTTTTTTTGATGAGAGAATGCATTATTTGTATAGTAATAAATGTTCAATTTAATGGGTTTTTAATAATATTTTTGATTCATACTGTGAGCTTACGAGGAACTTGGATTTGCATAGTAATTTAAACTTTGAACTCGCTAATTTCTCTTTGCACTTCGAGTATTTGAACGTTTTTAAAGTAATTAGACAGTTGAGACGATTTCACCATAATATTTGAAAAGTGAAACTTCACACTGGTAGCGCATAATTATGTAGATGTGACTAAATTGAAAATAATTTAATGTCTTACAACCAAGTCAAAAGATAATACACTTTTCCAAAGTAAACATTAATCACTCAATGACATCGGTTGAGGAGAAAGTTGCAGACTTAAATGTCCAAGAAGGTTCATCAGAACAGAAAATTACTCCATGGGAAGTTGAAGGTGCAGTTGTGGATGGAAAATCTCAGGGTATAGATTATGATAAATTGATAAATCAATTTGGAACGAAGGGAATAACACAAGAAACTTTGGAGAAATTCAAACAAGTTACAGGTCATGAACCACACCCATTTTTGAAAAGAGGAGTTTTTTTTTCAGAAAGAGATTTGCATAAAATATTAGATTTATACGAACATGGTGAACCATTTTTTTTATATACCGGTAGAGGACCATCATCCGATTCAATGCATTTAGGACATATGGTACCATTTATATTCACGAAATGGCTACAAGAAGTGTTCGATGTTCCTTTGGTCATTGAATTAACTGACGATGAGAAATTTTTATTTAAACCAAAACTAACAATAGATGATGTTAAGAAATTCGCAACTGAAAATGCCAAAGATATTGTAGCAGTTGGGTTTAATCCCGAAAACACCTTCATTTTCTCAGATTTGCAATATATGGGAGGAGCATTTTACGAGAATGTGGTAAGAACATCCAGACAAATCACAACTTCAACAGCCAAAGCCGTATTTGGATTCAACGATTCTGACTGTATTGGAAAAATTCATTTCGCAAGTATACAAATAGCTACTGCCTTTCCTTCTTCTTTCCCCGATGTATTAAACTTACCACCAAAAACTCCATGTCTTATACCATGTGCTATTGATCAAGATCCATATTTCAGAGTTTGTAGAGATGTTGCAGATAAATTAAAATTTTCAAAACCAGCTTTAATTCATGCCAAATTTTTCCCAGCTTTACAAGGTGCAACAACCAAAATGTCTGCTTCTGACACAACAACATCAATCTTTATGGGAGATACTCCAAAACAAATACAGAAAAAAATCAATAAATATGCATTTTCTGGTGGTCAAGCTTTAGCTGAAGATCATAGAAAATATGGAGGTAACCCTGATTTAGATGTTGCCTATCAATATTTATCATTTTTCAGTTATGACGACGAAAAACTAGAAAAATTAGCTGACGGTTATAAAAAGGGAGAAATCTTATCAGGTGAAATGAAAAAGGAATGTATCGAGGTCTTGCAAGAATTTGTAGCTGCGTACCAAGAAAGAAGAGGCAAAGTAGATGACGATATCGTTGACAAATTCATGAAACCACATAAGTTAGTATATGGACAAAAGGAAAGAAAAGTGCAAGCCAAAGAAAGACAGAAGAAGAAATAACAAGCTTAAGCATCTTATCTTATACATACGTTGTAGATTCTTTATTACATAATAAACATATTTTGCATTCCGATATACTAAAATTCAAAACAACTTTTTAACGTTTTCAATAATAAAACTTAATTTCTCAAAATCATCATCATTAACCTCATTACCTTTTCCAAACCATTTTGACCCAATTGATAGTATTGTTTCTTTTGGGTAGTTCAATGATATAATTTTACCAATTTGACTTGCAATTATAGAAATCTTCATATTCGAATAATCACCAATTAATAGTTGTGGCTCCGGTAGAAATCTGTTCTCATTTATTTGATCATCGTCATCTTCGTTCAAATCCATCATTGACTCATAATCAATTGTTCTTTTGGTGGATATTGGCAATTTGAAAGTTGTATCTAGAATTCCATTTATAGATATGTTTAATATTTGTTTGTCACCAAATTGGATCAAATGAAAGTTAAATTCTTCATCAGATGAATCATTGAATTTCTTGGAGAATGACTTGTTCAAAGAGCCTATGTGTTTAGGGGTCTCTTTTGACATCTCATACGCTGTAATTTGGTGATATTTTTTGCAGCTCGTACCTAGATATCTCGTTTGGGTTGGATTCGATCAAATTTCTTTCAGGTCTGAACTTATGGAATGTTTCTACAAGGTTGAGATTCTACAGTGCTCGGATTTATGACAAACTCGTTCATCAGACACTCACCGCTAGATAGTAAACAGCTAATTTGAATTGTGCATTAACAGAACTAGTGAAGGCATTTTGATTTTGTAGTGGACCCTTCCTAATGGTATTGGATTTATCATGAATATTGAAAGAAAAAAAATGAGACAAGGTTGAGTAGTAAAGCAAGAGGAGTAAAATTACATTCCAAATCCTCTGAAAGTGTAATATTCTATGTGTATGACAGATAATGCTAATGCTAATGACTAAGTTCATTTTGATATAGTAATCAAATTACTAAGTAATTAGAAAGGAGACATATTGTTAGAGGAGGTATATCGGAAGACGACTTTTTATTATTCCGAAAATGTGTTATTAGCGAGTTACTCCAGATGTCGCGTATTTAAAAAAATGTGATTAATTTAAATAATTACATAATGCATCATCATGAACATCATTCGAGTAAGAGTTGATAAATCATTTCAAAATTAAAAGTCCGATTTGATTGATTTTTATTTCTTTCAAAGCTAATTTTGTATTCCGAACCTCCTTTCCCATTGCAGATTGTTAATTTGTTCTCATTTTGTTAAAACCAAGTCGATAGAACAAATTCCATATAGAAACATAAAATCATGAGTCAAATTTTCACACCAATAGAGGAGGCTTTACAAGCATTTAAGAATGGAGAGTTTTTGATAGTGATGGATGATGAAAGTCGAGAAAATGAAGGAGATTTAATAATAGCAGCAGAATTAACAACTCAAGAGAAAATGAAGTTTTTAGTACGTTATTCATCAGGTTATGTCTGCGTGCCCTTATCAACTAAAAGAGCAGATGATTTAGAGTTATATCCAATGTTAAAAGATCGAACTGATAGACACGGAACTGCTTATACTGTCACATGTGATTTTGCAGATGGGACAACAACAGGAATATCAGCCCATGATCGTGCTTTAACAGCAAGATCATTAGCATCATCAAAATCGAAACCTGAAGATTTTATAAGACCTGGCCACATTTTACCATTGAGAGCTGTACCTGGATTATTGAATAAAAGAAGAGGACACACAGAGGCAGCTGTGCAGTTGTGTGAGTTAAACGATTTACAACCTGCAGCCGTCATTTGCGAACTAGTTAGGGATGAAGATGGTTTAATGATGAGACTAGATGATTGTGTCAAGTTTAGTAAAACGCATAACATAAAGATTATCAATATCGATCAAATTATTGAATATGCTAATAAAAAGTAAGAGAATTTTAATGATGAATGACGTTTATCTGTAATATTTAATTTATAATGTGTAATTACATAATGCATGCGAATGATGATTATAGAAAGATTATTTCAATAATAATTGGACTTTTCTTTTACCACTCACTTCATCTTTAACTGATTTAACATCGACTTTAACCTTATCAAAAACTCCCACAGTTCTTTTGTTTCCATTGAAGTCATCAAAAGTCAACTCATATTTATCTTCATTATAATTGGCCGTATTTGCATCTCCCATAGTCTCCAATTTAATCAACCCTTCAACACCGAATTTTGGAACTAATACAACTATCGCATTATTGAAACTCTTGATAACATATCCTTCATGTTCTGACTCATTATTTCTCATAACTTGACCAACGTAATACTCAATACTGGATCTTCCTGCAAATTGTGCATTTCTATGACGTTTATTTATATTTTTGACTATCATTTCCATCTTATTTTTATCTCTATGACTTAAATCTAAATTTTCATATCCAATGGCACCTGCCAATTGTCTATGAGCCACAATATCACAATATCTTCTAATCGGTGAAGTAAAATGTGTATAAATATCGACAGCTAAACCATAATGTTTAAACTCAGGATACCCATAAGAACCTGATGGGAAATATTCAGCTGCCATCATACATCTAGTTGACATGATTCTAACAAGTGTATTAAAATATGGGTCATTCGGATCGACACATCTGTCCAATGAATCGGCCAACGCTTTTGATGACTCTAATGATATTGACAATCCATTCTTTCTGACATTCAACATGTCATTCAAAACTTCAAAATTAGTTGCAGGCGGAGCAGCATGTCTTCTTAACATTGCAGTTTGAGGGTAAGCATCATATATTTTTCTAGCAACTGAGATGTTTGCAAACAACATAAATTCTTCAACCAATGAGTTTGTTTCTAGTAATTTTTTAATTTCTACTTCTTGTGGATCTGATGTTTCACTATCCATATGAACTTTAACTTCGGGCGAAGCCAAATTTAATGCACCGGCATCCAATCTTTTCTGCTTTAATTTCTTTGATAATTGTAATAGTATCCGCATGGAATTGGTTAATTCATCTTGTTGGTTTGGATCATCTATTCTTAATTGTGCTTGTTCATATGAAAAAGCTTGTCTTGATTTTATGATTGATTTCATGAATTTAACGTTAACAATATTTGCATCTTGATCCACTTCCCAGATGACACTAAATGCAAATCTATCAACAAATGGCTTTAATGAACAAAGATTGGTACCCAAAAGCATTGGCAACATATCAATTCTTTTATCAACTAGATAAACCGATGTACCTCTTGCAGCACCCTCTTGGTCTAACGCAGTACCAGCTTTCACGAAATTGGTAACATCAGCTATGTGAACTCCAACTTCATAGTTTCCATTTGGTAATTTTTGTGCATGTAAAGCGTCATCAATATCAACACAATTTGGGGGATCGATTGAACAAACTAATTTATCTCTAAGATCAACTCTTTTTTTCAATAAAGGATCATCAGTGTTTTCAATATCTGGTACGACCCAATTATCACCTTCTTTTGGTAAACAATCCAAAACGTTTTTTGAAAATGGTCTATATTCAACATCATGCTCTAAAAGTAATGCTTCTGTTTCAGCTTCAGCACTTTCAGCTTCACCTAAAGCTCTCACAAAGTGACCATTTGGATATTTAGAATCACTTGGCCAATTATCTACTACAATAACAATTCTTTGACCTAAATATTCTTTTGCTTTTCTGGTTCTTATTCTAATTTTAGGTAAGGTCTTGTCCATTAATATCACAAAACAATTCTTAGCAGAATTACCAGTATCGTCAAGACTAACTGAAGAAGGTGCAATTTGACCAACGTAATATCTCCAAGACCTTCTCATGATCCCAACAACTTTAGCAGTAGGTTGAAGTCGTTTTTCTTCTGAACTACCTTTTGTGACTTTTAAAGCTTCTTGTGCCAACAACAAACGTTCTTTATCCGATATTACACCTGTAGTCGCCACATCTCCATCAATTTCATCCCCATCATCTGCATTATCATTTGCTCCAATCGCCGTCTCGTCTATGATTGTAGTAGATGGTTCTTTCCATTTATCTTTTGGTAATAATTCAACAATAACGGAGTCTGAATTAAAGGCTCTATTTAAGTTTTTTGAACCTTGGATGAGTAAAGGTTTTTTAAATGCTCCAACATTAACTTCTCCTTGTAAATAGTTGTATGGAGATATATTTAATACTCCTTGATATAGTGTACCATTCCTAATACCAGCCATGATCCTAGCATTTGAGTAATACTCAGGAAATGAGGTTTCGTCATATCCTTTATCACTGTCAAATTGACTTCTGTCAAATTCACTAGGAATCAAATCTATTAAATCGTCTCCATTTGGTAATAAGTCAATATATTCTTTCAAAGATTTGGCATTCAAACCCTCAATTTTAGCTTTCTTTCTGTTGTCTGCATCATTACACACATATATTATATCAATGTTTGGTAAATGTTTTTGATACCATGACACCACTTTTCTTATTGCTCTATCATTTCTATCATTTATAGTTTCATTCTTATTTCTTGTAATATATGTACTTTCATTATACTCATTATGGAAAACAACAAATCTTTTATCTTCGGATTTAACAAGGTTTCTTAGCCTCTGATATATGGGAAATGATCTATTTTTAACTTCTTCTAATACTGTTTGTGGGACTATGACATCGTAAAAGCATTGGGTATTTTCCAATAAATCTATTGCATGCAAAACAATATTGGTGTCTAACACTATGTAGTGAGGTTTTCCGTTGTTTGTCTTTGATGGGTTCGACGATAGTATAAATTTAGGTAGTTGACCATTTGCATCTGGCTTTATTATGTTCTGACATTTAGTACATGCTAATGAATAACAAGGTATATCATTTCTTAAATAGTGTTCTCGAACTATTTTCATTGCTCCTCCATTTCTTGATCTCACAAAAACTTTTGAAGTGACACTAAGACCTGTAGAAAGCCTTTTTCTATTGCTTGCTACTGTCATTTATGTTTTAACTGTGATGTTTGTATATATATTAGACCAAAGTTCAAATAGGTTTTAAAGCATCCTCATCAGAAATTATAATTTGCCTTTTGTGACTACTAAAATCTAGAGAATAATATGGGCTACCAAATAGACGTATGTAGCACAAATTATTTATCCTTGTACCACGATTATTGTATTACTAACGATTTAATTCTACTTATTTCAACACCTTCTTTCTCCGGAAAAACCTTCATGAATAGTACTTGATTTGTGATTTTGTCTCATAGATGATCTTTTTGAAAATCTGTAAGCTGGTGATCTCACATGAGAACGACGCGAGTGGTTTCTAATCGGTTTTTGACAATCTTGACGTTGAATTTGATTATATTTATTACTGGGGTCATTTCTTTCTACTTCAACCATTGAATAATAACTGTCTTCAGAATCACTTGATGTTGTCATAAAAATTGAAGTTGGTAAATTCAAAACGCTTTGTTGTTCAGATGGATTGATTTGAGCTGATAAATATGCCGATTCTTCAATATCAATAGGTGAAAACGCTGCATTATTATCCAAGTTCATCATGTCGTATCTTGCGAATGTAATATTGTTTCTACTGTTGATATTATTCATTGTATTATAGTGAGTTGTCATATTTGGATGAACTATAGCACTTGAATAATGTTCTGGGTTACTAATGTTTTGACTACTACCCACTGGAGGTATTACAATATTGTTCATAGCAGATAAATCCGTTGGTGAAACTGGAAAATTCATACCAAAATTAGTTACAACTTTTTTATTTTTCGAACCAGACCTTGGTGTATAATCTTCTGAAAAAGCAGGATTTGAATCTTCTTTTATTTTGAAAGACCTTTTCGTTTTCGAAGGAAACATTGAATGTGTATATATTGATTCTGTCATTTGTGATTGCTCTTTAATTTTCTGAACACCATGCTGAGATTGAGGAATGGGTTTACTTATTATTTTTTTCAATGCTTCTTGTTTCTCTTTCTTTTTATTATCTTTCGAAAATGTTTTCAAAATGGAAGTAAAGCCACGTCGTGGTTTTTTTTGATCAATTGAATTTATAGATGATGAAGATGGTGTCAATGAGGGAAACTGTCGAGTTTTAACATCTTCTAATTTTGATGATCGTTTTGTTGATTTACTAGAATCACTGTTATTATAACGTTTCAACAAATTATCTCCATTTGGAATTTCCAAAAGTGTTTGTTTTCTTTGAAATAAAGGAGGATACCGACTTATCAAATTTGGATCTCGTAATTCTTCCAATGTTTGTAAATCAAGCTTTGAAGCATTTAAATTTAAGGAAGCATTCATTGAATCAGATGTGTAATGTTTGTAAATGAAGTTCCGCCATCAATTGTAAAAAAATTGTAAATCCAACTCTATTAGATTTGAATTTTTTTAATAATTTTGCAGCCAAATTTTATAATTTATCATAACAAAATATGTAAGAGAATTACTAGAACTTGAAGCTTGTCAAAACTTTCATAAAAAACACGACACTAAATTAATTTTCTATTAACCAATAGTATTATCACTATGATTAAATATTCTTATAGACCAGTTGCCGATATAACACACCTTCAACTGCATGAGACCATGGATAAATACACGAGCTCGACACAGAATATCCTATTTAACACAGCATTTGCTTTACAAATGGTTAGTTATATGATTTTCTCGTGAGTGTTTCAAAATTTGGAGCCGATACGATAATTCTATTGATCGAAAAAAAAAAATGTTTTGAAAAATTTACAGAGCTAATCAACAAGCCAAATATCAATCGGTCTTTAATAAACTAGAGATAAAAACAAACAGACTAAAGTAAAAAATGGGTGCAGCTTATACAATCTTTGGAAGACAAGTGCCATCACATCAATTAGCTATTGCTACATTAAGTTTGGTTGCTTTATTAGTTGTACCAAATCCTTTCGCTACTAAACCTGCACATCCACCAATTAAAGCTTCATCACCAGAAGAAGAAAAATTTGTTAAGGAATGGTTAGCTAAACATGATAAAACTGAAGAAAAGCATTAAGGAAGGACACATGGATGAGTTAAGTGTAATTTTATTTTGAAAAGAATTGACTTTCATTTGGAGATTTTAATTTAGAATGAACATTTGGATTCTTGAATTTATACATCAACAACGTTTTATTGTCATTTTGATTATTAATAGATAAAAGAATAAAAGTAAAATGATTTCGAATTGGAATTGAGTGAATCTTCATTACCACAGTTTCTCATCTTGGGTGTTCCTTTGTGGCAAATTAATCTCAAACAAATCTCGAACGTTTAACAAGGACATTTCTAGCTCTCAAGTATTTTTAACCTTTATTCGGTCTGAGTTCGATGTTCAGATAATTCGACTTGGTCACTATTCTTGTTGTTCAACTCTCTCATATAAGCTTGAAACATACTTCCCATTTTTGTGTAACATTTTTTACTTCTACTCATCGTTACTTTTACAAAAAATATCCATGTTTATCAATGTAATCACCAAACTATATCACAATATAACACCACAATGTCTGCCATTTATAAAGCATTACAATCAAAATCTACGAAAGATCAACTGGATAAAACCAAACATATAAACAAACAAAGATTATTAGTAATATCATCAAGAGGAATAACTTATAGACATCGTCATTTAATAAATGATTTATTACAATTATTACCACATTCAAGAAAAGAACCAAAATTTGATACAAAAAAAAATTTATATCAATTAAATGAAGTTTCTGAATTATATAATTGTAATAATATTTTTTATTTTGAATGTAGAAAACATCAAGATTTATATTTATGGATTTCAAAACCTCCTAATGGTCCAACTTTAAAATTTCATATACAAAATTTACATACATTAGATGAATTAAATTTTATTGGAAATTGTTTAAAAGGTTCAAGACCTATATTAAGTTTTGATAAATCATTTGATTCAAATGATCATTTTAAATTATTAAAAGAAATTTTTTTACAAAGTTTTGGTGTACCACCAAATTCAAGAAAATCAAAACCTTTTATTGATCATGTTATGACTTTTAGTATAGTTGATGGGAAAATATGGATTAGAAATTATCAAATTAATGAAACTTTAGAAACTAAAGAAAATGAAGACGACAACGACAATATAAATATAGAAGATAATTTAAATTTAGTTGAAATTGGTCCAAGATTAGTTTTAACTTTAATTACAATATTAGAAGGTTCATTTGGTGGTCCTAAAATTTATGAAAATAAAGAATATGTTTCACCAAATTTTATAAGAGCTCAATTAAAACAAAAATCTGCTAATCAAGCAAAATCAAGAGCTGAAGCTGCATTAGAAAGAAAAATTAAAAAGAGAAATCAAGTATTAAAACATGATCCTTTATCTAATGATGCTTTATTTAAAGAGTAGATATAGAGTTAATGCATAATAATATTTAAGAATTCAATCAAGAAGTATTACCTCTATTAAAAATGAAAAAACCACATAATTATATTTCTATTTAATATTTCTCTCTATACTTATAATCATACATCGTAAATCATTAACTAATTACTAGTTACATTCATTCATTCATCAGGTGAACTTCCAAATTCTCCTTCAAAAATAGTAGCACCACATTTTTTTCTATTTTCAATTTCAATACATTCATTCAGTTCCAAAATAGATTTTGCTGATGGTCTATCAAATGGATTTGGTTTTAACATCTTATTTACTAATCTATCTAATACTTTTAAATCTCCATTTACTAAAAAAGTAGGAGCCCAATTTGGTATAAGATCTTGCTGATCTATAACACTTGTCTGATTATTTTCCAATTTTATTGGAATTTTATTACCAATTTCATCATTATTTCCATTATTCAATTTATTTTGTATTGGATTTATTAAATTTAAATTTATTGAATGATTTGAAGTAATTGAAGAACTAAAATTTGTATTTGAAGAGCTTGAAGTTTCAGGTTTATGTTGTAAAAACATTGAAATATTATCACTTGATAATTGTCCTGCATCACTTAAATCTCCACTTCTTAATTTTTTCCATGGTGTACCATTATCTGGTAATATAACATTTGCAGCAATTTCTAATATTATTAAACCTAAACTAAAAATGTCAGCAAATGGAGTATAAATTTTATCATCAATTAATTCGGGAGCAATATAATTTCTATCACCTTCTAAATCAAAATCTTTTTCAAGGATTGGTAATTTTGTTGCTAAACCAAAATCTCCAATTTTTAAATTACCTTCAAATGTAATAAAAATATTTTGAGGTTTTAAATCTAAATGAATATATTTTTGAGAATGAATGAATTTTAAACCATTTAAAATATCAATTAAAATTTTCCAAATTCTAAATTCATCAATTTTATAATTTTTATTTTCTTCTAAAAATTCAAATAATGTTCCACTTTCACAATATTCTGTCATTATATAATAATAATTATTAAAATCCCATGCTTCTATAAAATATACTAAATTTTCTTTACCATCTTCTTCTTCTTGTAAATTTTCATTTTCATTTTCTTTTATTGATGTTAAAGTTCTAAGGGCATCAATTTCTCTTAATATTGTTTTTTTATCAATTTTTCCAATTATTGGTTTCTTTGTTCTCTTGATTGCAAATTTTTCTTCATTAAATACACATTCAAATGCAATACTAAATTCTCCTTGTCCAATATATTTTAAATTTTTCATACCAAATTTATTAATTAAATGTTCATCAATTTTGGTAAGGTAAGTTTGTTGATGATTATCATTTTGAAAATGTAAAGAATCATTTTCATCTAAAGTTTGTAAATCTCCTATTTGATCTATATTATTAAATTCATCTTTTAAATTGAATACATGATTAATTGGTGTAGATGGTTGACCTTCATTTAATTTTTTAAGTTTATTAAGTTGAAATAAATTTAATTTTACATTTGGTTTCTCTAATTTAACAGATTTTGGAGTTGGATGTTGATCTTGAGGTTGTTTTGTTGGAGTTTCAGGTATCAATCCTCCTTCTTCATCTATTTCAAAATCTGAATTAAAAATTATATCTAAATCTTGATGATGAATTGTAGGATCTATTTTTTCATTCAGTGATGGCATAATTTTGAAATAACTATTATTTTGTAATGTACTTGAATTTGTGGTATCATATATTATGGTTGCATTATTTCTACCACATTCAATTGATGTATCATGATCATTTATGTAATTCTGAGTGAATTGATGATCAATATGGTGGCTTGACAATGCTGCTGGATTTTCTTCATAATAATGATTTGGTGGTCGATTTGTGTTTAAAATCATCAATGGGTTTCTTTTCATTGGAGTTTCTGGTGGTAGTTTTCTTTCTGTATTTTTAATCAATGCACAATTCTTTTTCATTAGACCATTGGAATTGAATGCTGCTTGTAAAGGTTTTACAAATTGATATGATGCTTTATTTTCTTTATCATCAAAAGTTGTTGAATATGAAGTAGTAGGATTAGTAGTTGGAATTGATACATTGGAACTAGCTTTTTCATTACCATCATTGAAAAGTGCATCATTATGAAACATTAAAATAGATGAACTAGTTGAATTTGACAGCAGTTTTCGATTTTTAGAAGGACTATCAACATCACAATAATCATTATGAATCACAGTTTTTTGTACAGATTGAGGTGTATGATTTAAAGATTTATAAGTTTTTCTTAATTTGTTAGCTTGCCCAAATACATGAGATTTAAATAAAGTAGTATCAATTTCAGAATTTCGTATTGGTGAAGTTGTATTTGAATTTCTTAAAGTTTGAAAATTTTTATTATTTAATTTTGATGGAGAATATAAATTTGATTGATGATTTGGTGATGATAAAGGTCGTATTTTATTTGATGAAGGTGAAGGTGAAGGTGATTGACTAACTAGTTTATGAGGTCGTTTAAATTGATTATTATGAACTAATGACGGTAGATTTCTATTAATTGGTGATGAATTATCAATAATTTTACTTTCGATTTGATTTAAATTAATTTCATCTTGTTTACCATCTAATGTTTTCAAACTAGAATCAATTGATAAATTAATGAATTTCAGTGATCTTTTAATTGAATTTTGTGAATTATTAAGTTTTATAGTTGAATTTGATGTTTCATAATCTAATGATGGTCGTTTTAGATGATGTTGAACACTCTTATCTCCCTCTGATCTGACAATTCTCGGCGTATAATCAATTTTATTTATAATTTGATAATTTTCAACTTCATTATTATTATCTTCACTAAAATTATCAATTTCATCATCCATATCAGTTTCATTTAAATGCTCTTCTTCTTCTTCTTCTTCCTCCTCTTCTTCATCATCTAAACAAGTATCAATCCCATCATTTGTATAATCATGTTTTACATTAAACGGAGGTGATTTATTTATTGTTTTTCTAGGAATTGAATTTAAATCTGGATTATTATCATCTAATATTAAACTATTAAATGACGTTGAAAAATGATTATTTGTAAAATAATCCAATTGATTTAAATAAGGTTGTTGTTGAGAATGGTTTTGAGGTATCAAAGTTGGTTGATGTTTGATTTGATTATAATTATTAGTTGGTTGCTTATTAGGAGTTTTCTCTTCATTTTGTAAATTTGATTCAACACTTTTATTACCACCCTTTTTAATCGATCGGGGGTTTTTCATATTTGAGGAATATGATTCGAGTAATGATTAAGTTATAAGTTGATTGCAGAAGATTAGTTTTTACTCAACGAATGTGAATTTTGTTGGAAATTTCAAATTATATTTTCAAGTGGGGTTAAATAATATGTGTATCGAATGAATTGAATAGGTGTTATTAATTAGAGTACTATTCTTCAAATAGTTTTGCAAAAATGTATTGAACTTGATGATGATGGTGGTGATTGTGATGCTGATGGTGTTAAAGATCTTGAAAAATGATTGATATGATGATAATAATAGAAATAATGATATGTATTGTTATACGTATAATAATAATTCCCTTTGTTTATATTTTACTATAATAGAATAAAAAATAATAAACAATAAATTCGCGTCTTAAATAAGATTTATTCTACTCTCTAATTAATATTCTATTATTAACTATACAAAGTATATAGAGAAATACACACTCACATTTCATTACTGTACTAAAGCTGTATCAAAAGTATTTCAGTAGAGTCAAACTTGAGAACTTGTCTTGAAAAAAGAAAAAACGAGATCCTAATCCATTCCTTAATCCTCAAATCACTACTTACACCCTTTATTATAATTATTAAGGGGTTATATAATAAATAACTTTGTGTATTATTGTACTTAGATTACAAAAAAAGCGCGTGTTTTTTTTCTGATTTTTAAAAATCGCAAACTTACTGAGTGACATATTACATATGCAGATACTTGAGGTACCATATTAATTGTATAAGTCTAATCTTTCAAGGTCGCCAATACTGCTGTCATGACTAAAATTACCGTACATTTGAAGAGCTGAGTTCATTCACGAATTCTGTTTGTGCATTAAAATTTTTTTCCCAATGGTTGTGCATCCACACATTTCGAGTATATCAATTATCATATTACTGTTATTACATCCAACATAGTAAAATTCTTCAGCAATTACAGATGATGAAATTGTTCATCATCTGCTGTTGCTGAAGATAATAGTTCATCCTTGCAAGTGGTTTACATTCATTATAAAATTTTTTTAAGCTGAATGTAAGATTAATCCGTCACATAAATTTGGTGTCCACTACATGATCAATAGTTATATCATCCCGTTTAACTTAACTCCAAGGGGCAGTAATAATTATTTTTTATGCCCATATTTTGGTTTTTAAATAAACTTCCATCAACCAAATTTATGAACTTTAAATTCTCGTGTGTAGATTTGAACTTTCTAAACCAAGTTAGACCACTAAGCTCCATTTCACTCAAGATTTTCTCGAATTTCCTACATTTGATTTATTATGATAGTTCAACTCCCTTGTAGGTATTCTATATATCATGCTATCCACGCTCTTTACTCCGTGAAAAAACAAGCGCTAAGTACATCAAGTTACTCTGTAACCCATTGTTACTGATATGATCATTACTGATATGATCACTTGGTGTAATAAGCCCTTATTGTCTCAAAGAATATAGTTCATGGATAACATAATTATAATAAACCTCAAATTAAGCAAATAATGAATATGAAAAATTGTATTACCAATTTTGACTTATGGGTTATAACTTGTACTATCAATCATGACGTACGTGTTATGTCTTTTATGTCATTCTCTCTTTTACTAATGTTGATTCCATGTTTTGAAAATTTTGGTAAATGTAAGTATATTGTATATTCAAACACCAAATTGGAAACAAAAAGGTATTAATTCTTGTTTATGTAAACAAGGTGAAATAACTATTAATCATGGACTGTTGAAAAAAAATGACTGTAGTAGAAAAAGGCTGATAAACAAATGATGGTGTTGATCAGCTTCAACAAAATTGATTATGAATTATCATTTGTATAATTGATGAATGAATTATTCTATGCTAGCATACTCAAAACAAGTTTGCTTTTATAGTCTCACGGGTTTGAATCTTCAACCTATGATACATACTTCGATGAATTCAGTGGCCTTCATTACTTGGATCAGAATTTGAAGAATTTCAATTTAGTATTGTAAATGTACTGGAAATTTACATAATAGAACCTACATAATTGACCTAATATGTCATATTTTAATGTCATCATTTTCATCTTAAAATTATAATAAGACATTAAATTCCTTAGTTTGAAATATATATTATTAATTCTTGTGCTCTGATTGGCTAATGATTGATCTGATATATATCTGACAAGTTAACACAAAACTAAAATTTATTTTATTTATTCGTATTACTAACTTAATATGGAAGAATTAAAACTTTAAGCTCTAAATATTAAAAAACTAAGTATAAGAGGCTTCAAATAAAAGTATGTTAGATTTACTTAGGAGGACGTAATTATAAAGTTAAAAGAATTGAATAGAATCAGATTCAATATACTTTGATTGTAATAAACTTTTAACTTAGACGAAAAATCCGATTAGATGAATTGAAGTAGTATTATTGTGTTTTATTTTTCAAAATTCTATTAGTTGTATGATGTGTTAATGATTGTTTTAGAATTATTATTACAATATAATTTATGAAGATCTTTTTATTTTTCAAAAACACAATTGAACCACGATTATGATTTGACAGATAACTCTACTAACCATTTCTTACAATTCTTACAATTTATTCTTTTTATTCTAATTATCTAACTTAATTAGCCTAAATTTTAAATTTTTAGAATATCTTAAAACTTTTTATTGTGTTATTTTTTTAACGATCTAAAATTTATTTTGAAGTTAAATATTATTTGATACACATTTTATGAAATTTATAACACACGTTAATCATCAAAATATTTTCCTTTTCTTTTTTTTCAATTTATATATAATTAAATTATTTATACAACTAGAGATCATCATTATATTTAGGCAAGGAAATTTAGATTTACAAATACTATTATTACTATATTTATTACTTACTTCAAATTACTTGAGATTTTGAAATACAACTTACATAAAGTCGGAGATTTTGCCATTTCACTTACAACCACATTTCACCTGAGATAGCTATATTTTCAATCATTCAAAGCTTCTTTTCAATCTACAACTAATTCAACAACCTAGAACTACCCTACAATAACTACATATCATTTCAGCAATCACATCCACGCTCAAATCGGTGTTAAACTATTTCATAATTACTAATCCAATATTACTTTACTTATTTTAAAAGAAACTCAATACATAATTCATGTTTTGCAAACATATATGATATAAACTCACAATCAATAATGTCAATGAATAATATACTAAATAATAATCGAATACAAACGGGTCTATCACCAAAACCTTTAACTCCAACAATGGAAAGTGAACCAGAAGGTTCAAACACCACCAACTCATCAATAATAGCTCCTAAAATTCATACTATAAGTGTTGATGATGGTCAACAATGTTCAAATTGTGGAACTACTAAAACTCCATTATGGAGAAGAGCCCCTGATGGAACTTTAATATGTAATGCTTGTGGATTATATTTAAGATCAAATAATACTCATCGTCCAGTTAATTTAAAACGACCTCCAAATACTATAACAGTTGCTAAAATTGAAGAAGGATCATGTAAAGGAGATGGAAGATGTAATGGAACAGGAGGTTCAGCAGCTTGTAAAGGATGTCCTGCTTTTAATAATAGAATAGTAGCAAAAAAATCATTAGAGAAATCACCAAAATCTGAAAATCAAATTTATGCAACAGAAATAACAAATCAATATTTACAAAATCAACAACAGTCATCAGATCATAATTTGAAAAGAAGTTCACCAATTCAAGACAGTAATAAAAAAGAAGATGAAAATTCATTAGCTATTGCATGTTTTAACTGTGATACCACTATAACACCTTTATGGAGAAGAGATGATGCTGGAAACACCATATGTAATGCTTGTGGATTATTTTATAGATTACATGGATCTCATAGACCAATAAAAATGAAAAGAGCCACTATAAAAAGAAGAAAAAGAAATGGATCATCAAATCATGAAAATAAAGATGGATCAAGACCAAATGATGAAACCAAATCACCAAAAGTAAAAACGAATGAATCAAATCAATCTTTAAATCAACTAACTTCACAACCTCCATATCCTACACAACAACAATATCCACCAATCACATCTTCAAATTCAAATTATCTACCAATACCAACAAATTATAATAGAAACTTACCTTACTCACTACCTTTCCACAGAACAACCAACGATCATAATCCCAACCAAAATTCTACAACACCTCCTCCTTTACAATTTCCACAACATTCTCAACATTCTGCAATCATACCTCCATCTTTATATCCTAGATATAATGGAAGTGGAAGATTACCGAATGGTCCTGGTCCTATGCCTGGTCCACCACCTCCAATAAATTTTGGAACATCTTTCAATCAATCACAACAACAACAACTAACTCATCAAATTCCCCAACAACGACAAGAAACACCACCATCAATTAAAATTCCTGATATTGCAATTGATCCAAATACATTACCACCAATAAAAACAAATGAAAAAGGAGAAGCAATAGGATCAGGATGTTGTACAAATTGTACACCACTAAATAAGAGAGTTTTAAAACCAAAACCAATGGCTATTGATTTTACTTCAAGTTATAAAGTTGAAAATTCATTTAATTCAAATTTAAGAAATTCTTCAATAGATAAAAAGGAAGAAGAAGAAGAAGATGATAGTGAGAATAATTTACTAAAATTAAAACCTTCTTTAGCTAAAAATAATGGGAATGGTAATTATAATCAAAAGAAAGCTTTAACTATTGGTGGATTATTAAATAATTAAACATGTATTTAGTTCCATTTGATTTCTACAATGTAAGATATTATCTCAAAGTAGTTAACTGAATTAAAGTGACATTCCTTAGTCATTGTAGTCTACTTTTTCTCTAACTACTTGTCAACTGAATGTTCAAATGTCTTACCCTCTAACATTGCCTTTGTGTAATTATAAAATAGTTAAGATGAGATAAAACACAAATTCCAAAATATTGAAAAATAATTATTTTCGATTCTTCAAATCTCATAGCTTCAACAAACCCTTTCCAACTACCTAACCACCATATAAACCTTAACCATACGATGGGATCATCAGATAAGAAAAGAAAATCCACAGATGATACTGAATTATCAGAGAAAAAAAAATTAAAATTAGCTAAAAAAGAAGCTAAGAAACAAGCTAAATTAGAAAATAAGAAAGATAAATCATCTGATAAACTAGAGAAACAAGAAAAGAAAAAAGAGAAGAAAGAGAAGAAAGAAAAGAACGATAAAAGCAGTAAGAAAGAGAAAAAAGAAAAGAAAGATAAATCATCAAAAGTAGAACCAAAAGAAGAAGAAGAAGTGAATGAAGTAGAAGAAAAAGAAGAATCAACTAACTCCAATAATACTTCAACAAATTCAAATTATATTCAATCATCAGAATTGACAAATTTATCACAATCAAAAATAGATGAATTTTTATCTACAAATGAAGTAACAATAGAAGATCCTCAAAATTTAAATTATAGACCAATAATTTCATTTAATCAAATAAATTTAAATAATGAAATTTTAAAAAAATTAAATAAATTTTCAAAACCAACACCAATTCAATCAGTTTCATGGCCATATTTAATTGATGGTAAAGATGTTATAGGAGTAGCAGAAACAGGATCTGGAAAAACAATGGCATTTGGAGTTCCAGCAATAAATAATATAATTACATCAAATAATCAAAAGAAAGATCTTAGTGTATTATGTATATCACCAACAAGAGAATTAGCTTTACAAATTTATGATAATTTAAAAGAATTAACTGATGGAACTTCAATATCATGTATTGCAATATATGGAGGAGTATCAAAAGATGAACAAATTCAGAAAATTAAAAAGGGAGTTAATGTAGTAATTGCAACTCCAGGAAGATTAGTTGATTTAATTAATGATGGATTAATAAATTTAAGCAAGATAAATTATTTGGTTTTAGATGAAGCTGATAGAATGTTAGAAAAGGGATTTGAAGAAGATATAAAAAAAATTATTGGATCAACAAATTCAAAAAATAGACAAACTTTAATGTTTACAGCAACTTGGCCAAAAGAAGTTAGAGATTTAGCTAATAATTTTATGATCAACCCAATAAAAATAACAATTGGAGATCGTGATGAATTAAGTGCCAACAAGAGAATAACTCAAATTGTTGAAGTATTAGATGATAAATTTCAAAAAGAAAAAAAATTAATAAATTTACTTCATAAATATCAAGGTTCCAAAGTTGAAAATAAAATTTTAGTATTTGCATTATATAAAAAAGAAGCATCAAGAATTGAATCCTTATTAAAAAGAAATAATTTTAAAGTTGCAGCAATTCATGGAGATTTATCACAACAACAAAGAACTCAAGCATTAGATTCATTTAAATCTGGTTCATGTAATTTATTATTAGCAACAGATGTTGCAGCAAGAGGTTTAGATATTCCCAATGTAAAATATGTTATAAATTTAACTTTTCCATTAACTATAGAAGATTATGTTCATAGAATTGGTAGAACTGGTAGAGCTGGTCAATCAGGTATTGCACATACTTTTTTTACAGAAGATGAAAAACATTTAAGTGGTGCTTTATGTAATATTTTAAGAGGTGCAAATCAAAAAGTTCCTGAAGAATTATTAAAATTTGGTGGTCATACTAAAAAGAAAACTCATTCTGTTTATGGTGCTTTTTATAAAGATGTTGATATGAGTAAAACTGCTAAAAAGATTAAATTTGATTAGAATTAATAGAGGAAGTAGCTTTAGTTATAGTCTAGATGAAATTTGAAAAATGAAATGTTTCAGATCTTTATTAAAACGTAATGAAGTTTCTCTTTTCATGAGTAAAGTAATGACGTGTCCAATACAGGCGGAAGTTTGTATTGCGGTTCAGAGTAAATTTTTATTCAACCGATGGCGAAAAACCAGTAGAAAGTCAGACAATATATGGTTTGATGTAAACTGCTTACACTGTACTCTTACTAATAAGTAAATCAAATGATATCCGTTATCCTATATACAGGATTTATGCTTGCATTTCTTTTTTTTTATTTTTGTTTGACATATTCTGACGTGTTCATATAATTAAGAATAGAATAGTTAGTCTAAGTACAATTGTATAAACCATTAATTATAGACTTGACTGGTATAGTTCTACTTGAGTAATTCACCACAGATATAAACTTAGTTGAGACCATGAAGATACAGTTTAATCGTGTTCAATACCTATAGATACACTAAATAGATTGCATAAACGTAGTACAGATTAAGTAAAAACCGATCGCCTTAGAAAATAAAACGGGTCGAAAAAAGAAATAAACAATCTTAAGATTCTACCTAGATAAATAAAGTGAGTGAAAAATATTTATCAGCTACTTACTACTACTACCTTTATCTTATCTAGTTTTTTACAATCAATTCATACAACGTTACAACCAAAAGGGTTCAACTTAATAATAGATACACTCAATCAATCAATCAATCAACTTAATAAATCACTGTACATTTATAATCATAGACTTTATTCAAATTTTTCAATAGCATAGCATCATAATAACATCACATAATCATACACAATCAAAATGCAAATAATACATTTAATACTACTACTAATCAATTTTATAATCACTTTCATAATAGCATTTGATTCATCTTTACCACATCAACAACAACAACCACAACATCCACATATTTTACCAAAAGCAAAATTTAGTGCATTTGATTCACTAGATTTTTGTTCACAAATTATAACTCCAACTTGTAACACTACATTTTCATATATTGATAACTTAAACAATGAAATAAGACCATATTTATCAAATTTAGTTAAAACTTCATATTTTAAATATTTTAAATTAAATTTAGATAAACAATGTAAATTTTGGAATGCTCAACATTTTTGCGCAACTGAAAATTGTGCTGTTGAAATTTTAGAAGATTTTGAATGGGATAATATAACAAATGAAAATTTAAAACCTTCAAAATTAGGTAAAATTATAACTTCATCATCATTGACTGAAGAAAATTCTATTGAAACAGAAGTACCTGAAACTTGTGAAGATTTAGATTATTCACATATTGATGATGATCATAATTGTGTTTATGTAAATTTATTAAATAATCCAGAAAGATTTACAGGATATGGTGGGAATCAAAGTTTAGATGTTTGGAAAGCTATTTATTCTGAAAATTGTTTCCCCAATACAAATCCAATGTCAATGAAACCAAATGAACCAAAAGAAAAATGTATTGAAAAAAATTTATTTTATAGATTAGTTAGTGGAATGCATGCTTCAATTGCAGTACATTTATCAAATGAATATTTAAATATTGATACAGGAGAATTTTATCCAAATTTAAAAATTTTTATGCAAAGAGTTGGATTATTTAATGATAGATTATCAAATATTTATTTTAATTATGCTTTAGTTTCTGAAGCTGTAGTTAAATTAAATGAAATATTACCAATAAAACAATTTATACAATCAGGTTATGATGATATAACACCATCTGAAAAACATCATTTATTAGAAAATAATAATAACACCACCACCAAGAAAGAAGATGATATTGAAATTTATGATGAATTATTAATTGAAGATATAATACCAGCTTTACAATCAAATACATTATTTAATACAAGTAAATTATTTGAAAATGATCCAAATTTAAAAAATGAATTTAGATCAAGATTTAAAAATATTTCAGCAATAATGGATTGTGTTGGATGTGATAGATGTAGAATGTGGGGGAAAATTCAAATTATTGGTTATGGAACAGCTTTAAAGATTTTATTTGAAAATGATAATCACCAAAATCAAAATTTAAAATTTAAAAGAATTGAAATTGTTGCATTAATTAATACATTAGATAGATTATCAAAATCAATTGAATCAATAAATAATTTTAAAAAAATGTATATGAAACATTTAAAAGATGTTGAATTAGGAATTGTTCAACCAGGAGATTTTGATAATGAAAATAAATTTAAAACAAATCAAGGATTTAATTTCCCATTTGTTAATAGTTTATCATCATCATCTTCATCTTCATTATCATCATCATCAAAACAACTTAAAAAATCATCAACTCAATCAAATTCAAAATCATCTTCCCACAATAACAACAATCAATTAAAAAAACCAACAATAAAAGAACTTTATAAAATTCATCCAAAAGATAGAACATTTAAACAAGAATTTCAATTAGCATTTAATGAAGTTTGGGAAGCTTTAAAATTTGTTTTAACAAGTTATAAAAATTTTCCTCTATTGATGGTTAAAATTTCTTTATATCAATTAAATAATTGGTGGAATGAATTTATTGGTAAACCTCAAGTTTATGAATATAAAAGTCCTATTGATATTGAAGCTGAAAATTATAGTAGATTAATTAATGAATAAAAAAAGTAGACAATCAAAGTACTTTAACTAATCAATCAAGACATTAACTACATTACTGTACATTAAGGATCATATATTACGTTACAATTTTTTTAATTATTTTTTACTTTCTTGAGTTTAATTTATAGATATTTATATATATAGCACATTTTTAAACATATTTAAAATTGTTGAATCATTGACTTTGTTTTTGCTCCCCCAAGATCTCGTTGTGGATAAAGTTGTGTAGATCAATTTGTGGTTTCAGATCTAACAATATTTAGTTTTTTTTAAATTTGGTATGTAAGGCAAATAATTTATTACAATTCCGGTAAATCATTTCAACTCAATAGACCAAACACCTATCATTAAATTGTATCATTTGACATAATTGCATTAAGCCTAAATGAACATAATTGTCATAGCCGTCTAAATCAATCAACTATGAAATTGATAAGGTTGTCACGTATAATTACATGTACAGATGTTTTATTTATATTCTACTATTGATAAATATATTTCCAAATGTATTGGCATATTCATTGAATTACAATAATTCCTATGATTCAAATAACAACAATCAGTCTGAAAATGATTCCAATACTTCATTTTATCAACAACAATTATCAAAATTAATAATAACTAGAATAAATTCATTACATGAACTATCAATCTCAAATTTTACAAATATTAATAAAATATTTAAATTACCGAATAATAAAATTATAATTCATTCAACAAAATTATCCAGTGCAACCACCCCCTTATTTAAAAATAAATGGTTATTGTTAAAATCATCAACACCCACCACAAAACCAATAAATTTCCCAATAACTCAATGTTTAAATAATCAATATGGAGATGGAGGATCAATAGATATTCAATCAACAATAATTACACAATTTATAAACACGGTAGATTTATCTTTGGGATTAAATGTTATATTTTATTATGAACTGATTATACAATCTTGGGAATTAACTCAATCTATTACATGGAGAAATTTATATACTTGTAATGTACCTGATGGATTAATTGGACAAATTTGGATTAGAAGTGAAGTTATAAATTTTGATATTATTGAATTATATAGTTTAGAATTTGGTACTTTACTGAGATTAAGTAATAAAATTTTTGGAATTCGTTTTGGTGGTGATGGTAGAATTAAATTAAAATTTTTAAAACTGTTTCAAAAAATTAAAATGTTTAAACAACATCATCACTTCCATGACAGAATAAATCATATAAAAGATAAAGTGAATGAAGTCAATAAAAACCTTGGTCAGAACCAAAAAAGACCAATTATTTCATGTATTACAAATTTTAAATTATTAGATTGTGGTAGGAAAAAAAGTTATAAAAATTATAATTTAAATATTATTGATATTTAATATTTGATGATAGGTAGAATGGAAATGCAATTCATTCATAGAAATAAAAGATACATAAAATTAATGTAAGAAGATGTAGTTGAAATTTTTATTTCTTCTTGCTTGTCCTTTTTAATAACTTTTGATTGTATTCTATTACCCCCTAACTAATTTGTGGGGTAAAATTGAGGTACAAAAATTTCGTAAATCAAAATTATAATTTAGAACCGAGAATTAACACGAGAGAAAGATAAGAAACAACAAAATAAATAGATAAGATAAATAAGATAAGAAAGTTAAAGACCAAGTTGGAAACCGCTAATTCGAACAGGATCTTACAAAATCAAACCTAATCAAACTTTGTCAATGATTCAAATTAAAGCTTTTATGTTTATTAATTAATTATAAAATTTTTTTATGATAAAGTCTAGCAAATGGATTAGTATGTAGATAAAATAACCAATAAATCTATCAATTTACTCTAACAGTTGCGTTCTTAAGTCTAAGTTATTTAGATAACTTTTGTTTATAATTTTTTGATTTTAATTTTTTATCTTTAATTGATTTATATTGCTTGTTCTTATAATTTAAAGATCTTAAATATTCATCATCATTTTTAAAAGGTTCAAAATTAGTTGAATCTTCTAAATGTTCTAAATCTTTATCACCATCTTTGGTTCTGGTCAAAACATTATATTGATTATTTAATATTTTACCTTTTGATGGTTTTGATTTAAATTTATAATTTCCTCCAATACTATTGGTAGTTTGTTGTTTTTTATTTTGTCCTAATAATGCTACTTCTGCATAACTTAATTGTTTAGTTTGAATATCAATAAATTCTTCTTCTTGTTCTCCTTCTCCTCCTTCTTTATCTTCAATATTTTGATGATGTTCTTTCATTAATATATTAATTAATTTATTATCATCATTTGATATATTAAAAGATTTTGGTATAGTTGATGGATCAATTGATGTTGTTTGTTTAGTTTGTGGTTTTTTAAACCATGTTGGAATTAAATATGATGAATAGGAAGAAGTTTTAAACATAACTAATTTAAAGGTTCTATATTTAGTGTGTAATTGTCTTTTTTAGTCTATTTGATGAATTGAAATCAATTTAATGAGTCCAATTGTAATGTATGTAGTCTATGAAGGTTGTAATTGTTGAATGAATAGCAAAAATTAAAAAAAATGTTGAATTAAGATATGTCTGTTGTAAAATTGTGGTAAATTTAGATCTTATAAATCTTGATGGGAATTTACGGAATTTGTAAATAATAATAATAATAATAAAGATAACTTTTGAAAAGTAGTTTATTAAAACAATTTAATGATTAATAAATGGTTGAAATTAAAAGTAAGTTTGAAATAAAATGAGAAATAACTAGATTGAAATTGAGTGTTGTTTTAAGCTTGTATGGATAGAATATAAGTTGTAAAATGTAAATTTGTTGATAGTTGGAATTCCATTATATTTATATATTCTTAATAGTTAACTACTATAACTGTGTGTGTCATAGTAAATAGATTAGATAAGAAGAAACTATAATAATTATTATTATATACAGGATTAAACTATTGATTAGCACATGTTTAAATTCGGTTTGTTTATACTTTAATTAATCTAAACAGAATGACCCAAATAAAAGTGACCAAACCCGTGTTTTACGAAAGAACAATATATATATGTAAACAACCGAATTAAATATTATGTCATTTGTATATTATACATCTATGACCATTGAATCTTAGCAGATTGTACTATATAATCGCGTTTATTGATTATAGACACGTTGTTACTCATTTAGTTTCACTCAAAGTTTCCTTCTTGGAACTCGAGACTGGTAATATGTTGTGTTAGTTTGTTGAGAAGGCAATATGCTATTATTCTCTACCCCACGAAATACTGTAATATGTTTGTTGTTGTTAGGTTGAGTCAAAAAAAGACTCAATACATACATTATGTATCATTATTTAAAATTAAGTATTCTCGTATTTGAACAAATCAATCACTCATTTTTTCGTCGAATTTATTAACACTTTCGATAGAATAGCAATAACAATCAACAATCAACTAAATAGAATAAATAATTCACCAAATAAGGTAAATCAAATAGCAATGAACAAATGTTTCAGTTTATATAATAAATTCTGAATCTTTTCATTCCTTAATTTTAATAACATTTTCAACCAACATAATTACAATCTACATGAGTAAAGATCTGTTTGCTATTCTTATTAAAACTTTAACAAGGTTCAACATTTTTTTTACTCCTTAAGGAGTAATAAGGCTCATATAAAATGCTCATATTTTCTTTGCAATTTTCAACCAAATATAGAAAAACCTTATGAATAAAGATTATAAATCACAATCGTGTTTTAATTCAATTCAAAGATTTATTTGGCATTGCAATATTATGTCATACTTTGAAACTTACTAGACATGCACTCAAATGTTGGTCTACTTCATCTCATTACTAATAGCACATACTAAATGGTCACTTAATTTCAAAGAATCTTATCGGAGAATTTTTAGAGCACATTGGATATGTTTATATTATAAGCGTTATGGATAGATTTATTGTTGTAGCTCATTTTAATCACATTAGAATCCTAACTTTGTTAAAGTTTCAGTAATTGCGAGCAGTTCTTTTTCATGTATCTTGTAAAAATGTTAGTTGGAATACTAGTTTTCAGGTTTTGTGAATGATCAAGGGTTAAGAATTAAAAATTAGCTTTATAAAAATGAAATCTTCAGATAAGTAGGTCTTCAACTGCTTGAGTATTGTCAAATCTGAAAGTGACTGGTACGTATTTAACAGGTTAAATTAAATAACATCCACTCATCAATTTTTACGATTTTATATCATAAAGAGCAGTATTACAAAATAGCACACTGTATTTAAATTGGTAAATCTGAGTACGTTGGATTGAAATATTCGTGAAATATTACCCGTTGGTATTTACAATGTTCCAAATTGAATTACACTTATAATCCATAAGCAACTACAATTCGTAAATAATAATTTCTTCAACGAGCTCAGATTTGCTAGTTTATATGAACCTAATTTAGAGATAAAGTTATTAATTCATACGGAATTATTAATCAATTTTATAAAATCCAACATTTCAAAAGATTGAGAAATCAAATTTATATTTTGGTCCTAATTCAAAGTCAATAACAATTTGGTTAGATTAGCCCATTTCCATAATTAAGATGCATATGAATCCAGTAAGTTTCCATATCAATAAAATAATTGTTTCAAAACGATTCAGAATCAGACTTTTATCAATTGAATATGGTCCAAAATATAAATTTGATTATTTGATCATTTGAAATGTTGATAATATTATTTGTCTTTTATATCGATAAATCAACACGTTATTAATACTATTGGTACCCTATAATTATGATATTATTATTGAATAATCGTGGTTCCTATTGAAGAGTTTTTTAAACTCAAGATCTATAATCATTTAATAATGTCATAATCATGTGGTACCAATGACGAAAATTTGTTTTGATAGCAATTATTCTTTAAAATAGTTTTATCAGCAACGTTACTGGTATAAAAACTTTCCCTCTCTTAGGTTTTTAATGTACACAACCCTTCATTAACAAGTTTGAAGATGTCAAGTGAATTAGGAACCAGCAGGGTTGTTTTGCATGTTGTAATTAATTTGATTTGATCATGTCCAAGGTTCCCTTGGCAATAATATACAGATAAAAAGGTACTTAGAATTCGTTATTCTGAGTACCTCTTATATCTGTATATTCTCTCACATTGAACTGGAGGGAACCTTGATGATTCATGCTTTGTTTTTTTGATAATAAAAATTTCTGAAATTTTATGGGTATCATCATCTTTTCTTTTAATTTGATTTTTTGTTTCCGTTTTAATGATTAAAGCAGTACATATTTTATAACACTTCAATCATCAAAACGAAAATACAAAAAATCAAAAAAAACGAATAGATGTAGAAACACATAAAAAAATTGTGGTGGAGGTTTGTTAATACAAGCAAAATAGACCTCTAAATTTTGATATCAGCTTCTTTGAACCAATTCTCATAGGAAGAAAGTCTCTCCAAAATTTTGGACAAAAAATATCAGATTGATTTGGTGAACCATATTTGATTCTTTTGATTCTAATTTTAAACAGTGATAGTCAAACGAATAAATACCTTGAATTGAACAAACCAATAATTCTCTCATGGTAAATTTGACACTGAAAAGTCCACAACATCAACTAAACTTAATTTGAAATTTGCATAAATGGCTGACGTATTAATGGATTGAATGTACCGATATATTTTGAACCTATGCTTGTAGTCCAGTTACCATTAATTGTCAATACGTCTATTTTTCGTTATGGTACTTGTCTATGATGAAAGAAGTTGATGTGAAATATATCATCACTAAGTGATATGTCGAATCTTTTTTTTAATCTTAGAATAGATAAACAAAACCGAAAAGAAAAAAAGTTTAATTTTTACAACCAAATCAATCAATCAATAGCCACACATAAATACACAAATAATTCATATAAACTCATGAAATTTAAACTTAACATATACATACCGAATCTATAATATTTAAAAATTCAAATCATTCCAACTACACCAAGAAAATAAAAGTTATGGATGGATGGAGTGAGGTAGCTAGAATACCATTAATAAATAATAATAAATTAAATACAAATTCAAATGGTATAATTGATGAATATCAATCAATTAATATAACTTCTTTAAAATTTGATACTACTCAAAATTTAATATGGTGTGGAGATTCTCAAGGTTATACAAGATCAGTTACTATAGGTCAACAAAATTCACCTTTTCATTTTCAATTATTTCCTTATACTAAATTTCAAACAAATATTCAAAATCAAAAAATTTTACAAATATTATCTCAAAAAGATGGAATATTATCGTTACTGGAAGATCAATTGACTTTTAATAATAGAAGAGGATTAACAAAACAAGCATTTAATGCGGAGTCTTTTACCGAAGGAGGAGATAATTTTAAGAATTTAAATGCAATGACATTTAATTGTAATTCAACTAATGATATAGTTTTGGGAAATGATTCATCATTATTAAAAATTGATTTAAATAAACCAACTACATTAGATAAATTAGATCATCAAGGTAAAATCACTCTACTAAATTCAACACCAAGATTTTTAACTTTAGCAAATGGTAATGGATCATTAGAATTATTTGACCCAAATTCAAATTCAAGTTTGAAAACATTTTCAGCTCATAATGGATTAATTACAGGTTTAGATGTTAGAGGAAATTATATTGCAACTTGTGGTTATTCAATAAGACCTAAAAGATATCATTATAATCAAACACCAGAATATTTAGTTGATCCATTAGTTAATATTTTTGATATAAGAACAATGAGAGCAATGGCTCCAGTACCATTTGCAGCAGGTGCATCATCAATTAGATTTCATCCAAAATTAACAAATATTATAATTGCAGCTTCTCAACATGGTCAAATACATTTTATTGATATATTTGATCAAACAAATGTTCATTTATATCAAGCTGATTTATCTTTAAATCAACCTCAATTATCATCTTCAATGAAAACTGCAAAATTAAATGATTTAAATATAAGTGAAAATGGTGATTTTTTTATGTTTAATGATGGATATTCTAATTTACATTTATGGTCAATTACAAATTCAGGATCATTAAATAAAAATTTTGTAAGTTTTCCAACAAATATAGAAAAACCAGATATTATTAATGGTACTGTTGCATCTGGTGAAAATGCATATATTGATATTGATGATAATATCACTCCATTAAGTTCAGTCGGTATGCCATATTATAAAGAATTATTACTATCAAACTGGCCAACAGATTTAAAATTTATAAAAGAAACTGCAAAATTACCAAATAAAATTGATGATGAATTATTATTAAAAAGTGAACAAAATCCTGGAAAATTTTTAAAATATGATGAATTAAAATATGGACCTGGAAATCTTGAAACTCCATATTATTCTATAGCTCATACTAAAGATACTCAAATCCCTCAATTTCTTAGCGAACGATCAGATGATAATAATCATAGAAAGAAAAGTTTATCAGATGATATATTTGAAACATCAAAAGATTCTAAAATCCCCAATTTTTATTCAAGATTACAAATTCAATATTCAAAATTTGGTGTAAAAGATTTTGATTTTGCTTATTATAATAAAACTGAAAATTATTGTGGTTTGGAAAATCATAGTGATAATTCTTATATAAATTCATTATTACAATTATATAGATTTCAATCAATTTTTTATAATAAAGTTGTTCAATCATTAAATAAAGAATGGTTACCAAATGATTTGAATACAATTGAAAATAACCCCGAGGGTTCATCAATTTTAAATGAATTAGCTTATTTATTTGATATGATGTATAAAGCAAAATCCAAAAATGTTAAAACATCAAATTTTAGTCAAGTTTTAAATCATGATAAAAATGCAAGACATCTTTTAAATTTTAATGAATTAATGAATTTAAATTCTCAAGAAGTAAGAGAATTAATAATTTCATTTAATCATTATCTTTTATTAAAATTAGATCAAGATTTTAAAAAACAATTTGATACAACTTTTACAATAACTGAATTTTTTTATCAAATTGAAACTAAAGGAAATTTACCATCATGTGATTTTCATACAAAACATGGTGGCACAATGTTTTCATTAGAATTAATTACTCCACCAAATAATATGTTAAATAAAATGAGTATATTAATGAATCCAAATCATCAACAACAACCAACAAATATAGCAAATATTAAAAAAAATTTAAATATTTTAACATATCTTGATTATTCATCAAATCAATTTAGAACAGTACCATGTCATAAACATAAAGATAATTATCCTCATACTTTAGAATTTAAAACAAGTATAACTAAATTACCTCCTGTATTAGTGATAAATGTAAATTTAACAAATGAAGAATTTAAAATTATAAATAATTTAAAACAATGGTTAGTACCAGAATTTTATGCAATAAAGACTATAAATAATGGATATACTTATAAATTAAATCCACCACCATCAACAAATAATAGTAATTATAAAAAATATGAATTATTAGGTTATGTATGTGAAATAAGTCATCAAACTGATACATCAAGAATAGAATCAAATAATTTAGTATCATTTATAAAAATTAATAATTCATGGTATTTTTTTAATGATTACTTAGTTATACCAATAGATACAAAGGAGGTTTTTAATTTAACTTATTCATGGAAAAAACCAGTAATTATAATATATCAAGAACAAACATCAATACAAAAATTTGAATATTTTAATTTTAATACACAAAAATTTAAAGGAAATAGTTCAATATTATATAGAGATCATTTTATTGGAACAATAAAAGAAAATTATAAAAAGGAATATAAGCTCCTTACAAGACAAGAAGCTCCAGAACCTGGTACATTAGTTGCAATAGATGCAGAATTTGTTACTTTAAAACCAGAACAAATTGAAATTTCATATACTGGATATAAAAAATTAATAAAACCAAAAGAATTATCATTAGCAAGAGTTTCAGTATTAAGAGGTGATTTAAATTTACCTTCCACATTATTTGGTGAAGCATTTATAGATGATTATATAGCTCATACTTCACCAATTTATGATTATTTAACAAATTTTAGTGGTATTGAATCAAATGATTTAAATTTAAACAAATCCACCAAAAATTTAGTTACTTTACAAACAGCTTATAGAAAATTATGGCTCTTACTAAATTTAGGAGTTATATTTGTTGGTCATGGTCTTTATAATGATTTTAGAATTATAAATTTACAAGTTCCAACAAATCAAATAAAAGATACATCAGAATTTTATTATAAATCAAATTTTAAAAGACAATTAAGTTTAAAATTTTTATCTTATATTGTTTTAGGATATAAAGTTCAATTAAAAAATCATGATTCTATTGAAGATGCTAAAACTGCTTTATTATTATATAAAAAATATATTGAATTAAATAATCAAGGAAATTTTGAAAATATGATTAATCATATTTATTTTGAAGGTAATAAATTAAGGTATAAAGTACCTACATAGACAATTTTGTATTATAATAATTAATAAATGAAAATAAAAAAAACAATCTTCATGTAGTTGAGATTAGAAAATACTCTTGAATATCGTACTTAATTAAAATTACTTTTATATATTTAAAAATTGATGCAAACCAATAAACTAATAAAGTCTATATAATAAATTATGAACAGAAAACTAACAAATAAAAATCAAAAACCCCAAAGAAAAGTACCTAGATAAAACCTAAAAAGGAGACTCATACTAAAGCAGCAGCAGCTAAACCAGCAATAGCAGCAAATCCACTACCAACCATTAATTTTGAACCAGAACCTTCATAAGTTTGTACACCAGCTTGAGAACTATTTGAAGCAGCTAATGATGAAGTAAATAATGTTAATTGACTAGTTTCAGTAGCTTCAACATTTTCAGTTGTTGATACAGTTGGAGTTATTGTTATATCAACATAAATATCTGATTCTGAACTTGATTCTGGTGATTCAATTGGAGCTATTGGAGTTGATGGAGTTGATGGAGTAGTTGCAACACCAGCAATTGAACTTGAACTTGGAATTTCAGCAATTGGAGCAGAAGCTGAAGCAACTGGAGATGAAGCAATTGGAGCAGTAGCAATTGGAGTTGAAACATCAGCTTTAATTGGTGATGATTCTGCAGTTAAAGGACAATAAGTTGTATATATAGTTTCAACACCTTCAATTGTAGTAACGATAGTAGATAAAGTAGAAGCAACACCAGCAATTGATGAAGAAGTTGGAATTTCAACTGGAGTTGAGGAGGTTAATGATACTTCTTCTTCTTCAGTTAATGGACAATAAGTAGTATATACAGTTTCAATACCTTCAACAGTTGTTGTTGCAACTGATGGACTTACTTTATTGACAGTTGTTTCACATTTATTTTCTGAACAAGAAGTAATTGTAACTTCAGTTGTATGACTTTCATAAATAGTTTCCCATTCAAATGAAGTAGTAGCTAATGATGATGATACTAAAGTAGCAGCAACTGTAAATAAAGTTGAATATTGCATTTTTTTATGTATAGTTTATATGAGTGTATATATTGTTATAACGAATGAAAATATAGTTGGTAAAAACTTTTAAAGTACTTAAATGATTGACTAAGTGAGTTGATATTCTTAAATTTGAAAAGAAAAAGATGATTATAATTTTGATATAATATTTTCCATTAGAGGGGAGATAAGTTGGTATATTTATACGAAATTATTTCTTAAATTGGATTTAAATTAAATTAAAATAATATCGTGTTTTCAAACATGGCTGATAATTTTATTTTGAACTTTTGATAGTAGATGAAAGGGTCGTAGGTTGATGTTGTTGTAGTAGTATTTTAGTGGTAGTATAGTTAAATAATAATAATAATACAAATCTGAAACGTAAATAAAACGCGTCATAAAAAAATAATCACGTAAAATTATTTTTCAAAACAAAAACAAAAATAAAAAATTATTGAAAAATCATTAAGACGTTTCGTTTAAGATTGAGGATTCACCCAAGTGATTGGTAGAACTTTCACTAAATAATCACTCGTCAAGATACTGGAATAGCTATACAACTTGTAAACGGATCTGGTTTTCAACAAACAGGACTAATAAATACGTTCAAATTTACTATGACTACTCGCGTCAGACGCATTTAATTGAATTACGTACATAATTAAATATATCGTTAATCAACTTACATATTCAAAATTAATTAAGGTACGTATTTAGTTACATATTCAATTAAATGATCTGCATTTCATCTAAATTCTAACCAAGTCTAGTTTTGCTCTGTATTTATTATTTTTTTCAAATTAATAAGGGGGTTTCATAATTTGTAAACAACTTAATTTATTTTTTAACGTGTTTCATGTTTTTATAATAAGCTGATAAATACACAAATGATATTATTTGATCCAGAATTACACGATACTTTATTCTATAATAGACCATCCAGATTTTGAAATCGATCTAGATTCGTAAACCCTTACTTCACGATAATTAAATTTTTGTATCGTCAAATATTTGACATTGGCAAAGATTTACCAATCTTTTTACATTAGCAAAGATTTACCTATCTACTTTGTGTGGAACACGAATTAATCAATTGGCCTTCAACCTTTCTACCGATTCTATCTTAATAAATGATTGCAAATTTTGACGACGAAATAAACGTATGAGTCCAATGGAATCTCAAAAGTAATCTACACATGAGTAAAAGAATTCCAGAGCTCAATGTTTATCATATTTTAACCCGGTTCAAGAATTGATAATAGGTGTAAGCTTTGAGAAATATATTAGGTACAAATTTCGGTAAACCTGTTTTCCGGCTAAAATATTACTACCTATAAAGACATCAAGTCTAAAGTGTTCACATAAGCGAGGATAGTGTTCACATTATTGCATTTCTCACTTCAGCCTTTAGTGAAACTCTTATTGCCCTTGGCTTTAGGATCTTGATTATTGTGGATTTAAATTAATAATTAAAGATGCTGAAATCCTCTGGATAAGATTTAAAACTTGGCGTCAATATTAATTCATGTTATCGTAATTCAATCTAAATTTAAAAAGTCTATCTTACATGTATAGTGATACATACTGTCGTCAATACAATTATATATAGATCTTAAATGGTATCCATGACAACCTTCAAATCTCAACTTATTTAACTTTATTACTTTCCATAAATGAAGTTAAGTTGAGCTTTGAAGGTTGTTATTGAGCTCAAAATATTGAGCTCATATTGAGCTCGTTTTTTTAAGATCTGATGATTGAGTTTTCAGGTAATTAAACCACGGTGACTAGATAGTTTTATTCCCCTGTTTTGAACCGATAAGCTGTGTTGGATGCATGAGACAGGTGAAATATGAAGAAATTACTGACAAAAATCCATTGAATCCCACATTGAATCCCACATTAAATCAAGCATCTATTGATAAAGGTCACATCAAAATTCGAAATGTTTTCAACTATTTATGAAATTGACAGGAATAAGTAACAAGTCGAATTATCTTAACATTGGACATGACAAATCAAAGTCTAAAAATCATATGTGCGGTTTTTATTTGTTCCGACTTAAGTCAAATGTGTAAAAGCATCAATCTTAATCAATGTTAGATTGAAGAATATTTAAGCTTTATCCGTAAAAGAATCATTTCAACACGATCTAATCTGTTTGAAGAGTTGCTTCTGACTATATTTAGATTCACAGTTTAATTGAGAAATGTAATAAAGCGTGGTTAGTTGGTTTGAAAAAATTAATTATTCTATTCTTTGAGATTATTACTAAAAAAAATTATTCCGTTGATTATAAATTTCAGATCAAATTATCATTTAAAACCACACAATTTATCAGATTACTCAGTTCCACCATACTAAATGAGTGAGAGACCAGAAACAATAATACATGATAAACCACAACCACCATTCCCAATACATGAGAAATCTTCAATTATATCTGGTTTTGGTAGAGGATCAAGTGAATTAGGTATACCAACAGCAAATATTCCAATACAAGATGAATTAAATAATTTACAAACTGGAATATTTTATGGATGGTCAAAAATTCATCCAAATCCAAATTTAAAAGATTCAACTGAAAAAAGAATAGATGGTAATGAAATAATATTTAATCATGGAAATAAATTAATAGCAAAAGAATTATGTATTTTCCCAATGGTAATGTCAATTGGATGGAATCCATTTTATGATAATAAACAAAAAGCTGCTGAAATTCATATAATAAATAAATTTAATGATAATTTTTATGGTGCAAAAATTGAATATATTGTTTTAGGTTATATTAGACCTGAATTAAATTATACAACAAAAGAAGCTTTAATAAAAGATATTAATTTAGATATTAAAATTGCAAAAGAAATATTATCAAAACCTGAATATGAAAAATATAAAGATGAATTAAAGGATTAAATGATTTATTGAAAATTCACATGAATAGATGAATAGCTTATTGTGAATATCGATAAGACCAAAAAAACGTTCAGAGATATCGTGTGATTAATAAGTTGAATTTAAATTTAGCATGTAAGCATATAACTAATAGTAAATTTTATAGATGACTGATTCTTTTTGATACAGTTAATTAATAGATCATGTAAAATAAAGTTTTTAGAATTGAAACAGCCTCTTCCTAAACAACTTCAGTATAGAAAGTACATTTTGACGGCTATTTGAAGCATAATGGTGCATCAATTTCGGTTAATACTCACCAAGCCTCATAGAATTGAAAAATTAGTTTATCGTAAGACATCATTACACAAACACAAACAAAATTGATATCGGAAATCTGGAATCAAATTAAAAAATAAAACTTGAATGATAGCAATCAACTTTAACTTTATCAAAAAGATACATATCTAAGACATTTAAGATAGCTAGATCGAAGATCTATAAAAACTCAATCAGTAATCTATATCTCAACTACTTTTAATCAACCAATTAAATAAAACCACAACCAACGTCATCATCAGTTTGTACCTTATCAAATTTTCTTAGCTATTCATACCAAGATATAATGTTTGCATTGAAGATACGAAACAATTTTTAAACTAAAAAGAAGAGTTCATATTCAAATCACTAAATCACAATGCTAATAAATATATCTATATTACTATATCTACTAAATCTATTCACATTGATTATTGCATCAGATTCAAATTCTGATTTAAATTCAAATTCACATGAAATATCCACAATTGATTTAAAAAATACAATAAAAATAGAAAATAAATTACAAGAATTTGATCAATGTTCAATACCCTCCAAACTAATATCAACATCATCAAATCAAATATGTAAATATATTGAAAAAAATTGTGATTCAAAATATTTTAAAATTTCAAAATTATATTATTGTAAATATAATCATAATTTAAATTCATTAATAATAATATCTGGAATTATATTATTATCATTATGTTTAATATTATTATCATTAAGTATATTAGTTTCAAATTATTTATTTAAAAATTTAAATGAATTAACTTTAATATTTGGTTTAAATAATCAAATTTTAAGTTTTATATTAATTCCTTTAACTAATTCATTTCCTGATTTAATTAATTATTATATTGTTTTAGAACTGGGTAATTCAAATTTAATTATTGGTCAATTAATGGGTAGTATATTAATTATGTTTACTATAATTATTGGTTTTATTTCAATAATGAATAAATCTTATGTTGTTGAACAACCTAAATTATTAATTATTGATTTATCTTGGATATTAATTGTTTTAATATTATTTTCATATATTTTATCAGATGGTAAAATTACAAAAATTGAATGTTTAATTATGTCAATTGTTTATATAAGTTATATTATTTTTTTGAGTGTTTTTGATAAAGAAAAAATTAAAGAATTTGATGAAGAATTGTTAATTTCATGTGATGATCATCAACATATAATTGAACAACCTTATAATATTGAAGATGCTTTAGATATAATTTCAAATGATGAAAGACAATATGGTTCAATTCAAACTATTTCAAGATCACCATCTCCAAGATCTTGTTCTCCAATTAATTCAAGATCTCCATCTCCTATAGCATCACCCATTATATCACCAAGACCAATAATTGAATCTTTAAAATCACAAGAAATAATAGAACGTCAAAATGAATTTTTATCTGTAAATTATATTCCAAGAGATAAATCACCTTCAACAACTCCATTTATATTATCAAGATCATGTTCATATCATCATCAACAAAAACCTAAACTTTTAACATTAATTTTTCAATATATATGTAATTGTATTGATTTTATATTAATTTTTTTAATACCATTTCATAGATGTATTGAAAATGAAGATTCAAAATGGAAATCATATATACGACATAATAAATTAATGACCATATGGTATTTTTTTGAAATTCCCTTGTTAATAAATTATCAATTTTTTCAAATTGAATTAAATTATTTAATTGTAGGTTTAATTATAACATTTCCTATAGTTTTCACTTTCAATTTGATAAAACATAATATTAAAATTATTATAATTTCAATATTAGGTATAATAACAAGTCTTATAGTTGTTTCAAATATTTCAATTCTTATATTACAAATTTTAAAAAATTTAGGATTAATTTGGAAAATTTCAGATTATATCTTGGGTTTATTAGTTTTTTCAATAAGTAATTCAATAAATGATGTTATTACAAATATAACATTAGCAACAAAAATTAATCCAATACTAGGTATAAATTCTTGTTTAGGTACTCCTTTATTAATTATATTATTAGGTATTGGATTTAATGGTTTTTTAGTTATTCAACAAAGTAGTAGTCATAAATCAATTAAATTCGATTTAAAACCAAGTGTTATATTAAGTACAACTTCATTAATTGTTACTATTGTTTTTATTTTAATTTATTTACCTTCAAATAAATGGACTTTTGATAGAAAATTGGGGATTGGATTAGTTGGTTGGTATTTTTTAATTGCTTTTACTAATTTATATTTAGAATAATTTTCTTTATATAGTATTTTCTAGTTTAATTATTGATTAGTTTTCGGTAATCTTCTTTGAAATCGCTGATTTTTGGTGTAATTCGTGATGGTGATAGTAGTTCACTTACTTTGTCATAATACAATTGACCTTTAAATTCTTTAAACTCTTCTAGTAGCTTTAATTTTTTATCGTTATTAATAGAATAATAAGTTAGTACATTGAAAAACCAATCATTTTGAGTATCTTGTATAATCATCCTAAATACTTCAATTAAATGATCATCATCTTTATTAAAAATTCTTTCTATATTAATTAATTTTTCATAAATTGGTATAGGTATTGAAATATTATATTTTAAATAATTTAATATTAAATCTTTTGCTCTAAGATATTGTTTCATAAATAATTCCAAATCAATTAATTTAATTAATATCTTGTAATTCCCAGTTATTTTCCAACCTCGAATTAATACTTGTTTTGAAATATTATAATTTAAATGATAATTATAAAAATCAGATAATTTAATCCAACAACTTGGATAAGCACATGTAATATATACAAATCTCCAATAATTCATTTCAATATATGCAAAGGGATATTGCTTTAATTGCAAAAAATCAAAATATAAATTCCAATTATCTAAATTTTGTCTTGATATAAATTTAAAATCATTAAAATGTTTTGTTATTTTTTTTTCAAATTGATATAATTCATATACTTTAAATTGAGTTGTTATATATGCATCAATAAATAATTTTTTGAGTTGAACTGCTAAAATTTTTGGATTTTTTTTTTGATCTCTTTCTGGTACAATATATTTGATAATTTCTTGAAATTTTGGATCATTTAATTGACTTATTACATCAAAATATTTCCTGAAGAAGTACTCATAATGATATAATGGAATTTCAAGAATCAATCTTAATAAAATATAATATTTACGTTTAAATTGATTTTCTTCAGTTGAATAATTTTCAAGAAATGATAAATATAAATTATAAAATTCATAAGCATAAAAATGATAACCAATTAAACCTCTTGCTTTTTCAAACAACCCCAAAATCTCTTCTTCATTATTACCAATAGTATTAATTTTAAATTTTAAAAAAGATATCCATAATTCAATACAATATTTTAAATGAGTAAAACTTCTTTCATATACTGCTAAAGATAATTCAGTATTTCCTAATTTAAATTCCCAATCAGCATATTTAATCCAATATATATAACTCAAGGGATATTTATCTAAAAATTTTTCATAACTTATTCTTAATTGATTTAATTTATTTGGTGATGTTGATTTTGATATACCTTGTCTATCATTATATTCAGCTGATTCAATTAATTTTTGCCATATTTGAAAATTATCTGGATCTTTTATTAATTCTAATGATACATCATTCCATTTCTTAGGTCGATTCTGATGTGACATTGATAATTGTATGAAGAATAGATTGATATTTGTTTTGTTGGTTGTAAAAATTGTTTAAATGTTTTTAAATTTGGTTGTAAAATTGATTCACTATATTTTTTTCTCTCTTTAAACTAAATGTTTCATGATAGACAAAGAAATACTGCAATTGTAATGGGATAATCTCAATGAAATAAGATCAAATGATGATGTTGTATGTCCATTGCGAAAGCTGATCAATTGACAAGATCTCAGTTCAGAGTCATTGAAAAGATACTGGTGACTGAACTGTGTCTACAGCTTATCTCAATCAAAAGTTTAAAGCTCAAATTATTTTTTTCATGCTGCAAAATCATCTCGAAGATCATCAAACTAGTCATAAACAAACAGTACCACCTTCAACACATAATGGCAAAAGAGGAAGAAGATTTATCACTAGAATCAGGAATATTTGAAGAACCAGAAAATTTCCGTCCACCACCTCCAAAATCACATTTTGCAACATATGAAAGAAAAATTTCAAATGTTAATCCAAAAACAATTACAATGAAATTAGTTGGAAATTCACCATTATGGGGTCATTTATTATGGAATGCAGGAATATATACTGCTGATTATATAGATAAACATCCGAATTTAGTTAAAAATAAAAGAGTTTTAGAATTAGGTGCAGCAGCTGCTTTACCTTCATTAATTTGTTCTTTAAATAATGCATCTGAAGTAGTTGCAACTGATTATCCTGATCCAGATTTAATTAGTCATATTGAATATAGTTTTAAAGAATTGGAAAACCAAACAAAATTAAGTAATTATAAAGTAAAAGGTTATATATGGGGAAATAATGTTAATGAACTGATATATGGATCCAAAGATTCATTACCCGATAATTTAAAATTTGATTTAATTATATTATCAGATTTAGTTTTCAATCATACTGAACATCATAAATTGTTGACAACTTGTCGAAATTCATTAAAATCAAATGGAAAATGTTTAGTTGTTTTTCTGCCTCATAGACCTAAACTACTACAAGATGATTTAAATTTCTTTGAAACTTGTAAAGAATATCAATTTAAACCTGAAAAAATTGAAATGATAAATATGAAACCAATGTTTGAAGAAGATGAAGAAACTGCTGAGATTAGATCAAGAGTATATGCATATTTTTTAATTCCAGAATGGTAATAATTAAATAAGTTTGTTTAAATGTTATAGATTTATAATTAAACACGTTGGAATAAAGAAAGAGAAATAACCTCTACGATCACCTCTTAAAGATAAAATCACAGATTACAAATTGAAATATACATTAAAAAAAATAAAATATAATTTATGACCAAATCCCCATTTTATTTAAATTCATCATAACATGAAAAATGTGAGATTTAATCCACACATCTATTGTTGTTGTTGGTGGTGTTGTTGTTGTTGTTCGTGGTTTTTTAATTGAGTTATATTAAATTTAAGCAGATTGAGCATTCATTTTTCTTTTACCATTAGTTAAAGTAACATTAACAAATCTTCTAGTATATAATAATCTCATATATGCTCTACCTTGTGGTTTTTTTGGTTTTTCTTGTTTTTCAACTTTTGGAGTTTGTGATTTGACTTTACCAGCACGAGCTAATGAACCGTGAACTTTTCCCTAAAATAATAAAGTTAGTAAATTGAACTTATGCTGAGTAGTTCCAAAATGAATTAGTTCAAGTAGGACGTATTTTAGTTTGGTAATTTGCAGAAAGTATGTAAGTCATTAGCTTGTCATTTCATTCTTTTGAAGTTCAACTTATTGGATTGTTTTATGATTAACGTCATATTACCCATGCTTATGCTTTTCATTAATTTGAATCGTATTTGACATGTTACTTTGACATAAGAATCATTCATGACGACTCATGAGCTTTTTGTTGAGGTTCTTGATTCCCAAATCTTGACTACAAATTTGATGATATGTTCTCTCCAAAAATCTGGAGTTTTTCAAATCCTCCTTCATTTGTAAAATTGAACTAGATTCCTCTAGTTGAATGATTAGGGTATGTATTGATCTTTTCAGTTCTTAATCCCTCATTTGGGTACTACATTTCCCACTTGAATTCAATCTTTTGAATCTTATCTTCACATACCATTTTGACGTTGTTGTTATACTGTTAAATTGAGACTATTATAAATGATTCCCTCATTAAAATTTTTATTAAACTTGTCATTCAATTGTTTCGCATTTTCTTATGTACGTAGTGTAGATTGGACAAGTATTTTGTGCTTGTATTTGGTAGCAAACTCCTCTTTTCTAGCTTATCAACTTTGTATGAGTGCGCGTTTTAGTCCCACTAGAGTTTTGTTTATAGGGTACTAGCCCTAACTCTGAACGGACATGAATCCAACGAACTAAATACTAGGTCTTTATAGGGAGACACATAAACTAATTTGAGATCAACTGATCAAATTTAATTTTAGAGATATCAGATGGTCCTTGTTATTATAACGTTAATTCATTAAAACTTGTTAAAAAAAATAAATACACTAGCTCTATAATCTAAGGTCTTTATCAAAAAATAAAGTACCACTTTTTAAGAGAAGACTTAGTTCCTCTTAAAATAGTGAAGTTTCTAAAATCATTCCTAAAGTTATTAATATAACAGAAGCGATTAAAAATATTAATAACATTATACCTAATCTTGTAGCAGGATAATAATTTGTAGTTAACAATTTTTGAACATAAAAATATCTATTAAAACCAAAAAATAAAGTTATTATACCAATTATAATAAATATACCACCTAATGGTTTACCAAATTTTTTTAAAGTATCACTATGATGATCATTATTTAAAAATATAATTGAACTTGTTGTATGAATTTTTGTATCTGGTTTTTCTAATCTAAATAATTGAGTAATACCAATACCTAAAGTTATAAAACTTAAAGAAGTTCTTAACCATGCTAAAAAAGTTCTTTCATTTGCCATATGATCTCTTGCCACTGATCCTTTATTTTCTAATCTTAATGATTTATAATCTAATAAATCTATAGGTAGACATCTTGTATCTTTTTCTTTATCTTCTTCTATAATTCTTTCTTCATTATTATTATTATTATTAGTATTATTACTTTGTTTTTGTAATATTGATTCAGCACTTTCTAATGGTTTTGGTTGTTGTAGTTGTTGTTGTTGTTGGCCAGATCTTGTATTTCTAGATAATGCAGTTGATGATAATTCAGTTAAACTTGATAATGAAGATGTTGATCCATGAGTATTTGTTCTAACTGCTAATTGTGATGGTGAATTTGTATGTGATTGTATTGGTGAAGCTGATATTCCTATTTGATTATTTAGACCAAATTGCGGAGAGTTCAAAAATTGTGAATTCTTCGGTGATGTAGGATCAGGAGACCTTGAAGACATGATCCTTGTAGTTTTTGAAGCTCTTTTATCTATTAGTAACTCTTCAAATTCTAATGAAAGTAGTTTTCCGATTTCTTCTTATGATTAATTAGATAATCATATCACCATTGATAACGAATTAATTTATTTTTTACTTTTGTGTAATCATAATTTAATAATTAATTTTAAGGAGTAATTAATTCGAAACGTGATTTCAAACTGTGGTTGCAATAATATAATAGATGAACATGTAGATGATGATCAATCATGAACTTAAATGAAGGTTTCGAGATTGAGCTGGGTTACTGATTAAGTGTGATATCATAAAGAGAAAGCCGAATGCATGTCGAACGAAAATGAATTAATGCCTTTGGATTTTGTTAAAAATTTTGCTATAAATTTATATTGAAATATGAGAAAATCCATGTTTTTTTTAATTTGTAACAAATTACATCCTGAAATTAAAATGATCGAAAAGGCAAGTTCGAAACTAAAGAGCAAACTTTATTCAAAAAATAATTATCTTTTTGCAGTTGAAATTTGGTAATAATCAAATAATGATGAAAATCATCGGATATCATTTCGTAAATATTAAATTGATTCTCGTATCTGATTAAAATTAACAAAAGAAATTTATTATCGAAGCTTAATTGATGAGACCTACATGTCGTTGAAAAGTCATAAAGTTGTAAGCATACTATGTAATAGCTCGAACTCCACTAGAACAATGAGAAAGTGAATCCAGTGACAGTCGAGATAGAGAACTGACAAATCTGGTTATTTGTATGTTCTGAAACATTCTTGAATTTTTGTTATTTCAGGTAAAACGTTTAGACTATTTCATAACGGCTTTCAACACAAACGTGATTATAATAGATTGCAAAAGTTTTGATTGCAAAAAGTAGATTTTGGTAGCATAAGCAATTGATAACGCTACAATAAATCATAACATACCCTCGAGAAGATATTTAGAGTCCCTAGCTTAAATTTCTGTTGGCTATGCTATGATATCATTCAAATTGACTAAATTGAATATCACAAGAAAAAATAAGATTTTAAAGTATTCCTACACTAAACTTAAACCTAATTAAATGAATTATAATAATTTCTAATTGACACTTTTCCAAATCAAGTTCTTGGCATTAACTTAACTTAGATATTTTTGAGCAATGAAAATTTAGGAAAATTTTATCAATTTCATTCATAATCTTATGAAACTGGAATTAGTTCATCAACTTTATTTAACTATTGATTTTGTTGAAGATGTTTTTGAAGAGTTGAATAAATCTACAAATAAACTTTAAAAGTTTTTATCTATTAATACCTAATTTTATGTAAAAAAACAAAACTATTATGTCAGTTCGTTTTTAAAATGCTATAAATGAATGAAATTTGAATAAATTAATGACTAGTATGTAGAATGTATCGATGTTATTTTATCTTTATTTTAGATTAGCAAAACAACTGATATTATGAATATGAAACCTAATCCAAAAAATTTTGTAAAAAAAGATATTCCTAAATTTGGATTATTCAAATTAAATGATAAAATTTTTAAATTTGATCCAGAACCTTGACTTATTGTAGTCATATCATAACTTCTGATTTCTCCAATTTTATGACTTATACTTTCATCATTTGCTGCAGTTACTAATGAACCTAATCCTATTGAACCACTCGATATCAGTAATTGATTTTCGGTATATGTTGTCATAAAAGATTGAGAATATGGTGATTGAGTTGTTCTTGTTATTCCTAATGAATCTGTACCTGTTACCCATACTAATGTTGGAGATACAGAAGATTTTGATGTTGTTGTATCTGTATCGGTTTCAGTTGTTTCAGCTTTGGAAAATGAAATTAAGAATATAAATGCTAGTATGATAATTTTTTGTAATTTTGATAACATTATAATATGTATGAATGAAATGAAAATATGTTATTGATCTTTGATATGGAACTGTCTTTTAATGTTGAATTATTAAAAGAAAACTATGCTATTTTGATTTATGATGTAATGTATATTTGAATACCCAAACAAACAAATCTATTAAAAAGAAGGAATAAAAAACAAATAATATTAAAATAAACGAATGTATATATGATCTATTAATGAATGAAAAATGAAATGGATGAGGGTTGAGTATTAAAATGAGTTTGAATGATCTTTTTTGAAAGAAGAAATAAAAATGAAATGAAATGAGGTATAGATGCTAAGAATTTGAAACTACTTTAAAAGTAAATGATTCAAAAAAAGAAATGGAACTTTAGTATATATATAAGTAATACAAAGTAGGATTTATAGGATATATAATAATTTATGTATTATCAATTCCCAATGCAAAAATTAATTTCAATGAAATGTTACAAAATCTTTTACTGCAAAAAGGAAAGTGGTACAAAATCAGAAAGATTGGTTATAATTGCACAAAAAGAATTTTAAATATATCTAGCTAATAATTACACAAAATCTTTAAACCATAAACTTACACATATCTCAAAAACATGGCAAAAGAAATGGTTTATAAAATGATGAAAAAAGACGAGAAATCTTTAATATGGGGACATTTGGTTGAGTCGGAGCTCAACAACTGGTTGATCTAGAGTAGTTGCTTTCTGCCTTGAGAAAGAATAACTTAAAGTTAGATATTTTCATTTACGAAATTTGTAGTATTCAATTTAGTCAATAGTTAGTTGTATATTACTGTTAACCTCCCTTTCCTTTTTTTTTCTTACAACTTTCTCTTCTCCTTCCTATCAACTTCATAGTTTTTAATTCAACATTATATTACATATATTTCCATATATTATTGTTGAATTTGATCGATCTAGGAAAACGATTCCTATAGTAGTTGCTCAAGCAAGGCATATCTTATATTTGTTTAAATTCCTCGACTTCTATTTTAACAACTAAACCCTTAAATTTTGATAAAAATAATAATTATTTAGTTTAATTTTTTTCTTTCTTTAAATTTATGCTTATAGTGTTAAATTATCAACAATTAAAATGAATTTTAATCATCTGAAATTTTCTTACTCTACTATTAAATCTTTAATTATCAACCGGGTTAATAATAATTTATTTTTTTCCTTTTGAAACAAACCACATGCCTCCTTATTATTGATGATTGATTAATTGCTATTTCGTAAATTCTTGATATTAGCCTAATTTATTCGATACATCTTAGGTCAATGATGTGTAGATGCAATTTTCAGAATCTCTATATACATGTACTACTTCCATGTAAACAGGAAATTATTCACACATCTAACTAACTTTACGATAGTTGAAAATAAATCGCAAAAAAAATTGATCGTTCAAATCTAAATTGGTGCAAAAGTTAAAAGTAACTGTATCCAATATTTCATAACCTCCTGAGAGTTGTAAACAAAGTGTCCTCGAGTCTTGTCTGTAACATAAGGAAGATAGAAGGATAAGGGTCAGATGAATATTAGTTTAACGAAATGAAGATTATGTTTGTTATATTAATTTACTGACAATAAAAATTAGCAAACATTTACACAAAAATAGTTAATTAAAAGATTTATGTTACACAAAACCAATTTAAAACAATGTTACTAAATATAAAACAATAAACAGAAATTATTTTCATAATAAACAAACAAACAGGAGGTAAATCCTACAAAACTTAATCCTTTTACGATGATGATTAAATCTTCACAGTAAATCTTTGACAAAGATTAATTAATTTTGTAAATGATAGAGTTTGTAATAATTCCGTTCTGGATATAACACTCAAGAACACTCAGGTTCAACAAATTCACTAAACTTGTTTTAGTAACATACTAAAATTTTCTTAGTGTTAATGAATAATGAGCCACGACTAGTACTTAATACTGAAAACTTGTTTGATTTTAACCTTGTAATTAAGTTTCGTTTAAAGACCCTTCAAATCTAAATCTCACTTTCTGTAGAGTCTTCAATGTTTAATGATATCATTCAACAAGTTTTATACTTCATTTACTTCGTGTTTTTTGAGGTATTCGATCGGAGTCACGGTAATATCGTAAATAAGAAAAATTTGACATATTATTATAATATTATTGTTCATTTCCCTTTGTTTCCTTATATTTCATGATATTGTGTTTCTGAGAAATTGATAAATTTACAAAGCTTAGTATTACAAAAACATTTAATCATTATTCATAGGTGAACAGGGCTGATGATTCAAATTTGATTATGAGCCTTGGAATTTAAAAATAGTTGTAGATAAAGGGAATGAAGTTTTTGGAATGTATCTGTGTAAGAAAGATAAGAGTTTCTCACGATTCAGAAAATTTAAAACAATACAATAAGCCATGAATTGTATTTTATGATGTTGTGTCTAAGAGAGAAATCAGTTAAATAGTATGACGTAGTTCACAATTTTCTTAGAAAGTTATTAGTCTCGTCAAAGTAAGCCACGTATTTTAATCAAATCCTTAATTTTCGTCTCTGTTCAAAATCCTTTCCAAATTTTACAACGAATAGAATGTCAGTATCATTCTTATACTTTGAGTCGAAAATGATCCTGATTACTATCCGTATTGTTCTCTTCCGTAAAATTATTCGCTTAAATTAAACTCAAGATTGACGGTGAATAAACAATCGTTTAAATTTTTTCAAAATTCTTCCGAGACGCGTAAAAATTACATTTATCCACGAGTCTTTGTGATTAAGTGATGTTTTCTTTTTCAATTGTTTGTATAAATTTGCTTATTATATAATGCCCACGCCACAAACCCTAATATTTTATAGTTTCAAAAGGGTATGACGTTATGAGATTGATCTCGGTACTTAGTTTTAAAAATGAGAAATGATCGATTAGGTAAATGTATTACCAAAATTGTACAATCTAAGGCAATAGGGCAATAAATGTAAAGATAAACGCTGTATGTCGGCTCTGAGACATTCAGATTACATACTCAACTTAACTATGATAGATGATTTAAATCAAATTGAATCTACTACAAATCAAAATGCATATTAATACAAAAAACAAAATGAAACCTAAACCCTTGATCATCAGTCAACCCAATCCATCTCATACAAATTCATTATATAAAATAATCCACAACTGGTTTTTTATTATTAATAAATCCATTATTATTATTTGAAACAGCTTCAAAAACTTTAAATTCTTTTGATAAATCATCATTTATAATTAATACACTAGCAACATTACCACATCTATAACAATAATTAGGAGCAGACCAAACAGTTATTAATTTTGAATCAAACATTTCTTTATAACCTTCCATAACTAATTGATGAGCTCTTGTTATAAAATCCATATTATTTTTGTATAAAAATTTATTAACTTCATTTGAACCAAACAAGAAACCTGCACCTCTTGGTGATATATTCCAACCTTGTAAATTATCTTCTGGATCACTCCATAATAAATCACACATTGAACCTTCATGAGGAACTTCTTGTTTTCTATCTAATTTTCTAATTTCATCTATAGTATCAATATCAGGACTTAAACCTCCATGTATAGCAAATATTGAATTATTTATAACTGCTCCTAAACTTAAATAATCAAATACTTCACAACAATTTCTCCAAACATTTATTGAACCATATTTTCTTAAACATTCATCATAAAATCCATAAACCATTGTTATAGTTCTTGATTCATGATTACCTCTTATTAAATAAATTTGTTTAGGATATTTCAATTTTAATACTATTAATAATAAAAAAGTTTCTAATGAATAAAAACCTCTATCAACAAAATCTCCTAAAAATAAATAATTTTGATTTTCCAATGCTAAATCACCTCCAATTTTTAATATTGTTATTAAATCATGTAATTGACCATGAATATCTCCACATATTGTTATTGGTGTTTGTAATTGTTGAATATTTGACTCCTCAATTAATATATCTATTACTTTTGAACATATTTTTTCAATTATTGATTCTTTTATAATTTTACAATTTTTTATATCTTCAATAATTCTTGAGAATGATGTTAGTATTGAGTTCTGAAATTCGTTGATGGTGTTTGTCCATACTCTTCCAAATTAAGTTTTACCATTAGATTGTATCATTTATGTCATTTATTGGTGTTGATAAGACGTGTTTGTAATTATCGTGATGAAAATAAACTTTATTTTTGAATGCAGGAATTTTACGATTACGAAGAATTGATAGAACACTGCACATTTGACTTAGCTTTTCAAGAGTTCAACATTTTAAATACGTTATAATTCATAAAATTATACAAAAGAAGAAGTGAATATATAAACCAAAAAAACAAACAAAATATTTCCAAAAAACTATTACCATCCTAACTAACTCTTGTAGGTAAAGTATATTTTTGAAATTTTGCTTGTAATTGTTTTTTAACAGTAATTTTTTGAGTACCAACAAAACTATCAATACTAACTTTTATAGCTCTATTTATATCATTTTGAGATACAAAATCACTTAATCTCATCTTGGCAAAAGATTCTGCAATTCTTAATATACTTTCTAAATGACGTACTGTTATGGGAAATGATCCAGTACTTAAACTTTCTTTTCTTAAATCTGCATAAACTTTTGCTACTTTATCCATATCCATTTGATGTAATTTTGGTTGACATTTAATTCTTGCATATTGAATATATTTTATTAATAAATCTTGAGAAATTGGAGAAATTTCTTGTTCTTTTTCTTGTTTTAATTGTTTTATTTTTTCCAGTCTAGTTCTTGAAGCTCTTTCATCTAATATATCTTCCATATCATCATCAGATATAACATCATCAATATTTGCTGGATGAGATCTCATATGAGAATTTATAACAAAATTTGCTAATCTTTCATCTGATTCAGGATTTACTAAATCTCTAACAACACATAATATATCAAATCTTGATAAAATTGGTTCTGTAAGATTTACATTTTGTGATAATGGTAATGTAGAATTATATCTTCCACCATTTGGATTTGCTGCTGCTATTATAGCACATCTTGCATGTAATGTAGTAACTATACCTGCTTTTGATACTGATATACTTTGTTGTTCCATAGCTTCATGAATAGATGTACGATCTTGATCATTCATTTTATCAAATTCATCAATCATACATGTTCCTTTATCTGCTAATACCAATGCACCACCTTCTAAAGTCCATTCACGAGTTATTGGATCTTTTCTAACTGAAGCTGTTAACCCAACTGCTGAAGCACCTTGACCAGTTGCAAATACAGCTCTACTTGCAGTTTTTTCAACATATTTTAAAATTTGTGATTTTGCTGTACCTGGATCACCTAATAATAAGACATTTATATCACCTCTAATTGTTAATTTACCATTAACATTTTTTGGAACTCCTCCAAATAATGAACATGCAACAGCTGTTTTTATATCTTTATGACCATAAATTGAAGGAGCCATTGAACTTATAATTTTATCAATTATACCTCTTTCACGAGCTAATTTTCTAAATTCTCTTTCTTCTTCTTCTGACCAAACATTCATTAAATTATTACCACCCATAAAAGCATGACTTTCTTTTCTTCTTATTGAATTTGCTTCAATTATAGTTGCAAAAACAGGGAATCCATTCTTAGCATTTAAATTACCATCATAATTATTTTGATAAATACCTGTTACTTCAATTTCTTCACCAGGTTTAGCAACATCTACTAAATCAGATAATAATATGACTTCTCTATGTCTAGGTAATCTACCTGCTGGTACAGTTCCTGGAGCTTCTTGTAATGTAATTCTTTGATAATTTCTATATAAAGTCTTTTCTGAGTTTAATTTAAATGGACCTTTACTTTGACAATTTGTACAAAATGAAATTCTCATTTCTGTATTTGCATCTTGAACAAAAGGACCTAATACAACACCACATTTTAAACAATCAAATTTAACATATTTTAATTGAGGAAAAACACCTGTTCTTCTTGTAACTACTCCTGAAACTTTAATTAATTGATTCATATTATTTTCTCTTAAATCTCTTAAATTTAATAAATTTGGATATTCAACAATTCTAACATGTATTTCTTGATGAATTTGTGAATAATTTGGATAATGTAATTCAACTGCTTCCATTGCAACAATATCAAATATTTTTAACATTTCAGTAGGACTAGTTGCTAAGAATAATGCCAATATAGCTTTTGAATCAGCTAAATCCTTATAACTAACTTCTAATGATTCTGCATTAACTTCACCTAAAGTTCTCATTTTATTACCATAAACTGAATCACCATTTGCATCAGTATATTCTAAAAAGAATGATTTTAATTCTCTTGCTATAGATCTACTAACAGCAGGTTGTAAAATCCATTCAATAATACTTGGAGCTTTTATATCAGTCAAACTTTCTAACGATAATTCTTCATTAAATGGATCAATTTCAATATCATCTTCCATCATATCATCTTGATCATCTTGAAATTGTCTTCTTCTTCTTCTTCTTTGAATAGGTAAACCATATTGATCCATTTCACCAGTATCATCTTCATCATCTTCATCTTGTAAAAAAGCTCCACTTCTAGATCTATTTGTATTATTTAAAATAGCATCTCTTCTATTTAATTGTTCATCAATTCTTCTTCTTGTTGCAGCATCCATTTCATCAAATTCTTGAGTATCATCAATATTATTATCTCCTAAATCATAATGATCTTGTTCTGGATTTGCTCTATAATCATTTTCTAAATTATCTAATAAATCATCACCATCTTCTTCATCTGATGGATTTAAATCAACTATATCATTTTGAATTTCTTGTTCATCTTCATCATCATTTAAATTTGTATCAAATGGTATAGCAGGAGATGATGGTAATGCATTATGATGTGGTGATGATGCCAATGGGGACGATGGTTGATGAACTGGTGAAGATCTAGTGTTGTAATTACTATTATATGAATCTTGATCATTATCATCATCATCATCATTTTGTCTTTTTCTCGAAAGTCTTGAAAGTCTATGAGGTGGACTTGACATTTTGGGTTATGTGTATTGAATAGATTTTATGAATGAAAAAGGACTGGATAGTGTAAAAACGAATGTACTGATTTAGTTATGGTATGGTATTTATTCAAGGGTATTTCTAATGTTTTTAAAATTTATTTTAGAAACTGTTAGTTTATAAAAATATGAATTTTAAAGACGCGTTTGTAAAAATATTCTGCAATTAATTTTCCTAATTGAGTTTAATTGATTTTTATGTTTGTGTAATTATATTGAAGAATTATGAAACACATAGATCTATTGAGTGACAGACTGAATGAGAATTATAGTGTCGAGCTTTTAAAAATATCAGGCACCAAACAATTGTAAATTGAAGCGTTGATGTCTTCAATTAGACTTCGAGCTTCTACTTATTCTGATAAAGCAAACTAATGGATCCATTCAAGTTAAAGATAGCATTATAATTAAAAGAGTGAAAGTTTTTGACCTACATTTAGCCTAAGTATTTGCTTAGGTTGAAATTATTCTTCAAAGTGTATTTCTAATTTCTAATTGATACCAGCAAGACAATACCAAAACGAACCTAGAGTTCGAAATATGTCTGTAAGTTTACATTCACTCCCTATGGAATTCAAACTCATAACTTCATAATTCAATATCCAAACGAAGCACCATCTTTTCAAAGTGATTTTTGATGTCTTATAAGACATATTGCTCGATTTTACTAATGAGGAGAGCAAAGGATTAAAACACATATAAGTGTAAGATTAATAAAAATCTAGATTATCCCATCCCCTCTTTTTGTAAAGAAGGCTTTTTTGAGAAAAAAATGATCTCGGAGTTTTTTATTTGTTTTCATTGTTTACAATTTAGATTTTCTTTTCGAAAACAAATATTTTAAATGACTGAATATTTAGCCGTTTCATGCAAAGCATAGAAGAGGGGATTTTTTACTTTATAAAGAGATACTGTCATCTTTTAAGAACTAAAATTATTAATTATCATCTATATTTTATACCTTATTATTGCTATTTTTAAAAATTCCTTAGACATTTCAACCAATATTCTTACTAATAAATCCCATAAACAAACAAATGCAATTGAAATAATTAACCTATTAATCAGGTCCTCTTAATAATGGGAAATCAGCAAACCCAACTGCTCCAACATCATAATGATAACCTTGACCTGCTCCATGTAAATGACCACATGGACATTCATTTTCTAAATTATCACTAATACTTATCTTTTGTTGTTTAATATAATCTTGAAAATGTGATTCATCAATTAATTTTATATTTTCATGATGACTAGATTTTTGTTGTTGATCTAATTGTGAATCTCTTGAATTTGATTCTGTTAATGGAGTATATGAACCTGAATGTATTGGTGTATGCATGGTACTTGATGATAATGAAGAGTTATTTGATTGAAAATCGGTTGAAGACATATCTATTGTGTTTAGTCGGAAATGATCTGGTGTACTTTGTCGATTGATTGGAGTTGTAACTGTTTTGTATTGACTTTCGATGTCTAGTCTTTGTCTTTTGTTAGTGAATTCATCACAACTATCTAATTTATGTGTTAAATGTGACATAGTATATTATATTTATATTGATATTTTGATTTTTGATTATTTTATGCAAATCCCTAAATTTAAAACAAAAATAATCATCCACGTTTTAAATAATTTTATGTTTTTCTATTTCTTTTTTTTTGAACTAAGGAGGGGAAGGAAGTGTTATATGTTTGATTTATTTTTGAACGTTTCAATCACTGGTTTGATCAAATTAGTGATTCACTGAGGGATGATGCTGGTTTGAATATGTTATACTGTTTTTTGAACTAATACTTTCCAAGTTTGTTGTGGTACTGGATAACTTTTTTTCAATGCTTTGAAGATGTCTGAAACATGAAAATAAAATTTCTTTGGTTTAGAAAATCTAAAAAGGAAAAAAAATAATAAGCCGCATACTTTCGAATTTTACCAACCCCAAAATCTTCACGGTACTTATCGGAGCTCAAAATTTGTTGAATTTAATTATTAAGTACATCTGATCATCTGTAGAAGAAAACTATAATAATAAACGATACTTTTGGTCGTTTGTTAAAGTTTTGTTGTGGAAACATGAATTTCATGTTGTGTAGTATGTGCCTTAATTTTAGTTTCAGCCTTATTTGATTGCAAATCTTAATTTAATAGTTGTAAATCTTGGTTTTGGAAGGTGAAACAAACTACTTGGTGGTTCAACTTCAATTTAATTTTGCCTAAATTTCATCTGATCAACAAATATTAGAGAAGCGAAGAAGAATTGCTCAATCAAGCACTACATAGCACACGAATAATTCAAATTATTTTATGCAAGAGGCTAGGGCTAGAAGACTTTTCTCAGAGTTGATATTTCAATTTTTTATTTAAGGTTCAAATGAACAGCCTCTCGACTAATTTTCTTACCTTTCGATCTTGTCTCCAGTGTCACATCTATAACCTATCAATTAATTTATAGCATGTAGTATTTAAATTTACCCCAGATTTTGTTCACACTGAACTTTTTATCCATTACTTGTCATTCAAAAATCAGCCGTGTTTCAACTTACTACAGTTAAGAAAATCTTAGCTCAAATATAACTTGATGAGTAGTTTCATGAATTTGAAATGTGGGGTCATGCTACTACAATATAGATGGTTGTTAATTACTATTTGGTTTTCTATAAAATTCTTCTTATGATTTTGTGCAGTTAAGAGTTGAAAAATAAATCTATGACATAATGTAAATTTTGTTATTGCTTAAAAAGATTTCTTCTATTGAAACAAAATTAAACTTTCGAGATCTTGTTTAGCATCGCTTATATTAAGGGCTCAAGATCCGAAGTGATTTAGAATTGATTTGCATAACTTCAAGTTCGCTGTAACGGTATTCATTAAAGATTGAAATTTAATGGTATTCTTTGGTCTAGATTTCTTATCAAAATATTTTCGTTCACAAAGAGAAGACTGAACTGAAAAATTAAATTTCACTAAAACCAAAATTCCAAGACTCAATTCATTCATTTCATTACAATTGTATTTATATGAATTAAAAAATGGCTGCAACACCAGCTAATCAACAACAAAATGGTCATCCTCAAAATGATGATCATAAACATATACAAATTAAAGATTCATTTTTAGTTGGAAAAGCTCTTTTAAATTTTACATCAATATTTGTTTCATTGGGTGTATTTTTATTTGGTTTTGAACAAGGTTTAATGTCATCATTAATTACAAATGAATTTTTTAAATCTTATTATCATGAACCTAAACCTGCTGCAATTGGTATAATGATATCTATATTAGAAATTGGAGCATTATTTTCAAGTTTTATAGCAGGAAGAGTTGGAGATTTAGTTGGTAGAAAAAAAACAATTAGATATGGTTCATTTATATTTGTTATTGGAGCACTTATACAATTTTTATCACCAACTATTTTTATTTTAAGTTGTGGTAGATTAATTGGGGGTGTTGCTATTGGATTTTTAACAACTATTGTTCCTATTTATCAATCTGAAATTAGTCCACCAACAGATAGAGGATTTTATGCTTGTGCTGAATTTACTGGGAATATTATTGGTTATGCAGCAAGTATATGGGTAGATTATGGATTTTCATTTTTTGAAAGCAATACAAGTTGGAAACTGCCCTTATTTGTACAATTTATGATGGGAGTATTTTTATGGTTAGGTACATATATTATAGTTGAAACTCCAAGATGGTTATTGAATCATGATCATGATTTGGAAGGAATGGTTGTGATTGCGGATATGTATGCCGATGGAGATGTAGAGGATGAACATGCAAAAAATGAATATAGAAATATTAAAGAAGGTGTATTGATAGATAGAATTGAAGGTGGTGAAAGATCTTATCAATATTTATTTAAAAGGTATGCTAAAAGATTATCAGTTGCTTGTTTTGGATTATTTTTCAGTCAAATGAACGGTATTAATTTAATATCTTATTATGCTCCAATGATTTTTGAAAGTGCTGGCTGGGTGGGTAGACAAGCTATATTTATGACTGGTATTAATTCAATTATTTATGTTTTAAGTACAATTCCACCTTGGTATTTAGTTGATTCATGGGGAAGAAAACCATTATTAATGGTTGGGGCATTATTTATGGGAATACCACTATACATTGCTGGATACTCGTTGTATTTAGACGATAAGTATACCGCCGCAGTAGTAGTCACTAGTATTATAATAGCTAATGCAGCATTTGGATTCTCATGGGGAGGAATTGGTTGGTTATTACCATCGGAAATATTACCATTACCGGTAAGATCAAAGGGTGCAGCATTAGCAACAGCAACAAATTGGTTATCAAATTTCATTGTTGGATTAGCATCACCTATATTATTGGATGAAATTAAATGGAAAACATATTTAATTCCTGCCACTTCATGTATTATATCATTTTTTGCAGTTTGGTATTTATTTCCAGAAACTAAAGGATTATCATTAGAGGAAATGGGATCAGTTTTTGATGATAAATCATCAATATTCTCCTATCATGCATCAGGTAATGTTGGATCAAATTCAAGTTCAGCTAATTCATTAAATAATTATGGATCAACAACTGAAAGAAGACCATCTCAATCAGTGAATGAACCAGAAACAGTACAAACTGCAGCAATGATGGCAAGAAATCCTGCAACAATGAGACCAGAATTAGATAATTTAATAGTTGGAGGATCAACTTCAAATATAATACCTGCTGCAAGTACATCAAGCCTAAAACCTGTTAAATCAGATGCAGGATCAATAGCTTCATTTGATATGAATAATGTTGATGTTGTACAAGAAATTGAACCACCTACTTTAAAACAAATTCTAGATTATAAATTAAGAGAACAAAATAAACCAAGTTTCATATCTGAATTGTTTAATAAGAATGAGAAAAAGAAAAATAACGATGAAGAAAATAGACTATTAGAATAAAATTTAATAGATAATAGATGAGATTAGAATATTTTCGTATACCTCTTTTTGTTTATTGCAAATGAATATCCATCTCAATAGTCTTAACACCACTACCATTTTTATCATTATTTTTAAATCCAGTTAATTCTATATTTTTTTTCTCTTCAAATAATTTATTCAATTCTCTTTCTATTTCAGGGATAAGATATTCATAATCACAAGCTTTTGACCTTACTCGTGATTCTCTTAATAATCTTTCAGCTTTATCATAATTTGATAAATGTAAATTGATAACACCTAATCCATATGTGGCTAATGCAACTGTTTCATTGATTTGATTGTTTTGTTTGATTACATCTTGTGGGATTGATTTAGCAAATTGTAATACTGATTCATAAGATTTAATTGATAATTGTAAACAAACTTCCCTAGTCTTTAGTATTTTATTAAATATTTGTTGATCTTCCTTTGTGATTTTTTCATTCAATTTATTTGTTGTATCATCTGATATTGAATCTTGGTTTAAAACTTTGAATTCAATGCCTGACAATTCAGAAAATTTTCTTTTGAGTGATATTTCTTGAGCTTCTAGTTCTTCTGCTTGCATATATAAAAGTGAACCTAAATTACATTGACTCAATAACATTTCACCAGGTTCAACATCAGCCAATAACATAGCTTCAGTCATTGCAATTTTAACTTTGGAAGCCATAGCTAAATCACCAGTTGAAATACAAATGGCACTTAAAAGATCCATTGCATTAAAGAATTCATCATTAAATGGTTCCCATACTTCAGGTGTCTTTTTTATTTGTGAGACTTCATTCCCATTCGCATCATTTATTATAATCCTATCTTTATCCAACGTTGCTGTGAAATTTCCTTTTTGACCTTCTTGAGTTTGATCTCCTTGATTAACTTTATTCAATAAATTTAATTTATTTTCTTTAGGATTCATTAATTTATTAATTTCATCTTGAGCAATAATTAAATGAGTAACCAATATTGCTTTACAAAATTGAGGATTATTTTTATTTAATTCCACTAACTTTATGGCAATCCTTAAATCCTTTTGAATTAAATGTCTTCGATGATCTCTATTCTTAATCCTACTTGGACCTTGTTCTTGATCTTTTCTTGCAGTTAAAACACTTAAATATAGAGTTGCAATTTCATTATATATGAATGATGCATCACTTAACATTCCTAATCTTTCAAACATTTCTCCGATTTTTAATTGAATTCCGGTATATTCATCACTTAAGGGATCCATACCAATTTCTTGACAATGTTCTAAAGCTTCTAAATAATATTTTAAAGCCAATTGATAATCATTTTCTCCCTTATCACTTTCTGCCCAAAGACCTTTTCTTAATATTTTAGCTACTGAACTTGGAAACGTATGTTTTGGCCACCAAATATAGTAGGCACAACCAGTTACAAAGGTCAAACCTAATGTGGTGTATAACAACTTCTTAAATAAAGACCTTTTTGGAGGTGGATTGAAATTTGCATAGGTTTTATTATAATTGTATTGTGAGTACTGTCTTAATGATCGTAATGACGTAGTGTTTTTTCGTATTGGCAATGAACATCGCGATTTCGTTAGGTGACAACATCTTGAAAGCAGAAGTCTGTTCATTGTTTTGGTAGATTGTAGTGGTAAATTTGATGTTCTTCAAAATACTAAATCATTCTTTTTCTCCGGATTTCGAATTGAAAAAAAATAATAATAGCTCACCAACTTTTTCAGAAAAACCATCAAATGATCTAAAATGTCATCAAACATAGCATCGATATTCAATCCACCACCATCTAGAAATATCCCTGATAAAGAAATACAAGATTGTTTACCTTGCACTGCAATTCAATCGCTAGTAGCAATAGTTGGAGGTTTATATTTTAGTTCACCAAATCAATTTAAAGATAAAACTACTGGTAGAATTGATGTTACTAAAAACCCACTTTGGTGGCAAAGATCAGTTAGAGGTGCTGGAATAATCCTTGTGGGATTGGGAGCTTATAGAGCAGGTGAAGTTTTGAAAATTTTGTATGAAAAGAAATTCGAGTAATTTGATTTGATTTGAGTGTGATTAAATGATCGGTTTACAAGCTTTGAAGATGTTTGCATTTAACATTTATGGAGTGATTTTGGATTTGATATTATTGTTCCAAGTTAAATGTTGAAGTTAAATGTTGAATACGAGAGGTTAAAATATGACCACTCACTCAAAATGATCAGTTATTTATGCAATCGCCATCTATGCTACATAAATTGAAGTGCAATCGACATGTACGAAATAATTTCCTGGAATTATCTGCTACGATATTGGATTAAGGTTAGGGTGAATATATTCGAAGAAATCTATTTGAGAATGACATCTAGCTAATTGTAATAGATCAGATCATCTAAATAAGATCTCAAAAATCTACAAATAACGTTTACTCCAAACCTTCAATGATGGTTTTCTCACTCACTTATTTGCCGAGATTACAATGTTAAGGGGCAAGAGCTTTGTATGTATCATAATCATCTCATATTAGTTTTATCAAAATTCGCTAAAAGTTGATAGTAAAACCTAACCATTAAAAACGGAATTAGGTATTTAAGGGTCGATTAATAAAATTATTCTTATACTTAGTCATTTGATTCTTTGGTTGTATGGGTTCTTTTTTTTCATGATTCAACATACATTAAAATTTGACTAGACAATACGCTATACCTTATATATAACTCCAATTAAACCTAACCAAACCATATATTTATTGAAAACTTCGAAACTATTGCGTCTTCATCACTCGAGTATTATATCTTCAGATACACTAAAGAATTGTGCAAATATTGATCTTTCTTGTTTCATTCAGATATATCATTTCTTAACAATTCATTATCTATTCTCAAATGCACGAACTATGAATTGGTCATTTTTATCTTTTGCGGTATGAGACAATAATTCGAGGAATTTTTTTTGAATAAGATCAATTCCAAACATTTTGCTTCAAAACTCCATCGATCTTAGAAACTCCATTACTTCAGTTTCGTCTCACACAATTACAAAGTCACACAAAGTTCAATACTAACTCAATGTATATCACTACGAAGCAGGCAAAAACTTGCTGTAGTTCACTATCAGTTAGACTTTTCAATAATATATCGACCAGCAATATACGCTTTAAATTGTTGTAACATAAATACAGTTTAATATCGTAGTCATAATATCAATTATGATCGACAAATTAAAAGAGCACTTGTAATCGAGTACAATAGGGGGAATAGCGCTACAATAAAAACACATCCTAATATCGAGATTTATTAAACTATGCATCAATAAAAAAGTTATGAGCATTCCCCAAATTAATTTTGATACATTGTAATACCTTTTAAGAAATTATTTTGGAAGATTTACATTAGTAGTCATACACCCTTTGTGTAGTAACATTTTCAACAATAAATACAACTTAAGTATTTTAGCAATTCTTATAATTCATGGTTCGTAATTGTTTGTAATGAAATGTTGTTTGAATTAAATTTCATGTCTTGTAACAACGATGCGGCTAAACACGGATTTTTACATCTGATTAAACCCGCCCAAATTTGCAATTAATTAGGGGAACAAAACAAGTTTGAATAATAAAATTCTACTTATTCAAGGTTGTTTCACGGATCGGAGTCAATGATATTTACATTCTGACTTATATTAAAGTCAAAGTTTAGAAATATCATAGTTGATTGTTATAATCACATTTCCCAAATTTTTATCGTTTTTCATGGAGTTCTGGCTTTAATTTTTCAGGGTTTCATATCTTATGACATTTTGAATAAGTCAAAGAAGACTTTTAAACTCCAAGAAATAAAATTTGAGTAGGTTCCAAATTAAATCGTTTTATCTGATTTTGACCCAGAGGACAAGACCATTTAACACTGGAAAATCTATTTAAGTAAAAGTTAAAATCATATTTTATAGATTAATTTCAAATTCGTTAAACTTTAAAATTAATTTTTCGACTCAAAGTTACGAAGTTATGTTCTACACTACCCCACATACTGCAAAGGTTGTTTCCCTAATAATTAAAATCAGATTAAAATTGAATATGTTTAATAACTATGGCTCATGCACTGGATTAGTTGATTTGTTATGCATCGAGCAATGTTAAAATGTGTAAAGCATTTGTTCAAAAAAAACATCAAACAGTGTATTTGGTGCTTCTATATTAAAACAATTCCCAACAATTTCTACTTTTCGTTTAAAACAATAGAATGTAACAGGGTATCTATGATGATCTTCGTAATCAATAATACATTATTAAGATATTACTAAGGATTATAGATATGCAAAAGATAATTTAAAGTTTTTATTCATTTCACCCACTTTCAATTGATTATAGCAAGTATGATAATTCAGAAGACAATTGGATCAAAAGATTTAGATATGTAACAGATAAATAATACTAAAAATTAACATGAAATATGTACTTTATACATTCATACAGATCAAAAAACTAAAAAGTAATTTTTCTACCTATCAATATTATATTTTTTTTTTAATTAATGTTCGTCGGTTGTTAATTATATGAGCACAAAAACAATCGGTTATAAATTTTAAAGCTACCTGCATTTTGTGTAATATAGAACAAATATTGCAAAAATATTTAGATCTAATGAATTTATTCTAAACTTTATTTGTTAAGTAGTTAATGCAATGATTATTCTAGCCAAATAACCATTTGAATTTGAAAGAGTCAAATTTTGTATGCTGATAGTGTTGGGTTTTGAATACATTAAAAGATGGAAACGATGTGTCAGATAATTTAATGGAATTGTATTCGATTATGATAATCCCCTATTTCGCTTAAATCAAATTTGTGCCAAGCTAAAACTACTACGTGGAATTGGACTCTATAAACGCAATACCATTTGCTTTTTATCAGCAAGTGCAGAGGTATAGAATTATTAAGTAGCAAAGTAGTATAAGGAGCTGGTTATTTTTGGGACTTGGGAAAACCTGGTACCTAATTTCATTTTTTCAAGGTGTGGAACTGATTTTTCATTTCTTTAGTTAAGAATTCTATTTTTTAATATGTGACTGCCCCTCATGTTTATGGGAATTGATGTGAGACCTCAATTCATCACTCTCTGTGAAACATATTTACGTGAGGAGTTGGTATTTTATCAACGATAATTTTGGGCGCGTTTGTGCATCTATATATCAACATTCTTGAAACCAGTGCGTTATTACTTTAACTGGTAATAAATTAATGAGCAATATATAAGTTTATGATTATATCCTTGGTATATCTTTTGAAGACTAGCTCATCTAGTTTGCAAGGGTTGATGTCTAATTTAATTCAAGATATGTTTATCAATTTGAAGTTTGATTAAAATATCGGCATCTATCTTTAGAGGTAATAAAATAAGGTTAATAATTTTCGCAATAAAATAAAAAAAAAGAAAATAAAAACACTAACCTAAAAAGTTTTTCCGATGGGGCTTTACCAAATTTTGCAACCACTAAAACAATAAATAAATTATTACTAAGATTATAAATCTGTAGATGAAAGTTAAAAAAGCGTGTGTAAGAAGAATTAAACCAATGAGTATAATACACAATCCGGATCATTCTCTAGTTTGAATAAATTTATTTGATCCTCAATTTTATAGCTTAAAATAATCTAAACTTAAAAGGCTATCAAGGTCAAGGTTATACCGAATCATTGAATTTGAGGCATGACACGTATTTAGCCATTTAGTTGAAAATTTTATTGCTACGATATATTTTTTCTATTAACTGTCCAAAGTTCTGACAGATCATTTAAAAAAGAATAAAACTTCTAAGGTGTTTTAAATATCGTTTGTGCGATACCGCCTATTGAACACGATTCCCAGTATTACTTTAATTTCCTCTCGATAGAATCAATACGGCATTCGAGTTATTATTCGTTATGATTCCGGCCCTTTAACATAATGTGAGAGACCATATTCGATTTGTGATCAGTTTTTCTTGTATGTTTTATTTGCTTTTTTATAGTTTAATTTTTTATTTTGGAAATGATGCGTAATCCAACTATCACCTTGAAAAATTTATTATTTATGACATATACCGTTCCATAATTCTTTTAAAATTTTGGAATTAACTGATGTCATCTGATGAATGTTTAGCCGTCTGAATCAAATCGATACTGAAGATTATAAACATATTTCCGAGTGATTTAGCTTTCCAAATATTCTTTTATGAAATTTAATTATATTGAATTTGCATAAATCCCTACTTTTTTATTTTCAGAAATTTATTTATTTTAATTTCGGAAAAATTATTACGAGTTATGATATTTTATTTATTACCTAATTCTGGAATATCTATAAATTTAAGCTTTTTTTCATTCTTCAAAATTTAAATTGTCCAATAACTGGACTGGGTAAGATACCCTTGACTAGTGGGCCTTATTCATCTTTAAATTGAAGTTAAGCTAGGTTTCTATGAAAATATGAAAACCTGTATATATTAACTTTTCCAAGTTGAAGAAAAAAGGGGTATACTTAGATTTCATAGAAAATCCTTTACCCCAGTGATAATTTAATTTCAACGTTTTTTTTTTGATTTTGTTCTTTTTGGTTCCCCCTCTCAAATTAATCTTTGATTGTTATTTTAAAACTGAATTTCTTTTTCTTATTTTTTAGTGAGTTGATAGTACAATATATTTTTAGTTTTAATATTTAATTAAATTTCCCCAATATAATATAAGTAATACAACAGCAACATTCTTTAGCAAAAAAAGCGCAGAAATCCTATTAATACCGTTTTATTTTTTTGATTCCGATTCTCTTTTTTTCTAAGTGAATAGCAGCGTTGAAAATAGTTTCTTTACAATTACTTGACCACTGAAGAACCCTATCTTCTTCTACAAAAGACAGTGTGAGCACATATGTTCAAAACATAATTAGAACTTCGAGAAGCAGACTACTTGGAAATGTGGTTAAGAAATTAATAAGAAGGTTATGAGTTTGGTTCTCTATACTTATTGACCAAACGAAACAAATTTATAGAAACGGGCAAACTTTTCGAATCAAATGTGTAAGTTCTAATATAAGTTTCATGAAGCTTTAGTAGAATACATGAGTTTAAAAACGTTTATGTTTTATTCATTCTACAAAATATAATCAGTTGTGGAATGTTAAATATACATACTATGTTTCAACTCTTGCTATGAATTTGTTAAAACTATATTTCACATTTCCCTTATTGCATATTTTGAAAATAATCGCCTGACTTTTTTCATACTTTCTTTTTGCTTGAATTCATCAAATAGTTGATCCGATCTTTTAGTATAATCTACTCAGGTCATCTGAAGAGTAAATGCTGTTTAAACAACCGTTTCATACAATTGTCTTTCAATTAACTTACTTAGAGAAAAATTTAAATTAGAATCGTGCGATGAAATTCGGTATTTAAAATTTGTTCCAACTATTAGCTTTAAAATTTTAACCAAATTTAGTTTCAAAACCAAACCAAACCATTCTCATAATCTGATGGAAAAGATAACTTGATATAGACTACAAATTTGAAATTATATCAAAGAAAAAAGATTAAAATTCGGAGTATTGGTTTATTTGTCTGGAACAATTTTATAACCATAAATATAATAAGTTTGAATAAATGTTATATATATTTTTGATCGGTATCAAAAATTCAAGGGAATAAGATTAAGATTTACCAGAGTAAAATAAAGTTAATAGAATTAGACTTATGAAGAAAGATAATTAGATTAGTATAATAGAAGCTTCTCTACAACGTGTAAAAAAGAAGTACAATAACTTTTAATATCAAACAATAGACTCTTTACAAAAATACATTGGTTATTATATTGCCGATATGTTTTAGTACTTAATTTTTACTATGTATATTTGTTTTACTAAGATTATTAATTCAATATAAAATTATTTTTCTAATTAATTCTGAAACGCGAAACCACTTAAAATTTAAATTTATAAACTATTAAGGTTTTTTAAAAAGTATAATATGGTCAAACTTAACCAAATGTATAAAGTACAAAGCAAAATGACTTAAAAAAGAATGTATTTTTAACATTTTCAATTTTATTTTAAAATCGATTAAATTATGAATTATTATAATATCTATTTATATACATTTAAAGTATCAATTATTTTAATCAGTTTTTTGAAATTATAGAATAAATTAGTAGGATTCAATCATAAATCTTTTCATCAAATTGGTCTTCAACAACAAGTAGTTCATCTCAAACTTCAAGATCATATTAATTTTATTTTCATTATAAAACATCATATTTTAAGAAAAAAAAAAGGGTTACAATAACACCGTCTAAATTCTCATAACTCATACTCATATAGATATATATAATAATAAAAACAACTACACCATAACCTTATTAATTATTGATTTCAATAAAATTTGTTGAATTCAAAGTTATATATCAATTATTATTAATAGAATTATTTTTAAATACATTTTCAATTATATACTTTCTTACAAAATCTATTCAAAGTGTCGATTGCAACTTCAAATTTATATCATCCACAATTCAAATCTTCATTTGTAATGGACCACCCATATATGGAGCAAAATAATTTAGAAAATCAATCACAACATCAAAATAATCAAGACTCCAATTTATCATATTCAGTCACAGATCGAGATCATTCGCATAATAATAATAATATTAATGAAACTTTGCAACCTCAAAATTCGGAACATCATAATTTTCAACATAATTCCGGGAACCAACAACTCCAACAACAACCACAACACCATCAACATCAACAGACACCTCAATTACATTCTAGTTTACTGAACGTATATGGAGTAGATATAAGTGGTCGACCTCAAACATCAATTCCATCAAAACAACAACATTTAAATTATCAACCTCAATCTCAATATACTTTACCTATATCACAAAATCAACCTCCAGTTCTACATCATCCACATTTACCTGTACAAAATTTGAATTATATTCCAAATTCATATCAACAATTACCAATAACTCAAAGTCCTTATGGATTTCAACATCAACCACCACCTCAATCTCAAAATCAATCACAACCGTTCAATTCCACAAAAACAAGGCATTCATATGATTCAAAAAGTGAAGAAACAACTAATACCAGTACAACTAATAATCCCTTGAGTTATGTGAATAATGAACGAAATTTAGTGGCACCAATTCCTCCATTACATGTACAACAACAATTGGTTTCAAAACAGAATGATACTTATAATCCTCAATCAACAACAACTCATTCTACAGATTCTTATTCTTATCAAACTCAACCACCACAATTATCATATCAACCTATGGAAGCAAGGCACAATAATCACGAATCATCAACAACAGGAACCTCAGCTACTATAATAAAACACGAAGATCATCAACATCAACCACTAGGCGAGGGCCAACAAATGGTAAAATCAACATGTACTAGGTGTAAAAAAGAATTTTTTCAACCTGTAATAATACCAAAAGCAAATGATAATTCAGGTAGTTCAAAATCATTAACAGAACCAAAAATTTTTAAATTATGTCATCATTGTAGAGATTTACAAAGACAAAGATCAAGAAGATGGCAAAAGAAAACCAAAAATAAACAAGGTGTATGTAGAAGATGTGGTTCAGATATTCCATTTGAAGAAAGAAAATTTGTCTTGTGTCCATCATGTAGACAAAATTTAAGAACAAGAAAAGCAAATAGAGCAGCTCAAGGAAAATGCGTTCATTGTTCTGGTCCTTTAGATACTTCTATTTTACATAAAGATGAAAATGGGAATATTATAACTGAAAATAATGGGTCACCCACTTTAAATAATAATGATTTAAATAATTTTAATAATAATGATGATTCAACTTTAAGTCCAATTCATGATAAAAAAAATAGTAAAAATTCAACAACAACTTATAAAGTTTGTCAAAGATGTAGAGAAAATGATAAAATAAGAAGAACAAATTTAGAGAAAATGGGAAATTGTAATCGTTGTGCAAAAGCTTTAGATCCAAGTGATTATGGTAAACATAAAGTTTGTATTGATTGTAGAAGTCGGAAAAAAAAATCTTTAATTAAACTGGAACCAAATACTCAAGCTGCTAATGAATTAAACTATACTAATATTGATCAGAGTGGTCATTTACCAGAATACAATCCTAATTTAATTGGTCATAACTATCAACAACAACCTCCACAACAACAACAACAACCATATACATCATATCCTTATTCTTCAACTTCAACAAATATGATTCCACAAACAAATACTGTACAATTAGGTTATACACAACAACATACTGTTCCTCAATTGGCTCCTCATCAACCATATACTAGTTCACATTTTACTCATCCTCAACATCATCAACAACAGCAATCTCAACAACCTCAACCACAGCAACAACAGCAACAACCTCAAAACTATTATCATCATCTACCAACAGGTCAAGAATTCTACCCACCAGGTAAATAACGAATTAACTAAAAAAACTTTAAAGTAAAAGCGCTAATGCAATTATTTTTAATTCTAAGAATATTATTATAAATTTTTGTTAAAATATAATATTTCAAAAATTCATTTAGTTCTATTTGTATGTATTATTATTATAAGTATTAGAGATCATAGTATATAGAGGTATAACGAATAAAAGTTTAATGTGAATATTTAAAATCAAAAGTCTATCATTAATTCATGTGAAAAATTTAATAAACAAACAACAATAAATAAATAAATAAAAATAATCACAATCACCGGTCATAAATTTAGTGGAAAACGGAATATAGAGCGCAATGTACATTGCATCTAAAGTCCTTTGCATACAAGTCTTTTTGCTTTTGTTTATTAATAATAGTTATCTTGGCTATCGATCTTGTGAAAATTTCAATATAACAATCGAAATTGAATCGTAATACTTGAGTAGACCGTTATGACACTGAGATCTAAAAATCTATCTCATCTTCTTATAGGAGTTAACAGTTTATTTTTAATCATCTTTATATAAAAGACAATCAAAAAGATCTGTATATATAGGAATTAATGTAATACTTCTTAAAACTTATTTTATTGTTGTTATTTTGTATGGTTATTGTTATTGTTGATTTATAGATATCTCGGTTATAATGTAATATATACAAAGTAGCTACAGTATAATAAAATACCCCTTAAAATTATTTTTTTTTTGATGAGAATTATAATTTTTACGAAATAAAAAATATTATTAAATTCTACATCTTAATAATTGTAGATGCTTTTATTCAATTTAGTTTAGTGATATAAACGTATTGTTCATAACGATTTGATTTTAAGTTTATGTGTCTTGTGTAGGTTGAAACGTTTTATAGTTCTAGATGATCAATCTTGTTCAATCAACGCTTTATTTATTGCAATTTTCTATTAAAGAGTGATAGTGGGATTTGTACGCTATTACACAATATTGAAAACAATACTATTGACATCTCGAAGTAAGAAACGGCCCGTATCACCGAGCTTTTAGTCAAATGTTAAAGGCGGGATTAGACTATTGAAGTGGGAATTTAACAGATTATAAGCAATGTAACTTATCAAAACACTCGTAAAAAACACTATGAACTTCAATTATTAACTTATTACAAATAATCATCATATTAGGCATTTACATAGGGTACAAGATCTGAATTTTTGTACTTCATCTGAGCCACAGAATCAATTGTTCTTGCAACCTAGTCTATGCTTCATTTATCCCCCATCGAACGGTTTCCTATGAATGTTATTCAGGAGACTAAAGGTTTCAAAGCGCATAATCGTTTTTAAGTCTCTATTAAATGCTTAATGTTCTGTCTGCTTAAACTTTTCTTGAATATATTTTGGGACATTAACGTTAACGTAGCCTGTTATAATAAAAATGAATTACGAAACATTGTAAAGTCTACTCCTCAACCCATTTAATCCACAATATTTTTGTATATCCAGTGCCAGATTTACACAAGAATCAATTGCAAAAGATCGTATTTTCGGCATTTGAGAAATAATAGGTAATACCCGAGTCCGTAGTAAAAAAGCTATATAAGAAAATGTGAGATTACTTAATTTTTGTATGAACATAATAGTAAATCTCCAGTACAATATCGTAAACTAAACTACCTGAGTATTTGATACTCTAATTAAAAATAATTCAAATTTGATGCTCATTAGACTTACATCCGAAGAGGAAGTACTTGTAAGTTTAACGGTAAAGATCTACATGATTTAAACTTTAATTTTTACAAAGTTTAAATAATTTTAGTTGTGTTAAAAAATGCTAAGGGTTCTTGAGCTTTCCTATCATCCCATACTAGTGATAATATCATCAGTTTAAGTATCTTTGTTATACATCAGACCCCCACATCACAACTATTTTTTCTTTTGTTCCTTACTTCTTCGATCACTTCTCAATTCTGGATAGGAGATTAATTGACATATTAAAACGTGATATAATAATCTTGAAGTTAGCATTAACAAAATTGTTAAGTTTTAAAAATGAAGGAAATTACGACATAGCTCGGAGCAAACAATGTAGTAAAATCTGAGGTCTAGGTTTCATTTAACTTCAGATTATTAACCAGTAATCAAATTTCAAAATATGCATTCTTGAAAAATTTAACTCGGACATGTTTAAAATTCAAACCATCAAGTGTAAATCCAAAATTCACTATGAGCCCACTAATTGAAGTACTTCAATCCATACTTCGAAATTTCACTACTGGTTAACAACTTGAAAGTTATTGAGACTTAGATCTCAAATTCCACTACATGATGTAGCAACGAACATCATTGGGACTGAAAAACACTTCTTTCATATATATGTTGCATAGTTGTTTAAACCCCTTTGATTTTAGATACACAATCTTTGCACATAAAAATACTACTTTTTCTTTGAACAAATAGTTTTAAACAAATTTTGAAAACATATTGACGTTCTTTATCACCATCTTAGTTTTCTTACTATTCTTGCAATCGACTTTATCCTCAAGTTTGTGAACAACTCGCTATTTTGTAAGTTGTTGTAATATTTGTGTAGTGAATGGTAAATGAATGAAGAAGGAAAATAAAATACAATAAATGAAAATACTTATAGCCGGCAAGATTATAATTTTTGTTGCAACAATTGAACTATTATCGCTAATAATTCGACTCAATCATTCTTCCCACGTACTTAACTCTGAAACACTTTTCATAAATACCACTTACCAAGACCCTGCTAACAAGACATTGTGAAATTCAAGACCCAAACTTACCTTTATCTTCAAGTAGGATAATCAGGTTGTAAAAGGAAATAAATTCCACAAAGTTAAATCAACGAATTTTTTGAATTTACCTTATCAATACGAAAATTGATAAAACCTTATATGACATTTTAATATCATCAAATCAGAATTGTCAGAAGAATGAATCAAACAGATCCTTTTGATCTATCAATTGAATCTAGGGATAAAACATTGCCTCCAATTCCAAAGAGTCGACCTCAACTAAATTTACATACAAATTCATCTTCTGAAATATTGGAAACAAAGACATTAAGACGGAAGAATTTGAAACAATTATCATTATCCCAACCTCCATCAACAAACACTACAGAAGAAACCATAGATGATTCATCAATAATACGGCAACCACTTTCAATGAGGAATAGGCGAGAGCAAAGACCAGCCCCAATTCTTAATGTAAAATCATCATCAAAATCAAATAATTCATTGTCACCTATATCTTTTGATCAATATCCATCGTTATCTACGCAAAGATCATTATCACAGCCATTAATTAAAACGCCGAAATCAGGTGGAGATAATGGTAGTTCACTGCTGGGAGTAATAATAAGTCAAACTTTAAGTCGACCAACCAGTGCAGGAACATCTATAACTGAATTTAATATAAATGGAAGTAATAGAAATGTTGATCCTGAATCCGAAATTTCAACTGAATTAATAATGAATCAGATATCGAATTTAGATTTAAGGAGAAATAAATCTTTAGAAAAGCATGAAAAGCATCAAAATAGACAAACTGTTATATCATCTATATCACCAACAAAATCAACTTCATCTAACTCTCCATTAGATCCAATCACAGCCAATAATACAACTTCAACTAATCATCTTTTTAGTAAAACCGACTTAAATATGGATTCACCCATATCAACTACGAATTCAATAAAATTATACAACAAAGATCTTTTAACTTTAAAACAATTAGGAGCAGGAAATTCTGGATCAGTTTCCAAAATTCTACATATACCGACTCAAAAAATAATGGCAAAAAAAATAATACATATAGATTCAAAAAGTATAATACAAACTCAAATAATTAGAGAATTAAGAATATTACATGAATGTAATTCTCCATACATAATTGAATTTTATGGAGCATTTTTAAATAATAATAATACTATAGTATTATGTATGGAATATTGTAATTGTGGTTCATTAGATAAAATTTTACCATTATGTGAAAATAAACAATTTCCAATATTTGTTTTAAAAAAATTATCATTTGCTATATTATCTGGTTTAACTTATTTATATACAACTCATAAAATTATTCATAGAGATATAAAACCAAATAATGTACTAATGACTCATAAAGGAGAATTTAAATTATGTGATTTTGGAGTTTCAAGAGAATTAACAAATTCTTTAGCTATGGCTGATACTTTTGTTGGTACATCAATGTATATGTCACCAGAAAGAATTCAAGGTTTAAATTATGGAGTTAAATCAGATGTTTGGTCAATGGGATTAATGTTGATTGAATTAGCTACTGGGAAACAAGTTTGGTCAGATGATAATTATGAAAATGATGATGATGAAATGTATTCAAATAATTCATTTAAAGGTCCAGAAGGTATATTAGATTTATTACAAAGAATTGTAAATGAAAATCCACCAAGTTTAATGAAAAAAATTAATCATGTAACAAAAGAACCTTTTGATTCTGATTTAATTAATTTTATTGATTCTTGTTTAATTAAAAATGATTCATCTAGGAAATCTCCTTGGCAATTACTAAAAATTGATCCATTTTTTGAAGGAGTTGAAGAAGGTTTATATGATAAAGAACATAAACTATGGGCGAAAAAAATTAGAAAAGCAAACAAATCTGATAAGGATAAATAGACTAAATCTTTGAACAAAAAAATACATATCATATATTAGACGTCTTATCATTATTATATATCATCATTAACAGCTTTTGAAATTTCAACACCAGAAACTTTATGATTATAACTAACACTTGGTTGTAATTTTCTTGTACTTCTAATTTCATCCATTGCATAACCAGGTATTTTAATATTCCAATTTTTTTCTAAATGTAATTGAATATCTTTTGCATCTATACTATCAACTTTTCTATGTTTAGCTAATCTACATGCAAAACTTGTAACTGAATATATAAATTCATCAGCTAAATCCAATAATACTTCTTCAACATTTCCATCAATTGTTGTTTTACCATCTCCTTCATCTACTCCTACAGTACTGATTATATCTTGTAATTTTCTTTTATTTAATACTCTTCCTGAATCCATTGTTGATTCCCCACCTTCTAAATCAAAAGTTGGAAGTTTTGTAATAGCTGGAGTATCTAAAAGTATACTTAAAGAATTAGCAGCTCCTCCAGTTAAAGTTGGTCTTGTATTTGTTGCGGAATTGAAAGTAACAACAGTTGGTGGTTTTATATTCACCGAACTAGATATAGGTATCGATGGTACACTTGGTTTGGTGATACCTGCAAGATTTAAATTCATAGCTGATTTTGATCTTGAAGAGGTTTGACGATCACTCAGTGGAGTACCTGATTTAGCACCATTTGGAGTTCCTGATGCTGTATTAGATGTCACACCAGCGAATTTTTTATCGGATGATGCAGATCCTTGTCTACTAACTTGAGGTTGTTGCGGCTTCTGAATAGGAGCTGTTTGTTGTGGTTGTTGCGGTAGTTGTTGTGGTTGCGGTTGTGGGTGTGGTTGTGGTTGCTGAAAAGTAGTTTGAGGAGTTGCAGAAGCTTGTCGACTAGGCATTTTTTGAAAATTTTGAGATGATGGTGTTGGATGGGACGTTGGAAAAGCTGGAGTTGGTGCTTGGGTCAGCATTCCTGGTGGTAATTGCTTTGGTATACTTTGAGGGGTATGTCTAATACCCATTGAATTCATATCAGGAGCAGCTTGCATTTGATTTGGAACCATTTGTTGACCATTAGCTATATTTCGTTGATGCTGAGCAAGTAATTGTTGCTGTTGCAATTGCTGTTGTCTTTGTTGAATTTGTTGTTGTTGATGTTGTTGAGCTTGATGATGTGGGATTTGTTGTTGTTGTTGTTGTTGTGGGTTTTGTTGTGGTAGTTGGTTCTGTAATGGTTGCTGGTTTTGTTGAAGTTGAGGATGGTGCTGGGTTTGTGGATGTTGCTGATTAGGTTGATGTTGTTGCTGTGGAAGCTTTTGCTGCTGTGGATGTTGTTGCTGCTGCTGTTGTGGGTGTTGCTGTTGCTGTTGCTGTTGCTGTTGCTGTTGCTGTTGTTGCTGCTGCTTAGCTTGTTGTACAAGTTGATTCCTCATATAAATTCCAATTTTTTGAAATTGTTGAAATTTAGTTCTATATTCCATTAATTCTCTATCAATTATTGAAATTTGTTCTTGAGTTGCATTACCAGCTTTTTTACTTTGTTCTAATAGTTGAATTTTTCTTTGAACTTCAGTTAATTTTTGTCTTATTTGATTAAATCTATCCATTGATATTGTATTTGATGGTATATTTATTCCTCCTGCTGTACCACTACCTGCTCCACTTGATGTACTTGAACTCATACTTCTTAATAAACTACTATATTGATTCAGATTCAGTTGTTTATTTTGTTGTTCTTGTTCATCATTTCTTGTTTGTTGTTGAAGTTTTTGTTTTCCCAATTCTTCTAATTGTTGTTTTGTAAAATTATGATTTTGATGTTGTTGTTGAGTTTTTAAAGGTGTTGCACTTGGAATATTATTGGAATTAAGTGCAGGAGAAGAAATTGCACTATGACTCATAACAGGTGTTCCTTGGTGATTTTGATTATAATTATTTATAGCATTATTATTGTTTAAATTTTGTTGTGATAAAGCGTGGGTTTGATTTACAGGAAGATGTTTTGATTGTTGAAAATCTTGGGGGTACTGTTGCTGTTGTAATTGTTTTGGATTCAGTTGAGATTGTCCTTGTTGCTGCTGCTGCTGCTGGGGTAGCTGTTGTTGTTGCTGTTGTTGTTGTTGTTGTTGCATTCTACTCTTTTGAGCTTGATATCTAGCTAATAATCTCCGTATATTTTCAGCTCGAGTTAAATGATGTTGTCTTACTTTATCATCAGTAGCATTCTTTGCAATTTCGAAATCATTTTTCATTGCTTGAACTAATTGTGCTAATTGTTGTGGAGGTATATTTTGTAAATTTGGTTGTTGTTGTTGAGGACGTACTTGTTGTGACGGTTGTGATTGATTTGGTGTTTGTCCTTGATGTTGCATTCCATTTCCATTTCCTTGTAAATTCATTGAGCCGTTGTTTCCATTTTGGTTCATCATACCATTTCCATTTTGATTCTGCATCCCATTCATGGTATTATTCATATTAATAAATTTAATTAAATGTTATTATAATAGTTAATCACAAATCATCAACTTGTCCTCTAATCTATGGGGTTAGTTAATAGTCCCAAAATGAATGCTAATAGAATACCCCAATTTAATGATGTTATAAGTTTGACAAAGAATTTTCACGATCGACTGGTATTTGATCTTGATGCAAACAGTTTTGTAATTTGACTTGTATGAGTTAATAAATAATTATATTTTATTTTTATTTAAAATCAAATTCAAAACCTTCTTGGTAGCGAAAAATTGAAGACTTTAAATTTATTTTGCAATCGAATTAATCGATGAACAACCTCACAGAGCCGTTGCGAGAATGGGTAATTGTCTCAACCACAGAGATCAGAGGCTGTTACAAAGACTGGGACTTGACTGAAAGTTTAGAATTGTCTATTATTTAAAATTAAATGTCTATTAAATCATATATTATCTATATTAGTCTATAAAATCACACTTTTTTACCAACATCTTCAGTAGTAGTAGATGGTTTATTAATTTGTTGAGGATTAGTCTTTTCATTTTCTTCCTCTTTTTTAGCTTTTTCTTCAGCTAATTGTCTAAAATAAGCAGCATAACCATATTTACTTTTAGCTCTCATTCTTGCACCATAATGACTAAAAACAAAAGGAATTGGAACCATCAATAATGAAATAAAAGCAAAAATTGAAGCTGCCCAACTTATAGTTAAAGTTTCATTTTCAAACATTTGAGTACAAAATAATGGAAATACTGAAGCAACAATATATCTTAATAAATTATTTGCAGCCATTGCTGATGCAACTACAATTGGTGGGAAAGCTAATGCAAAATATAATACCACACTTAAAAAGATCATAAGTAATCCAAATCCAAATGGTACACCAGCTAAAGTTGGTACAATCCAATGTACAGATTTATATTTACCAGTCCAACCTAACCAAAATAATGAAATTGGTAAAAATATTGATCCAATCATTCCAACTAATAATTTTTTTTCTGGTGCATAAAATATAATATTACCATTTTCATCTTTTTTATATCTTGAACCATCTTTTTGTTTGGGGAAATAATAATAAACATCTAATATTAAATAAACTATAACAGCAAGTGCAAATCCAACTGCAATACTAATAAATGGTAGACCTGATACACCTAAACTCATACCATGAACACCTCTAAAAATAATAGGAAAAGCTTCAAAAAATCCAAATAATACAGCAAATATAAAAGCAATATAAGTAGACATAAATAAAACAATAGGTTCAACAAATAATAATTCAAAAGGAATTAATAAATAAGTTTTTAAAATTTTTTTAACTAATTCAAAATCAGGTTTTGGCATATTAACATTTAAACCTCTTTTTTTAGCTCTTTTAACTAATATAACAGTTTTATAAGTTTCTGGAACAAATATAACACTTATTAAAGCTAATCCATAAAACATTAATAAAACCCATGAAGCACTCCATTGCCAATTTTTATATTCTGCTGCAAATCCTCCAATTATGGGTCCCAAAACAGGACCTAAAAAGGGCATTAAACAAAACAAAGCAACGGCACCAGATTGTTGAAAAGGATCATTTGAAAATAAATCATTAATTGTACCTGAAACAACTGATAATGCAGGTGAAGCAAAAAATCCTGCAAAAAATCTAAGTACCAAAAGAGTTTGAATATTTTTAGCTAATCCACATCCCATTATAAATAATATACCAATAATCCAAGGATATACATAAAAAGGTTTTCTACCTAAAACAACTGTGAAACCAGACATAAAAGCAGGACCTAAAGCTAATCCAATTAAATAAAAAGTTAATCCAGATATAACTAAAGTTTGAGAAGCATTAAATCTTTCCATCATTTCAAATACTCCTGCTGTGTACATTGATGAACCTAATGAACATGTGAGACACATAATTCCAACTGTAACATTTATCCACCATTTTTTATAGACAGGCCAATTAAATGGGTTATCCATATCATCTGGACCATCCCAATCAAGATCCAGTATTTCAATTGGTTTATCTTCTTGAGTTATTTCATTATCTGATTTATCTTTAATATGTTTTAAAGAATTTTTCTCATCAATTGTTGAATCATCATTAAAAGTTGGATCTGTAGTACTATTATTGTTATTGTTTTCAATATCCAGGGTTATATTGTTATTGTTATCATGATTATTTATGATTTCTGGTTCAATTGTTTGATTGTGGTTTGGTGGTGGTTCTTGTTGATTTAATTCAATATCGGTATTATCATTGTTAATCGGATTTAATAAAGTTCCACTATCAGGTCGTGTGTTTGTGTTCTGTTTGCTTTCTAATTTTGGTTGTTGAATTGCGGCTTGTGATGTCAGATTATTTTCATTTTTTTGCTTATGATTATTATTAAATTCTTCATTTAATTCATCATTAATTTCTTCTTCTGCTGTTTCATATCTTGATAATCCAGTATTTGAATTAAAACTATTATTTCTTGAATATCTTCTTTCCCTATCTTCATTTGTTATTTGATTTTATATGCTGAACCAAGTGTTTTAAGATATATACGAGAACATTATAATGAAGAAGATATAATTATGGTAAGTCCTGATGCTGGTGGTGCTAAAAGAGTTGCTTCTTTAGCTGATAAATTAGATATACAATTTGCTTTAATACATAAAGAAAGACAAAAAGCTAATGAAATATCAAGAATGGTATTGGTAGGAGATGTTAAAGATAAAATATGTATTTTAGTTGATGATATGGCTGATACTTGTGGAACATTATGTAAAGCAGCAGATGTATTATTAGATAATGGTGGTGCTAAAAAAGTTGTTTGTATAATAACTCATGCAATTTTATCAGGTAATGCAATTGAAAGAATAAATAATTCAAGATTAGATAAAATAATTTGTACAAATTCTTTACCTATACAATCAAAATTATCACAATGTAATAAATTAGAAATGATTGATATTGCTCCAACTTTAGCTGAAGCTATACGAAGATTACATAATGGAGAAAGTGTTAGTTACTTATTCAACAATGTACCAGAATAAAATGAAATTTGTGAAGTGAGTATATATATATTAAATCGTAATATCTTGATATGTTATTTATCTTCAATTGCATCAACCAGATACCAGGTAACTCCAACACTTAATTGATATGGATTTAATTCCTGAGAATCAAAATTTTCTTCAGTAACTTTATTCTCTGCAATTTTACGAACTCTTCCAATAAACCATTCTTTACCACTTGATTTTAAATCTTCAATTAAATTAGTTGTATCTTTTAAAAAATAATGAGGAGCACCAACATTGAAAGCAGCCCATGGTTGTAATTTTGATTCAGTGGATTCTAATTTAAAACCATTATTATTATTTGTCAAATTTTTTGGTCTGTCGATTCTTGTTGGTAAAAACAAAAGTAAATCATTCTCTTTAAAAGAATTTATTGAAATTTTATTTTTATTTCTTAAAATCATTTTTTTAATCTCTTGATCTTTTGATTTATTATCTTTGGTTTGCTTCTTCGCGAATGCTTCAACATCTTTAAATCTTTTAGAAATTGCATTGATGAAAAATTTCTGATTTGTAGAATTTTCATCAGCTAATTGAACATTTTCTTTAAAATTTATTGAACTGAAAAAAATTTCAAATTTGGATACCTCAGATGTATCAAATTTGAATAATTTATTAAAAAGTTCAAATAATTTTTCTGATTGATCCTTATATCTATCAACCATTTCAGCTCCATCTTCAGATGAAGCACTATCTGGTGATACTATTGATTTCAAATCTGGAATATCATTAATCCAAGTTAGTTTATTCTCAATTTCATCAATAACTTTTGATGTTGGAACATCCATTGAAACCATCGAAACTTCATCATCTTGATTAGCAGGTTTTTTAAATTTAAGACCTTTAACTCTTTTTATTTTGTAAATATTGTCTTCTTCTACTAATAATAATCCCATCGATTCTAATAAAAAGCAAAAGTCTAAAAACTCTTCAAATAATTTTTGAACTAATAATTTGATATGATTCATTAAATTGAGTACAACATTGTTCAAGTCATTTACTAATAAATCGTGTTTAGTATGCTTTACTTGAGTCAATTCCATTAAATTTTCATAATCTTCACTAACTTCCTCTAATTTCAGTTTCAAACTTTCAATTTCATTATTAAGATTATTGCGTTCCTGAGAAAATTCAGTCTCCTTCGATGACATATTAGATAACAAATCATTCTTCATTTTTGTTGCATCATTCAATTCGCTTCTTAAAACAGTTAAAGTTTCACTTAGACTTGATAATTCGCTTGAATGAGTCTTTTGTGTTTCCTCGTAATTTTTGATCTTTTCATTTAAAGTATTAATTACATCATCTTTTGCTCTCAATTTGTTTTCCAAATTTTCAAATTGCTTGTGCTCTAATTTGTTTTCAATCTTGAATAACCTGTATTCTTCTTGAGTTTCACTGACTTTAGAATTTAACTCTGAGATTTTTTGTGAATGTTCCAATTGCATAGATTCAATTTGTTGTTTCAATTGTAAAATTTTTGCATCTTTGGATTGATGTTGTTTAAGTAAATTGTCATTTTGAGATATTAAATCAGTATTTGTTCTTTTCAATTTTATATTGTCAAGATGTTTGTCTATACTTGATGAATCAAGTGTTTGTGATTGGTTGTTTTGCTGGTTGATTGATGGAATACTCTCCTTCGATGATGTTCTTTTATGTAGCAATTTTGTAGGGTCCAGCCTTACAATAGATGCTGATGATGGTTGTGAAGATATTTGAGGTTGGGAAGGAGGTTGAGATTGTGCTTGTTGTTGCTTTGAGTCTATTAACATACTCATTCTATTCTCTCCATATGAACCATTTCTTATCACTGGCCAATTTGTAATGTTTTTATATTGTTGTTGATGCAATAAACTTTCAAGTTTTCTAATCCTAGATTTCAAACCTTTTATGACATTCAAATCAACGTCCAAATCTTCTTTACTTTTGTCAATATTCGACAGGTCGTCAGGTTTGCTTTCATTCATTACAGTTATTGTACCTAACGAAGATACGACTTTTGTTACTCTTTTCATATTGTTGGTTGATTTTTTCATATCTTGAAAATTTTTATGTAACAAGTCAGGAAAAGATCTTGAGACGCTAGTATGAGATTCCAATATGGAAATGTAATTGATAATATCCTCCCTGTCAATGTCAATCCCTCTCAAAATCAAAAAATTATTATCCTTTGGATCATTTTTGCTGACTAAGCTTATGTCTACATTAGGTAAAGTGCCAATAAAATTATCCTTCTCAATGTAATTTAAAAATACACCAAATTTTTTATTCCAAATTTCTCTAAAGGCTCTTTCGTGATTGTTGATATTTGAGATTTGTTCACCAATATTATTGACTAGACCTTTGGTATAAAAATCATACCATTCAAATTGTCTCCGTTTTTCAATTAATTCAAATCCAAATAGTAATGGTAAATCTATCGTCAAAGACAAATAGTCTTCTGCTCTTTTAATCTCAGATATTATTTTAAAGTTAATTTCATTTGATGAATTTTCTCCCAAATCCTCTGTTAATTGTCTTAGTGCTGCTTTCAAATTAACTGATTTCATCTGCAAGTTAGCAATTGTATTAAAAATTCTGGGACTTTCTAGTGTAATCTTGTCTCGAAATGAGCTCAATTTAATGTAATGATTGTACAATTTATCCGCATTTTCTTTGATTTCATTAGCTACTTTTGACTTGTGTATATCATATGAATTATTCAACTCTGTTATTGGCCGATTTTGAGAACCAAAGTCCAAATTCACCTTTTCAAAAAGGGTTTGTAATTTCTTCATCAACTCCTTAACGTCAGTGTTCTTAAACTGAGATATGGAACTATTTCTTGATGATTCAATTAAATTATCAATGGTTGCTTTATCCTCATTCATTTCTTTAACCAAATTCCTCAACTCATTGAATTTTCCTAACACTAATGGAAAATGTTTGGCCACAAAATTAGACGCTTTTAACAATTCCTCAGCATTAAGATAGTTAACTAATCTAATTTTAATATCTTTGATCTTTATATCCGGTAGTTGTTGTAAATTTTTATAGTTTGTATTCCATGACTTATGCAAAGTTTTATAATTAATCATTTTAATGTGATTATAATGATTATTGAAATTTTTTTCAGCTTCATTAGTAAAATTTGATGCAAATTGAAATAATATATTCAATGATTTAAACATGGTGTTAATTTGTAGTGTTAGGGTTGAGCAATTTTTTTCTAGCACTTTACAATCACGATTCAAGTTTGATGACCATACTTGATATATTTTGATTCGATTCTCAATGCCTGGTTCACCAAATTTCGAGTTTTCCTTTATAGGTGGTCCTCTCGGTGGTTGAACATCGTTTTCATTAGCTGTTGCTGATAATGCTATATATGACTGAATAAGGTTTTTGTTGAAATCATTGACGAACAATCTTTTATCATACAAATAAATGTCAGTTAACTCATTTATCAATGTATAATTTATTTTAATTCCAAATGAGCCAATGAGGAAAATGTTATTTATATCATCAATATTGAAGCACTGCAGTAAATAAATCTTAAAATCATTTATGTTTTGAAAACGAACAGGTTTAGGTATTCTTACACTTGCTCCACCATGAGCATTATTCACAATTACATATGACACATCTGACATTTTATTGTGGAAAATTGTGGAATGTGTGTTTTCTTCTTAGTTTGACTTGTTTTCTTAGTTTGGCACTTCTTTTTAATTAATAATTCGAATTAGATGTTGTTAGTGAGTGAAATAGACAGATTATAACGGCTAATCTGGATGCTGGCAAGGTTGATAACGAGCTTGGAATATATGTCAAGTTTAATTATATCAAGATATAGGTATCATTGAACGAGGATTGGATGTTCTCTTAGATTGATATGTTAATATATAATGCTCTTTGCCTATTTGAATTGGTTGTGAAGTATTATTTTAAAACGTAAAACTTAGAGGGGCATTAAAAAAATAATACGATTATTATTATTCATATAATTATTATTAACATTAATTTCAATTATAGGCCCAGATATTGTACTTATAGTTTATATAAGATTCACTAATCTGTAGTACCTAGCCAATTATGCTTATCAACAGTCAATAGAAATAGAAATAGGGTTAACTAATAACTATAGTAGGATGTTTATGGCTTTATCTACTGATAAAACTACTTTTATTTTTTGCCGTCGTATTACGAAAGTAAAGTTTCATTATTTTACAATATCTAAATACGATGTTTCACATTTATCACATATTTCGTCTTCCTATATAATTGGCTTAGATAACAAAAAGGTTGCGGTAATACTCGACGTATATTGGCTCTTTATTTGGCTATGACTCTCTACAATCAGTGATCCTAAATATATTCTGAATAGAGTTATATGTCTTGTGACATATTGAGACCTTTCGGACTTAAATTTTCGTGTAATTTTTAACTTGAAACAACAACTTAGTAAGAAAAATCTACATTAAAAATTGTCTTTACTCAACCTAGATATTTATGAAACTATTTAAAATTATATATATAACAAAACAATAAATGTCAAATCAGAACGTATAAGGAGATAATTCCTTCTGATTTATGTGCAAGCTACCTTGAACACTTTAATTTTGAGCAATTGTTCACAAAAATTTATTTAATACCAACCACCACGATATTGGGTTGAATCTTGATATCCATATTGTGGGTATTGTTGATAACCAGCATATTGTGGAATTGGTTGTTGTCCTTGTTGTCCTTGTTGTCCTTGTTGTTGATGGGCTTGTTGTTGAAAGTTTGGTTGTTGTTGACTTTGTTGAGCTTGTGCTTGTTGTTGACCCTGTTGATGTGATTGTTGAGAATTCTCTTCACCAGAACTTGGTGGTTGTTGAGCGCCTTGTTGACCTTGTTGACCTTGTTGTTGGGGTTGAGGTGGCAATGAATAACCTGGATATCTATTAGAATATTGGTTTGGATTATAATATTGTTGTTGTTGTTGAACACCAGCAAATCCATTGTTTGAGATAGTAGATTGTTGATTTGAAGATTGAGGATTTGATTGTTGAGAACTTTGTTGAGACTGTTGACCAAGAGATCCAGCATTAGTTGTAGCATTAAATCCAGTATTACCTAAACCACCAGCTGCATTAAAGTATGGGTTGTTGTAATAGTAATTGTAGTAAGGATATCCAAATGGTTGAGGTATTTGTTGTTGTTGCTGTTGTTGCTGTTGTTGAGCTAAAGCAGATGCTTGTTGTTGTAAAATTGATTGACCAACAACTGGTGATTGTGTAGAATCGGATGAACCACCGTTAACAGCTTGTTGAGCATAATTGTAACCACTTGAACCTGATGGAGCAGTAGCTGTGTGGTTAGCAGCTGGTGAAGTAAGACCAAAAGCGTGTTGATTGTAAGCATTATAATCGAATCCTGGGTATCCTGCAAATTGCGCACCAGGTTGAGCCGCCTGTTGAGGGTATTGTTGTTGCTGGAATTGATTGTAATAGTCATATTGTTGTTGCTGTTGGGTTTGATGTTGTTGCTGTGGTTGTTGTTGTGGTTGTTGTGGTTGTTGTTGTTGTTTTGCGTAATGAGTTTGTTGTTGTTGTTGTGGTTGTTGGTAACCAGCTTGTTGATATCTTTGACTTTGTTGATCGTACAAACCATAATTTTGTTGAGTTTGTTGAGCTTGTTGTTGATGAGATTGTTGATGTTGTTCTGGGAGATTTTGATCGTTTGATTCAACTTGAGATGATTCTGGAATCTCTTCTTCACCTAACGATAACGATCCAAATGATATACCAACAGAATTGACTTGTTGTTGAGAATTTGGTAATACAACTTGTGGAGCTGTTTCTTCTAAAGATGATTGTTGATGTTGTGATGCTGATGATTGAGGTTGTTGTTGCTCTTGTACTTCTGATTGAGAATCCTGTTTTGATTCTGGTTCATAACTTTGTTGTGATTCTTCTAAAGATGGGGTTTCTTGTTCCTTCTCAAGTTCCGGTGCTTCATTAACTTCTGGTTGTGGTTGTGATGGCGGAGCTGGTTGTGGTTTAGTCACAGGTTTAGGTTTTGGTTTAGTTTTAGGAGTAATTGCTGAAGCCCAAGAACCTTGATTCAATTCTGGAATTGATGCTTCTTTTAATACAGGTTTTGAGACTGGAGCAGTTGTCTCTTTTTGTTGAGTTTCTAAATTTGATTCTTCTGTTGAAGGTGTTTCTTCTGAATTGGTAGATTGTTCCTCTTTAGTAGATTGCGCGTCTTCACTTGCTTTTTCCGCTTGTTGAGTTGGTTGATGTTGTTTTTGTACAGGAGGTTTATCAGTTCCTAAAGCAGAAGCCCATGATCCAGTTGATTCACCATTTGATTGTGACGAAGTTGTTGAAGAAGCTTTTTCGTTGTTTCTCGTAGTTTTTCTCGAAGAATTTGTTTTATTTCTAGGAGGTCTAGTTGATGGTTTTGACTTATGTGTAAATTTTTTATCATTTGAACTTTGGTGTGGAGCAGATGTAGATGAAGAATTGTGGAGATTGCTATTGTCTGTTTCTTCTTTAACTTCTTTCTTTTTGTTTTTCTCCTTTTTAATAGGTTCCCATTTAGATACTTTATTATTAACGATTAAATCAATTACGACTTCTAAAGATTGATCATTTTCATTCAATAAAGAATTCAATTCATCAGACTCCCAATCTGGAAACAATTCAAGCAAGCTAGATAATTCCGTAGATATGCTATTGTTACTGCTATTGAACCTTTTCAGTTGATTTTTGTAAGTCTTTCGATGTGTGGACATTATGATTCGATTGTGTATAAAAATATCTTTTCGAAACTAGTATAAGTTGTGACAATGATCCTTGACTAGTATTTGTTGCAAGGCCCCCTTTCTTCTAAAAATCTATTTTATTATAAAGTATTTATTTGATTGATTAAAATCAATTACGTATTCTTTTCAAATTGTATTAATTGTTGGTCAACGGTATGCCTTCTAAAAAATTTTTTCTCTTTCTGTTCTCTTTATGTATCTTTTTCTTTCAAAATTATAAAAGAATCTCTCTCCATTCTATAATTTTTCAAGTCGTGACGTGACATTATAAACTCAGACAAAGAAATAGATAATTTATAAATGACCTCATAATCAAGGCTATAAAATATTACAGTTTGATGTTACAATCTAGAGGGAAAGTGATAAGACATAGACAAACTCTACATTAATTACAATTCCGACGAAAAGTCCCAAAAACTATACATCTATTATAATACTTGAACAATATCCTTACCGTACTCTTCAATCTTGTGTCCAGTAATCATCGGATGTATAATTTCATTAATGGTTACATCAAACAATTTATAAATTAATTCCTTCAAATCATCACCAGTTTGTTTGAAATCTGGATATGAGTTAACTTCTAATACATAAACTTTTTCGTTAGAATCAACTAAAAAATCAATTCCAAATATTTCAATTGCATTAGTTAATGGTTGAAAATTAAGTTTATCTATTGATGTAGCAGCTTTAAATAATTCTTTTGTAATTTCACATATTTGTTTAAAGATTTGTGATTTTTGTTCATCCGTCATATTTTCTAAATTCCAGAATGGTACAACTAAAGGATTTGAATCTTCTTGTAAACAAGTGTTTGTTAAATGTCCATTTAATTCAATAGGTGAATCATTAATTGAATGTGGTGCTTGATATTTTTCATCGGCAAATAATGTTAAGATATTCTTGTAAACAAATACTTTCAAATCTCCCTGGCATATCACATAAGTACGTAGATGAAATTTTTTGTTGTCATAATTTGGTAACAATAATGGACTTGAAATATATTCTTGTACGATAAAGTGTCTTAAATGCGATAGTATTAATCCATTACCTTTTTGACTATCCTTTTTTGATTCATTTTCTCCCTCCTCATCATCATCATCATTGTCGAATGCATCAAAAATTGCTTGTAATTGATCAACCGTTCGGAATATACTAATACCTTGACCTTTATCACTCATACTAGGTTTCACGATCCATACTTTATCACCAGCTTCAATAGCTTCTCTTAATTCATATGACTCATCTAATGAATCATCTAAAAATTCAGCATAATCAATTTCTAACTGATAATTTTCAGGGACTGCTTTTGCTAATATTGAATCAGGGTGTTTTGTGATATAATGATGTATTGTGTTTGCTAAATAATGCTTTCTTATTAATGCTTTTCTATATATGTATGATGGAATGTAATAATTTGAATCATTTTGAGAAATCTTTTCAAGATCTAAATCTTCGTATTCTCCATAATGAAAAATTTTTTGATTTGAAGGTATACTCTTCGTATTTGATGTAATGCTGTAATTCAATTTTTCGAATGGTTCAACTAATGGTTCGTATAAATATGAATCTTCTGGGATAGTTATGAGAAATGTGTTTCCTGACTCCTTAAAATTGCTCGCTTTATCACTTTCGATCCCCTCACTATCATCATCTAATTTAATTTCTCCAACTATATCATCCAAGGTCCTAAAACATGCTTTTAAAGGAGTGACACTAATTCCTTCACTCAAAAGAACTCTAGAATCAGTATGCTCTTGATCTTTCAAACCATCTTTCCAAACTCTTTTAAAATCCGGAGCCCATTTGAATTCTAATTGACCTTTTTCATTTGGTTCTTGAGTTGGTTCATAAATTGATCCCCATTTATTTTGTAATATTGGAGCATATTCTATCTTGGTTTTTCCTAACTTTAATGAATCAACTAATGGAACATTAACGGAATATAAATCAACATCTTGATTATTTTGTAAATTTTTATATAATTTTTTTATAAGTTTTACTGAAATTTTAGCAGCTTCTTTTAATATTTTAAAATCATGATCTAATGAAATAAAAGCATAACTTAATCCAATGGCTTTAGTACCATGAGTTACAGCTTCCATTGCTGCTCCTACAGTTCCACTTGCTAAAATATATAAACTAGTTGAATTTTTTCCAAAATTAGGTCCACTTATAACTAAATCCACGGGCTTTTTCTTAGAATGTCTATATAAATGATGTATTCCTATATCAGCGCAAGCAGCTGGAGTACTACTTACTAAACACCATTCTTGATAATTTGGATCTGATATATATTTTTGTTGTGGATGATCAAAGGGACCTTCAAATTTGTTGATATCAGGGTTAGGTTTATATGTTGAATATTTTGTATATATGTAAGTTGCAACTACAGGTTTTCCTGGAAGATGAGATTTTGAACTCCATGATCTAGGTTGATCTGGTATTACTATTGAAATATCCCAATCTGTTTCTGTGGTTATTTCATCAACAAAATATTTCATGTAAGGACAAGTTTGGTCGCTAATTGGACCATCGTCATTGGTTAAAAGCACATGCATTTCTTCTATTTTCAATGATTGATTGAATGGTATGAGTAAAAAATATTTAATGTGGAGTTCAATTAATCAAGTTCCTCAGATCAAGCACTTGCACAAAAAAAAATAGAAACATGAGAATGAAAAATTATCAAGATCTAACAAAGATCTAGTTCACCATTCAAATCAAACTACACAACTTTCTAGTCAGATTATTCAAATAGCAGTTCAATAATGTCACTATTTCTAGGTCAGCCGACCCAATACTCACATGTAAAAGTCGATCCAGAAAAAATCAAAGTAGCAGAAATTCAATTTCAAGCAATGTCATATACTTTTAATAAATTATTACGTCAATGTGAAACAAAATGTTTAGTTCATGAATATGCTGAAGGAGAATTATCAAAAGGAGAATCTGAATGTATTGATCGATGTGTTTCAAAATATGTAAAGGCAAATTTAATAGTTGGTGAATATATACAAAATCAAAGAATAGATGTATTTAATACTATGCCTGAATATATCAAAGTGAGAGAGATTATAAAAAGTGGGTCGGGAAACATATGATAGTTCACAGATGTAGTGATGCATCTTTTTAGCTTGTATATAGTTCTAGAGGAGTTCAAACGAATTTAATGAATAAAAATTCCAAATAAATATGATGTATTTTTACTCAATTTCTTTATTTACTACACAATTAAGATAATCTATAATTGATCTTTGGTGTGGAAGATATCTAAAGCTTCTGAAATTCTTTTAGACATGGTTTTTTCACCTTCTCTAACCCAAACTCTTGGATCGAAATATTTTTTATTTGGTTTATCTTCACCTTCTGGGTTACCAACTGGTGATTTTAAATAATCAGCTTTCTTTAATATATAATCTCTGATACCTTCTAAGTAAGCATATTGACAATCAGTATCTAAATTAACTTTTACAACACCATTCTTGATAGCAGTATCAAAATCTTGTTGTGATGAACCTGATCCACCATGGAAAACTAAATATAATGGATGTGCAGCTTCAGTAGCTAATTGTTGTTTTGCATATCTTTGATGATCACCTAAAATTTCTGGTTTTAATTGAACATTACCTGGTTTATAAACACCATGAACATTACCAAAAGCAGCAGCAATTGAGAAATTTGGTGAAATTTTTGATAAACCTTCATAAACTTTAAAAACAGTTTCTGGTAAAGTATATAATGATTCTTTTTGAACATGTTCATTATTTACACCATCTTCTTCACCACCAGTAATACCAATTTCCATTTCTAACCATTGATTCATTTTAGCCATTCTTTTAAAATATTTTTCACAAGTTCCTATATTTTCTTCATCTGTTTCTTCAGATAAATCCAACATATGTGATGAAAATAATGGAGTACCAGTTTCTTTAAACCATTTTTCATCTGCATCTAACATACCATCAAACCATGGTAATAATTTATGAGCACAATGATCAGTATGTAAAACAACTGGAATACCATAAGCTGGAGCAATTGCTCTAATATAATGAGCAGCAGCAATTGAACCAGCAATTGAAGCTTCTTGATTTTTATTATCAACACCTTTACCTGCAAAATAAGCAGCACCACCTTGAGAAGTTTGTAAAATAATTGGAGCTTTACCATCTCTTGCAGCTTCTAAAGCAGCAACAACAGTTGATGAAGAAGTAACATTTATAGCTGGAATAGCAAATCCTTTTTCTTGAGCATAATCAAATAAATCTTTGACATCATCACCATAGATGACACCTGATTTTTTTAAAACTGCTGGTGGAGCCATATTGTAAATTTAATTATAAATAAGTAGTTGATATGATTTATGAAGTATAAAATTGATTTAATGTAATTATTGAATCAATTGATCTTGAACTTAATTAATTGTTGATGAAAAAAAATATACTATAATTTGTATATAAAAATTAGACAATATGATTTATATAAATATGTTGAAGTGAAAAAAAAAATAAATAATAAATTTGTTGAAACTTTATATTTTATTTAAAAAGTGGAAGAACTTTAAAATTAATACTACGTAAACAAAATTATGAAACACTTTCTAATTGTAGCATAGGCTTATAGGCTTAAGACAACAATGCTTTGGTTACTCATCTGCTACTAATGATTAATACTATTACCCTTCCCTTTACGTGTCTTTACAACCTGTTGTTTATATATAATTGCTCCTCATTAATGTATGTGTTTCGAAATTTCTCACAACCCATTTGGTAGTTTCGAAAGCTTAACAAATGTCCGTTAAATCGATTTTGTGTATGGATATCTTTCACCCGTTTCTTCTTCTTACTTCTTGCAAATTTGCTTTATAATTTGAATGTATGTTACTAGAGGATCTTACATCATATGTTTCACTAAATTATTAACTTTTACATCATATAACTTCAAACATTGTTGTGACTCGAGATATAAAATTCACGTCTTCTTTAATTCTTCCAACTCCCTCGTGTCGTTCAATTTAAATGATACCTTTCAAATAAATCTAGAAACTTGTTTCGAATATATTAAGTGAGTTTCCGTAGAGCACCGGGTCTGATATCCGTTTGTCCTTAATTCGTTCGTCTCATTCGAAATTCTTAATTCCTGCATGAAATTATTGAGGATTTTGAACGGCTTAGGCTATATAAACAGACTTTAGCCAGTCGAATTGTTCAAGCATGTATAAACCTAGGGTAATGTAGTACATTGGTTGACCCATTTCTTGTATATCTGTTCAAGTAAACATCGTTGTCAAGAATTTGATGATTGTATTATGTACTTGCACAAAATAGAGAAAAAAATATAAAGTTACAATTCAACAGTTAAACAGTATAAGCTAAATGAACAATCAATTGATATAGCATTCAGCTACCCCTGGTGATGAGTTTAAAAGTAGACACTATAGATGGCTATTCATATTATCGTTTCAATATAAAAGAACAAGAAGAATTTAAACAAATATCAAATCTAATATCTTCACATTTATCTGAACCATATTCTATATATGTTTATTGGTATTTTTTAAACAATTGGCCAGAATATTGTTTCACGATTAAAGAAACCATAAATGATGTAAATAATAATAACGATAAAAATAACGGATCAACTGTGAAAAACGAAAAAATCATTGGAGTGATAATATCAAAATTAGAACCACATAGACAAGTTAGAAATAGAGGTTATATTGGAATGCTAGTAATAGATCCGAAATATCGAAAAAGAGGATTAGCTAAAAATTTAGTTAAAATTACTATAAATAAAATGATTCAAGAAAAAGTTGATGAAATAATGTTAGAAACTGAAGTTATAAATGATGGAGCTTTAAAATTATATGAAAGTTTTGGATTTTTAAGAGTTAAAAGATTATATCGATATTATTTAAATACTCATGATGCATTTAGATTGATATTACCATTAAGTGATAAATCTCATACAAGAATTGCATTTTTACCATCAATTATAGATGAAAATAATCAAACTGAAAGAAATCATGATAGTTTAGCTATAAATGTATAATATAGATTAATGAATTTTCGATTTATGAGAAATAACTTAAAATCTCTTACTCTGTACTCTCATTGGTTGAAACGTTCAAGTTTTAGGATTAGATTCGATTAAAAATTTGTTGAATTATATTAAACTGATCACTGTTACTTTTTTTGCACCTATTTTTGATTAAAATTTGTTCTTAGAATCAAATGTTTGTAAACAACATATTTAGTCAGACTTTTTATAAATTTGCAATTAGTTTTAGTTTGCTTGACCAAGAGACATCCTAATAGCATGAAACTATGGTACTCATGTTATCTAAGAATGTATCTTACTCGGTTATTCTTCATCATTACAGTGTTTAAATATCTTTGTATGTAAGTTCGGACTTTTTATTTAAACATCTATACCTACATACTAATAATATTAATAGTCTAAACAGCGTCATTTAGTTAAATCTTACGACAAGACAATAGTTACACGTTAATTAAATATTTTTATAAAGAGAGACGCGTACAATTAATGATAATTTAAATTATAATAAATACCAAGTTTCAAATTGTTAACGAAATTTTTTTTTCATTTATAATTCATAACAATTTTCAATAGTTAGCTAATTCAACAATCAATAGTAGTAATCAAAGCAACTAGCATAAAACCATCAACAAATTATCATCATATCAATCAAACAAACAAGCTTAGTAAAAAATGTTAGAAGGTAAATTTGATGAATCAACTTTATTAAAAAAAATAGTTGAATCAATAAAAGATTGTGTTAAATTATGTAATTTTAATTGTACAGAACATGGAATAACAGTTCAAGCAGTTGATGATTCAAGAGTTTTATTAGTTTCATTATTAGTTGGACAAACTGCTTTTAGTGAATATAGATGTGATAGAGATGTTACATTAGGTATTGATTTAGAAAGTTTTTCAAAAATTATAAAATGTGGTAATAATGAAGATTATTTAACTTTATTAGCTGAAGATAGTCCAGATTCTGTAATGACAATATTTGAAGATAAAAAAAAAGAAAGAGTTAGTGAATATAGTTTAAAATTAATGAATATTGATTCTGAATTTTTAAAAATTGATGATATGGATTATGATTCAGTTATTACAATGCCAAGTTTTGAATTTGCAAAAATTGTAAGAGATTTAAAAAATTTAAGTGAATCTTTAAATATTATTGTTACAAAAGATTCTGTTAAATTTACAAGTGAAGGTGAACAAGGTACTGGATCAGTTGTTTTAAAACCTTATAATGATATTGATAAACCAGATGAAAGTGTTACTGTTAATTTAGATAATCCTGTTGATTTAACTTTTGGTTTAAAATATTTAAGTGATATTATTAAAGCTTCAAGTTTATCAAATACAATAACTATAAAATTAGCTGATAAAACTCCTGCATTATTTGAATTTAAATTAGATGTTGGTGGTTATTTAAGATTTTATTTAGCTCCAAAATTCGATGAAGATGAATAGGTCAATAAGACTTATCAGTTAATATTTAGGTTTATACAATTTTTTTAATATTTAATGTCATTTAATGTTCAAAAAGGTAATAACGTAAAATAACGATTTAGTATAAACTACTCTTAAAAATATAATCTATTAACTAAGTCTTTTTATCATGCATTTCTTTACCCCATTTCAATAAATCATTTTTCAATCGATCAGCTCTAACTAATCCATTTCTTAAATGTGTTAAATTTTCAATATATTCATGTTGTCTCTGTATACTAACTTGTAAATAATTTATCAATTCTTCTTTTACACCAGTTTCATCTTTTGCATCCAACAGTTCTTGAAATGTTTCATAACGTTTTATAGCAGTTGGTAATGCAAAAAATGGATCAGCTTCATTTTCCTCTTCATCTTCATACTCGCTTAAAGGGTTACTTGCTTCAGGTAATTCAGATTTAGCTATTTTCTTAGTACCATTTTCAGTGTTATTTAGTACGACTTCTTTCGTTATGATATTTGTAGCAGGACTATCCCTATTTGACTCAGTAACTCCATTTTCCAACTCATTCTTCTCATTTGAGTTAGCATCAAATCTAGTACTTGAATTATTCGTACTTGTATTATTCGTTTCATTGGATACTTCCGTTTCCCCTTTCTTTTCTATTTCCTCTTGTTTATCTATTTCTACTTGCTCCTCGGCATCTGCGACCCCTGTTATTACATCAATTTTCCTTTTCTTCTTCCTATTCTCATCTAATCCATGATCATATTCTTTTAATCCTAAATTTTCTTCTAATAAATAAAACCAATCTTCTCCATTCAATACTTGTAATAACTTATTTAACCAATTTAAATTATTCTGTTCAAATTCAATTAAATCAATTAATTCCATTGATAATTTATTTAATATTTCCAGTTGATAAGTTTTTGAAATTGCTGGATGAGTTATTAATTCAGATGGATGATTTAATGGTGATAATAATTCTATTATTTTAGATTGCTTTAATGGATGTATTTTTTTATTATTATTTGATTCATCATCTGAAATTTCATCATCAGACCAATCTATTATATCTTCTTCTATTTGATTTTCTAATTCTATACTATTTCGTTTAGGATCTTGATAAAAATCTTTCCATTTTCTTTTAATTCTTAAATTATTCTTTTCTATTAAATCGTTTGTAAGTACATCATATTTATCTCCATCATATTCTATAGTTTTCTTACTTAATGAGTCCAAGTTTGGTAATTGATTAGTTAATTTTAATCCTCTATTATAACTTGGTAATGAATCTTCCACTACTGATTTTAAATCTTTGATGTTTTCATTTCGCTTTAGTGGTGATATTGTTACTTCATTTCTGGAAATCAAAGCATCTTTGAATTGAGAAATGATTTCCAATGACTTCGTATCAAGCATAGTTATGAAATTTTTATGTTAGAACTATTATACTGATAGGTTTCGAGTTGACTTTCTCACTGTCTGATATTGAGTATCTTGAAATTTTACAACGTAACAAAGGGTTTGAATGATCTGGAAAATAGTCAATTATAATAGAATCAAACGTCAAAAGCTTTAAGTGATAGTTGTATTTTAATAGTTTGTTTGGTAATGATAATAGTAGATAATTATTATTATATTTACAATTTCTAAAATCTGTTTTTTTACTCTAAAGTTAAATAAAAATATAATTTTTCAACATTTATTCATTATATCACTAACGACGTACATTTCAAACATCTAATGCATCGATCAAAGATCTAGCACGTATGATCATAAATGGGAACTAAGAATGTCTACGATTCATTGGTTGGTTTTATCTGAAAACTTTGAACACTGTACGAGTCACTGGTTTTCATAAATTTCAACATCGAAAAAGAGAAGAATAAAAATAGAAGAATAAAAATTCATGCAACTACTCACTATTACAAATGCATAGATGCTCGAGAACTATGTCTTGTATGAAAGATCAGATTTGCCTAGCAATTTACCTTGCAATTTGCCTAGCAAAATAGAGATATAGTCAAATTAACATTACCAAGTTTAACTTATTAGCTTGATCATCATCAAAAATTTTTAAGTTAGTTTATTCTCGAATGAATTTGAGCTTGCATAAACTTGCATGAAGCTAATTTTCTCCAAATCTTGGGAAAGGACTAATATGATACAAATTTATCAGATGAATTTGCCTCTTAAGATTAAAAAAAATAATTTTAATGAGTGTCAAGATAGGCGTTTTTGCGTATTGGGTTACAAGTTTTAGCTGGTAAAACAATCAGATAGTTATCAAAATTATTTTTTGGGTTATTACTCAAATTTGCCATAATTTATGTTATGTTCAATTGAATTATATCATGAATATCTAGGACCATCTACTGTGATTATAAAAAAATCCAAACTTTTCGTAAATTGGATAACACGTTATGAACTAGCGTTATATTTAGTATCAATGATTTTTGAAATTTACCCTTTTTGAGTTACCAAAACCATGCTATTTTCAGTGGAGTCATTTACCGGTACAGAATGGTCAAGATAATTAGAATGGTAAAGATAATTCTTGTCAAAAAAATGATACGAACACATCAATTCTTTTATTCGAGTGCAATTTAAAATCTGGGATATTCACATCGTTTGTTAAATAATATTTTTATGCAAGTTAATGCAATGCTTATTTAAAATACGAGTTGAAGCCAAGTTTTTAGATCTTGATATTATTATTCAAGATAGATTATACTTTATCCTGTCAATAAGGTGATATGATAATTTGTTCAATCTTGAATAGTATTATGAAAAATAGATTGACTAATTTGTTTTCAACATTTCTTTAATTTTTACAACATTAAGACAATCAGAATTACACGAAACATACTACAAACAATAAAAGACTTTGGAATAATTTACAAATTCAAATTCATTTCAAATATTGAACAGAAATGAAACCAAACATTTTTTTATTTTGGGTTTTGTCGAACCTTATTCGATTTACTCAAGCAGATGTATTTTTCTCAGGAGAAGATTATTATGAGGGAACCTATCCACTCATAGATGATCGGGCTGTAATTGAAAGCGACGCATTGATTACTTTTTACAATATAGATCAGATCTACATAGCAGTTGGTTTGATGGTGGACCCAGATGCAACTTTTTCAATTACCAATACAGAACGTTTTAATGGACATTATTTTGGAGACGGAAGATTTGGTTCAGAATGGGTAGTTGATGGTAGGGTTATGATTGAAGCAAAAAATGATGCAATAATTAACTATTATGAAGTAAATGTGGATACTTTTGATAATGCAGGTCTTACATCTATTCATGCCGATGGTCAATCTGATTACTTACATGTCAAACTCGATGCTGACGTGTTTGTAAACTCAGAAACATTTGCTATACAAAAAGATAAGCCAGGTGTTGCAGTTTTAGATTTTTCATATGGTGGAGCTGCACAAAATCTTGGCTCGATTTGTTTGAGAAATACGCAATTTATGAATCATATGAGTATTGAAGGCCGTGGTTGTTTGGTTCTTGATGATTCTTTCATGAGAAGTATGAATATAGAAATAACTGATGTGGAACACACCCTTTATATGACAAATGGTGCTAAAGTTTCGGAAAATGCACAAATTGCAGGAACAAGGTGGACTATTTATGGATTTGGAAGCGGTATGAGTATTGGTTTAAGTGACACAATTGCTGAAGGATGGAGTTACACTCCAGCCACAGGTATTTTAAGAATCGTATCTTTAAATTATGGAGCTGCTCATTCTTTTACCATTGGAACGGGATATGATGCTGAATTATTTAGAGTCATTGATGATGGAGCAATGATTGGTAATGCTATCACTTATGATGGTGCTACACCTGCACAAGATATTCCAGCAGCTTGTTTAGGTTGTCCATTTGTCGATACCGAGGAAGAATATACTAGAGTTAATAATGTTGATCCTAGTCAATCCACTCATTATGTTACTACGTATGCGGAGCAAGATACTGTTGGTATACCTTATTTAATTACTGCTTTAGTATTACAATCAACCGCATTGGAAGATTCTATGGCCACAGAGCTGTACACTGGAGTTACAGGGGCTGATACTTTAACCGAGAGAATAACAGTAGATGGAAATGATGTTTATGACGTACAAATAGCTCGATATGGTTTTGAAGAAGGCAGTATTTATGATGTATCTTCAACAATTATTTATGAAGATTTCTCATTTACCACCACTATTGATGAAAGTTTGGCTCTTGTTATGTTTACTTCAAATGAAGAAAATTGGTGGCACACAACTACAAGCTTTATCACAGCAATAACTGATAAAATTACAGTCTCTGATGATGATCTTGGTACAGCTACTCATATTGTGTATGCATCAGTTAATGAAGAGGGTGAATGGATCACATCTACCTCAACTTATACTCCTGAACTTGAATCCCAAACTAGATTAACAACTTACACAACCAATATTGATGAAGAAGAAGTTACAATTACCGGATTATTTGAAAAATCAACTAACGAAGCTGGTGCGTGGGCTAGTGCTACATTTGAAGAAGCTGGAGAACGTGCTACATTTACGGAAAGAATTATTAATGAAATTGATGGTATTGCTCAAACTAAAGATGCAGAAGTTGTTGGATATGATTATGGTGAGTATGGAATGTACTATTTGACATCAATATTAGCAGATCCAGTTGAAGCTAGATATACTATTACTGTTGATGAAGAAGATGGAGAATATACAGGTGTTGTTAGAGTTACATCCGATGAAGAAAATTGGTGGTTTACTACTACAGATATTTTATCGTCATACACTAGTACATATACTATTAATGACGATTTTGAACAAGCTACTCATATTGTATATGCATCAGCTAATGAAGAAGGAGAATGGATTACATCTACATCAACTCATACTCCAGAATCACAAACTAGATTGACTACTTACACAACCAATATTGATGAAGAAGAAGTTACAATTACTGGATTATTTGAAATATCAACTAATGAAGCTGGAGCTTGGGCTAGTGCTACATTTGAAGAAGCTGGAGAACGTACTACATTTACTGAAAGAATAGTTACTGAAATTGATGGTATTTCTCAAACTAAAGATGCTGAAGTTGTTGGATATAACTATGGTGAATACGGAATGTACTATTTGACATCAATATTAGCAGACCCAGTTGGAGCTAGATATACTATTACTACTGATGGTGAAGAGGGAGAATATACTGGTGTTGTTAGAGTTACATCAGATGAAGAAAATTGGTGGTATACTACTACAGATATTTTATCGTCATATACTAGCACTTATACTATTAATGATGATCTTGAACAAGCTACTCATATTGTATATGCATCAGTTAATGAAGAAGGAGAATGGATTACATCTACTTCAACTCACACTCCAGAATCACAAACTAGATTAACAACATATGTTACTGGTGTCGGTGAAGAAGAAGTTACAATTACTGGATTATTTGAAAAATCAACTAATGAAGCTGGAGCTTGGGCTAGTGCTACATTTGAAGAAGCTGGAGAACGTACTACATTTACTGAAAGAATAGTTACTGAAATTGATGGTATTTCTCAAACTAAAGATGCTGAAGTTGTTGGATATAACTATGGTGAATACGGAATGTACTATTTGACATCAATATTAGCAGACCCAGTTGGAGCTAGATATACTATTACTACTGATGGTGAAGAGGGAGAATATACTGGTGTTGTTAGAGTTACATCAGATGAAGAAAATTGGTGGTATA